TAGGTGTCTTATTTATTCTTCATTGTTGCACATGCAACAAAGGAGAGACCTATGAAGAAACTCATTTTTAAAAGATGTCAGGTGGACATGCAAATGTCTCTGGCATAAGGATAGGATGTGCAAAAACCGTAGCACTGGTAGCAGAGGCCACTATTTTTGAGGGAAAATAAACCTCAGAGAATTCATGGCTGGGCGGTGAGATGGCAGGCCTCAGGAGCACTGCTCTAGGAATTCAAATGCAAGACCTTTCTCAATTATGCCTTCAATTGCTTGCACAATTCAAGTCATGCTGCTTAGCAATATTTTGGGAGAAACAGGGTATTACAGTTAACAACACATTAGTAGCGATGGCACCATTTCACCTTAGGACGCCCAGAGGAAAAAGAGGCAGCAGAACATATTGTAATTGTGCTGGACGATTGCTCTGAAACACTGCCATCTTGCGAGTATTTAGAGATAAAACAGCATAAATCTGCTTTACTGTTTTGGCAGCAGCTTCATTCCCAGCACTGCTTTAGGAATTCAAAGAAACCGGAAAAAACCCCAGGGTGGTTTTGAAATTAGTGGTTACAGTCAATGCACTTCTGAATAGAATCTAATTGTATCCCAAACACAGAGGAAAACCTGATCTTTGATCTCAGGAACCTCCATGCAAAATATGGTTACAATATCTTAAAAGAGACATACAAGGGAAACAACTTTCCAAAATATACAGCAATGCTGGTGCTGCTGGATTCATCAGTAGGACAAATATGTTGTAGTGTAGCAGTCCAGGCAAACCTCCTAAAATATTTATCCCAGTTGGAATCCATATTGGATTAGATTTTGTGCTGCTGTTTATTTGTTTGTTTGTTTTCAAGCAACATTTACACATTACTTGGTTTTTGTAAAAACTCTAAGACTAGTCCCAAGCCCCTATATTCTCACTCAACTACTTTGTTCTGCAGAACCAGAGGCAAACAAGATGGTCACATACGTAAGTCACACGATAACCTAAAATAAACCTTTTCAAAAATATAACAATATGAAATTAAAATATAAAATTTATATTTAATGACACATCATTTATATCAGGCAATATAACGCTTGTACAACAGGAGCAAGACTTCCAGTGAAAAGGAGGCATGACAACTTTTTGTCATGACATCAAGTCTATTCTTCTTATATATTTTCATATGTGACTGTGTAAGAGAGAGAGTTACTGTGATTGTTTTCATCAACCCTTTCTTCAAGGCTTTTGGTTTGCTCTTGTGACTGTTCTCAACATTTTTTTAAGTATTTTTTTTATTAGCCACCTATTGGAGCACAAGAAATGAAATACAGTCGTACTTTGGTCCTCGAACGCCTTGCGACTCGAACGTTTTGGCTCCTGAACACCACAAACCAGGAAGTGAGTGTTCCAGTTTGCGAACATTTTTTGGAACCCGAATGTCCAACATGGCTTCTGATTGAGTGCAGGAAGCTCCTGCAGCCAATCGGAAGCCACACCTTGGTCAAGTGGACCTCTGGAATGGATTCCGTTTGAGAACCAAGGTACGGCTGTATAATAAAACCTGGTGGGATCAAATTCTGGTGAATTTCTCTGGATACACGAAGGGCTTCCATGTGTGCCTTGGAGCACTTCCAGATGATCTATTTATTGAGCATTCATCCGGATTTGTTTGCAGGGAGAGATTAGACAATGTTGCCTATTTAATGAGGATTCATTCTGGCTTTCTTCACGAGGTTAGATGGCATTGCGTCAAAGCAAGTGCTATCCCACACTTTTCTAGAGCATTTCCCCATCCCTTTATCTCAAGAAGCCTGATCTTTTGGGAAAGTTTGTCATGCAAGAACTCTTCATCAACTGTACCTGTGCAACCAGCATTTGCTGGTATGCGACTGAGTCCAACTCCAAAATAGCAACAGCCTGGACGCACCTTTGGTTGTCGCTCTCAGATGGATAAAAGTGTGAACTATTGAGTCTGAGTTGGGACAGTTCATGCCTCATTCCTGGAAATACTTTGTGTGTGGTTTCTCTCCTTTTCTCTACCTCGCCACAACTGTGCAGCTGGATTGCATCTCCAATACAAAAGTGATGAAATGTTGTCCTATAATGTTCCGTACTGATGCATATCTTTAGGCTCTCCATCAACTGCAGGCCAGCTTGGAGCAGCGCATTAACCTTCCTCCTTTGATAGCTTGCGGTTGTTCTGTGAGCGGTCTTCAGATAGCCAGCGTTCGCCGCCAAACAGGAAAAGTAGATTATTGAGAGCAAGCTCAGTAATGAAGATACATTTAATAAGCAACTCCTGCAAACATTTTCCGGTACCAATTAGGGAGAGGGAGTGAAATGAAATGCGGTTGGAAAATTACTGTGAGCTGTGCACTAATGAAGTGACAGAACAGAATGCAGAGGGAACCTTAGAGGAGATGAATACATGGTAACAAGGCAGGGAATGATGTGGACCTGCTGACACTGTTCCACTGCCTGCCAAATTGGATTTTGAACATGTGAATTGCCTAGACCACTTTCCCCCCTTCGCCGTCAGTCCAAGAAGAACCAAGAAAAGTGCATAGCTGTATGAAGCTGCCTTGTAGTGAATCAGACCATTGGCCCATTTAATTCTTAAGTCAGTCCCAGGCTTATTCAGTCGTTCTCCTTCCACCACCAGAGTGCACAAGGGGGAGAAGGAGGAGGAGTCAATTGGCCTTCAGCTGTCCCACCCCCAAACAAACTTGGTAAAGCCATCAGGGACCCTTTCCTACTGACTAAGCTGCTGGCTCGTTTCCTGAACTTGTTTCATGTGCACACATTCTAGGAGTCTTGTGAATTTTGATCTTGAGACCATGGTAATAGCACATCTTGGCAGATTTACCCAGTAACATGCACTCACACGGGTCTTCAAATGGGGATGTTCTCCGTTTCCTGTGACGCGAGATTGACTGTTAAAGCATTATGAGAATTATATGCTCTGTGAGGGCAACAGGGGTCTCTTAACATTCCCAGCACCCTTAACAAACTACAGCTCCCAGAATTCCTTGGGGGAAGCCATAGCTGTAGTAGTATCATAGTGCTTTAATGTGGCCTATGTGTTTATGAGCAGGACAGTAAAGGGAAAGGGCTGTAGTTCTGTGGTAGAACCCTCTACTTTCCCTCCAGAAGGTTCCAGGTTCAATCCCTGACATTTCCAGGTAGGACTGTGAGAGATTTCCCCTCTGAAACCCTGGGAAATCATTGCTAGTCACTGCCAGTAGTGAGCTAGACAGACCAGTGGGTCTGACTCTGTATAAAGCTCATTTATAACGATGGTAATTTAAAAGCAATTCCAGACAATGTATTTGTCTCATATGGTTTTAATTATATATGAACATGAATGAATCTGACACCTATTATTTAATGTGAGATTCTTGCCGGCAGAAATTAGGTAGCAAGCTGTGACTGCAAATAATAAGCCTGTAGCAAAGCAAGCTTGAAAACAAACAAGGTAAGCAACAGAGTCCTTCGGTTCCGTAAGAAAATAGATTAAACATGGGCATGGTCTCCCTGCGACCTTTTTAATCACATTTGTCAGTGATTTACGGTTTCTCCGGAGCAAGTCCCTAAATCCTGAATTCAGCCGCACCTATGAGCTCTGAAACAGCACCATCTGGTGACTTCATATAAGATTACAATGCAGTGAAACAGAAATGACCAGCAAATTTGAAGTTGTTGAGAGGATCAAATGGGATGGAGATAACCACATGCTGAACTTGGGATGGAAGTGGGATTTAAAATTAAAATAATCAATCTGGCTTTTTAAACAGTGTCTTTCTTGCCGTGCTATGTATTTTTGTGTTTTTATATTGTAAAAACCGCCCTGAGATCCTTAGATGAAGGGCGATACAGAAATTTAATATAAATAACTAGATAGATAGATAGCCTGGCCGCTCCTTAGGAGGGAGAGAATGTGGGATTTAAAAAATAATAATAAGAAGAAGAAGCAGCCTGCCCTCTCATGGAGATGGGGGAGGCGGAAAATAGGTCAGATTTCAAAATAAATAAAAAATGCTTTTGTGGAAGACACAAGATCTACCCACTCTGGAAGAATGGCAGATGAAGGTGATTGACTACATGGAACTGGTGGAAATGACTGGCAGAATCCGAGACCAGGGAGAAGAGTCGGTGAAAGAAGACTGGAAGAAATTTAAAGACTATTTACAGAAATATTGTAAAATTAAGGAATCTTAGAAGGATGTTGGATAGAAACTAAGAGTTTTTTAGCTGTAATGCTTTAAGAGATATGAAAAAAGGCTTACAATTGGGCAAAAGTTTAATGGTAAGGATTTGCTGAACTAACAAACTGAACTGGAATACAAAAAAGGGAGGTATGAGGAGGTCCGGGGAAATAAGTCTAGAGAAGATAGGTTTGGAAAATTAATGTCTTTTTAACTGTTTTATTTTGTATGTTTCTTTTTTATCCTTTACTTTTTTGTTATATTTTAAAAAAAATTACTCTTTTTTCTGTATTTTGTATTTCTTCTATTTTTTGTAACTTTAATAAATATCATTTTAAAAAAAACAAAATAAATAAAAAATAAGCCACTCACTGAGGGGGGGGAAAGTTAAGGTGTCAAATAAGATTTAAAAAAGTAAAATGGAAATTAACAGAAATGAGCTTGCCCGCTCGTGAACGGGGAAAAGTTGGGATTTCAAATAAGATAAGTAAAATAAATAGAAATAGAAATGAGCTTGACTGATTGACAGGGGGGAAGTTGGGATTTCAAATAAGATAGATAAAATTTAAAAATAAACAGAAATGAGCTTGCCCGCTCATTCGAGGGGAAGAATGCTGGGATTTCAAAGTAAACCGGGACGCCCACAGGAGGAGCCTGCAGGGGCGTGACGGACTCCTCCGGCCAGGCGGCAGCCGCCCCTCTCGCCCCGCACATGGCGGGCTCCGCGTCGCGAAGGCGGGGCCCGGAAGTGCTCCTTCGGCGCCGGAAGAAGCTGCTTCCCCGGCCGGCTGCTTCCGGTTCCGGGTGACGGGCTGAGTCACTCCGCCGCTGCCTCCCTCTCTCGCTCGCCCGCCCGCCGGCCGACCGAGCTCGTGTCCTCGCCCAGCTGCCGGGTCCAGCTGCCCCTCTCCGCTCCGCCCGCCGCCGAGATGCCTCTGGAGAACCTGGAGGAGGAGGGCCTCCCCAAGAACCCCGACCTCCGCATCGCCCAGCTGCGCTTCCTCCTCAGCCTCCAGCCCAAGCGCCCCGACCCGGCCGTGCGCCAGGAGCTCATGGCCGCCATCCGCGAGCACGGTGAGGGAGGGGAGGTCGCCTCGCCTGGGCTCTTGCTCTGAGGAGTCAGGGGTCTGTTACCCCGCCTTTTCCTTGACGGGGGCTCAAGGCGGCTCACAGATCAGGGGAAAAAAGGGCAGCTTAAAGACATGCGGGGGTGGGGGTGGGGAACAACATTTTAAAAGCCATTAAACTTTAATTGTCGTCCTGGGAATGACTGGGGTAGAAATTCCCTAAACGGTATAGGAATTTATTCATGTATATAACTACCGCGGCAAGAATGTCATTTGCCCCAAGAATGGAAAGGAAAGGAGGAGTCCCGACAAAAGGAAGATTAGATACAAAAGCTCACTGACTATGCAGAAATGGCGAGCGGAACTTACTGGGAAAATAAGAAATCGAGACAAGAAGCTTTTTAAAAAATAAAAGAATGGAAATGGTTTGTTGGATAAATTGTAAGCAGATAAGGATGTTGGCAGGATCATTGTAATAACCTGCGGTTTCACAAGAGTCAATAAATAAAGTAGATGAATGAAATAGTAAGTTGATTTAGAATTTGCAGCAAATGATAAATAAAAATTTAAGGAACCGCAGAAAAAGTAGGAAGGAAGTCAGGTTCTGAAATGTTAAAATGGCTGTAAAACTATTGAAATGTGTATAACTGAAAATCACTTGTTGTTGTCATTTATAGTATGTACATCTTCAGGGAGTGTTTCACAATCTTTAGCCATACTGGGGACTGTGAATAAAATATTCCAGTAGCATTTAGGTTCCACTATGACCTCCATTGTGTAAGAACACATCATTTTAGAGATCTTGTGTTTGGAAGATAGCAGCTCCTTTAGGAAAGGGGTGGGCACTGCTAGTAGATCTCTGGGTGATGTGCAGTACACCTGTAAGGGTTTCTGACTCCCATTTGTTGAACAATGGCAACAGCAGAATGACATGCTCTCCAATATCCTGGAAGTGCTCTGGTACTCAAAGCAAATCTTGGGATCAGTAGACTTTGATAATGTATGTCTTTAGAATCTCTCTCTCTGGTTAATTTGGGGGTTCTAGTAAAAAAATAAACAAACATAGATTCTGCAAGCCTGAAATCTCCCCACTGCTGCACTAGGTCAGGCAAATAGGCAGTTGTTGCAATTGTATGGATTTTCTTTCAAATCTGGATTCAAAATGAATAAAATTTTTGGCATGTGCCTTTACTTTACCTAGTTCTGCTGGATCTCTCAGCGGCTTTTGATACTACCGATCATGACCTTCTGGACCGTCTAGAGGAGCTGGGGGCACTGTTATACAGTGGTTCTGCTCCTTTCTCCTGGGCCGTGTCCAGAAAGTGGTGTTGGCGGATGAGTGTTCAGACCCCTGGGCTCTCACTTGTGGGGTGCCTCAGGGTTCCGTCCTCTCCCCCATGCTTTTTAATATCTATATGAAGCTTCTGGGAGAGATTGGGGGTTTGGGCTGGGTGTTCATCAGTATGCTGATGATACCCAGCTCTACCTCTCTTTCAAATCAGAACCAGTGAAGGTCCTGTGTAAGTGCCTGGAGGCCTGGAGGAGGGATGATGGCTAACAGATTGAGGTTGAATCCTGAAAAGACGGAAGTACTGTTTTGGGGGGGACAGGGGGCAGACAGGTGTGGGGGACTCTCTGGTCCTGAATGTTCCCCTGAAGGAGCAGGTACACAGCCTGGGAGTCATTTGGGACTCACAGCTGTCCGTGGAGGCGCAGGTCAATTCTGTGTCCAGGGCAGCTGTCTACCAGCTCCATCTGGTACGCAGGCTGAGACCCTACCTGCATGCAGACTGTCTCACCAGAGTGGTGCATGCTCTGGTTATCTCCCGCTTGGACTACTGCAATGCGCTCTATGTGGGGCTACCTTTGAAGGTGACCCGGAAACTGTAACTAATCCAGCATGTGGCAGCTAGATTGGTGACTAGGAGTGGCTGCCGAGACCATAAAACAGCGGTCCTGAAAGACCTACATTGGCTCCCAGTACGTTTCCGAGCACAATTCACAGTGTTGGTGCTACCTTTAAGGCCCTAAACTGCCTCGGCCCAGTATACCTGAAGGAGCATCTCCATCCCCATCATTCAGCCTGCACACCGAGGTCCAGTGCCGAGGGCCTTCTGGTGGTTCCCTCGCTGTGAGAAGGGAGGTTACAGGGAACCAGGCAGAGGGCCTTCTCAGTTGTGGCGCCCGCCCTGTGAAACGCCCTCCCATCAGATGTCAAGGAAATAACTATCCGACTTTTAAAGGACAACTGAAGGTGCCCCTGTTTAGGGAAATTTTTAATGTTTGATGTTTTTAATATTTCGTTGGAAGCCGCCCAGAGTGGCTGGAGAAACCCAGCCAGATGGGTGGGGTAGAAATAATAATAATAATAAATAATAATAATAATAATAATAATAATAATCAAGCACACGTTATGAAGACGTGGCCTAATCAGCTCAATGTGGTACTCTTGGATGGATCCAGAGATAGTGGATTGCAGGGAGCCATTTAAGATTTCAGTGTAGGAGTGTGCCGTTATTGAATGCACTCTCACTTTTAAAAAGCATACACTATGATTTTCCTGGTTTTATCCTCGCAAAAACGCCACGAGGCAGGTTGGGCTGAGAATGAGCTGGTCCAAGGTTGCATTTTTTGCCTGAGTGAGGATTTGAATTCAGGCCTCTCCAGTCTCAGACCAAACACTTCTAATCACTGCCTCATGCTGGTTTTCTGCTTATGTGAGGGGACAAAGCAATGTTAATTTCTTCTGAACTTTTTGCTGTTGTGATCTTCTAAGATATGATTTTAGCAGGGCTAATTGTTCAAATGGTTGTGTTGTCGTCCACAGACATGGCCCCGTATTACGAATCCCTCTGCAAGTCACTTGATTGGCAGGTAGATACAGATCTCTTGAATAAGATGAAGAAGGCAAATGAGGAGGAGTTGAAACGCCTTGATGAGCAGCTGGAAGATGCAGAGAAGAACTTGGGGGAAAGTGAAATCCGTGATGCCATGATGGCCAAAGCTGAATATCTCTGCCGAATCGGGGACAAGGTATTTATTTTTTTACATAAAGTAAAATGAGTGTAAAGCGCTTTCTGGGCATTTGCCTCCACACATTCTCAGAACATGGGGTGGGAGGGAGGCGTAAGTGGGCATGCGTTGGCCCTGCCATTCTCATTGACTTTTGTGCATTGAGCAGGGTGATTTGAAGAGGATCTCTTTGTGTGCTCTGTGATCAGGAACCCTGTGTGATCAGAGTTCTCAGCTGTGTGGAGGATTCTGAGCGCATTCAATTGCATGCATGGAGTTCCCCTTAATGTGAGAAGGCCTGAAGTTGTAGCCAGAGAAATATTGGGAGTGGGGTCAGTGAGCACAGCCCCACTTCTGCTTCCATTAGTTCTCAGATTGTGGTTTTGCTTCTCCCCGGAAAGCTGCATGAATATGCTGCTCATTTGTGGTAAACCATGGTTTGCCAGAAACTGTGGCTTATTGTTACATGTCAATGCACTCCTTATCTCTGTTATTTGTTAGCTGAAAGGGTCGTGCTCCTCATACATATCTGCTTTCCTTCAATCAGTGGGGGAATGTAGTGCAGAGCCTTGGGTGGTACATGGGGGCAGGGGATACCTGTTAGCAAATTACAGATCTGTTCTCCAGAGCGTCAAATCTGCGGCATCTAACTTAAGCAAATGCTGTCTTGTCAGGAAGCTGCTCTGACTGCCTTTCGGAAGACATATGACAAAACTGTGGCTCTAGGACATCGGCTGGATATTGTGTTCTATCTCCTCCGAATTGGCCTGTTTTATATGGACAATGACCTCATCACCCGGAACACTGAAAAAGCAAAAAGGTACCATTTCTGTTGTTGCTGCTGCTACCTTGATGTGCAAAGCATTCGTCTCTCGCTTAACAGTAATACAGGTTCTGAAAATGTAGTCTGGTTGCTAGGGAATGGCTTCTTTATGTAGCAGAGAGTGTATACTTTAGATGAAGTGTGGCATGAAATTCAGAATTTTCAGAAACATGATGATCCTTAAAAAGATTAGATACTATTTTCATATTTTTTTAAATGGCATGTTGGGGAAAATCGAAATACACAATACTTACCAAAGCGAAAAACATTTTAGGAACCTGAAAGGTGTTAAATATACCAGAAGAATACACTTTTATGAAAATTAAAAGTACCAGTAGCTTTTATTCAGTCAGCGCTGACAAACACAATCATCTTACATAGGATGCATAGTCAAATGCCCATATGCCCACTTATCTGGGAGTTAGCCTCATTTATCTTAGTTGGACTTGGGTTCCAAGGAACCACGCCTAGGATTGGGCTACGAGTGTCTTAGAAGGTAGTAGACAAAATTAGTTATCCTTAATTCAGAATTACCGTATTTTTTGCTCTATAGGACACACCGGACCATAGGATGCACCTTGTTTTAGAGGGGGAGAACAAGAAGAAAAAAAAATCTCCCCCTCTCTGCTCAGCGCCCCTTCAGCGAAGCCGCAGGAGAAACGGAGCCCCTTCCGTTTCTCCTCCCGCTTGGCTGAAGGGGTGCTGTGCAGCTCTCCCTCTCTGCTAAAGCCAGGAGAGTCTTGCTCTCCCGGCTTCAGCGAAAGGAACCTGAAGCCTTCGGAGCGCAGCGGGAACTCGCGCTGTGCTCCGAAGGCTTCAGGCGGCTATCCGTCTGCGCTTTGGATCGCTCCCTCTTCGCTTTGGAGGCTTCACGTTGCTATCGCTGAAGCCAAGGAGCCTGCATTCGCTCCATAGGATGCACGCACATTTCCCCTTAAATTTTGGAGGGGGAAAAGTGCATCCTATAGAGCGAAAAATACGGTACTACTTCATTTATATCCCACAGGATCATTGTCTAAAAGAGCCATAGATCAAGCCATACATCAGAGTAGTTGATGAGAGCTGCAGCTGAAAGCAACCTGCAGCACACCGCTTTGTCAAAGGTTGCAGTGTAGTCTCAAAGCAAAACCATCCCATAGCTTTTGTTTGAACTACTGTAATAAAGCTAGTTAAGTAAATTGATGAAAATGCTTGTGCATGGCTAAGGATGCTGGGGAAATAACACACATACCTGTTTTCTTTTAAAAGCCTAATAGAGGAAGGAGGAGATTGGGACCGTCGGAACCGGCTTAAGGTCTACCAGGGTCTTTACTGCGTGGCCATTCGAGACTTCAAGCAGGCAGCCGAGCTTTTCCTGGATACAGTTTCAACATTTACGTCTTATGAACTTATGGATTACAAAACCTTTGTAACATACACAGTCTATGTCAGCATGATTGCTTTAGACAGGCCTGACCTTAGAGAGAAGGTATGCCAAGCAGCTACTTCCACAGAGAACCTTCAGAGAATGCTTTGTGTTCCTTATTCCTTTCATGTCTGATTTTTGCTGGCTTTGTCTGATTTCTTTTAGGTTATCAAAGGGGCAGAGATTCTGGAGGTTTTGCACAGTTTACCCAAAGTCCGGCAATATCTTTTTTCACTCTATGAATGTCGGTATTCAGTTTTCTTCCAGTCGCTGGGTAAGGAAGTGTTTCTGCTTTTTTGCTCTGTGGGGTTTACTGGGCTGTTAAGTGGGCAGCACACAGCTTGTGGGTTACAAGTGCAGCCAGCCTACCCAGACTTGGCCCTCCCATCTCCTAGGATTAGACAAAAACAAAAAACGCGCATCCACTTCCCTGTACCCACCAAGACTTGCCCTCCCCATCTCCTAGGGTTGGCAGTCTCAAACCTTTTGGCCCATCCTCAATTAAAGGAGGGGCAAGAATTAAGCTGAGATTTCCAAGAGGTAAGTAAAGCTGATCCACAGCTGGTTCAGGATGTAACTGCTTCAGCAGGCAGAACAAATGAGAAGGAAGGTGGAATGTGTTTCATGAGCGCAGAAGTAAAATGCCCACAAATAGATTTGGTCCTCGCTACTCAACTTTAAATAGACTATGCGTCCCATATTGTCTCCTGGATGAGAGAAGCTAGGTGTATTCAATCTTTCTTAAGGGGCTGGCAGATACACAGGTCTCCCGAGATAGGCTTAATCTGCCCTCGCTAGTTTGCATCAGGCGTAGCCAGCGTGATGTCCTTCAGATGATGTTGAACTACATCTTCCATCATCCCTGCCCACTGGCTATGCTGTCTGGGGCTGATGGGAGACTGAGGCGTTCAACAATATTCAGTGGCACATGCTTCATGCTGTTTAACTACTTTCCGGGGGGAAACAAAACTTTTGTGAGACGCAGACCTCATTTTGTGTTCTTATGTTTCCCTTTCAGCCACCGTAGAGCAAGAGATGAAGAAAGATTGGCTGTTTGCGCCCCACTATCGCTATTACGTTCGGGAAATGAGAATCCATGCCTACAGCCAGCTCCTAGAATCCTATAGGTCGCTTACATTAGGTTACATGGCAGATGCTTTTGGAGTCTGTGTAGAGTTCATAGATCAGTAAGTATATCTATATCTCTCTTTATATTTTAAATGCATTTCTACAGTTTATAGTGATTCCCGTCTAGATAAGGGGATAGGTCATTTGATGGTACCTTTGTTAAAAAAAACTATGTGAGGAAGAACCATTGATTACAAGATTTACAGAGGTTGGGTAAGGCAAGAATCACAGAATTGTAGAGTTGGAAGGGACCCCGAGGGTCATAGAGTCAAACCTCCGCATATCATCTGAGCAGAGGAGCCTTGGGGGTGCTTGTGGCAGCTGCACACTGTACGGACTCCACCCTTCAGTTTTGGAACAGGAAGACTGGAAGTCTTCCTGAGGCTTTTATAACCCAACATCAACTATACGTGATATGCTGGATGGGTGTGTGAATATGGCTGTGCTGCAGCTGGTGCAGGGTGGTTTGGTGCGCCTCCTGCTGACGGAGGGAGGCAAGAGCTTGTACAGCTAATGCTCAGCAGCTACACACTTGCTTCTTCTGGGCCCAGTTGAAGATGCTGGTGCTGTATTTGAAGCCCTTTATGGGCTGGGACCACCACTCCCTGCGATTATCAAATCTGGGCCTGCTGTGCATCCTTGATGTGCTATAAAATCCTGCTAGGAAGGCTCTGTAGATTACAGGAATGCTGCTGCAGCATCTTATTTGATTATGCCATTGCATACTGCACTAGAAATGCTAGCCCATGTGTTACACAGGTGTGAGCTGCAAGAGCGGAAGCGTCCGAGTTGCACTGCAGCAGCCACTAAGCAGTCCTAGCCCCATTGTGGTTTGCTAATTGCAGTTCTTTAGTTTGATAGCTGTAAACAGAGCAGAATTATGCTGGTAGAAGCACTTTCCAACATCTTTCAAGAAGCGATTGCTTGCATCAAGCTAGCATGGCTGTAGGCCACAATGTTAGGCTTGTACCTCAGGGTAACCTTCCTTTTACCCCTGAGGCAAGGCCCCAAACTGGAGCAAAAAATGCCAGTCTTGCATCCTCCACCATGAAATTTCAGGTGCTTTGCAACAGATACAGATGGTGGTGTCCTAAGCGCGTTCTCTTTCTCTCCAGGGAATTGTCAAGATTTATCGCTGCTGGGCGACTACACTGCAAAATAGACAAAGTCAACGAAATAGTAGAAACTAACAGGTACAGTATGTTGGACACCACACCCACTAATACAAAAAAACTAGTAGTGACATCAGGCTTAACATTAAGGACTTTGCAGCCTTTTAATTGCTTCCCAACCAAACGTATTGCATACGTTTTACAGATGGAGAGGTAGTAGCTTGCCCAAAGCCAGGTGAGATAAGCTCTGCTCACCCAACTCAGAATACTCTTTCCGCTGGAACAATATCTTTATTAGAGATAGAACAGTGTGTTTCCAAACTTTCTACCTTCTGTCATCAACTCATCTGCCATGGATGCACTCTCAGCAAATGGGGTGGGGCAGTACTGGCCAGGCTTGTTGCCCAGCTGAGCTAAATATTACTGAAAACACACCCATGCTCTCCTGTACCTGTGTGTTCCAGGGAAGGATTAGTAGTGATGAACAAGCTGCCTTTCAGGAAACTTGTGCCTGCCATTACTGCTTTGCTCATAATGAGCTTCCTGTTCAGTATTTTGAGGAACTCTTTAAACCGTTTTTGGGAGCTGTTTGATAAGTCATTGCTAGAGAACCACCTGACTAAATTCTCTCTCTCTCTCTGTCTCTTTAGGCCCGACAGCAAGAACTGGCAGTATCAAGAAACCATTAAAAAAGGAGACTTGCTGCTAAACAGAGTGCAGAAGCTTTCTAGAGTAATCAATATGTAACTTTTAAAAAAGCAAAAGGGGGAGTGCGTAATTGAGACTGAAGCATTTTGGAAGTCATCGTTGTATGGTATTACTTCTGCTATCGCTGAGGAAATTGGAACCATGGTGTAGTTAAGGGGTTTTTTTTATAGGCTACTTCCATACGTTAACAAAACTGTATAAATGTTCTGTTTGTGTTTTCAGATCAATTTCATTTATTAAATGTATAATACAGATGATTGTCCTGTTCCTTGAGTGGGCTTAAAGGTAAAAGTAAAGGGACCATTAGGTCCAGTCGTGACTGACTCTGGGGTTGCGGCGCTCATCTCGCTTTACTGGCCAAGGGAGCCAGCGTACAGCTCCGGGTCATGTGGCCAGCATGACTAAGCCGCTTCTGGTGAACCAGAGCAGCACACGGAAACGCTGTTTACTTTCCCGCTGGAGTGGTACCTATTTATCTACTTGTACTTTGACGTGCTTTCAAACTGCTAGGTTGGCAGGAGCAGGGACCGAGCAACAGGAGCTCACCCCGTCGCGGGCATTCGAACTGCCGACCTTCTGATCGGCAAGTCCTAGGTTCTGTGGTTTAACCCACAGCGCCACCCGCGTCCCTTGAGTGGGCTTAATTTGGTTAATAAACTTGGTTTATTTTAAAGCAGCAGGGATCCTGCTTGAGATGCCCAGAGTGGGGCCACTCATGTTCCTGCTGCCCAATTGAGCTGAACCAGGAGCATGGTGGGAGGTTTAAAGCTCCCCCCTCGCCATTCTTGTAGCAGACAGTATACTCCTGGAGTGTGGCTGAGACTGACCAAGAACCAGGTGAGGGTTGCTCACTTGCAAGTCAAAGCTTAGTGCTAGGGTTTGTCCCAAAAGACTGAGTTACTGGTGGCCTGTTCCCTGTGGGAGAGCATATATTAAGTTAATTGACATTCCCCCTCCCCTCTTTTGACCTAATGTTCAAAACCAATAAATCTATCCAACACAGCTGGCCAGCTCCCCACACACAGGTAAATGTGCTGCTTAGATAAATTGCTGCCATGCAAAATTATGTGATGCTAAGCTTCTGTGTGAGATTTTAGTGTCTGCTTGGATAGGGAGAGTTGGGTTGGGGGCTGCAGCAGCAACCTATTGAGAGATGAAATGGGATCATAAATACTGGATTGCTCAAGCAGGGGAACAGAAAGCAATTAGAGCATCATTAGGCCACTGAAGATAAGAGACAATATTGAAAAGCAGGCTTCTAGAAGGTACATTAAGTGTGGAGAAACTACTCAGTTAAACAGTACATCTAGCATGAGGCATCCAAGGAATGTCTCAAGGCAAATCTAAAAAAAATGTAGTATAAACACTGACAACTGGGAAACACTGGCCTGCGAGCGCTCCAGTTGGAGAAGAGCCTTTATCAAAGGTGTCATGGGCTTTGAAGACACCGGAAGCAAGGGAGAAACGTGCTAGGAGGAAGGCACGCTTGGCAAATCCACACCGTGATCAACTCCCGCCCAGAAACCAATGTCCCCACTGTGGAAGGACGTGTCGATCCAGAATTGGACTCCACGGTCACTTACGGACCCATTGTTAAAACCGTGTTTAGAGAAGACAATCTTACTCGGCTACGAGTGATCGTCAAAGAAGATCACTGCCAGTTTTTTTATGCTGTGAGTAGATCGCAGTCTCTTGCAAGTTGGATGTGCCTAGTATAAAACAATTGCCAGTGGGAGAAGGGATCTCTTTTACTTGATGGAAAACCAGAAAATGTGTTGATGCTCCCAATTGCTCTTGACTGCCTCTAAAACGTGAGATGGCAGAAATGAATTGGGCAACCACTTCCCTTGATGGACTTTGAGGGGAGGCAGTGTCAGTGAGATAATCTCTCTTTCTGCATAGGCCATAATCTGGTTTAGTGAACCCAGCGAGAGGGGCGGTAGCATTCACTCACCTTATGCCACGGCCCTGGGTATTCCAAATACTTGTTTACCCCACTGTTTCAGCACTGATTGATGTAGGAACAGAAACTGGACACACTCAAAGTAAGGGAGACTGGAGAGACTCATAATCTGAACTTGCAGTGTAGGCAAATCACTGTCCATATCAAAGCTGTGTCCCTTTCTTCCTGTTCTTTAAAAAGTTTGCCTCAAAAACAGTAGCAAATGAACACTAAGCCAGCTTTGCTGCCATCCACCTGACATACATGGGTTGGGGTTCTTGGTTTCCTTCCACTACGACTAATTTTTGCCGGTCTTCGTAATGAAGCAGAAACATAATTGTGCATCTCATAAAGACAACCTAATCAATTTTATTGCCTTGTTTCAGTAACATCTTGTTTATACAACAAGCTAATTTCCTGGTCATGAAGCAAAAGCACAACTTTTTTCTTATAAATAGTATAAATTATTTTATTTACAGAAACTTGTTACAAAACAAATAGACTATATATTTATTTTCTTCTTTTAAATATCCAAAGTAATTTTTTTTCTACCCCATGACATTTGTTCATGTACTATACAGCAGCCAACACAAAAAAGTTCAGCTCTGAGCAGATGCTCTTGAATATGTATACAAATTATCAAACTATTCACACATTTTACACAGGAGATTGCTTTTTCCCCCTTTCTATGGAGCCGGGCTCAACTCCAAAAGCAAGAAGCTTCCGCAGCCTACATTCTTATTGACATTATGTAGTGCTCATTAAAAAATAACAATAATCACCTTTCATAAAAAGTAGGATATTTTGCACAAAAGCATTTAAAATAAACGACCTTCTGCTTAAGGAAAGCAGAACAATCTTTTCAAGCCCAATCCCCTTCACCGTACAATTCCCCCCTTCCCAAAAAGACAAAACAGAAACAAACATCCTTGGCAATAACAACTCTTGCCGGAAGACGACTTACCGGAAGATGATAGGTCGAAACCACACTATGTGAACCGCTCTCATTCAAACCTCACTGGAACGAAGAGGGAGTTACGCACTTGCTAAATCCCATTCATTTCAGTGAGGCTTGTGCAGAGGATAGCCTGGCGGCGGCTTGTGTTGGTAGTTTGTAAAATTGCTTTGAGAGGTAACTTTTTTCCCAATAATACAAAATAATGTCAACATTCTGTTGTTGTTTTGTTTCGTTTTTAAGTTCTAGCTTGATAGCAACAGAAGAAAACATTCAGATTTACTTGTTGAAAAGTATCTCCAGAACCCTTGGCATTATTTATGAACTAGGGACTCGCTTCAATCGGATCTTTTGATTTTGTTTTATCCCGCCCCTTCCGCCATCCTCTCTCCCGCGTTAATATGTAGTCATATGTAGGTGGGGAAAGCAAGCTCCAATTCTTTTTTCCAACAGAACATTCAAGTCTTTAAAGGAGAAGCTGTCTAAAAAACAGTCCAAGCTTAAAATCTAGATATATAAATCAGGCACTTTCAGTTTTTCCATTAGTTTTTTAAACCACGTAAAGACTCACATACATGTGCACACATACACAAATGCTAAAAGAAAAAGAAAAAAAAGAATTAGAAGCTGTGTGTCATAACTAAAAGGTAGTCTTCTGGGACTCAGGTAACTGTAAGAAATGTTGTGTATACCAGAGCAGGCTAACCATATGCATCTAAATGCCACACAGCCTTCCTGCTTAGAGAAGTGGCGCCTGCGGGCATCAGACTGCAATGCCAGAGCCTTCGTTTGTATCCAGCAATTCCCAAGACACTAAAAGAAAGAGACAAAACTCTTCCCCCTCCCCCCTCCCCAAACAAGAGACATCCCTTAAAAACTGCAAAGTAGGCATGTTATCTATTGGATTGGCAGTGAACCACTTCAAATTATAAAAAAAGTATTTGCTTTTCTCTTTTTAATTAATAAATACTAGATGATTTTCAATTGTACCAAAACTGGATATAAGAAAAAAAGACCTGTGCAAAAATACATATTTAAATATGTACAATCAATTAACAAAATATGTCTTCTGAAATAGGGATACTTCAATATTTATAATAGAACAAGAAATTCCAAAATAAAGATACAAAAGTATGGGTTTCATTATTTTCGTATAATTCTTTGTTCATCATTGCAACATTTTTTAATTTTTTTATTTATTTTAGGTTAAGAAAACTGCAGGAGTCATAATGAGAAGCTGGAAAGACTATAAAAATTGTATCTCTTAAATTAATACCAAAATCTTTCTAAGAAACAACCCAGCCACTGCAAATCTTGCAAGATAAATTAAATCTGAAATTTCCTTAATTATTTACAATAAGAATGTTGTCAGACAATAAAAGCTTCAAATACAATCATTCCATTTATTACTAAGCCCCCAAAATGGAATATTGTTTGTATAATATTTAAGCAAGTCTACACTTTGAGGGCAGGCATAAATTAAGACGTCCTCTGGTTCTATTCATGGCAAGTTTTAAAATTATAAGCCATAACAGACAGATACAGGCCACAATTCCATCCTGGAATGTCACTTACATAAGCCCCACTGAATGCATCAGGCGGGCTTTGCGCAAGAGCATGGCTGTGTTTGTGTGGAGCTCCCGTTTCAACATGGCTTGCAATGGAGACATTCACAGTGGGAATTGGGCCCAGAGCTGCAACTCATATAAATTAAACACAGTGGTTAACTGCTGAACTTTTTACAAAGATCTGCATGTCTTTTAAGGAGCCTAAGACTTGCTTTGATGCTTTCAGAGCAACATAATATTTATAAAACAGACATTTTTGAGTACTTAAAGCCACTAAAGGTTTAACTTATGAAAAATTTGTCAGCCTTCGAAGGTAAATCTATCAAAACCAAATTGCACTTGTGATCAAAAATATCCAACACATGGGAAGGAGTCAGTATCGATTTTCTCTCCGCGGAGCAGATACATTACTTTGGTCGTCTCCTCCCATGCCCCAAGTAAGCCAATTAAGAGGTTTTAACATTTTATAGCATCCTCTCGAAACTGAAGGGTTGTTCAAGCCCTCCCTCTTTTTAAATATTTGCATAATCATCACCATCCAAAATATTATTCCTTTACTTAAAAAACAAACACATGATCTTTTGTGAATTCAAGGCTTTAGAGTTGTCTGCATAGAGTCTTGTTGCTTCACTGTGTTTTAATAATCGTAGCAAATTGGAAAACCTCAACAGGTTTAAAAAACAAAACCCAAGCAGCTGCTGCTTGTGGTGGTTTTAGAATCCCTGATGTGCAATGCACCACCATGGTCGGGAGAGAGGCTGGGCTGTGTGAATTAGATAGGCTCAGATTGTCTAATCTCAGCAAGATCTGGTGCCCCTTTAAGGCAGAAGTCTACAGGCACACATTCCACGGAGAGCTTCTCCTGCACAAGCCCTGTTGAGGATAGATTCAGACAATCAGCTTTCTTCCTCAATGAGTACTGCTAACCATTTGGCCACGCATTTTACCAAGGATAGGAGTGGAACAGAGCTAGGTGATCTGATGGGGTAGCCAAGGTGCAATGGGTTCTGCACCTATCACTTTGAGAAGTGGTGAAAATACAGCATGCTGAGAACTGTGGCTTCAGCAGAGTCTGCAATTAATTGGCACCCTCAGACAATCTAGCCTCACTTGATTATTGCAAGAGCAAATTCTCATTGGGGAGGCTGTCTGAATCCACAATCCAAAACACACCCCATTGAAATGGATAGAAATTTTACTTTCTACGGACTTGCTGAAGGAAAGCTCTGCCTGTGTTATGACCTATGGTTTGGGGTTTATTTTTTATTGTTTTCCTTTCACGTGATAAAATGTGTAGAAATTCCAGGTTGTAGTTCGAGATTCACTAGTGTCACAAACATCCAGATCAAATGATAATATTAAAGCCCTTCTGAGGATATTACTTTAAAACAGAACACTTTTGACTCATGGGAACGAGGGGAATGACCACTTGGGATTGGATGGCGTTTAAAACACTCCCCCTTTGCTCACAAGATGGCTGTACAAGGGGTGCATTTAACACTGAGCTCAGAATTTGAACTGGCACTTAATGCAGTCATCCAAAAAATCTGAATGTGGACTTTATTGAACGGAATGCTAATTTGGTTATGTGAACAAGGCATCAACTTACTGGAAAAAAATCTTTCAAGAAAAATAGCATTGAGATTTCATTGTTTTAAAGGTTTGCGTTTTAGTTTTATAAGGACTATTTTGTGTTGTTTTTTAAAAGGTTGGATGGTACAACCAACTTAGATTGGCATTTTCAGTTTCCCCTACCCACCTACCCAAAACAACAAAGGCTTATGGCATACAGTATAGGTCAAGAAATATATTCTTTGGGAATAGTTTTAGAGGTCATTCACCATTTTGGATTTGAGAGTTTTGCATCTGGGTTTGGGGGGGATATATATATATATATTTTTAAAAGATCAAAGCAATTTTATTCAAAATCAAGCAGGCACAGCCCTCCTTCATACAATGTCGCTGTGCAACCTTATTTCATTTCAGTGGCAGTTGTACAGGACCCGACGAACGCTCCACTGGAATGAATGAAGAATACTGAGCAGCTGTGCTTGGTAGATGATGCTCATAAAATTGTTCTGTACCATGTGATTTCACTATTTAAATATGCTTCTTCTTTTTTAAATTTTTTCAGTGATGGCCATGAACATTTTTGTGTTTGTTTTTTAGAACTCCTGACAGCTTCTTATCCCAAATTACTTGCAAAAGGCTGGGCAAAATGTAGACCGTTTTTGTTTTCTAAGTTGTGCTCTTTTTGCATTCCAATCAAGGAACATTGCTATAAAACACTAAAGCCGTATTCCCTTGTTGAGGGCTTCTTCTTCTTCTTCTGTTTATTGTGCCTAACACATTGTGCCCCCTCCTTCGTGAGGGGTTTTCACTGGACAGTGCCAAAGGGGCAGTTAATTATGCCTATGACACTATCAGAAGAAAAGGAAAAAAAACAAGTCCACAGTAATGTTCTTTCCCAAACATTGCTTTGCCCAACCAACCTAGATCATATAGTGGCAAGGTGATGTACTCCTGTAAGTGAAATCTCACAGGGCTTTTGTAGCAAGCTGTCCAGACCACTGGTAACACTGAGAGAAAACATCCTGTGGCTGAACGGCAATCCAGAGTCCATTTCCAAGCTTCGCTGCTACAGACATGGCTTCAGGGAAACTCCTTGATTGTGTGACAGTCCAGTAGATTTCCACACCTGAGGACTGTGGGAAGCTGGGAGAACTCAAAAGGCATCTTGGAGTCCAGGATTTCCAGATGGAGATTTATTCATTTTTCCCCGCTTGTAGTGAAAATAATCCAGTTCTTTTCTTACCATGGCATTGTCTGTGTCAACTGTTAGGGACGAGCCTTTGGCTTTCGCACAAACGAAAAGAGGAAAAACAGATAAATAAATATTAAATATTTTAAGTGATAAAGCTATGTCCAATTATATCATCTGGGATCCCCAAAATATGCTTTGGCAAAATTCAGTGGCACAGGTTAGCAACCAAACATCTACTTTCTTGGGGTGGGGAAAAACTATATGCATTTTATTGCTATATCATGTTAGGCATATTTCTGTATAGGGTTCTTTGTCACAGCAACAGCAAAAACCTACTTGACCCCTCCCTTTCTTATGCGTCAAAGGAAAACCTTTTTTTTCTTTTTTACACAGTATATGGGCAAAGTTCAATTACTTGTCATCAAGGTTGAAAATTATGAAGTGGCTTCTAAAATTTCAGTAAGGTTGCTGATTAAAAAAACATGAATTTCTGTTTTACTGCCCAGTCCCATATCCTCCCTTTAGTTCACTGTGGTATAATATTGTCAATTCCAATCAGCAACTTGTTCATTTGCAACAAGGCACCTGCCCCGGGTTGCTGAGATGACCAGTAATTATCAAATAAATAACTATGGAACCCATTATGCCCTGTTAAAATAATAAAAATATCAATGCTGCTTTTCTTAGTGGGTGCAGCAGATTAAAAAACAAAACAAAACTATTAGTTGATCCACTCATGGTATTTAAGCTATAAGCTGGCAATCTGGCGAAAGGCAAACAGACTTGAATCCCACTGGCACAAAGCTATCTGTTTGAGTTGTTTTCAATGGCACAAACTAAGCTCTTCCAACTTGCAAGCAGCCCCATGGGGTATCCATTTCTGGCTATGTGAAGGAATGGACTGGATGAGAGCCAACAAACAGAAGCTCAAGCCAGAGAAGACTGAGGCACTGTCAGTGGGTGGTTCCCTAGACTGGATGGGTGGGAGGTCGCCTGCTCTTGATGGCGTTATATTCCCTCGGTAAAGGAGTGGGCACACAGCTTGGGAATACTTCAAGATCCTTTGCTGTTGCTTCAGACTCAGGTGGCCTCAGTGGTGTGGAGGGCCTTTCCTCAGCTTCGGCTGGTGGCCCTAGTCTAACTTCCATTGTCTCTGCTCTGATAACAGTTAGGTTAGATTACTGCAACGCATTATACATACGGCTGCCTCTGCTAGGGCAGAATTCAGTGGCCAGGGCAAAATGGTTTGAGCATATTACATCAATCCTGGCCCGACTGCACTGACTGGCTGCCAATTAGTTTCCAGGACCAATTCAAAGTGCTGGTTCTGACTTATAAAGCCTTAAATGGCCAAAGAATGCAATACATCAAGGACCACCTCTCCCTGTATGAACTGATCTGGACCCTGCAATCATCTGTTGCCTTTCTTTGTGTGCCTCTTCCATGAGAGGTCTGGAGGGCAGCAACACAAAAATGGCCCTTTTCTGTGGTGGTTCCCTGCTTGTGGAATGCTCTCCTCAGAGAGGCTTGCCTGGTGCCTTTATTACAATATCTTTAGGCTCCAGGCAAAAACTTTCCTCTATAACCAGATCTTTGGCTATTCTATGGCCTTTTAAATGTGTTTATGGAAGCAGGGTTCATTGGTTTGTTTTTGCTTTTGCTTTATTATGTATTTTGAGTTCTCATTTTGTATTTTTATTTTCTGTACTGCTCTGGGATCTTTGGATGAAATGTGATATACAAATTTAATAAGTAATAATAATAATAATATCCTCAAACATGAAGGAGTCTCTGGTTTCCCATAGCTGAAAACAGGAAAGCCCTTCAGGATATATAGGTGAGTCCAGTTGGATTGTGCTATTTCCCCCAACAAGGAATCTGTGCCATGTCTTAAAAATTCAACAAGTCCCAAAAGATGAAAGGGATTATGCTTCTAACAAGCAACAGCATCCATGGGGAGTTAATAATAATAATAAACCATTTTGCAAAGCGAAGCATACACACACCCAAGATATCCAGCGCCAACATCTCTGACAAGAAAAAAATCACCTCCAATAGGCAAGTAACTGTCCGGAATGGGAATTTGTCAAAGTAACTTGTCTGGATATCACTATGGCCCAAGTAAGATTTCATACCTGATGAAGGATAGAATTGTTCATCAGTCCTTGTGTCCCTGGGATTGCACCAGCGTGTTTCGTGTGAATGTTGTTCACTGGCGGCAATTTGGCAACCTTGTTTGCTTTGCTGCTGCTGTTTATGCTGCTTGAACCAGGCGAGCACTTTCTTTTCTTTCCTATGAATTTGTCTAGGGAAGGATGTGAATGTGAAAACCCGCTGTGCGAGTTGACCGTCAGCTCGCTGGACTGGTGAATGAACGGCCCCAACGACAGGGTGGAATCGCCACTGTTCACCATCACACTCATTCTTTTTATAGATTCTGCAGGGCTCCCAGTCGGAGGGCCCCTCCCTGATTGGTCATGTTTGAGGCTAACCGAGTTAGCTTTACCAGTCATACAGTTGAGGCTGTGGGACGAAGACATCCCAGGCGAGTGATAAGAAGCCCCAGAGTTTCCAGAGTTCACCACACAGTTCTTCCTATAGGACTCTGTGGAATGAGAAGAAGGTGCTGGCAGCGCAGAACTGTTCTTACGCTTCTTTCCTGAGCTGCCACCGCTGCTGTTGCTACTGGTACTGTTGCAGTTGGCGCTGCTAGCAGAAGATTCCTTAGGCTTGAAAGACTTGCTGGATTTCAATTTCTGAGGTTTGCTGGACAGAGGCGACGGTACCGAGGAAAGCACTGGAGGCGTGGAAGGGGATGTAGACACTTGTCTTGATTGCATACTGCAGGCAGGTTCTGCTGCACCAAAACTTGCAGGGTTGGCATTGAGCGTAGTCCCGTGGGATGGTACCGATTTCCCACTGAGGGATAAACAGGAAGGAGACACGTGTGCTGGCGAGGGCATAGCTGTGGCGGGCAAGAGGAAACCTGTTGTGCTGGAGCCGTACTGCGACACAGGCGTCGAGCTTGTCCGGTGTGGAGCGCGCAAGGATGTAGTGTTGCTTGTCGCTGGAGGAATTTTCCTAGGCAGCAGGGAAAAGCAGGTCGTTAATGCTCCGTGGGTTAATTCTATTTTGCCCACTTGAAATAAAAAAAATCTGCTACCTTAACAGAAAGAAGACTGAAAAGGTACAGTGGGCACAGAGTCAAAGGCCCTACACAAATGGCCATCAGAATTAGATACCTTGTCCACCTAGCTTCACCAAGGCATTCTTGCTGGCAACCTAACAGATTTTGAAGAAAGCAATGTCCAAATCTCTCCTAAGAACCTGGTAATAGCTCTGTTGGACCAAGCCAATGGCACCTCTAGTCCAGCACTCTGTTCTCACAGTGGCTAACCAGAGGCCCATGGAAAACCTGCAGGAAGGCCTGAGCACAACACTATTCTTCTCTCCTGCGGTTTCCAGCAACTGGTATTCAGAAGTTGTCAAGGAAATCTGGTTTTTCTGCTCTCTTCTGTCCAAAAAGGTTCTCTCGCTCAGACCTCTGGGTTGGCTGCCTGAAACTGGCAAATGATCTCACAATGTATACAAGTGTTACCTCTCTTGTGCTGGGTACTCAAGGCTACGCTGGTAGTTCATTAATTGGGAAGGATGCCTCAGTTGAGGAAATGGATCATTTCCATTAATTTAGAAACACCTAAGACAATGTGTTCATGCTTAATGTTAACACTCATTAACTGCAAAAGAAAACACATTTTCCTCCTTCACCCCGTGCATGCAAAACATCCCACTTCACAATGAGATATATGACAGCCTGTTCTGTTTCTACTCACTTCCACATCTGTGAGTTAAGATGCTTGTCCACCATGACATTAAGTGCACATCGAATATGGTTCCACCGCTTATCAAACACGTAGTAACCTCTTCCAATTTGTCGACTACCAAATGTGCAAAACTGGGGGAGAGGGATAGTTACTTTAGTAAATTTCTCAACCAGATGTTGCATATTAGCAAATATAAAATAAAGCAAGGACAAATAAAACAGTTGCAATAAAACAACATACAGAAAGAATTACAAGCATTCATGATTATCTGTGGCTCTCTTACAACTCAGAATTTCCATCTGAAGGAATCCAACAAATATACTATATATCTTATAGAGCAGCCAATCCTGCCCAAAGATCTTATTTCTCTGTGGAATACTGATGCTAAAAGCAGCCTTTCAGCTTCTCTGTCACCAGGCTAGCTTCTTGTGTCTCACAATAATTTAATGCCTACCACAGCAATTGCAACCAACCCGTGTGATTCAGTATTCAGCAGTATTCTGTATCCAGACCCACAGCTACATCTGAATGCTCCTTCCTCTAGAGAACATGAAGTATTGCTGCTTATACACACACATTTAAAACACCAAGCAAGAGAAATACAAGGAAAATATAAATTGGGAAACGTACAGCAGCTGGTTGAGGATGATGATCTGAATAAAGACAATCCAGTTTTTCAACAGGCTCTTCTTTTTCATCACATTCTCCCTCATCGCTGGATAACCGAGATGCTGGCTCAGCTGCAGGTAAGGGAGCATGTGGAGATTCATGGACTGATGGAGATTCATTTGGGGCATTCCCACTTTGTTGGGCTGGGCAGCCGGGAGGCCTTCATAAAAGAGGAATCACAGTTAAATACCAACAAATGTTTTATAACTTGGGTTAAAAATGTATTAATGCATTTTTATAGAACAAAGGTCTTAGATTTAGAGCACAGGACATATTCCTATATTATATATGCAAAATGGCACAATGAATTGGCAGACCAATCCCACAACAGTGTCAAAAGTAAGCAATAAGCACTTCACTAGAGGTTGATGACAAGCAGCCTAAGAAGAACAGGAAACAGAGGGAGATCCATATGTTCTCTCTCTCTTTTCTAACCTTTCTGGTGGTCAAAGGCTTCAAGCACTCTGATGAACTGAGAGTTGGTGTAAATTCAGCCTCCCCCAACCTGGTACCCTTAGATGTTATGGACAACAATTATAGTACCAGGACCAGACAGCATGGATAGTGGCCAGAGATGATGGGGGCAGTAATCCAACAATATCTGGAGGGCAGCAGGCTGGGAAAGGCTGGTGTAGTGGTTTGAGCGGTAGACAAGGACTGAGGAGACCCAAGTTCCCATTTGCGCTTAATCACAAAGCTCACTGGATGCCCATGGACCAGTCACTCAGTCTCGTACATTTGACAGGGTTGTTGTGAGGACAACATGGGGGTGGGCAGCAATATATACATATATTGCCTTGAGCCCCTCTGAATAGAAACAAACACCATCTATCTCACATATCCAAGCTGTTACAATTTGTATTTTAACATGAAATTACAACACATATGCACATGCATGAAGAGTAATAGTTTCTTACAAAAATAATAATAATCACACAACATTGGACCATTGTAGATCCCTGAAAATCTGTTCTAGAGAGTTGGGGAACCCTACAAAACCACACAGAATTGAGAGTGTGGGGGGCTGCAGGGGAAAATCTCTGTCTTACATTAATGCAGCCCTCTGCTGAATCAAAGCTTGCACAGCTCTTCCGACACAGAAAGTACAGGGGGTTCATATGCCGAAAATACAGCTGAAAACAACTATGTGAACCAACCCTAAACTGGGCTTTGGTAACTACAACGCCTTCTGCCTTAGAGTGCTTGCTTAATAGTCGTTTTTAGAAATTAAAGCTTACCTTACATAGATTGCCTGGAAAAACCTTCTGCTCACACAATGTGTTGATAGGATTTTTATTTTTAACCAAAGGCAGACTAATTGCAGAAATGTTTCTCGGCTTTAGAGAGAGGCATATGGTGACTCCTGGCCTCCAATTCAGAAGAATGGAGACCTTGACCAAACTTTTTCAACTATTTGGCATTTACAGCCTTCAGCCCCTGCTCTATTAATGTTCTCATGCTTCTTGAGTGTGGAACAGGTCACAATGATCTGGGCTTACCTGAAAATATCTAGGTGGTCTGATCATTTACCTTCATTAACTTGTTACCATGCTAAGCTTAATAAGCAGAGCTAATTCAGATCAATCCAAAGCTTGTGAGAGCATGCTGCATTGCCTATAGTGGTGTCATAGGAATTCTAATGTGAGACTGTAGTATGGGTCAGTGCAGACACTTAAAATCTTAAAATGGGAGAGCTGGTGCTACCTGGAGTGGCACAAATGGAGCAGATGGACCAGACAAGCAAGTATTCACCAGACCTAATGCAGAAAGTCACAATTCCTCAAGTTCCCTCACCAAAAGTCACTGGGTGATTTTCTTTACCTTGGAAGACTGGGGGTGTGAGGTTTGGGTTTAGTAGGTACTAAAGGCTTTGATTCTGTAGGAATAACTCCATGAGAATTTTGGTGCAGCTCCTGGGAAGTTCTTGAAGGTGAGGGATGTGGTTCCCTGAGAGGGGGCATCTGCTGATGATGATCCAAATGGCGGAGTAATTCTTTTTCCCTGGTTTTGCTTTTGTGCTCAGCTAGTAATAAATCAAATCGTTTCCTTCGACCCTGTACAGCTCTCCGTTGAGTTAGGGAATGTGTCTGGAAATTAAAAGGCAACCAATTACTCCAGGTTGAAGAGGTATATCTGTGCAATATATAGAAAACCAAGCCTTGTATTGTTATGTCTGGCATTTTACTAGTGCAGATTTATCCTGTTTGCTTTTAGGAAAACAGAGCACAATACATATGGGGAGGTGGGTAGAGTGGTCATTTATGAAGCATTTTTGGATCAGGAACAGTGGAATGGGGAGAACTGGTACTGGTGGGGAGACCTGGCCAAGAAGGAACTCCAATCTAATCCACAAAAATGGATAGAAGGAAGAATACCAGGAATACAGAGAGGAAAATGGAAAAGAGCCTATTATATGCATCATATGTCTGGCTGCATAAATATATGAACTGGCATGAAGTGACACAGGCCAAACTTTCAAACAAGACCTGCAAATGCCATGTGCCATACTTGCATCTGGCATTAAGAAGATATTAAAAGTGAGCATTAAACCCATTAAAACATCATAATCATGGAGTTTCCTAGCTCATGGTAAATTAAATTCAGTACATATGGTCCTAACCATAGGTACTACAGGAATTAACACTGGATTGTGTATCCAAGTTCTACAGTGTTTGTGATATAATATAATAGTGTTTCTTGAATTTCATTAATACCCACTTAAACATAGAAATGCCATTTTGTTAAATTACATTAGCTGGTGCTCCCTCTGCTGGAAATATAGGTGTTGTGCACAGCAGTTAAAGGGTTTTGTGTACAAGCCATTCTTCAACATGTTATAGCTATAAATACCCTACCCTACATTTTTAGTGCCAGTTCAAACCCAGCCAGAGATTCACAGTTGCACATCATCTTTGGTAATAAGGACAGCAAAGAGGTTTGCAGTATTGCCCTAGTAAGGGAGCTGAGGTGACACTGTGAATGCAATTCAGAGCATATCTGATCTGTATTTTTATACTGCATTTGCTTATTTTCTTTAATCATTTCATTTGCATTATTTTAGGATAGTAATTCCAGTATCTAAATTTTCCCATCAGAATTTCCTGTGGCCTTGCCTTGTTTCCCCATGTCAAAAGATGAAGTCGTATTTAAGCAGAACTCCCTATTTTGCCAAAACCTATTTGAGTATCTCCCAAATTTTTTAAAAAGTGGGTGGGAGGGAGGAACTGGAACCATTTAGCTGCATTGTCTGAAAACACATAAATGAAGATTTAAATTAAACTAGATTTTCTTCCTATTACAGTCTAGCTCTAACCTTCTTACTAGCTTCCATAACAGAGTTTTCTAAGTTGTTTTCAGGAAGTTGTCTGAATCACCTAAATCATACTTTGACTTTTCCGTCCTGACGTTCAGAAAACTTAGTTCATTAAGAAGGCATCTTACCTTGCATGTCAAAGACCTAGTACAGGGTTTCTTCGTTTCTATGTCAATGACGCCACAGTAGATATCAGGATCAAATTCTCTCTCTGTTAAATACAAATAATAATACAAATAATAACAATGCAAACAACAACAACAGCAATTTGTGCTTCATTCAGAAATCGAATTTGTTTATTTCAATGCAGAACTAACCCCAGAGTTGCTTTTGAGTTTAAGATGTGAAACCAAGTAAAGGTATTGCCACACTTGTATTTTTCTTTACACCTACACCCCTCTTCTTTATAGAATCCGTGAAAAAGAAACCACACAGACTCAAAGAGCATGCTTTGTAAAGAAATATAAATTAAAGTAAAACTAGAAAAATGAATCATACTGTCATATTCTAACGGTTCAGTGTTACTGACATATACCATACACTTTAAGTCAAGTGGAAGCCACATCTCTCTTACATTTATATAGAAATCTATATATGATGCTATAGGTAAGAAAACGGGAGGAAAACCTTCTTAAATTCATATATTAAGATTTCAAAAACACACAAACTGAAGAGATTAAGGAGCAGGTGCGCTTATTTTTTTATTTAAAAAATAACAGTGTTCTTTTTTAACCGTACATGCTTCCATAACTGGCAAAATTCCGTAACTGTGGGTCCATAAATGGTCACAGCAGCTAAGACCCAAGAGATCTACATGTGCAACCCCCCATCCCGTAAGTGCTTTTCTTCCAATCCCCTGTCCAAGAGTCAACACACTGTTCATGGCTTGCCTCATTTGCTATCAAAGCTTCCAAGTTGAAAACTATATAGCTGTGTGGACTGTGTCGGTTCTTGGCCTTTATCTAGGGCTATTTCTTGCACCAGGGAAATGATTTCATACCACTTAATTCACCTAGGAGGATTAAAAAATATATATTATACTTCAAATGAGGGACACTTTAAAGGAAATAGTGAATGCTTTCACTATTAATCAGCACTTGCGTATTTCGTTTTGTGCATTTCTAGCTCATGCCACATTATGATGATTTAAGGCACATTTAATAATGTTGGCTAGGATCCAAGGAAGGCTGGGCGTGCATATGTGGCTGATTTTTCTGATCAGCAGGATCTCAAATAGTGCTGCACCAGAAGGTCCAAGAAGGGATGGAGGAACACCAGAAAAAGGGAAGTAATACCTGTGCAAGTACACCGCACACGGTGCTATGGAACCAACCAAGAGTTAGCATTTAGATCAGGCATAGGCAAACTCAGCCCTCCAGATGTTTTGGGACTACAACTCCCATCATCCCTAGCTAACAGGACCTGTGGTCAGGGATGATGGGAGCTGTAGTCCCAAAACATCTGGAGGGCCGAGTTTGCCTATGCCTGATTTAGACAGCATTCAAGATTTATTATCATACAACAGCTCTGCTCTCCTCAGATGTCACACTAAACTTTGGTACAGCGATATGTGAAAGAGCCCAAACCTTGCATGTTTCATGTCCCCTCCCAGACCCAGAACTTTGGTTAACCAGTTTCGCAAATCATTGGCTTGTTAGAAATTAACCACAGTACATCTGAAGCCGGAAGACAATGCTTCTGAACCCTTGCCAGTTGCTCTTTTATTTTTATTGTTAGCAAGCGAGGGGGGGAAAATGCCGTATAATAATTACCTGACAATCTTTTGTGTAAAAATTTCCTATTATTTGTACTCTCGTCTTGCTTCTTTTCCGAGTATGGAGGCACAGAGAGAAGACCTTTACCATTCAGTATCTGTCCAGGGGAAGGCAAGGGTGGCTTTGGTATTGAGGGATTAAGGCCAGTCTTTATTGAGGAGCTCACAGTAGTAGAACAGGTTGGACCAACAGCAGGTTTCAATAGTGCACCATCTATCTTTGGATGTATTTTTTCCACTTTGACAGATGGAGTCATGCTGCAAGGAGGAAATAGGTAATTTATTATAAAATATGTAGACTGCTTTTCATCAAAGCAGTTTCCAGCACAAAGTAAAATACAGCTGAAACAGAAATTAGGAGCAGTGATACATAAAACAAACAACCCTAAACTCCAGAGCAGATCAGCCAGGTCCTCTAAAAGCCTGGGAGAACAGATGCATCTCCATTAGATATGTAGCCATCCATAGGCCTCTAAGGGGAAGGGAAATCCACAGTTGGGGTGTAATTACTGAGAAGGCCATATAGCACAACCTCACACATTCTCTGATAATCAGTGCCCTCCACCAATCTGATAGCACAGGCTGGCTGATATGGGAAAAGGTGGTTCCAAACCACATTGGTAGCCAGTGTAGATCCTACAAAACAGATGCTATATGATGTGTAGGGCAAGCAAAATTGTGGCCAAGGTGTTTCAACCGAGGAATGGCTACAGCTGCTGAACCGGCCATAGCTGGCAATAGGCACTCCTAGCCAACAAAACTACCCGAGCTCCCAACGACAACAATGGATCTAGCAGCACCATGTACCTGCTGCTTCAGAGACAATGCAAACTCCACCCAGAACATGCCAAATACACAGTTCCCAAACATTAGAACCATCCACCAACAGCACCTCTCCTCTAGTGAGAATCCACCTTCCATTTACTAGCCCTCATCCAGTCCATTACTACCTCCAGGCACCAGTTCAGCAGAGACATAGCTACATCTGATTCAGATGGTATGAAGGAAAGAGCTGGGTGCCATCAGCATACTGATACCACCATGCCTTAACCCTCAATGAGTGCATCCAGCAGCTTCATACAAATGGGAAACAGCACTAGGAACAGAATGAAAAAACTGTACTGTGCTTTTTGATGACTAAAAAACTGTGGAATAAGTTAGAGCCTGCATACTGATTATGTGGGTTTTTGAATTTTATGGCCTTTAAAAAAAACCAAAAACTTTTAAATCAATTTTTTAAAGAGAAAATATAAGAAACAAACATATTTTGCATTTTTTGCTGTTGACCCCAATGATTTATGTGTGTCACTATTCCGTTTTACCAGAAAAGTGAACATCTAAATAAAGGTTCCCTGCCCCTTTTTAATTTGCAAATGGTCCCATGCTTAATACAATCATAGAATCATAGAGTTGGAAGAGACCACAAGGGCCATCGAGTCCAACTCGACAATCATGACAATCATTAGTCACAGTTGGGTGTTTGATGGGTGCACAGAGCACAATGTGAATTGCCCATCTGGGCAAAGGTTGCCACTAGATCCAAAGGAACCCATGGACTGAAAGAGTGCTTCCGTTAGTGGAGGACAAAGTCTGGATCCAACTTACTGTGTTCAATTCAAAATAGAAAATAGGATGTCTGGCTGCTCATCTCCCTTTTATAAAGCGTATGCACATTTTATTCGATCACGTTTGTTCTTCTTTCTCAGGTACACAATATATCAGATTCAGCTGTTCACATTTAGAGTATGTGCGCAGAAACCATTTGACATTTAATACATTTCTACTTCAATGTTGCACCAGTATGATTTCTATGTCCAACAACTTTATAATGTGATCTTTGGAGGCAAAGTAGTGTACAAAATTAAAAAAATAATAATACACAAAATATAAAAATTAGTGGGTGGCCCTAATCTTCTAACTCAGAAGTTTCCAGCATGCTTAGGAAACTCAGGAAACATATTTAATCCCAGTTTGCAACTTGTAACCAACTCTTAACTTTCTTTTTGCCATATGAGCATGTTTCCTTTTTCCCCCCAATTTGATATGGTTTTTCTCTTTTTCTATATCATCCTTCCCCTTCCAGAAACATTAAAAAGTGCAGCAGTGATGCTGCTGGTGCAGCCTCCTTCATATTGGATTGCAATATAATTTTAAGTTACAGCTCAGCAGCTAAAAGACCAAAGCCCTACCCTGGCGCAGATCAAATATTCTGCATGAATCCCTTCTTCTTTTGTACCCATGTGAATTATTCTCTTCTTTCCCTTTCCAGCACTAGTGAAGTATATAGGTCTACACACTATATTTAATGATAACCATTGTTACCTCTAACAATTATTTGCAAACCACCCACACCCCGTTTTAATGCAAGCATGGTTCCTATTAGCTCCAGAACATTATGTGCCACTATACTAGTGACTGGACGAGAAAGGGAATGGGTGGGTGGAAGATATGTATCGATCTTACGCCAGTTACTGGGAAGGAGCCCTAGACCAAAATGAAATATGCCTTTTCAAAATGAGATATACGAAATTGAGATAGTACTGGTATCCACTGCTAAACATTTAGTGCCTCTCTTTATAAGAGCATACTCACATTTTGTCATGGGGACCTTTGCTATGTACCAGGTGCATTGGCCTATTGTTTCCACTGATTGGCGGCTTGTCTTTGGGTGACTTCAACAACTTGGAACTGGATGATGACGATGCACTAGTACCTCCGCCACTGGATGAACGACTGCTCCCACCTCCGCTGCTACCTTTGCTTTTTGAAGTCAGAGGCGAAAAGAGGGAGAATACTGAAGAGGAAGGAGGGGTTAAAGGTGGCTTGCTGGAGGAGCTGTGTCTTCTTTCTGGAAGGGAAAAAGAAGGAGCATATTAGCAAACACCGAGAATATGGAACTGGTTCTAAACCAGGTTGGAACTTCTCCTGCTCCACTGAATGTGGAAATAAAAAGCTGCTTTTTCTGGACACAGATTGCTGCTGTGCGTTGGCTTTCCACATTCTGCCCACTGTTTTTCCCTACAGCTGTTGTTTTACTGTTTGTTTTGCCATTGATTGCTTGGTTACTGTTGGCACTGTTTTAACTTGGTAAACCACTGTGAAAATGTTACAGGAAGTAGTGGCACACATTTTATTATAATAATAATAAAAGGTAAAGGGACCCCCGACCGTTAGGTCCAGTCATGGCTGACTCTGGGGTTGCGACGCTCATCTCTCTTTATTGGCCGAGGGAGCCGGCGTACAGCTTCTGGGTCATGTGGCAAACCAGAGCAGCACACGGAAACGCCATTTACCTTCCCACCGAAGCGGTACCTACTTATCTACTTGCGCTTTGATGTGCTTTCGAACTGCTAGGTTAGCAGGAATAATAATAATAATAATAATAATAATAATAGTGTTCATTTGGGTAAGCGTGAATATCTCTTTGCTGCAGCTTGTCTTTTGTCCCCCAGGGATCATCCCACTCTCTCCAAGCTATCAATTGGCAATGGAAAGAAGTGCCGGAGAAGGTGGCAGGGCAATTCGTCTCAAGTGGGAAAACGGCCTAGTCTGGCCCTGGGCAGGGTCCTAGCAACCTCAGTTTTTTAGTTGGCAGCCACAGCCACCTATTCCTGTTGTGGTCATGCACATCTCCAATTTATCCGCTCTAACGTGGCTGGCAGCTGAATATTCGACTTAAATCCCTTGAACAGCAGCACTGCATTGAAGTCATTATGAAAGTTTTATCTAGGGTCATTCAAACTTATTTGTTACATTTATATACAACTCAAGTCCTCTTGGCAGTTTACAAACTTATTTGAAAAAACCATTAATTATCATTTAAACTTTTGCCATCACCATCAGTTGTAAACAATACTAATCAGAAGGAATATGATCTAAAAGTCAGCATAGACACAGCACTGTAAAACCATTTCAAAACCAGCAAAAGAACACTGTCGAATATGCCTTTTGAAATTAAAAGGCCTGGGCAAATAAAAAAGTCATGGCATCTAAAATATTCAGTGGGTGTGACCAGTACTTTTTTTTTCCTTAAAAAATGTTTAGGGGTACTCTCATTTTGACTCAAGAAAATCACCATTTTATAGTTCAAATCGGGGGGAAACAAATACAGTAAATGGACAAAAGTACAAAGATTCACAAAATGTTTAGGGAAATGCGTACCCCTGCGTCCCCCCAGGAAAAAAAGCACTGGGTGTGACACAAGCCTCTTGGGGGAGGGCATTTTATAAACAGGGCATCAACACTGAAAAGGCCCTCTCCCTAGTAATACCCACCTTGTATTAATAAGTGGGAAACCTAGAGAAGGACCTCCAGTGAAGATCTCAAGTACTAGGCAAGTACATATAGGTGAAGGAGTGCAAGTTTCTGGTCTGCATGTCATGTTAAGCCAAACCATAACTTAAGGCAAGAGTGTGCAGAGCTTAGCATGTCATATGAATGCAGGCTTGTGGTTTAGATCTCCTGGACAAACCATGAGCCATAAACTCCTGAAAGAATCTTGGTTGTAGCTTGTGGGTATTCTGGCAAAAGCTAAACCTTGAGTCAAGTTCAAAGGACACGCTAAGCCAAACCACGGTTTAGTAGTCAGGGACAAGCTAGGTGGTCATGATCTCTTCTTTGGAAACCCATGTGCTTGTGCTAATGTGTGATGTGTACACCAGGCCATTCATTAAGCAATACTACATCCATTAGGTAATGAAGAAGTGTGAATCTGCTACATTCACTGTCCTTTGACAGTAGGCTGCCGAACACCTATTGATGGGAATCGTAGGCAAGGAGAAAGCTCCATGCTTTCTCATGGGCTTCCCTATGGCATCTTGTTGGCCAATGTGAGGACAGGATGGTGGGCTGGATGGGCCACTGGCCTGATTTTGCAGGCTCTTATGATCTTAACCAGGCTCAAGGCTGATAAGTGTAGGCTCCTGAGGCTTCAAACTACTGTAATTTAATCACATCCCTTAGATTCAAACCAGTATTCAAAATTCAGTATTAGGACTTATGATACAGGCACGGGATTTTCTCCCCTTACTGTAACAGAAGAGCCAGACACTTTTAAAAGGGATGTGTATTTCCAGTTTTATCAGTTGTTACTTTAAAAAGGTGTAATATGAAATGAGATCTAGCAACATGACTGCAAAAGCATATTACCATTGCACTATCTGGAAGGGCTACAAAACCAAGTTTCCTTGCAGATTATCTAGGTATTTTTTATTTATTTTTTGCTAGTCTAGTATTTCCTATGACTGAAAAAAAAGCACAAACTTGGCAGGGACTATTTCCTCCATTACCTAACTCTTGCATCCAGAATACACAGTCCTCTATTTAGGTACTGCAGAGATTCTATGAGCAATACTTTTCTCCTCCCCTTTCCCTGTTCATAACCTGACCAGACCAGTTATGGCAGAACTCAGACAAGAAACCAACACCGGAAGCTCAACACAAATCCCCAAAATGATTATACAGATTTTTGAATATGTTTAGCCTTGATTTTAAGAGCTGCTGGAATGACTGTATAGTTAAGGCGAGTTGCTTTTTCACCTTTCTATCATTTTAAAGCCTGAAAATGCTATTCATCATAAAATCAAGACAAATTATATCAGTAAGAAATTTGGCTTGAAAATCTGCCTTGTGAAGGATATATAGAGTAGCTGAATCACAGCAGTTTTAAAACCTTTCTTTGAACTACACCCTTTCCATTCAATTCTTTGCTCATCCAATACATACACTGAATATGTAGAGGGAAATATGATTTAGGGCAGAAAGATCAAGGGAAAGTGTGAATGCCTGGAGGCTAAGGTGTAAACTGGCTGAGTAAGAGAACGTACTTAGATGGCACAGATGTTGAGGTCCAGTGCCTGAACTTCTAATTTCCTTGCTCTCTGGTGCAGAAGCAGATCTGTGAGCACCTTTAATGTTTCTCTGAAACTGAAGGTTTTGGATCCAAGAACTGCAACTAGAATCTGTTCTATTCTGGGCACAACTAGAGAAACTGTTTTGTGCGTTTTTTAACTTTTGGGTTTAACAAATATCCGACCTGCTTTAAACTGTTAAGAAAGAAGTTACTAGTAAGCAATAAGGTTGTATAGATAAACCTGTCAAGGATACATTCCTACTGCATAACTGTTCATTCAAACACACACAAAATCTGAGAAGAGACACATCTCTTCCTCTTTCCAGAGTGTCTACCCACCAATTCATCACATAGGAGACAGTGGCATTATTCATTAATCAAGTCGTTACCGGCTTATGGATCTGCCGCCCCCAGATATCTCATAAGGAATCACAAGAAAAACAGTGGTATCAGGAAAACTCTGGAATAGCCCTGCATAAGCCTCACTGACTCTTCATACGAAATAAGAAAGAGTCTGAAATAGTCCCTTCAGATTAACCTAATATTTTTTTCAACCAAAAATCTGCATAGCTATTTTTTATACCACACATAAATGAAGACTCAGCAATTGGTAGCCCTATGCAGTATGTCTCCTCTGTGAGGTTCTCAAGATTTACTGATAGTTTATAAACATCAGCTTTCTTTTCTGAAATTAAAGTCTACATCCTTGCATGAGGTCACAGGCCATCTAATTTTGGTCAGCTTTCACACCTCAGATATAGGAATGAAAATCAGACATCTAAATGTGTACTTTCGTTTTTATAAATAATAGAGGAATATCCCATGTTTGTACATCAAGACATTAAATAATATTTGGGGAGGAGGTCATTACCCATCCCAATATGAATATATCACTTCCTGAAAAGGTAGCATTGCATAGAGAACAGACTGGGGGAACTGCAAAGCCAGGATGAAGGATCTACTCATCTGAAATTCCAGCAGCCTTGTTGGGTGTGTGTGTAAATTTAATATTTCATGTTCATCTGTGTACACATTTGTGGCCAAACCATAAATTATCTCGAAGCATGCTTGCTATTTCAGGGTCTGTGATAGTAATTGCACAAATAGCAACAAAAAGAATTACAATCGGAATATGTTAATATGCAAGTTTGATGCTCTTGCTTGATTTATGACCAAATTTCACAGTGGTGCACTAAATGCAGACTCTAAATCCGAGGATTGCCACTCCATCCCAAGAACAACATAATCCCTGGATTATTTGATCAATCACATGATCAATCATAGATGGGGTGAAAACACCACCACCAATTAGTAAGAGGCACAAAGAATCCTAATTCAAGTTTATTCTTAATTGTTAGGATTAGCATTCAAGCTAATTCATCCCTTTCTCGAACACCTCGAAATCAACCAGACCCTCCCAGCCAATCAGCAAAATAAGGTAGAGCTCTCTGAGGTGTCAAAACTACACATTTAAACTTAAAAATGAACCACATGCTTCTGTTGTAATTCTGAGTTCTAAATAAAAAGTGGAGGGACCCCAGAAGTCTGGGAGCAAATAAATTTTTGCATTGATTCACTTCTAGTTTTTCTCTTAGTAATCTTCCACCATATCCAAAAACAGGCCATTTAGTCTATTTACAAAACTACGTGCTGTGCAAGTATATTTGCATTTTATAGCCTAGTAAATTGTGTGCTTCTAAATAGGACAAAGTACTAAGTGCCAAGTGTCTTTTTATAACAATGGCGAGATTCCCAGAGTGGATTTGCTAACTTACTATTTGGAGGCCTTAAAAGTTCAGCAGTGCTTTAGGATTTTGCTAGAGCCAATATTAGTGATACTGGACCCTTACAAGAAGCAAAAAGAAAAAAGAAAAGGCTAGATATTTCTACCTTCTTAGCTACTGTACACTTAGCAAATCTTAAATCCCAATACAACTCAATGTTAAAAATAGTATCTGATCCATTCATTGGCAAGTTACCAGTACTGTATCTTCTATTTTACATCATCTTAAAATGACAGGGGAGTTACACTGTAACACACACATATATAAACTATTGGTTGAGAAACTGATGTAACAACTAACACTCATTAATTTGCAATGTACAGTTTTAATTGACAGAAATATCATTAACGGCATTTTTCACTAGGTGACTCAGGCAGTGTTTGTTAATTGTTTTGACAGTGAAGTCTTCAATGGTGATATAAATTTCAATATTAGACTAGGACGGTAAAGGTAGAAAAATGGCATATCTAGACAAAATTACAAATCCAACATTTCTTGTACCAAAATATTTTTAAGCAGGAACTGAGCAACAGATGTAGATTTTGGATATCCAACAACAAATGAGACCCTCATGTGAAGGGGCTTTTGTGAGGTAACTGATGAAATTATATATTATGTCTTCTTCTGTTTGAAAAGTGTGAATACTTGGACCTAATAAAATGGGGAAATAACTGAACTATTTTTATCTGTAAAGCCACCCTGTGAGTAATATTATATAGGGTATTATAGTATGAAAATCAAGGCCTAGAGAGAGTGCATCTCTCTTATCTGGTAGTAATTAAAGAGGAGATCTGGAAGACAGAATCTGCTGCTTATCCAGTATTAAGCTGATACTTTGCAGGAGAATTACTCTTAGATTTCACTGGCAGCACCCTCACTCCCCAGCCTAAAGAACCCACTTGAGATCAACTATCCCTTCTCGGGACATAAAATCATGGCATTACACATCAAACCTCACACAACTGTACATTAAAGCATGAAGTATGTGACAAGAACAGCTCATATCACACGTCCCATCTCTCTGTGTATGATATGACAGATACCAGAATATAAATTTGAGAGTTGTCAAAATTGTATTTTAAAAGCATGACCTCATGAACTCACACTGAGGTGAAAGTTTGAAATCCAATGCTGTCATTCCATTTGCACAGCTTTTGATCCCGTGGTGGAGTCTGCTCACGTAAGAAAAGGGAGACAATTTTCTACAATTCCCCCTTCCCTGTAGCTCCCCACGCCACATCCCAAACTGTTCCACACAGGTTATCAGGGATTACATGCAGCTGCATCAGAAAAGGGAAACTGGCTCTCAGGGATGGTTGTCTTTCTAACTTTCTGTTATGCCACACCCCTTGGCAGCCATTTTCTGTTATGCCATGTGTGACTGGTGCCATCAGCACTCTCTCAAAATTCAAAATGTGTCCACTAGTCCAAAAAGATTGGTGCCACCTGGTCTACACTGCTGCTGATTCATCACTTTTTTCTTTTAACTGTTTGCCTCAGGAACTGGCGAATAGAATGCCTATACTCTTCTCTTCCTCCTGCATCAGGAGGTTTGAAACTAAGAAAATGGCCCTTCTTTAGATTTAGGATCCTATTAGTTACCTTAATAGATCATAATCTGGCCAGTTCATTCGTCAGCTGTACTGCATTTAAAAAAACAACCAAGAATTCTTCAATACACAACTTCTAATACATGAGCAATCGTGCTCTAAAGATTTACGACAACAGGTTCATAGATAGTTTATTAATCTGATGGATTCCTAAAATGGTAACACAAAATGAAAATAACAGTCTGACCTGCTATCACAGAGCACCTTACACCAGTTAAGACAAACATATGTTTACTGAGATTCAGTGGGGGTGAAAACAAAAGCCAGACTATGGTACTAGGCACAGAATTCAGCACTGAATAAATTTCTCCCTCTGTGTGTGTGCAAAAATCCAAAAGGATGATAGAACAGTTGGGAGTGGGATTTCTCACTGTGAAAGAAGCACAATGATGGTGCCTACTAATAGAAAGCATTTCTCCCATTCCTGGTTATTACTACAATAACTATGATTGAATAAAGATGAAGCCGCCGTTAACGGTCATTAGATCTGCACTTCTCTCCCTCCCTTTTATTGACAATCATTAATGTGCAAATCAGGATACACAGACAGTTCCTGTCCATCAGTTCATGCATTTCCCACTTCTAACCTGTTGAGAAGCACTTCAAAATGTTTTTAAAGCTTTGTAGAGAAGAGTTTTTAAAATTCTTATTAATATCTTAATATCAGGTTGCACTCTTCCCAGGGAGTGGGAAACCCCCACTCCCCACACTGCTGCTGTTGCAAAGTTTACTCTTTTTATACACATCTGCTCCACTATCACAGACGAACTCTGAACAGGAATCATCTTCAGCAGTTCTTGTAGCAGACGGAGTAGATAAATTTTATTGATCCTTTTCTGGGACAATGCATCAGCCTAGAACTTCCTTTAGTTTTGCTGTTCTACCGTCAGTACAAAACACAACAGCTGACATAATCTGTATGGTAAATCAGACGCTAGATAGAAACATTAAGTCCAATGGCTGTGGAAAGCGCAAGAGTAGTTCAAAAACAGCAGACTGAGTGGCAGGCAGTAGTTTTAAGTGGAAGCTGTCAGGAGCAGCTACCAGAAGAACAGGAAGCCAAGGAACATTGTAAATACGTCACAAGACCTTTTCACTGTTCTGCATCAGCTTTAACAAATATGCCACAGGGCTTTCTAACATGTGGAAATTTTCTGCCGTCATAATACTGGCAGTATAATATTTAATATATGAATTAATGAACTATTTACCCTTTGTACTAGTTTCCCAACAACTTTTATCCCAGCTTTTGTAATTCAATCAAAACAGACCCCAATGTTCTTCTTTAAAACAAATATTTTTAACATCTGTCAATGCCTTGATAAACATTAAGATCTGAAAAGGTTTCTAGACAGTTATTGAAAACAGATGGATAAAAATTAAAAGATCTCAATTTGACCTTGCTTACTGCTTGTCTTTTGTCTTGAGCAAGACATGGCTTTGGACATTATACAGTACTACACTAATCCATGGTTTTGCCCTGGATAGTACAGCAGTAACAAGAACTGAGGAGAAGCACTGTGGCCGCAACCTTTGGTACAGAATCCCACATGGATTTTTTCCTCTTTTTTTGCACAAAGCCATGGTGTGGCTTACTGTTACATGTGAACCAGAACTATAGCAAAGAAGGCACATTTTCTGACTGAACCACCTACTGAAACCCTACAGTGTTTCCTATATTCAAAGACCAGAGGTGGATTTAAGCTCAATAGGATGCTATTCTGTTGATGTGTCTGTGTGTGGGGGGGGGGGGGAGGGACACAGCTGTGCTATCTTGGAAACAGAGGGGTGAAAATTTCATTTACTTATTTTCCCTGTCTTGCAGGTTTTTTGAATTCCCAAATTTATATTCTGATAACTTTAGAGTCAATTGAAATTATAAAATATGCCAAGAAACAGAATGCTGCAGCGTAGCTTTGTGTTAACCAAAGGGGTTCAAGCAGGTGTAACAAGCTATTAGACAAAGCATAACTGAGTAGAAACAAACTGCTTTGTTGACATGAGGATTTTTTTTAAAAAAAAAACACCTTTGCAATACCAGCAGCACTTTTGATTAAGAACAAGAGACACTTGGTCATTCAATTAACTTTAATGTAGTTATGTTGGCAAAATATTCTAGACTCTTGCAGTATAATTACTATGTGCTGCCTAGAAGGATTACAACATAAATTCTAGCATACAGGCAGCTTCGTGCTTTGTCTCTGATAAAATTGAGTGATGATTCAGAGAAAACAATAAGGGCAAACCACACTATGTTTGCACGGTAAGATGCTCTTCAATTTTATTTTATATTTATACACGTACATAAAACTCAGCGAAATGTTATCGGGGGTGAGAGGAAACCTCTAGTATTATGGAATTTGGGATGCAAAAAAAAAAAAGTAAATAAATAAATAATCACCAATTGTCAGTGTTAAAAATATAACTACAGTATAAGTAGTGTGATAAGGTCACCAATTTATTTTCACATTTCAGCTTGAAGAGATTTACAATGACAAAATTATTATCATCTCCTGTTGTAAACAGAAGTCTTGTGTTTATAGCACTCTGACATGTAAATTTACGTTGCTCAATTGTACTATGAAGGGGAGTTAAATATGCTTTTCAGGTGATTAGCTTCTAAAATTAGCTTATTAAGCCAGTGCTTATTAATAAATCAAACAAAACAAACACAGCACTTTCAGAAGGCTGAAATTACCAGATCCAAATTTCTTTGTATCTTTTGTTGCTTACCCTTGTCAAATGTTTCTTCTTTTACAAAAATGTGCATTTTAAACTTCTGCAGAGAAGCCGCTTTAACACAGATCACATTCTGTTCAGGGAACTTATTTTGATCACAGAAGCACTTTAATCATAAATATGATTAACAAAATAACAGCTTAAGCGTTTTAAGCACGCAGAAATGTTAATCTTAGACATCAGTCAGCTTGGTAAACAATTACACGTCTTTGCGATACAGTTTAAAAAGAGCTACTATGTTCCAAAATACTGGGATAGCTCCATGCAAACATCAGCATTTCGTCTGAGTTAATAGCAAACTCAACTCCCATCTGCGTTTGAACTTTGGCCAAATCACATTTCAGAATGGCTTATGTGGGCCGCTTGCAGCAGTTAATCCCTCATTTTGAGATTATCCACTTTGATCAACTAACTCTGCAAAGGCCATCTACGGGACTTCAACACTATTCACAGCTCCACCTCTGGCAGAGCGAGAGAGAAAACAAACTTACAAAAATGCACACAAGTGTAAGTCTCTCCGTTTCATGTCGTGTTAGTACAGAACTATACCAACCTTCTGCAAACTCCATTCAGATCTGGGATCCCTGCCAACTCCTGCCTCTGAAAACTGCACCAGAAAGTTACCCAGAGCTTTGAAGCCCTGTCTAAAGGAAAAAGGCTGTTCTGGAAAGCGTTCTTGTTTCACTCCCCCATTCACATAATTTGACCGTGCTTCACTGCACACTTGCCACTGAAGCTTGCATCATAATTTGGGTCTGCCCACAAACTCCAAATAGGCTCCATGTTTGGGTTTATGTAACGTTTGCTGTTACAGTGAAGTGCGCTTGAGTCACAAAGGTCCTGGCAGATAACTAGTGAAAACAGGGAGGAGGAGTCTAATTTTATCTAACATGGTCACACCAGGAATCCTCGCTGATGTAAATTAATCCCTCTGTTTTCAGACAACCTGGCAGAGTTTGAGAGGCCCGTACTTAAAACAATCTACCATATAATGTGCTAATCAGCTACTGCCCCAGTTTCCTTTACAACAGCTATCATTCAACATGCAATAACAAATCCTGGTACAATATGAACAGCATGATGAACACTCATGCAACACTGCAGCTTTCCAAAAGGATTATTTAATAGAACTTTTCACAACTAGCATGCTTCAGAACTATTCTATAAAATTACTTAATATTCTGAATACTAAATTCTACCACCACCACCCCCCAGTCACTTAATATACTTTATCAGAGCTTTGCTGTGTACATGAATGAATACATGTTTCTTTCCTGCATACGTAACTCTGAGCTGCAAAAATAATCTAGACAACCAGTTGTTAACACAGAATTAGTTCATAAACAAGGATGCGAATAACTGCACGCTTGGATTTTACCTGAAAAAAATTCTCCCTCCCTTTGGAATGTTGCGAGATCTTTATGCTGGTCTGCATATATATTGGAATGATTTTTAACCACTATTGTACGTGGAATTGCTTTTAAACATTTTATATATTGAATTGTTTTTACCATTTTTGTAGTAGCTGTTTTATAATTGTGTATTTTATTGCTGGAACCCACCCTGAGACTTTATGGTAAAGGATAGGTAAAAAAATCTAATAAAATAAAGAATAACCGAAAATTTTGCAAAGCAAGTATTTATAGAACCATAGAGGTGGAAGGGATCCTGGAGGACATCAAGTCCAACCCCTTGCTCAATGCAGGATGCAGCTGCAGCATCCCTGACAGTTGATTATCTAGATTCTCTTCAAATATTGCAGTGAAAGAAATCTCTGCGTCTTCACAGTTTCGACCCATTGGTTCTACTAGTTCTTCCCTCTGGAGTAACAAACAATATCTAACACCCAGCTGTCTGGACAGTCCAAGCTGAGGATAAGATATGTTATCCCCCTCCAAGTTTAAAATTTAAACCACAGAAGGGGAGTGCCTGTTCCTACATTGCCACATCTTAAAATATTGTTTGCAAATTGTCCAGAGGAAGTGGTTATAGAGCAGTCTATTAATAAGAAGTCAACAAACATCAAGAATAAATAAATACTAATATTCCAATAAAAGTAACTACAAAACAAATTCCTGGATTCATTCCAAGGTAAAATGTAAGCAACAACAACAGAAAACCCTCACATCAAGAACCTTTGGCTACCAGGGAAAACTCTGAGACACCTAAACAGAATGTAAAATCAATATTGCATACTCCCCCCTTTTTACAATAAAAATAATAATTGATAACTCAGTATAACACCTTTAAGCTCTTTTGCTGTATTTGGTGTTTTATATTTGCTAAATAAGATCCAAATTTATTTCAGGCACTTTCCAAAAAACATATAGTTTCAAGTTTGGTTTAGAAACAAAACTTCAATAGGATTTAACTATCAGTGTGCAGCTCACAATTTGTAATGGGGCTGTGCGCTGAGCGATGACATAAACCATTTGAGGCATCATAGCCAAGATGCATCTTAAGAAAGATGATAGGCTGAAAAAACAGGTAGGTGCAAATGTCACAATCTAGCTATCCAAAAATGAACAACAGCTATTCCTTATTCACCACAGTTGCAATGGAGGGCTTGATACTGGTTATCAGCAATGGTATCAAATAAATTTAAAAACATATTAAAAAAGGGTGGTATCTAACTTTTCTTGGTGCAAAATCTGGACAAAGCCATGGAAACATTTTAATTCCAGAATCATGATTTAGCACCAGATCACATTGACAAAGGAATTTTTTCTAGCATGTCGTACTAGAAGTGTTTCTGTTTCATAAGAACATTAGTGGGTGCCATTTGCAAATACAATATCAGGCAAGTTGGGCAGTGTCAAAGTTTATAGCATTGTTTACTAAATACAAGTAAAGCAAACATAATAAATAAGATCATCAGAGCATCAGAGAATTCTCCTATGGAAAATAAAAAATATGATAAAAATTATCCTAATTTGCATTGATATTTTTTAAAAAATCCTAATTCAATTTGTTTGTTTTTGAAAGCCCACAACGGTGGCAACACAGCATTTCATATAAACACATTCTGTTCTGTACCACAGAACAGAAAGCCCCAAGAGTGCTGGCTAGGAACTTCAGATACAGTGCGCTGTAACAGTAGTACCAGGCAAAACACAGAGTCCCTCCATAACCTCAGACCAATTAGGATGACTCCAATTCCTACAGCTAACTGACAGGCTAGCTGAATCAATAGATTGTGAAATTGAAGTTCAGGTTGCACAGCTGCTTGACAATCTCACATCTGCTAGGGGCTAAAGTCAGTTCTGCAGAATTTAATCACTTGTCCAGAAACAATGACATTAGGAAACCTAATTACTAAACATCTTCGAGGTGAAGCCTCTCTTATCCACAACCTCGATAGAAATTTGACAGGCAATGCATGTTGGCTAGGAAGTATAGCATGGAGGAAGCACAGTCCAAGGGAAGGAACAGAAGACCAGTCTTTTTTTTGGGGGGGGGGGGGGCAGAAAAGTCCAGATGGAATGAATAGAGGCCTTCATAAACATAAAAGTATTGTTGTGGGATTGTTCCCAGAGATTGATTTGATTATTAGGAGCACTCTATATGAGTAGGTAAATTCAGGGGTAGAGGCAACTTTCCATTTAGCAAAAGGAAGTGGTAAACACACCAAAAAAGACCAGCAACTAGAGCAATAAAAGATGGGTAGCCATTTTTCCTTCTTCAACTATAATGGCATAATTGATTTTAAAGTTTGAAATTTTTAAAAAGCAAACATTTTACATTTGAGAATGACGATATAGATCGTGAAGCTGAGGCTCCAATACTTTGGCCACCTCATGAGAAGAGAAGACTCCCTGGAAAAGACCCTGATGTTGGGAAAGATGGAGGGCACAAGGAGAAGGGGACGACAGAGGACAAGATGGTTGGACAGTGTTCTCGAAGCTACCAGCATGAGTTTGACTAAGGCAGTGGAAGACAGGAGTGCCTGGCGTGCTCTGGTCCATGGGGTCACAAAGAGTCGGACACGACTAAACAACAACAACAATATCAGTTGGAATATACCTGCTATATTCATTAGTGTTATTGTGAAACAATTCCAACTGCCCACGAACAAAGATATTGCTGGGATAGAATAACAAAAATAAGATAATGTAAATGTTAGCTTTGGGGGCATGCACACCATGCTGCCCCATGCCACCCAGCTTGCCTGTTCAGTTCTGCCAAGTTGTATACTGAGATGACAAAAATTCTGCTCTTGTGTATCAGTCCTCTGACAAGAACAAAGATGACTTAAGTGACAAGGAGGAGGAGAAAAAGTCTAGCTCTCCTCGCCTTGTTCTAAGATTACCCTGCAAGACTAACGCCAGCAGTGAGTTAGTTTAAACTGTCATGCTTGGATGAAGAATGTGTGAACCAGAAATACTTCTAGCCAGCCACATTTTTTTAAAAAAAAATGTTTAGGGGTACTCTCATTTTGACTCAAGAAAAGCACCATTTTATAGTTCAAATTGGAAAAAATAAATACAGTAAATGGACAGAAGTACAAAGATTCACAGTATGTTTAGGGTATGCATGCCCCTGTGTCCCCCCCCAAAAAAGTACTGCTTCTACCCTTCCAAATAACACACATTTCACACATCATTCTTCATGCTATTCCACATGCACACATTGCAAGTGATTTAGCAGGAGAATTATCACAACCTCAACACTGAGATAGTGGTGGCGATGGCACTGCCTAAGATCGGAAAAGCCAAAAATATGTTCTGCAACTTGAACCAGTCTACCTCATGCATAACATACCTAATTCATTTGGCACAGAACACATGTGTTGCAGAACAACTACTTTTGGAATATTTAGTGATCTTTAAATATTTAGAGATCTTTAAAAACATGTACCCTGCACAGATAACCTTGGTTTCGGACCGAGTGGCATAGAAATACCACCTTTAGTGAAGGTTTTCCGTGTAACTTTACATACTTGAATTCATGCATTTGAATTAACAGCAGGCCAACTGTATAGAAATTTCAGACATGCCCGCTGAGTTTTGTTTTATTTTATTTTTAAAAACCCACAAACCATTACACCATTTATGGATAAACTAATGTAGGTATTTTCCATGTTTTCAGTATCCCTGTACCAGAATAAAAGTGTTGCCTTCCTTATGGGGTGGCAGAATCTTGGCAAATTAATATTAACAGTGATAGTTATGCAACACTGGCCTAGCTGTCAAACAGCAAGCAGCCACACTCTGTGGGTTCCTCGCCCCTCCTCCCCTTGTGAAAACGCCCCCTTTCTTCTCTGGGCAGCCATAACTATGCTTTTAGAGTTACATCTAAGCCAAGGTAGCAACAGTGAACAAAAGTTAGGTCTCAACCTAAAAATTAAAACTAGATCCAACCCCAGTTTCAATGACTAGTCTGCAAGGTAAATCACAGTTACCAATTACCAGGGAAGTGAGAAGGAAAGAGTGCACAGATTGAAGGGGGGAGAAAGGAAGAGGGTGGAGGAAGGCTTATGCAAGCTAATGGGGGATGCTCCTGGTCAAACTACCATGATTTGGAAGCTGACCTAGCACGATGTCTGATCTCAGCCAGTACATTTTTAGTTCCACATAGCTGCAAGACACTAGACTCTGAAGTCATGACATTTTCATGTCCAACCTTCCCCTCCAAACCTTTCACTATCATAGAATTGACAGCTTCCCCTCTAAGACCTTACCATGTTGCTAAAATAAAGTATGAGGAATCCTCTAAATACTCTATACATTCAGGAAGTTTATATAATTATGTGACATGCTATATGAATGCCATTATTTATATAGCAATGATTCCTCCCCGCTTCCAACAATGGAAATATATTGGAAAGAACACAAGGCAACATTAAGAAGCTTACTAACTTGGACTAGTGGAAGTAACCAGTAACCTGTTTCCTATACTGGCCAACCAGGTGCCTCTATGAAGCCCCCAACCAAGGCATGAAATTAATAACTAGCTCCCCCAGTTTCCCCTAGCAACTGGTATTCAATAGCATAGCCCTCTGAGCATGGAGACTCCATATAGTCAGCATGATTAGTAGCCAGTAGTAGTGTTAAGTTAGTGGCCACCTGCACAACTTTTGAAATAGCTTTACAATTAAGTACATTCGCAAAGCTCACATTCGTGTAAGCGTATTATTACAATACAGAAAAAAGCAGGAACCTACACATTACATACACACACATTCATACATGCACGTGCATAGGCTTTTTTAAAGCTTACTAAACTCCATGGGTTGGATGTAGATTTGCTCTCATCCACTGTGGGAAGTGGAACTGCAGGCTGAAGGGGGAAGGGAGAAAGGGGCAAAATCCCCACTCTGTCATCTTCCTCTAGTACTAGAAGAATTTCAGTGAGCAAGTCTGGATGCAACCTCTTGTTGGTATATTTTAAATTGTGGAAATCAATATATATTGGAGTATGCAAATACATTAATTTCAATAGGTTAGTGCCATAAAATAATATTCATGTTCTTTCTTTAGGCATAAGGTTCTTGTATCTTTACTTTTGTTGGCTCTGGTATGGTTGCAAAAGGTACTTATTTCAAAGTTTAATACCTGGCTGTTGTCAGACACTATCATTAGCTTGATCATAAATGAGTAGAGAAAAGAGTTCATCAACATTCCTAGCATGCTTTAAAGAGGAACCGAACTTTTACTGCCTTGGATGTAAGCTTACATTTCAGCAGCGAGAAAGGAGTATTTGTTATTAAGAATGGAAAAATGTGATGCAGAAAATTTCAGCCACTATAGATGACATAACAAACAGCAGACACCCTGAATAGCTGAGAATACTTTTTGACACCAATATAGAAATGGAATGTTCTGTGGCCCAGATCCTCAGTCATGACCCATGAGTTCACAAGGCCCCTAAGGATACCTTATCACTTTCTAACTAAGATTTCAGATCCAGCAAATATTACCTAGAGTCCAGTTCTAAAGAGACTGTGTTTACTGGGAATTGTGTAACAGGACCAGGAGCTCACCAAGATATCATCTATCTTACTCAGAAATACGACACTTTCTTTTTAAGCACAGACACAAACACACACACACACACACACACACGTGAATGAAAGGCAACTGAAAGTGAATACATTTCCACAGCATTTTCCTCTTCATCAAACGAAACTCTCATTAAACGTTTTAAAGGTGAACTGCTCAACTGACTAGTGTACTAGGAAGGATAGACAGAAGGGGTGGGAAGAAGCATGCACAGAGGTCCCTCCCCCCAGGAACTTTTTGAAATTAGGCATGAAAAAAGCCTTTTAATGGCTCCAACAGAATGCTCCTTTTAAACCTAATGAGAACAGAAATGATGAAATGATGTAATTTTGTGGTGCTGTTGCATTTGAGTTCTAGCATAATGTAGGTGTCTAAACTGAACTAATTCTGATATTAATGGATGCAAATTATTCTCCTACCTTTTACTATCATTGTAGGTCAAATTTCTGCCCGGACACTGAGGTCCAGCGCCAAGGGCCTTCTGGCAGTTCCCTCGCTGCGAGAAACCAAGTTACAGGGAACCAGGTAGAGGGCTTTCTCGGTAGTGGCACCCGCCCTGTGGAACGCCCTCCCAGCAGATGTCAAAGAGAGAAATAACTACCAAACTTTTAGAAGATATCTGAAGGCGGCCCTGTTTAGGGAAGCTTTTAATGTTTAATAGGTTGTTATATTTTAGTGTTTTGTTGGAAGCCGCCCAGAGTGGCTGGGGAAACACAGCCAAATGGGCGGGGTGTAAATAATAAATTATTATTATTATTATTATTATTATTATTATTATTATTAAGAATATGCAGCAGCAGGAACTTTTAACATCATTCTGCTGTTTGCTGCCTTGGGCTCCACTGGAAGGAAGGGCAGGATGCAAATTTAATTAATTAAATAAATAAAGGTATGGCCCCTTTTCCCTTTTTTCAGTTTTCAACCCTTGCAGCAACAACCATTGTGAGTGGTAACTATGGTCAGCTGGCAATCTGACATTAGCAGAAGGAGCACTAAGTGGCACTGTGTTCAGCAGCCATCTGCAGCATTAGCAAAGAAGAGAGAAGAGGCCCTCTCTAGGACCCAGAAGCACAGTGCAGAGCCACAGTGGACAGGCTCTGGCTGCATGCAGCAGCTAATGAACTAAATAAGTCATCCTTGCATCACAGCTCCTTGTCCCTTCCAGTACTTGCCCTAAACAAAGTTTATCTCTTTTGAAGCCAAGTGCAATCAGGGCATGTAGGAAAAGAGAGGAAGACGGTGTCCAGCAGCTGCTGATTGAACTTCGAGAAGTACTTCCAGTTCTTCAGAGCTGACAATTTTATTTTATTTTATTGCAAAGAAGGTCCTATTATATTAATGAATGGTGTATTTTTCAGTAATTCAGTTGGAAACTCCTCTTAATACACAGTCCCACTTAATTTACAGCTTGCCCTAATCCTTCGAGATAAATCTAACTGCTCAGTTCTATGCCAAAGGTAATTCCAGTATAGTCTGGCACATAATTAGGAATAAAACAAATTCCTGGACTCAGAATCCTGTAAATAGCAGAACAGAACTGAGTTCACAGTTCTTCCAAACAAAAAATGATTCCTGGCTACTCGAACCTTTCTTCATTTGTGGAGTATAATTTAGGACAGGGCGGCGGCGGAGTCATTTTGTTGCTGCCATGATTAAACAGTGGGGAGTCAGGAATGCTTGCCATTTACACTCAGATCTACAAGTAGATTCTGATGGGTCTTCTGCCCAGCCTTGCTACATTATTAGATATGGAAACAAATACACAATAACTGGAAATGTATCAGACACCAGAGCACAACAAATGCTCACATACGAAAGCCCACATGTTTTGGTTGCAACTTGGAACCAGAGGATCATGGGCAAAAAGCCAGTGCCATTCTCGGATGCCTGTCTGCGAGAGAATGGGATTGGGTGCGATGACACTGCATATGTACAATTTCACCTTGGGTCCCTTGATTTCTCACTCCTCTGCACAGTATCTTCCTTTGTTTGGAGCTGTAGTCTGGATTAGGTTTGAGTTTTTTCTATGCATTCTGCTGCCTGATTCACTGGGCTTCAGCCCCAGCTGGGCTGATATCATAATATTGCCTGGATCTCTATGAACCCACCTATTTGCCCTTGGCTGTTGCCTAGCACAAACTGTTCGCAATTGAGAGATTAAAACTCAAGGCATGTAAATCTCATTTCTGAGGCAAAAATCAAAGAAAACAGTTTAACCACTAATGCAGAAATCCAATTGATATTATGAGCTTTATTTTGCAATTCTTATTCAAAGATGAAGACTTTAACCTTTGGTTTTCATGCCATTGCCAACATTAGGAATGCAGCTCTTGCATGTCAATGTGTTAAGCTACAGTCTGTTGAAAGGCAGCTTGATGAAACAAGTTTATTTAAAAACTCAAGCATTTGGGTTTAGCGCGAACAAAATGAGTAATTTTGTTGAAACTGAAATGGATTCCTTGCTCCTCTCCCTTATAACAACACAGTATCAGATGCTTAAAAAGCACATCAGAATGTAAATATGTATATTGCATATTTTAAGCACTCTTCCTTCCCCTAAGAATAGGACTTCTAAAATATATACAATCAATTTATGTAAATCAAGGCAGATTGCGAAATAACAGTAGTATGTTTTTGCTCCTCTTATCTTTGGCAGCTAGAAATCAAGCAAACCATAAACTGTAATAAGGAGTGCCAGAAACGTAACACCCTAATGACGCCTTCTCATAGTTCCATAGGTGCATGCCTATATATTATGCTGCCAGCAACACAGCATATGATGCAATCAAATTGTGTGCGTGGTGGGGGAGAAGCAAATAAAACATTATAATCATATAATGATTATATGATGATCTCTAATTCTTTACAGACGACAGGACTATTGCAGTGCCAATACCTAACATGGCTAATGAAGGTGGATAGCCTGAGCCTCAAAACAGTTAGGAGGATGAAAAGCTGCAGCCAGGTAGAATCTAGGGGAATAGATCAACAACATGCACAGATGGGAACTCCATCAGAAGATGGGTAACTGCTGAAAGAAGGATCTGGGAGACAAAGGGCAAGAACGGTTCAGAAGAAAGGGGGATGCTGGCTCTATGAGTTTCGGGAGCTGGCATGTGAATGTAGGCCACTAGTTAAGCCTTAACACAGTAAGAAGGTTCTATATATGGCCTTCAGAAGATACAGTGGTGCCTCGAGTTACATATTGCTTCAGGTTATAGATGCTTCAGGTTACAGACTCCGCTAACCCAGAAATAGTATCTCGGGTTAAGAACTTTGCTTCAGGATGAGAACAGAAATCGCGCTCCGGCGGCACGGCGGCAGCAGGAGGCCCCATTAGCTAAAGTGGTGCTTCAGATTAAGAGCAGTTTCAGGTTAAGAACGGACCTCCAGAACGAATTAAGTACTTAACCCAAGGTACCACTGTATATACTTAGTTAGCAAAAATCTCTTTGGTGTTCCTTCCAGAATTTCCCTACAATACTTTTAAATAATTTTTGGAGGCCGCTTTGAATACATTAAGTTGCTTTTATAGAAAAGGACTAAGAAAGACATTGAACAAAAAAGCCTTTACTAGCAGGAACCAGTAGGCAACCACCTGGGATGGAAAAAGGTTTTGCATCCAATAAGCCAGTTGTCTAGATCATGCTATCAAGTGAGGTTAACGATTAAAATTTACCACACATCCGATATAGCTGTGTGGCCAAATGGCCATCTGTTTCCTCTATCTCATCGTCAGTTCCACATCTGATAACAGGAAGTTTCATGACAAGCATGTAGGGCCGCTGTCAAGATAAACGAAATAAATACAGCAGCCACATGCATGTTGGAAAAACACTGAAGGGATTCTAAAACAAGGAATATCTATCTGACAAATACTGGCAATGGATGCAGGACTAGGCTAGAATCTCTCTCTCTTCTATGATGAGATTCCTAAAATTGTCTTACTTCAGGCAAACATTAGCTTGAAAGTGAATCTTTAGAATCTCGCTGCTCTGTTAAGCTCATTTATTTATTGTTTCTTAAACGTTTAAAATTACCATTTCACCACACTATACATACAAAAACTCTGGGCTTGAGGCCAGTTTTTATGCCAACTGTCTTCTCACGGGCCACCTCTGCAAACTGGTTTGCACGGATAGCAAACTTTGCAGAAATAACAAAAACTTCTGACAAGCAGGACTTACAAAGCGACTGTATTCTGCAGCCAGGCTCAAATACACCTAACAGTGATGTGGACGGTTCAGTGCATTTTAGTCATGTTAAATATGAAACCTACATTATATGTCTGATGAATAAAGCATGATCGTGCAGCTAAAAGGTTTATTTCATGCATCCAAACAGTTCTATTCTTACCCAAGCCTTTAAACGGTTAACTGGTCTCCCCCCCCCCCAATGCGGCCCTCCCTTGGAAGCAAGAGCATATTTATAAATACAAGAATGTGCAAAACTTAGTATAACAATTTTCAGTGCCTTACTTTTTTATTTAAAAAAAACCTAAACAATGTAAGGAATGTGTGTTATTGAGTTTTCACATCTCAAAATATTTATTGATACTCCAATAAATTCAAGTACAGCTTTTAATTTGCATATAGAACACTAAACATCAGCAAAAGATTCTGGCCAATCCCTCTCTCCCAGCTCCTTGCTTGGAAAAGCATGGGAAATAGCCTCACTTTTTGGGAGCACTTTGAAAGTGAGAAAGTATCATTCCCCCTCCTGTGGAAGTGCAGACACACCAATTTCTGCAGTTTATGTACTTGCTTTAGCATATTAAAGAGAAACACAATTTATACTAATAAATGTTAAGTCAAGAAGAGAACAGTGTGTACTGGACCTATTTTACGTTTGGTGTTTTGGCACACATAGTACTTCAAGCAAAAAAAATTCTTTGCAGATTATGCAATTTAAAAAGATCGTTTTATTTCATGCAAATAGCAACTAATTTAAGTGCAAGTAGAAAGTTCTCTCCAGAGCCATCAGTGCCTTAAAAGAAAATTTTATGCTTATGACAACTCAACAGTATATAAACTATATGTAATATAGGGCATCGTATTAGAATTCAAGTATGTCTTGTGGCTTTTTATTGAATAACGTGATAGCATTTGTGACTGTAGCCAACCTTGTTGCTTAAACTTGTTAAGAGTGTTTCCAGCTTCAGGTTAATAAGTGCCAAGTGTATATTTTCAAGCCTCCCCTCACATCCCTTGTTTGTTTATTTTATTGGAACGGCGATCTAAGTGGAGATACTTTATTAAATGATACGCTGTTTTAAAATAACCAAGTAATTGGTTGAAGTGTCTTTACTGAGACAAATCCAGCGGTAAACTTGAAGTGCAAAATGCTTCTGGGGACATGCCAGAGTGTTTCTTGTACGAGCTATAGCATTTCATACAGCCTTGCCAAGAAGAAATTAAATCAGCCATTACTAGAACTGGAGATTAAAATCCAGCTGCTGGTATTCAGAGTTAGTGAACTACTGTTTGAGGAATGGAGAAGTATTTATATGCAACCGACTGAAGCTTCTAATGGTAATTTCCTAACTGTATAATTATCTCAGGCCTTTTGGTAGTCAGCTACCACATGTGCCTTTCTGGCATTAGCTTGATAGGCTGAGGGTTCCTTTTGTGAAGAAACAGAGGCAGTACAGATTTTATTTTGGCAACTGGATGACAACAGATGGAGGATTTAGAGTTCTGGGTGCCACATGAAGCCCAACAAGCTTTTTGGAAGGTGGTTTTGTTTTGCTTTTTAACCGTAACTGCAATATGAGGTATAAGAAGCAGGTAAAAGTGACTCCATACAGCTCCACTTGCTGTTAAGGAGCATATCAGTGTAATAGGATCACACCGAAATGTCCTTACACTGCGGTGCCATGCAAAGGACAGGCTTCTGCAAAGTCGTGCACAGCTCGCAAGTACAAAAACGACATCACTGGAGGTATGGAAGAATGACTTTGCCGGTCAGTGTCCCGTTCCCAATATCAAGATCATCTCACTCCATAGCAACATGCTACAGACCTGAGTTTTAAGTCAAACTATGTGCCCCTGACCTTCACCCATCCATGTACTGGCCTCTGCCATCAAGACAGAAACACTTCTCTCTAACACTGCTCATCAGAAACAATTCGGCAATCTACAGCCCCAGCTTCCACAGGACAACATGTGGTATAGACTGATCACAAAGAGACAAACTCCAAAGCTCATCTAAGGGAGGAAACGTGCATTTTCCAAAGGTGGTATGTGTATTATGTCTGCATAATAGGAAATGTTGGAAAACATCAATCTGCCACCTTAAGAAAAAACCCCAAAGCAGGAAGAAGCAAACATGATCACTTACCAACAGAACAACCCTCTCCTCCCACTCTCAAATCACACAAGCCTATGATTATGTGACTACCCAAACTGTACCTAGCTATCCAAGCCTTCAAGGCGACAGACTGTGCTTCAAAAGTAACAGAGTGCAGCTGATGTTCACTTTATAGGTAATAATGTATACTGCTGCAACATAATATTTAATTGCATCTGTCTGCAATACTGTCTTTAACTTCTCAGATTCCACTGCAACCTAGAATAAGGCTATCATATGTATTGACACACCCTAACAGCAACCTAGGAGTCACAAATGAATTGGCATGTTAAGTCAAGTTTAATCCTACTGAACTGTCCGTTCTTTGATACCAGTGGTTGGTGGACTAATCTGCTTGCTTTCAGTTAAGAATATAATATGCAATGAGTACTTCATCTTTCTGACAAACCAACGTTGTAAAGTAACACAGGTTACAGAGAAGATTAAAGGGATTATAGCACAATCGCATCAAGACCATACTGTGTGGAATACTAATTTAAAGCAGGAAAACTCTTATCAGAAATCTGACATAGAAAAATACTCGCTTGATCACCTGTGCTTTGTTAAGAAATGTTTCTAGGTGACTGGGTAGAGAAGCTTTCAAGAAGTTGGTTGTTTTTTCCCTTTAGGCCATATATGACTAACAGGGACATTTAAGGCAGGTGAACTAATAAAAACGTTTGTGAGCAAGTAAATTTGCTGGACCCTATAGTCAACAGAGTATTAATATTAGCAATAGGATTTCTTACCCGCCCTTCACCATAAGATCCCAGGGCGTGCTACAACACTATCCAAATGCAAAATTAAAATCAGTCTGAATAATTTAAAGCATGAAAACAGCTGGTTTTTTTTAACTCTAATGATGGCTCCAAAATTAGCTTCCAATAAACAGCAATTTAGCAATTTCCTCTTCAAGCCAGGTTCCAACATTTGTTCATCACTTTTTAGCACAAATATCAATAATACTAGTTTCTGTAATCAGCTTCACTAATAAGCAGACAAAAATCATGACCATAAGACTTCAGTCTAGTGTAACTAGAGTGAACACACAATAAACACTCAACATAGACCATATGAAAACACAATATACTGCAAGGTAGCCTAGTGGAAGAAGATGGGGAGGAAAAGATACATAGGTTTGACATCTGAAGAATAACATTCAGTTGGTATACAAAACGTATCCTCAAAATATTTCTGTACATGTCACTCTTAATCCCATTCTACAGAAAGGAGGCAGAGGTCGAGGAACAGTGACTATAAAGCACACACCTATAAATCCAACTATGCTTTTTTAGCAAACTCTCTCACATTTTTGGCTCAATTCAAGCATCTCACCATGCCAGAACATGGTTAAGGAAGCTTAACTGTACTTTTCCATAATGTCCAATTCGAAAGACCTATCTATACAGTAGTTACAAAATCCCACAAAACTATCATTTTAAATATTTGTAGGCATTCTAACATTTCCTCCCTCCCATGTCTCATAAAACTTGATTGGTTTTTATAACATGTCTCACTTGGCAGTTCCAAGAACTTTGCCATTTCCATCAATGGTTATAAACCTGCCTTGGTCTCAGTCATGGATATAAATTAGATTTCATGAAAATTCTCTCTTTCAAAAACGTTACACTCGTATTAAAATACACTTAAAGCTACCAAAACAATCAATTGACTACCACCTCACTTCTTTCAAATAATAACAACAAAAGCTGACTCAATCCTCAGGTGGCACAATGGGTCAGTGGGTCTGGCTGTTAACTGGAAAGCTGGTGGTTCGAGGCTATCTAAGGACGGCCGTTGGCAGGAATTCTGCATTGCAGGGATGGACTAGATGACTCTCAGGGTCCCTTTTACCTCTACAATTCTATGATTCCATTATTGTTTTGCAGGTCCTCCTTAAAGGTAAAGGTAAAGGGACCCCTGACCATTAGGTCCAGTCGTGACCGACTCTGGGGTTGCGGTGCTCATCTCGCTTTATTGGCCGAGGGAGCCGGCGTACAGCTTCCGGGTCATGTGGCCAGCATGTCTAAGCCGCTTCTGGTGAACCAGAGCAGCACACGGAAATGCCGTTTTACCTTCCCGCCGGAGCGGTACCTTATTTATCTACTTGCACATGCTTTCGAACTGCTAGGTTGGCAGGAGCAGGGACCGAGCAACGGGAGCTCACCCCATCGCAGGGATTCGAACCGCCAACCTTCTGATCAGCAAGTCCTAGGCTCTGTGGTTTAACCCACAGCGTCACCCACATCCCTTTATTTGAATTAGTGAATGTCTATGAAAAATTTGAAATGCCACTATACAGTACATTTACAGATGGCAAGATTTCTTGATTGTATTTATAAACACTTTACTGAAACCAGCCTTAAAGTAATGCTAATTATATATTTACAATAAAAAAAATTAAAAAAATAAAAAATTGTCCAGCAGCATCTTATAGACCAACTAAGTTTATTCTGGTATAAGCGTTCGTGTGCATGCACACTTCTTCAGATACACTGAAGCAGAAGTCACCAGACCCTTATATATAGTGAGAGGGTGGGGAGGGGTTTTTCTCAGGAAGGTAGTAGGAGATGGGTGATTGGCTCAATGGGTATGGTAAACCTGTTGACGACTGTTAACGATTGCAATTAGTCCTACAGTAAAATATATATTGCTACTGGACAATTTTTTATTATTTTTATTTTGACTGTGTCAGACCAACACGGCTACCTACCTTAATATATATTTACAAATTGCAAACTCAAGATGAAATCTAGTAACTGCTCAAAGGAACAAGTGGAAACTCTTCATTTTATTAGCATATGCCCTAAAATGCAAAGTGTAAATTCCACTTAAGGATAAATAAGAGCTGACTATGCATAGTTGCTGGCTACAGTGGGGCGGACAGCTATATGTCCTTTAATATCCGACAAAAAGAAAGGGGAAATATGGGAGAATGGGGGAAAGCTATGGTGCATTTATTTTCATGTTCCTTACAGCTTCTGGAAATTTGGTTTAAAATTACTGACATTTTCTGTGAGTTAGTTTGACCTCACCCTTGGAGGTGCACTCCATTGTCTCTTGAGACAGAGGGATGCCAACAAAATATCCCACATACTAAAATGGGAATCAGAGGGGATGAAAATGGACTTAAACAACAAACTCTCTTAGAAGGGAACAGAAAACTTGGCCACAAGGCAAACTTCCATCCCCAGATTGTTATCCAAAGTAATGAAAAATGTGAATGTGAACAAATTCACACAAATTACAAATTGGATCCCAGCTACAATAGTTCTCACTGAAATTTTCATTAGTGGCTCCATGTGCTTTTGCTTGCCCCAATAAATTTCATTATTTTCTTTTTAAACATTATTTTAAATTTAAACAGTTGGCTTTGTTCTATTTCCAAAAGGTAACAACTCAATTAATTTCAGTGGGTCTACTCTGCATGGGACTTAAATCAGATGCAATCCTGAGTGTTTATCGACCCTATGGACAGCATTTTATTTCCTCACCATAAATAATCTGTTAATACCAACACATCCAAATCAGAACGCATGTAAAATTCACTACAACTAAATCTAGTATCAAAACACTCTATACTGCAATACATATGAACTATGATGGTGAGCCACCCATCTAACAGGGTTGCCCCAGCCACTCTGGGTGGTTTCCAACAAATTAAAACATCCAGACACATAGGCTCTGCTTCTAACATGTTCATGTTTAGCTTTTTCTGAATTTTTGCATCATTGCTGCAATTGTATGACTGGTTTCAAATGAGACAGGCCAGATTCTCCTTATTTTACAGCAGGAAAAAGGTCTTAGTGGAGGTAATATATGGTCACCTTTAAGGCCAATTCACATACCCCAAAAAGTAACTAATGTAAAGAACATTTTTAGTCTTGTGTAAAAGCTATATGAGAGTAAACTCTAGGTTCTGTATACAAGATAGCATCAACTCAACTCTTTTTCTTCTGAATCTTTTTCTTCTGTTTTCCTTATTTATAATGCTTTTCAAATCTCTGTATGTTTAAGAAATATTTGCAAACCTAATAAACAATATTTCAAAAATTATAAAATAAAACATGGGCTATAAATTATGCCTTTTAAAAAATTTAACATGGGGGAAATGCAGAGAATTTAGGGCACAAAACAGTGCCCTAAAACACATACCTGGACTTGTTTCGATTAATGTCTGCAGGAGATTTTGTGGATATTTAGGTTATAATTAGAAAAATCTTAATAATTGTTCATAAAGGAAACAGTTTATAAGAAGTAAATAAGGAGGCCCGATACAGGATAAAGGAAGTCTTTTAGTTGTTTGTTTGTTATGTTCACTGTATGTTATGTTCACGTTTAATGAAGGTGGATTTGTGTATTGGGGTGGGGGACTTGTGTTAGGTTGTAAATAAAATTCCAATAAAATAATAATAAAAAATTAACATGAAAGTGCAATCATATGCACAATTCATATTTGTACAATATTTACATAATGCCATGTGCAACATCGGCTGGAAAGATCACAAAGAGGGATAATCTAAAATTGCCAGGCTTAATCCTGATTTTACCTCACCCTAATGATTAAAAAATGGTTCAGTACTTACCATAATGTGATTGAAATGCCTGTGGTTTTACGACCTGATTACAGTGGTTACACATCACCAAATAGAAATCATCATGAGCTGGGCATAGGCCAAATATTGGCATATCTAAAATAAAAAGACAAAGGGTATGTCTCACAAGTATTCAAAATGGTGGTACAACAATTTATGTAAAATAACCATGTAATGTTGCTGTAGGTGAATTACTGAGACAATTCAAAAGCTACATGTGGGAGTGGAGAAATGAATACTCAATAGTTACAGAATTAAGTATTACAACATAGCTACTTCAGAGTGAACACAAAAATAGCTTATTGACAGTCATTATCTATAGGTGCTTGAATACAGAACTGAGTTTATACTACTTTAAGAAGAGCATTAGAAACTAGAAAGAGCACATAAATATTTTTTTTCTAAATTGCATGCAGGTTGGGAAAAGTTATTAAACATTTCTAAGGCATTACTCAAAGGCGTAGGAATTTAACTGCTAGCAAATATTTCCTAGCAAACATGCATAGGATCAGACTGCATACATTTTAAAGGCATAGCTTTAACTAGACAGTGTTATGTATCAAATAGTTCTATTTAATAGGATATTATATCCCAGCCATCTGGTACCACAGACCTAGAAAACACTTGCAAAAGGGAGTGAAAAAAACTGAGCAGGAAACCTGGCTGTACAATGACATTTGGACAAAATAATAAACCATACATGTAGGCTACTTAAGACTTCTAAATTGGAATAGTGTTTCTATATTATCTCCCTGACTACAAACAGAAGTAATATGCTAGAAAATCACCTTCAAAATGGCTTCCTGCTATGTTAATGAACTAGTGGGCTCATCCCCACTTTCACACCTGCAAGAAGATCAGAAATCTCGGCTTTTAAACAAGCCACTGTTTGCTGGCGTCCTGGGGAGGTCACTTCCGTGCTGCTAACACAGTGGTTTGACTTCACCCCCAGACACGCACTCCATTGCTCTCTCGAGACAAACAGATGCCAGTAACAGCGGTTTGCCACAGTGTAAGAACTTGGGGAAACTGTGATTACTGAATAAGCCAGGATCTGAAGCCAGGCTCTGAAGCTGGTTTGCTCGAACAAAGTAGAGTTTGAACGTCCCTTGCTTCTCCCTTGCAGGTACAAAAGATGAAAGGGGTGAGGCTGTGAGACCGAGCCTAAGCCTGAGGCAGGAAACCATGGTTTCCAGTTATGTTTGAATCAGGTCTATAAGTTCAAAGCACAGGCTGCCCTGGCACTAAATCTACCAATCAATATCATTTTAATCTGGATAGCAGGCTGTACCCAGCAATTAAAACAGTTTTAAGAGATACATAATGGACAGCTAAATCATATTTCTTCAGTTTGCAAGACAGCCTATGCAGTAAGGGCCAATCATTATCAGTTTTGTAAAACCAGCTTAGCTTTTCTACAGAACATCATAAAGTACATTCCGTGGCAGAATGACATTTATAACTACCATTGTATGGACAAAGAACAAACAAAACACACAGTCAACGAGTCTGGACGATGGTAAAACCTCCAAGCATATCTCTTTAGGAGGTAGAAAACTATTTTCTCACTCACAGCATATCACTTATTGATGCAAGGAATCTGCAACCGAATACTTGAGCAAAGGTTCATAGCCAGATCAGTCACAATGCCTCAAACAAGTGGACCGTGTCCACCCCGCTACTACATTCATGTAGAGAACAAGATCTTATGAATGGGTTGCCATTCTGAAAATTTATTGCCTGGTTATTTAAAAACACTTGGAATGGTGTTGGAGTACCATGGAAACTGCTTGTTTACAAGTATAGCATAGTTTAACCGTAAACAACATGAAAATCACTTGCCTTGATTCTTAAAATTTATTTTTTAATTCTTATTTAAAACAAAGTTGCACTTCATTTTGACATTTCCAATCTCAAGTATTGGAACTATTTTGGAAATGTGTATCAGGTGGCTTCCTGTGTTGCTAAAATGTATTATGCTAGCCTCCACAGCACTCAATCAAATTTTAACCTTCGTGACTTACTGTAAGCAATGAATTATTTCAGCACATCAGTTTATGTAATTTTTATACCATTAATCTCAACCCTTTCAGTCATGGGACCAACCTAAAAAAGCCAATGGCAGCTAAAAAAGCCAATGCAATTCTGGGCTGCATCAATAGGAGTATAGCATCTAGATCAAGGGAAGTAATAGTGCCACTGTATTCTGCTCTGGTCAAACCTCACCTGGAGTACTGTGTCCAGTTCTGGGCACCACAGTTCAAGAAGGACACTGACAAACTGGAACGTGTCCAGAGGAGGGCAACCAAAATGGTCAAGGGCCTGGAAACGATGCCTTATGAGGAACGGCTAAGGGAGCTGGGCATGTTTAGCCTGGAGAAGAGGAGGTTAAGGGGTGATATGATAGCCATGTTCAAATATATAAAAGGATGTCACATAGAGGAGGGAGAAAGGTTGTTTTCTGCTGCTCCAGAGAAGCGGACACGGAGCAATGGATCCAAACTACAAGAAAGAAGATTCCACCTAAACATTAGAAAGAACTTCCTGACAGTAAGAGCTGTTCGACAGTGGAATTTGCTGCCAAGGAGTGTGGTGGAGTCTCCTTCTTTGGAGGTCTTTAAGCAGAGGCTTGACAACCATATGTCAGGAGTGCTCTGATGGTGTTTCCTGCTTGGCAGGGGGTTGGACTCGATGGCCCTTGTGGTCTCTTCCAACTCTATGATTCTATGATTCTAGGCCGTGAACCTGTGGGATTCTGTGGGAACCTGTGAAAATCAATGCTTTATGCCCTTGTGGGAGATTAATCCTGGAGTCCTAAATGAGATTATGGGTTCCTTTGTCTGGTGGCCAAAATTTGTAATACCAAGAAAAGAAGCAAATGGTAAATTTCTTGGGTAGCATCTAATGGTTGCATGAGTGCTATGCAATTTATGCAAGTGACTGCTCTCTTTCCCTCCTCTGGTCCCCGTAGCCCCCCGAACCAACCAAAAACTTTGTCCAAAGTGATACTCCTCCAAACAGTGAGGGCTGTGTCATACAGTGTTGCAGTGGCAAGGCAGAGTTCCCTGAAACTGAGCACGGGGATCTTGTGTCAGCAGAGCTCCCAATGGAGTAAGATCCCTCTGCCCAATTTCAGGCAAATACACTGCCTCCACACACACACTGCGGTGGTATATGACAAAGGCCCCACTGTTCATGTCATGTGGGAGTGGGAAACCCACTAGAAAGCTTAACAGAGGGAAAGGCCCCAACCACTGGCCAAAGAGCCACCAATTGCTATTCAAGAAAGAACACTGATATTAAATACCCACAGATAATTTCTTCTGGCCTTGAAAAACTAGTCTCCCTCTACTTTTTCCTTTACAGTGGTACCTCAGGTTACATACGCTTCAGGTTACAGACTCCACTAACCCAGAAATAGTACCTCGGGTTAAGAACTTAGCTTCAGGATGAGAACAGAAATCGCATGACGGCGGTGGGACAGCAGTGGGAGGCCCCATTAGCTAAAGTGGTACCTCAGGTTAAGAGCAGTTTTAGGTTAAGAATGGACCTCCAGAACAAATTAAGTTCTTAACCTGAGGTACCACTGTATTTCCCTTCTCTCTATCTTTTTTGTTACTATTGTGTATTCTGTTCCCCGCCTACCACTGAATCCTGATTTGCTCTGAACCACAGTTTCCCGTAATTTTGATGTAAAGATAAACTATGGGTAATTAATCCTGAAAAAGTCTTCAGTTGCAGTATGTGCAGAAGCGAAAGAGCTGGACAAGGGTGGAGGTGAGATTTTTGCTTATGTCCAAACCAGGCATTATTTCACTTTCAATTCACTTTTAATTTAAATACCAACTTTCTATATTGCTGTACAAAAGGTGGTTTGTGCTAGCTTGGGGGGCGGGTGGGTAATGTATTATAAAACTACCCTGAAATAATAAGGTGTGGCATATAAATCCCCCCAAACCCCTTTGCTTTCATCTATTTATGTTACCAACCAATACAAACACCAAGACAATTACATTATATAAGAACAAAAAGTTCAGCAGTGAAGAAACATTCTAAATGCCAGCCTAGAAAATCTGTTGCCTGCTATCTAAAATCTGCAATGAAAGCAGTTTAGGCAAGTCTCTAAGGAAGTGAATTTCATGGGTTATATGGCCAGTAGGTTAAACATGGGGCATGATGCCTCTGAGTCTTACTCTTAAATTTAGGATGGATGGAAATCAAGAAAAAAATACTTGAAGTCACATTTCCCACTATACAATTCATACATTTCCTAAGTAACAGTACACATTAACTGCCATATATTAAAACACACCAGTCTGAAACTAAATAAAGCCTTTATGGTACCTAGGGGCATAATCCAAAACATATTGTCATACACCCATGCGCCATCAGCACTGCATAAATATATTTCCTAAGAGACAAGAGGAATAATTGAGAAATTAGTAGATTTCCAATTAGGATTACTGCATATATCCTAAGGGCCACAGTAACAGAGGTCCATCAAGCCTGTGGACCTGTGTGCAACCACTGCTCTCCAACTCCAAATTTGGAGATAGAGACTCTAGGGAGCCTAGCACCCAAATGGACAGGCCCAGCCCCTTTCTCTCGACAGCTGAAAGTGAAGGCTTGGGCTTGTTTTGGTGTTGGCATGCAAGGTCCCATCACCTCCACCATCCAGTACCAAAAGAAGTCAGCCCCAGCTTCACTTTTCAGAGTGATGTTTGTTTTTAGCACTGGTCAGGCAAGTGCTCTTGAGCATCCCCCAAACTGAGTGTCAAAGTGTTTAGGAAACCTGTTGAAACTGCTGTCAATCAATTACATCTGCTAACTCCAGATAGACTTCTAAGATAATGCTGAAGAATCCTTCTCTATACCACAAAAGGTAGGAAGAAATCAACTTATATTCAAACAAACAACAAAACTATTCAGCTAGTTTACAGATTAATAATGTTACATAAACTGCTGCAATGCATTGCCTACTCTAGAATTCACATTTTAAAAGGCTGAGTATTTCTATTCATATACTTTCAGGATTCCAATAAAACATTCAGTGTATTTGCCTGACCAATTGTCTCAAGAAGAGATAGTATCCTACTGCAAATACGTCCAAGAAGACAACTGATCAATACGATAACACATGTTTGATAAGTAACACAAGAATACCAAGACTTCAAAAAATTACGCAATATAAAAGACAGGAGATCTCATGAGTTAGCATACATGTGTTATCATATTGATTGGTTACTTTTCTGAAATTCAGAAGGCAATGCTGGTACAGATTATACAAACATGAAATTTAAATGCATTAAAATTAGTTAAAATGAAATAAAACAGAATGCAGCAATTATATTAATCACTATATTAAAGCCAGAACTAATGAGAAGTCACATATCTAAAAGGAGAACGTAGGGAGCTCTAGAATCAGTTGTGTGGTATAGAAAATATTTCATACTATTTCTCCATAGAAAAAACCCACTTTTAGAAACACATTGTTTCAAAACATTGATTAGTAACATGATAGATGAACCCAGTATGAGTTAAACTGAGCAGCTGGAATAGAGATAATTTGTTTGTTTGAACCAGGGGTGAGAACTCAGAGGCTTAGAGGGAGAGTGTGTCAGAAAGAAAATGAACTGATATTGATATATACGTGTGTGTGTTGTATTGTGTGTGTAACTTTGCATCAATGTAACATTTTTAACTGTAACTGTATTTTTGTAATATTTTGTTTAAGGAGAGAAAATGGGAGGTCTTTTCATCAGGCAAGAATAAATGCTTAGTGTTATGATGATTTCCAGCCACTGTTCTTCAAGCATGTAAAATCAGTAACTTTTCAGTAATTAATTCAATCTCTCTTTTTCTCCCTCCCGCCTGGAGTGGAGTCCCTATGACAGCTGGATGGAGTCTTGTAAGCCTCCTTCCAGTAACTCCTGCAGCCAAGCTGGTGCCAAATGTACTGCTCTGCTTTCCCTAGGACCACATCAGTGTGGCTGAGAGGGGAGTCGTGCCACCTGGGCAGCCCAGAACCTCCATACACACTGCCCAGGCTTGCACTCCCAGGGAAGTCACTTTGGTGTTTTTATTGCAGCAAAAAGAAGACTGGAGGCAGCAGTTACAAGTTGCCAGTCTCTGCAGCCACATCAGGTGCTGAGATTCTCCAGCAGTTTGACTTCACCCCGGAAGCACACTCCACTGTCTCCCAAGACAGCTGGATGTCAACATTAGCATATGCTATTGAACTGACGTGTTTGAAACTTTTACAAGCATTCCAATCAAAATAATTTCCAATGGTTTCCAGTTTGGATCTGGCATATGCTAGGAGGCAATGTCTGCACGACAGTAACATATATACCATGCATTTTGGACCATACTGTTACAAGCACTTTTGTCTTACGCCACAAGTTTTCAGCTCGTGTCTGCACAAACTGTAGTGCAGCCTACAGGGTGTTTTTTCCTTCTAACAATAATCACTGCAGTCAAACTTGTCTGGCTAGTCCTATCAAGCTGTCACACAAGGCAACATTTCAGGTGCCTCTCATTTCAAAATTGTTTGCCAAGCCTTAGTCGCATGAACCTGGATACTTTGGGACAGGTTCTTAAGGAGTTCCAGAAAGCATTCCTTATTATCTGCACTGTATCTATTTGTATCTGTTATTTTATTTAATAACTTTATGTGTTCCCATTCAATATGCAACGTTAAAATAATTTAAAACCACACAAAATAGCAGGACTATACACAAATGATATTAGCAATGTGAACCACAGTCCACGATTAATACGCTATAGTTTAATAAAACATTGTTTAGTATTTTGTGTGAACCAGGCCATTATGGAAACCTACTTGTATGATTTGTCGTTAACATGTGATTGTTGTTAACATTTTTAAATAACAATTTTTATTAATTTTCAGTTTATACATCTCAAAATAAACATTTTACATAATACCATGTAACAATTGACTTCCTCCCTTCCCTTTTCATGCTTCATTTTACTTATATATCATTCCTGCATATTTCACTATAGCCAATCTAATCATTTCTCCGTTTAACATCCTTCAAATATTTACCATACTGTTGAATTTATCTAAATGCTACCAGCAATTATATTCTAAATATTCCACTCCTCTTTGAATAAAGATTCTTCTTGCTCTTTTATTCTATAGGTTAAACAAATTCTATCATCTTAAATTTCCAATCTTCCTTATCAGGGATCTCACTCACTTTCCATCTTCGGGCTAGCAAAATTCGAGCTGCTGTGGTTGTGTACATAAACATTTTTTTTCTCACAACTGGGAACTTCAGACTTAAGTATTCCTAACAAAAAGGCCTCAGGTTTTTTTGGGGGAATGTTGTTTTAAACATTTTTTAAACTCATTGTAGATCATTTCCTCATAGCCTTTAACCTTTTTAACCACCCTGAGACCTCTGGGTATAGGGTGGTATATAAGTACATATGGAAAAATGTTCCTTCCGTTTCTCTGCATTACCAGCACAGATCTGATCCAACTTTGTACATCTTGACCAACCTACTCACTGTTAAATGCCATCTGTGCATCATTTTCATACAAGTCTCTTTTAAAGTATAACATGCAGTAAATTTCAAATCATTCCTCCAGAATTTCTCCCAGAGGTTTAGGTCAATGTTATGCCCTATATCTATTGCCCAGTGTGTCACTGAAGCTTTTACTAACTCATCTTTTGGTTCCCCCTCTAATAAAAATTATACGTTTTTGACAATTTATTCTTATTCCATAATAATTCTCTTTCAAACTGAGCTTTGATCTGGAAACCCATTTTTAAAAAATCTAATTTAAACATTTCATATATTTGATGATACTGTAACCAATGTGTAATTTGGCTCCTTACTTCTTCCATTGGTTTCAATTGAGGTTCACTCCCTGTAAATTCCAACAGATCTCTGTATGTAGCCCATTGTCTATCCATGTTAATTCTCTTGATTGTGAGTCTTTTCTACATTTATTTACTTCTCCAAACTTTTTAAATTCATCTAAAACCTTGGGAATGCTTACATTAGGTTGTTCCACATTAGGTTTACATTAGGTTGTTAGGGCCATGTCATCCGCAAAAGCCTTTAATTTATAAGTTCTACACCATGGGTAGGCAAACTAAGGCGCGGGGGCTGAATCCGGCCCAATCGCCTTCTCAATCCGGCCTGTGGACGGTCCGGGAATCAGCGTGTTTTTATGCCTCTCTGGGTTATTTGTGGGGCCTGCATGGTGTTTTTACATGAGTAGAATGTGTCCTTTTATTTAAAATGCATCTCTGGGTTATTTGTGGGGCATAGGAATTCGTTCTTCCTTTCCTTTTCAAAATATAGTCCGGCCCCACACAAGGTCTGAGGGACAGTGGAAAAGTTTGCTGACCCCTGTTCTACACCCTACGATTCCTTGTGATCATTGAGCTGCAATATATACATGAAAATCTAAAAGGACTTTTCCATTCACTTCAACGGAGAGGACAGCTTTAGGTGAGCAGTGCTGGATCTCGTAATGAAAAGCAATGCCACTTGAGCAGGAATTCCTTGTGTTTGCCAGGTTTAAAATGTGGCTCTTGACTGTAGCATCAATATTACTACTGTACAATAATAATCTGTACTGAAGGTGAAATACTTCAAGCCATTACCTGAATACTTTGACTGAAGACATGCTGTCACTACAGATTTAGATAGCATTATTTGCATCTATGCAGAATTCTTCCAGCATCCCAGCTGCTTCAGGTCACCATCTCTACCCTGCTACCCTCTGCCAATTGGACACTCTGTTCGTTCGTTCTTGTTCAAGGACTAGCTTTGTTCTCGTTAATTTGTGACAAGCAAATCTAAGTAAGAGGCTGCACGCTTTGTGTTTAGATCAGATCCTTTTCTAAGAATTTCAAGTGCAAAGCAGAGCAAAGTGACAGACTGGCATGCCTGTTAAAAAGGTCACATATAACCTTTGGACTGCTGGATGCTCATAGAGTAGACAACTACTAGCAGTTTAATATGTGAACCCGAAACGTTGAAGAAAATTTCAACATCTGCATGCAGTTGGTAGGTGCCAATATACAGCTGATTGACTTATTCTATGTTGGATGGGTGGGAATTGGTTTCTTCATGCTACTTGTTAGGCAATTAATTAAATAATAATAATCAAAAAATGCCTTTGTTAAACAGTATTTTGATAAGCAGCTCCTGACATGACAGCAAAGTTGTCCAGCAGGCTAGAGTGAGCTAGAGTGTCCTGGCAACTCCAAGTGTTCCAAGTCATGTTCCAATCTCTTAAAAACTATGAAAGCAATATGTTATCTTCTGGAATCAGAGCTTTATGAAGCCACTTCTTTTCCTCCTGCAAATGTGTTGATTGTGTTGAAAAATGATAGGAAAGCAGGAAAAAAGAATTCTGACCTAGAGGTTCCAAGGTCCAATTTTGTAAGCAGTGTTGCCAAACAGGGATCACTTATTGACACTTAACTATACATATATTTTGAAAATACATGTGAGTGTTTAGACCCTGCCTTTAATTCTTCACTTGCTGCTGCTATTTTAAGCAATCTCCCCTGGGAACCCTCAACTCTAATGAAAGAACGCAATACCTTGCAATGCTTTTGCCCCATGTTAGAGCAGCACCAAAATACACTGCCAACACTTTATAGCTAAAGTGGAAAACATGCTTGCTGGAAAATGACATTGGATGGACCATCCTGTTTCTAATCAGAATGTGATTTCAAGGAAGGTAGTATTGACATAGCTGAAGACCTTTTACACGTTTATCCTTTTAATGTAAAAAAATGTTAAAGGTAAGGCTGAAAATATAAGAGAAAGATATATAATCTGTTATATCATTTAAATGAAAACTTACAAACCCACCAGCTGTTTGTACTGCACCAAGGCCACATCAGCATGATTTTACTGAAAGGAAACATCTTTCCCCAGTTCAGAAAAATCTGTCAAATTAATCTGTTAAAATAGAAAGTGAAAGCTACCGAAATCCTCCCTGCACTTGCACCACAGGTGAAGCTGCAGCTTGATCTTATGCTGAACATCCATGTTTATGTTTACCAGAACATCCAAATTGAGCCACTGTAATTAGAGTGGGTGAGATCCAATCTAGTTTTGGCCAATAAAACAATAATATCTTATCTGTACTGGTAAGCAAACAGTCTATCTTATGGGACAATGATGCTCTAAACGTCCAACCAGAAAAATGATTCACTGTGCACCAATTTTAATTTCCCAATATTGTTTCTCGTAAAAAGGAAACTGCAATACGTTTTTTATAAATTACAGAACTGTAACAATCTAGTCTCAAGATGCTCATAGCATGGTGAAAAAATCTAGTATTTAAGAATTGGTTCAAACTACTAAGACACCAGGGATGCTAAAAAAAAATAAAATCATATGGTGATATTAAGAATAGACAAAACAAGAAAACACAAGTCACCAAACTGCCAAAGGATTTTTAAAGGAAAAAAAAAGAAAAGAAAAAGTTATGTCTACTACTTTTTTGTTTGCAGGTTGGTTCAGTGCGCTCGCTCTCTCTCTCTCTCTCTGTTCAATTATTTTTAAAAAGCAAACTGGAAAATCATTTAGGAAAAAGCAAAGAAGGTAAAAAAGGCTGGGCACTTTTGAGAGAATATGATTGCCATAATCAATGGGTATTCCAATACCACAAGACAGAAGCTAAACACCACAGGACATGAAAAATGTAAACAGATACTCCACAATTAAAATAAAGAAGTTTAAGTCTCCAAATTAGTTATAATCAAAGAAATGTAAGGTATAGTCCAGTTATGCTAGAAACTGACAAGGTGAAGCATAGATCAGGGCCTACTAATTTAACTTTGACATGAATTATAACAAACTATGAAAATCATAGTAATCAACCACCATGACAAAACAATCTGCTTTCATTCTTTAGACAAAGTTAACGGCAGCTGGTAAGGAGACTGCAGTGGACATGGGATACATCAGTTAGGATGACAGCAAAGCTCTGCACAATATTTCCTCAATAAAACTAGAGAAATTTGGCCAGCAAAAACTACAATAAATTCAAAATCATTAATAGTAGGCAAACTATTTTAAAGACACATATAAACTCCTCTGAAAATTATTTAATTTTCTGAAGTGGAATCTGTTGTTAAAGCAATTATATGCACTAAAGCTTTTCATAAACCCAGTTTCCTACATGTACTGTAGCATCAGGGACTGTTCCCTAGCCACAGTTCAGACATATGTACAAACTTTTGTAAAATTATATACCCAATGAACATGAGCACAATGAAGGACCCATTCATTCAAGCAAGCGGTCTTCCCACACACCACATGTGACTATGTACTCCATCATGAATGTATCAAATCCCCCTTTTAAAATCTTCTAAGCTAGTGGTCATCACCACATGTTGCGACAGACAATTCCACAAATTAATTGTTGTGTGAAGCAGTTCTCCTCCTTTGTCAATCCTAAATCACTACTCATTTTCACTGGATACATAGTTCTAGTATTTTGAGGGGGATAAAAACATTCAGATGATATGTAAGCTATGATCATTCCCCCTGCCACATTATTCAACTTTCTTCTAACCTAGAAAGCTCCATTCCCTAATAATTTTAGTTGCCCCTTTTTAGCAAATGTGTACATTTTAGCTGTACATTTTATTTTTTTTGAAAAGCAATAAAACAACTGTGCACAGTATTCCAAGTGTAGTCACATTATGATCCTGACAGTTTACTGCACGTAAACTGCAGTACTGGATGTATATTATTCAGATAATCCTTACAACAAGCCAGCAAAGCAGTGCACCCCGGGCATCATACCACCTGTCCTGGTATGCCCCATGGAGGACCTTATGGTCTGCAAATAACAACAGCCTGAAGATTCCGGGCCCCAGAGAGATTAGACTGGCCTTGACCAGGGGCTTTTCGGCTGTGGCCCCGGCCTGGTGGAACGCTCTCTCACAAGAGGCCAGGGCCCTGCGAGATTTGACATCCTTCCGCAGGGTCTGCAAGAAGGAGCTTTTCCGCCAGACCTTCGGTCAGGGTTCAGTCTGATTCTTTGTGTAAGAACAAGCACGAAGCAGGTTTTCCAGCCCGCTCACAGGTCCTTATAATATCAGTGGAAACAGTTGGTCCTGGCGAGTATTAACCACTTTCAAATTTAACCTGAGGATTGTCATTTGCCAGCTTTAATTTTAATTTATTTGAATTAATTTTGGGGTGCATTTTAATTGATTGTTTTTATGCATATTGTATTATTTATACGACGTTAGCCGCTCTGAGCCCAGCTCCGGCTGGGGTACAAATAAAATTTATTATGATTATGATTATTAGGAAGCTGAGGTTGACAGGCAAGGACTTTCCTAAGACCACCTTGTGAATGTAGCAGATATTAATTCTTAAGCAGTGAATACAACTCACACTCTCACATTCCACACTAAATCAGAACTAAAATAACTAGGATGCTCACCCCCCTCTGGCTGCTCCCGGAAACCTAAATGTAAATATACCGTATTTTTCGCTCTATAAGACGCACCAGACCACAAGACGCACCTAGTTTTTGGAGGAGGAAAACAAGAAAAAAAAAATTATGAATCTCAGAAGCCAGAACAGCAAGAGGGATCACTGCACAGTGAAAGCAGCGATCCCTCTTGCTGTTCTGGCTTCTGGGATAGCTGTGCAGCCTGCATTCACTCCATAGGACGCACACATATTTCCCCTTACTTTTTAGGAGGGGAAAAGTGAGTCTTATAGAGCAAAAAATACGGTATTTCCCACAGGGCTCTGTATGTTTATGGGCAGGGATATGTGTCTCTTATATCCCATGTAAGCCAAATGAAATTAATCACACAGTTAACATTCAATTCATTCCTGAAGAAAATGTTTAAGATAACTTTCATCAAAAAACCAGAAGCCTTTTTTACTAGGGCTAACAGGCGATGAAAACCAAAAGATTTAAAAAGACTATTTATGTATGCGACAACAGCCACAAGAATGCTACTCGCCCAGAAGTGGAAGGAAGAGAAAGTTCCAACCAAAGAAAAGTGGATAACCGACTTCCGGTCAGTGCCAGCAGCAATGGCGGACCTCCTTTGAAGTTCGGAGGAGGTAGCCCAGCGGGAGATCGGGTCCTGTGCGCTTCGGCGAAGCGGGGACCCTTAGAAATCGCAGGCGCGGACGCCTGCGAACGTGGAGGCTCGGCGGGCACCCTGAAGCGCCCCCCCCAACCTGAAAGGAAGCCTTTTCGAGGCTTCGGAAGGGAGCGGGGGAGAGAAGCGCGGTGCTGCGAGCGGATTGCTGCTCCCACTGAGCGAAGCCGCGTTGCCGTTGCTGGAGAGCGCTGACTTATTCCTGGGATATTCGGACTCAAAAACTAACCGTGAGTAGAAGAATTGGATAAAAAAAAAAGGATTTGGATTAATTTGGAACTTTGGCAAAAAAGCGGAAAAGTTTAAAGCTTTTTTTTAAAAAAATGGCTGAATTGGCTACCGCGGTGGAAGCGTAAACAGGAAGATGATGAACTATGCTGAAATGGCAAAGATGACCATGAAGATCAGACACCAAGATGAAAAAAAATTTAGTCAAGAGTGGAAAAAAATTATAGAATATCTTAAAGACAGCTGTAGATACTTAAAAACATTAGGAGGATTGTGATAACACTTATAATGTAATATGATTTAAAGTAAAAAAAGGAGATAAAATGAATTAGAAAAATGTAATTAGATGCAAAAATAGGGGGAAATTGGAAACCGGAAGTGGGGGTTGGGGAAGTTTGAGGGCTCTTAGTAATCCCAGAAGTGTAGAAATTGAAAATGATGTGAATGTATAAGAATATTGTTTTAAAAATGGAGGGGGGGACATTTTAAAAAAACACACACACTCAATTCATTCCAACACAACTTCTGCAGAATCAAGGCCAGTGCCTTGACACAATGTGAGCACATACACAGGAACAATATATACACTTTTAAAAGTACGAATTGTGTCTGGATGGTAACTTTGAAATAATGCCAAATTTGGGGAGGCGTGGTTTAGAGGTTTTAGCAGCAATCTAGTTTCCCAGTCCTGAACAACCAAAGCTATTTTGTCACTCCACTGTGAAAACACAACAAAGCCACAGTATACCAATAGTTAGATTCTGTGCAAATTACATGGGTTTGTATTAACAACTGTTTTGTGCATACACAATTACTACTTAACACTGTAGAGGAGCTGCAGTAGTAGGCAACTTCCTTGTTTTAATATATTCTCAACTCTGAGGCCTCAGCTGTGCTGCTAGGGATGATGGGAGTTGTAGTCCAAAATATCTGGAGGACACCAGACTGGGGAAGGATTATTAAAGCATGCCCAGGCTGTTCCTTGTAGGTTTGCCAAGGAGCACCAGAGATTCAAAGGGCAAGAAGTAAAGCTTATGTAAAATGGAGGAGTGTTGGTTCTTGGCTTCTTTCAAGTTGTCCATATATCCCCAATGATTACTATATTTACTTATTTTTTTTAATTCATTAATATACCTCAAGGTTGGTATATACCTCAACCTTGGTACCTCAAGGTTAAGTACTTAATTCATTCCGGAGGTCCGTTCTTAAATTGAAACTGTTCTTAACCTGAAGCACCACTTTAGCTAATGGGGCCTCCTGCTACCGCCGTGCCGCCGGAGCACGATTTCTGTTCTCATCCTGAAGCAAAGTTCTTAACCTGTAGCACTATTTCTGGGTTAGCGGAGTGTGTAATCTGAAGCGTATGTAACCCGAGGTACCCTCAGGGCAAGAAGGTTTTTGAGAATTCTCACAGACAGTTTTGAGGAGGGAGAGGCCACCTTAGCTGGACTACTGGGCATTAGATGGTGGCCAGTTCTCCAGTCTATTCTGTCTCTTCTCTCCCCAGTATAGGTATGTTGTGGGTTGGAGAACCAATAGCACATGGACTAGCAATTTTTGTGCTGTTGATTTGAAGACTAAATTAGTTATCCAAGTACTGCTGCTGCACATCTCCCTCACCCCGATTCATTTAAGTGGCCTTGTATAGGTTCCAACTTGATTCTATAAAGTTTTCTGATAGTTAAATCTAGCTTTATTGATCAAATACATATTTTCTATTTTTAAAAAATGAGTGTTCTTTAAATTAGCACTCCTGACTAAGCGGTCCTTGCAAAGTAAAACATTTCTGAAACTAATCACAATTGCCCTTCCAGCATAACACACCACAGAATTACTTAACAGGTCCGAAAAATATTTTAGCACTCAAAATGTACTAACAACTGTAACCCTGATCAAAGTGCCGTATTTTTCGCTCTATAAGATGCACCAGACCACAAGACGCACCTAGTTTTTGGAGGAGGAAAACAAGAAAAAAAAAATATTCTGAATCTCAGAAGCCAGAACAGCAAGAGGGATCACTGTGCAGTGAAAGCAGCAATCCCTCTTGCTGTTTTGGCTTCTGTGATAGCTGCGCAGCCTGCATTCGCTCCATAAGACGCACACACATTTCCCCTTACTTTTTAGGAGGGAAAAAGTGAGTCTTATAGAGCAAAAAATATGGTACTAAGTGTGATCTCAAGAAGGACAATTAAATCTGGAACAAGCAAAAGAGATATTACTACTGTTGTGATGGACATTAATTACCCTTATGGAGACCTGATTTGCATTCAATGCGGAGCCAAACCATAGCTTAACAACAAGCAAGCATGCAGGTTCTCAGAGAGAATATTGCGGCCACTTTGCTCCTGCTCCAATCCTGTTTGTGCCATGCTCCTGTAAAGTTAAGCCACAGTTTGGCTTTGTGTTATAACTGAACCAAGACTCATGGTTTATTTCGCTCCTGACAAAACATGAGCTACAGCCAAAGTTTGTTCTATGGTTTACTGCTCATGGTTAAATCTGCTCCGACCCCAAAGCCCAGGTTCAGGTATAACACTAAGCCGAACTGCAACTTGGCTGATAGCAGCACTGTAGTATCAGGCCTAGAAGGAGAACAAAGCAGCCACACTCTTTTCCCTGGGAGCTCACACATCTCCTTGTTCATACTAAGACACATTACACTGGCTTAGTGTTATGTGTGAACTCTAGGCCATAAACTGGGTAAATGCATGTACTGGCCTCAACGAAGAGGTAAAATTTCTAAAAATACCCTCAACAATCATGCCCTAGAAAAATTGATCATGAAACTGACCAGAGGGGAAGTGACCCTGGACTTAAGTATATCCTAAATTATATCCTAATACAGTGGTGCCTCGCAAGACGAAATTAATCCATTCCGCAAGAGTCTTCGTCTAGCGGTTTTTTCGTCTTGCGAAGCAAGCCCATTGACGGATTAGCGCTATTAGCGCTATCAGCTGTTTAGCGGCTATTAAAGGCTTAAAGGCTTAGGGGATTAGCTGCTAAAAGGCTATTAAAGGCTATTAAAGGCTTAGCAGATTAGATAAAGGGGGGGAAAGCGAAAAAAAAATCTCAAGACTCGCAAGGTATTTTCGTCTTGCGAAGCAAGCCCATAGGGGAATTCGTCCTGCGAAGCAACTTCAAAACGGAAAACCCTTTCGTCTAGCGGTTTTTCCGTCTTGCGAGGCATTCGTCTTGCGGGGCACCACTGTATCCTAAACGATATTAATGACTTAGTGAGAGATACAAGCATTGCTAAACTGATGGGAAACAGAGACCATGTTATCAAATTCAACATATATGCATCAGCAAAACAGCCAATAAATAATAGGAAAATATGATAATGGTTTTAGACAAAAACTAGCCACTGGATCAAGCTTACAATGCCCTCAAAATATTAATTTCAGATTTAAAACAGATTTGGCTTGCAAACATAGGCCTTTGCAAGACCCTATATCTGCCCACTTCACTGACCAGTCTATGAATGGAAAGACCTTTGCATGTCAGACTCACCTTCTCTACAGAGTCGCATCGCTTCTCGGTTTTTCCCATATTCCTTGAAATTTTCTTCCAAGGTTGCTCCTATGTGACAAACAAAAATAAGAACTTCAGTTTAAGGAGTCCTTGTGGAATGGTGACTATGGAGCAAATGACATGCTAGACACTGTTTTGCCAACGTTAATACGAAACATTTGTTCCAAGGATAGCTATAAAATACATTCGCTGCAAAAGTATACAACACATCCTTTCCCCTCATCTCACATAAGCAAGGTAGCTAAGAATGGGTGAATTCATTTGATAGACGAAACAGAGGTAAGGTAGAAAAAACAGCTTCAATCACAGACACCTACTTAAACATAGTACATACAGTGGCACCTCAGTTTAAGAACAACCCTATTTACAAACTATTCAGTATACGAACTCCGCAAAACTAGAAGTAGTGTTCCGGTTAGCAAACTTTACCTTGGTCTACGAACGGAAGCTGAACAGTGGAAGGGTACATGCAGCGGGAGGCCTCATTAGGGAAAGCGCGCCTCAGTTTAAGAACGGCTTTGGTTTAAGAACGGACTTCCGGAACGGATTAAGTTCGTAAACTGAGGTACCGCCGTACTTAACTTCTCACCGTCAGATATAAGTCACCATTGCAGCAAGTCCCTAAGCATAAAAGCTGAATGCACTACAACCTCAAAAGATCCATGCAAATCATTTGATAGATAGATGGGTTGCATGCACCTGTATATACTTTTATTTGGAAACACTTCCCATGTGACCATTTTCATTCACAGGCAGCCGATGTAAGTCAGTCCCCCAAATACCTTATTAGTCATGGGAATGACTTGTAGGAACACACAAGTGAGCACATACTTTAAGATGTAAAAAAGCAAAAAGCACATCAATTAGCAAGCCATGTACAGTTATTATATTAAACAACTTTAAATATTCAGAATAATGCCTTCCTAACAGAGAGTGGTAAACACATTAAAGTCTTTTGCTTGATGTGGCTTTTGTGTTCCAGCTCAGAGCACCTGTAAACAAAAACTGCAACATAGAAATGGCCCTAGCAGAGACAAAATACCTGGAAGCATGCAGCTGCTCTCTTGGAGCAGAACATACCCTAAATCTGCTCTCAGTTGAGGAAGCATACCTATACCTAAGGATTGGAGAGCAGCCTGTCACAGGAACACTAAGGATTACCCACATGCAGATAAACCTCGAAGAGCGGCAGGGTGGAGTTGGCTCCGGGTGAAACCTGGATCTTCCTGGCCAATCACCGCAACTCCCCACCTATCTCCGAGCCTGGGACAGATTCCGGGGACAAGAGGAAGGCTGGAGCGCCTCCCCCGCCCGGTCCCCGCAAGCGACCAGCTGGGTTAACCCCTTGGCTGCCGGGCCGGACCCCTCTCCTGTCCTTCCCTCCCCCATCCACCTCTCACCGTCGTTCCCGTGAAGTTTAGCAGCATCGACCCAATGGCTCCAGGGCTGCCCCAGCATCGCCTCCGGGCTGGGCAAGGACTTGCGCTCCCCGACCGTCGCCATTGCCGCGCTGGTGGCTGGGGTCGTGCTCGCGGCAGCAGTGCTGGCGGGGCCGGGGCCGATCTCGCCTCCGCCTCCACCTCCTCCTCCGCCGCCGCCTCCGTGCCGGGGCCGCCGCTGCTGCCTGCTGGCCGCCGCCGCCGCTCTGCGTTGCTCCCCTCTGACGTCAGCCACGGCCCGCGCCGACATTCTTTCCGCTGCTACAATGTAACGAGAAAAGTCATCAGGCTCTTTAAGGTGGCGCCGCCGCTTAAGGAAGCTCCGGCAGAATTCCCCTCTCGCCAGGCGGAACCGGGGCTGCCGCTACGGGCGCAAGGCTGGTAGGGGCAGAAGCGGCACCAGCAAGAGGCCTCGCGCCGCCTTTGTTTCCAGTTTCCCATTAACCCGCCGCTGCAGGTTCATAATCATCGGCCCGGGGAAGCGAACCAATGGGCTTTTCTTTTTTTTCCCCTTTCCCCCGCTGCAGCTATTGTGGAAAAGGCGACGACCAGCACGATCGCCGTCATCGGGGATCCCGAGGAGACAGCCGGGATCGCGAGGCGCTTCCTTCCAGCAGCCCAATGCGAGACCCGCGGGGCGCCGGTTCCGAGGGCGCCATGGAAGCGGCCTAGAGCTGGACCGCGCGGCCCCGCGAACTCCAGAAACTTCAGTGAAAGGAAGTCGGTTAATTTTAGGAGTCTCGCAAAGCTCCGCGCATATTATCCCAGTCGGGCCCCCGCCCCGCCGCTTCCCCCTTAAGCAGAGGCAGGCTCTTAAAGGCACAGGGGCCCTTTCCCACACAGCCAGGAAGCCCGGGAGGCAGCTCTCCCCCCCACTCGCCGTCCCCGCACCGCCCGATTGAGTCTAGTTTCCACAAACGCGTAACCCACCGAATCTCCTCTCATGACACACACTGCTCAACCCCGCACTCTTCTTTTTAGGCGCTCCCGGGAGCCCGTCCCCTCTCGAGGCTACCTTAACGCCGACACCTCCCTCTGGGCTCCCTCCCACCTTAAAAGTTTTCAACGTCAAGCACAGGGACGGAGGCTGAGTAGGAAACAAGCAGGAAACTAACCCCATCTATGTAACTCATCTCCCGCCCCCAGCGCTGTCGCGGACACCTTCCTCTCGCAAATGTCATCCGCCGATCTTGCCTTAAAAGGTCTCATTTAATATTTAAATCGCTCCGCTCCGGCGCACCAATGGGATGCGGCGCACGGCGACTTCCTCGTCGAAAGAGGCGCCGCGCACTCCCAGAGCGGGGCTTTATTATCTGTCAAAAGCATGAATGAAGACCGAGATTGCCAATCCCCCCCCCGCCCTTACCCCACCCACCACCTCCAATGCTAGGGAGTTAAAGAAAAGAAGCGCCAGAAAAAAAAGGGGGGGAATCTCTCTCTCTCTCTCTCAAAATAAAAGGTTAACCGCTTTAAAAGATGATCAGGAAGAAATATTATTCAGACAGACCCTTGCTTAACCCTTTCATTGTCCTCAGAGGAACTGTGCTTGCAACTTCGCAATTTTGTACTGTTCTCAGTCTCAAAGTGAGATCTGGTGATATTAATTCTTACGTCAAGTATTCAAAAGGTTTTACTTCTTCCAGTGAGGACAAGAATGGTTTTACAGCAACCGTCTTCTTTATAGGAGGTTATCATTACACAGCTTTTGCAATGTATATTTTTTGCAGCATCTGCACAAATTTTCTTAGAATATTACCTTAGAATATTTTATTTTAGCATACTTCGGTGGATCACAAAACACTTTGGTATAAAAGAACTCAAGACACATAAATACACACTCAGTCATTCAAGACACACTCAGTCATTCAAAAATGTCATCAATACATATAGATACTGAGAGTATACTCAGCAGACTGAGCACCTAACTATTTGAAAATAAAACTGGGCCACCCACAAATAAGGTAGTGGTTTCTAAATTATTAGGGGACTCCCTTGCCGCGCAGAAGTGAAAAAGTAAATACTAAAAAAAACAACCAACTCCTAATGTAGATCTAGTGGTCTCCAAGAGCTATAGCTTGGTGAGTTCAGTTCAAGAAGAGTGTTACTTGGGGGGTGGGAGGGAATTGGCTTAAAAGCTTATCACCTCCTAGAGGTTTGCTGTCTGAAGTACTGAACAGAAACATTTGATATGGATCAGGATATACTGCAACATCTAACTGCAGGTCCCACTTACATTTTAGAAAATAGTAGGCATTAAAAAAAAAAATTAGGTCTATCCTGAGAGTGCTAAAAACCAGACATCATGAACCAATAAGATCTTCATATGTAAAATGCATGTGCTGAAATGCTCTTCTTACTAACAAGTTTGCTCAAATTTAGCACACCAAGCAATATGCGCTGCTTATTCAACATGCTCTGTATTTCAAAACCATGTTCATGCCTTATACACCCAAATCATGAACAAACTCTGTGATAATATATTATCATAAGAATTATATACCCTTTGTAATTATCAATATACACATCTACTGTGTATTTGTGAAAGTGAAATTGATTTCTGATTTCTATAGAATTTACGTCTATGTAAGTACATAGCCATGGAGATTAATCTTACACAGGTTTCCTCAGAAGTAATTCAGTGGGGCAGAGGGCTGTTTCCAACTAGGTCCTACTCAGAGTAGATATGTTGAAATTGATGACGATGACTCATTAAGATGCATAAATTTCAATGAGTCTACTCTGAGTAGCTGGATACAACTCATACAGCCAAATCCTGTATTTACTGGAAAACTCGTAATCTCTGTGTTCAATGGGGCTTACTGTCAAACAAAAAACAGAGGAATGCACCTTACTGGCACAAAAATACAAATTATTTTTTCTACATTATCTTTTGCAAAAAAGATATGAAAGGCTGTATGTCAGCTCTTTGTACCAGTAGTGTTTTATTTACACTTGGGAGCGGGAGAATGTCTCCTTGGCAAGACAGGAAAGATATTCATTGCCAATTTTTCTACTGGCATCTGATAGGCTTTTCTTATTACACACCCCAAATGGTCTTAAGAGACAGTTGGCAGAATACTGTGTTTACTGAAGAATCATTGACTATTAATTATATGAAACAAAGTTTATCTGGTAAATAATGCTAGATTATCTCAAAGAGTAACCGCCATGTAGATTTTTCTATTTTCAAGAATAATACAGCTAACTGACTAAATAATAATACAGTTAACTGACTATATAGTTATTAGTTATCACGAGGATAAATGTACCTGAATCTACACTAAAGTTTTATAAAGTATGAACACTATGACAGTTTGACACATAGATGGCTCAATGGCATGGAGAATGTCCATGCCACAGCCACATGTTACAGGAGCGTCAACTGAACAGAGCAATAGCAAAACTGCTCCACACATTGAAGTTGCTGTGTGGAGTAGTCACCGTGTGGAATAATCACTGTGCGGAGGCTATTTCAAGCAGTGATGACTACAAAGTATAAAGAATATGTAATGAAACAGATGAGGCACATACAGTGCCTTTGATCACCACCTGTAAAAAAACCCCTGCTGTCGAAGAAGAATCATACACCATTCTAAGTATACAGTACTTTCATTAATACCATAGGCTCATAAGCTTTTAAATGTTTGGGTTTAAGTTACAACTTTTTTGCTAGCTCATGATTTAATTAAGTTGCTGGAAGCCCAGTAATCACATACATACAGTATCTGTTCAGTCAGTGTACGTTACTAATGTATGGGATGATGAGGTGTCTCAAGTTCAACAAACACTGAATTTCTAGGTCCACAAGCAAATTCTAAAGCAGTGGTGGCTAATCTGTGGCACTCTGGATGTTATGCTGAACAACAACTCTCATCAACCCTGACCATTGGCTATGTCTGCTGAAGCTGATGGGAACAGTAGTTCAGCATAACCTCTCGATGGCCACAGGTTAGCCCCCCCCCCCCCGTTCTAAAGTGTTCCAGGTCCCTATTAACACTCAGCCACTGGACAAAGGCTGTCTAGCACCATTTTGACAGTACAGTCAAACCTCGGTTGTCGAACATAATCCATTCCGGAAGCCCGTTCAGCTTTTGAAATATTCAACAACCAACTTGCAGCTTCCGATTGGCTGCAGGAACTTCCTGCACTCAAGCGTAAGCTGCGCCAGGCGTTCGACTTCCAAAAAATGTTTGAAAACTGGAGCATTTACTTCCGGGTTTTCGGGAACCAAATCATTTGAAAACGGAACCGTTTGGGAGCCAAGGTTTGACTGTACAGCAGATCAGCTAATGCAATCAAGAGAACCAGGGCAGATGGGGTGGTTAGAGAATGATGGAGAAAGTGCAATTTTCAATGTTGAGAAAGTGTACTGACACTTATGGAGCCAAAACAGTGCCATCCACAAACATGCGAGAGGTATCATTATAGGCCTGTAACAACTTGAAGGTTTGCTAAAAGTACAAATATTGAGCAAGGAGGGGGAACCGCAAAAACAATCCAATGAGCACTGAGTGTAAGTCGCCACAGAATGCCGAGTGTTGGGAGGCAGGAAATGAAAGAGCCCACTTAACTTCTCTCCCCATATGAACCAACCTGGACTCTGCAATTATCATCTGAGATCCTTCTTCATGTCCCTCCCCCACTAGAAGTCATGGGGATGGCAACACAAGAATGGGCCTATTCTGTGGTGGGTCCCCATTTGTGAAATGCTCTCCCCAGGGAAACTTGCCTGGCACCTTCATTATACACCTTCGGGCGCTGGGCGAAAATGTTTCTCTTCAACAAGGTGTTTTGCTGATTAACTGTCTATGGCTTTTAAAAATGTGTTTGTGGGAAGCGGGTTATTGGTTTCTTTTTGTTTTATTATGTATTTTGTATTGCTATTTTGTATTTTTCTGTTGTGAACTGCCCTGGGACCTTTGGATGAAGGGCGTATACAAATTTAATAAACAAAAACGTATTATGGAAACATTTTCTATGTAAGTAAGGAACATATTCCCCAATGCTGATGTTCATCTTGTTGCTTAGGTGAATACTAGTTGTTATACATGTCCCTTGCATTTGGTCTGCTTTTGGTCATAAATAAGAAAATGTGCATAACATACTAAATAAACTGTATTCTTCTACAGCTCCGCCCCCAAATAAAATACTGGGTTGGATCCAGACTAACCATGAATGGAATTCTGCTCATGGGACACTCCTGCAGGAAATGAGGGGGCAGGGGGAGCCTTCAACAAACAGCAGAGCACAGTTGTATATATCCCACCCTGAGTTCACTGCTGCCTGTTGCACCAATTATGTAAAACATCATTTGGAGAGAACCTAGGGACAATTACATGGTCATGAACAGGGCAGTTTGCCTCTCAGTCTCACTAAGAGGTATTTCCTCTTACAACTTTAATATTTTGCAGAATAGCTTACCTCACCTGTAGCAAGAATGAAAAGGTGATAGACATAACTTAGAAAGGGAATCAGACAGTATTTAAAAGCCTAGTGTGCATAAGCATCTATTAAGGACAACCTTTTCCCCCTAGCCTTTGACACTTGCGATGTATATTTTATGGTCCTGCTTTATTTTTGTGACTGTGAGTTGTTTTAAATTGCTTTTAATTTTGTATTTTAAATTGCTGTGCTGTAACCCACCTTGAGACCTCAGGGAGAAGGGCAGGTAATAAATGAATAACACCACCACTCTGAACACCTTTGGACCACACTGACTTTCCTTTTTCGTCAAAATTGAATAAAATATTATACTGAGTTGAAGGCAAGCAACGTTCTCAGATACGTGTACATAGGAATTGCACAAATGCAAGTGGCCAGCCTATTTCTGGCAACCTTTGCCCCTGAATGTCCAATACAAGATGAGAGACCCCTTCACTTCTCCAAAGGCAGAGAACTTGCGGGGGCGGGGGGGGGGGCAGAGGCGATGTCTTTTGCTTTATCAGAGATGGGAAAACCAGAAGTTTTGTTCCACTTTTCACCAGGCTTTTGCAACGCTAAGAAACAGCAAGCATCCACATCACTGCTTCAAAGTGTTTACAAACCCTGGGGGAAAACCAATCCAGGCCCTCACTCAAATCCAGAAGACATGTGGGAGAATCAGTGGAAATCAGAATACCAAGGGAAGCCATCATTTTGGATCCTTAGGTAGAAAGCAAGTCCTTCCAGAATCTCATTTGTTTCTTAACGTGAACTGTAAAAGTGTAAGTAGACCATTCTGAGTCCCTGAGTAGGCTATAAATTTTAGATAAAATGCAATCAATCAAGAGGATGGGAGGGTTCAAGACAGCTACTACACCTCCTACTTTCAGAACTATGGGTGTAATAAACATATTTCACCTGTAGAGAATGACAAGCACTCACATATTTTTGAACTTCCAGATGAGGGTTATTTGCTGTGTCAAGGTATAGCAGGACAGGCTTTCAGAATCTGCCAATCAGTCACAGGCTCCTTCATGAGGAAATGATGCCTTAAGACTTAATTGTTAGAGCATAGCTATCTGCTCTTCTTTATCACAACTAATCAAAGTCATTAGAAAGGGCTTGTCCTCCTGAAAATGCCTGTGGAAATCCAGCTGAGCAATTACTGCTCATATAAGTGCTCTGTGAAAATCAAGATTTGAGAAACTAACAAGTTGTACATGTAATACTGATAGAAATGTAACTAGGCATTTTTGGTAGAATGAAGGAAGTCAGAGTGCTTCCATACTTTCCAAACAAAGTTGTTGGGTTGGTTGTTGTTTTTTGGCCTTTTTTTGGTCAATTAATGCTTAAGTAGAATTTTCAAGCCCTGTTCTGTCATAACACCATTCTTTGTTGTGAAAACGAGGCGTAAGCACAAGAGAAAAGAAAGCAAACATCAAAATAGACAGATGTGGCAAGTGTAACATAATGATTGCATTAGCTACTACAACATGAAATGAAACTAGCTTGCGCTCCATCATACCAAATCAACAGGGTTTTTTGTTTTTTAAAAAGAGAAAAATTGTATCCTGGTTTTCTAGGCACATGCTAACTCAAGGAAGCTTGAAAGAGGTACAATAAAAACAAACAGCAATAGAATTAAGAGGGTAGGGCTGCAATCCTACACCCATTTATCTAGAAGTACATCCTACTGAACTCAGAAAGGCTTACTTCTTAGTAGGAATCTGCAGGATTGCACTGTGAACCAGTTGAGGCTCTAGGTAAAAATAAAAGTCCAGTGGAATAATACTATTTTCAGAGTACACTTGAGGCCCATTTAATCACTACTATTTGACTCTGCTACTGAAATATATAAGGAAAGGGGCCTAAAGGTGCTGATTCTGAACTGATACCCCTGCCCACCGCAATACTGCTCAGTTATTGCTCTATGGCTCACGTAACATCATTACTAGTAAAGCTGGTGTGTGGGTGTGGGTGTGGGGGAGAGAGAGAGAGAGAGAGAGAGAGAGAGAGCATGCTTAATTTTGTTGTCCACTTCTGGCAGCTATTTTGCATGTTAAGATGTCACCTTAGGCTGGCTGGTGATATACTATTCTGCTACTGAAACATTCTTTCAACATGCCATGAATCCATCAGTATTCCAGTAAGAAAGAGAAGAGTGGCAGCAGAAAGATCAATTCATCACTTCAATGGACAAGATCACGGACTGTCAAGTCAAACTAGGAATAATAAAGTCAGTTCAGAAACTGATTTTTCTTTTTCTTTTTGTGGGGTTGCAAGTGGGGAGCCAGTTTCCTATGTTATATAGTGCAAGAAAAAGAAGTTAATGAAAGAGAAAATGGTTCTCTCTTAAATCAATCAAATTTTATTTTAAAAAGTTAGTTCTCTGATATAGTTTGGGGGAGTACTAAAACAAATGGTAGAAAAATAAAGATTATAAATACACAGACAGCACCTGAGAAACCCACTTGTCAGATATGGAATTTGACATGCCTGCGTAGGGAAGCAAAGAACCGGTCAGGGAGGGGGTGTGCAACATTCAGCAACTTGAAGAAAAAGCAATGTATAGAAACAGGCCTGTCTGAGGAGAAGTGAAGGAGAACCAAAAGCATAACAGTACAGTGGTACCTCAGGTTAAGTACTTAATTCGTTCCGGAGGTCGTTTGTAACCTGAAACTGTTCTTAACCTGAAGCACCATTTTAGCTAATGGGGCCTCCCACTGCCGCCGCACCGCCAGAGCACGATTTCTTTTCTCATCCTGAAGTTCTTAACCCGAGGTAATAATTCTGGGTTAGCGGAGTCTGTAACCTGAAGCGTATGTAACCTGAAGCGTATGTAACCCGAGGTACCACTGTATAAAAGGTATTAGGTCCAGTCATGGCTGACTCTGGGGTTGTGGCGCTCATCTCGCTTTACTGGCCGAGGGAGTCAGCGTACAGCTTCCGGGTCATATGGCCAACATGACTAAGCCGCTTCTGGTGAACCAGAGCAGCGCACGGAAACACTGTTTACCTTCCCGCCGGAGCGGTACCTATTTATCTACTTGCACTTTGACGTGCTTTAGAACTGCTAGGTGTGCAGGAGCTGGGACCGAGCAACTGGAGCTCACCCCGTCACAGGGATTCGAACCGCCGACCTTTTGATCGGCAAGTCCTAGGCTCTGTGGTTTAACCCACAGCGCCACCAGGCCTTCCCAATATCCTTTAAGCTTACAGAGCAGGGGTGGGGAAACTGTGACCTCTCCAGATGTTGTTGGGCTACAACTTTTGTCATCTTTCATCACTAGCCATGAAAACTGAGGCTGATGGGAGCCGAGGTCCAACAACATTTGGAGGGCCACAGGTTCTTCATCCCCATTATAGTGATATCTGGCTATACACATGCTATCAATTCTTTTTTGTTTTGTTGAGAAGCTTCCCCAAAATGAAGGTGATTAAATTAGAAACCCAACGGAAGGAAGCACACCAACTTCTTGAATCAAATATGTCTGTCAGGAGTCCAAGTTTCTGTTTCAAAGAAAAATCTGAGAGAAGCTCCAGGAAGAAGGATCAACAGGAAGGCCTAGAGCTTTCAGTTCACTGGTTTTCATGACTCATTTACAAACTACTCTTTGCTCACTGTCATGACAATAGTACAAAGTACATGAGTACAAATATTGGCTTCCTATTGTGGGATACGGCTCCCGGTTAACAAATCCTGATACAAGCTACTGTACAAAAGTATTTGGGGAGCAGAAATGTTCACACAAATGTATCTCTTAAACTAAGTGTAGGACTACAGCAATGCATTCTACATGACTATGCTTGAAAATTCAAGATTCAAATGAGTATTTGGGGATGTATTTCACAAGCATTCCAAAGTTGGTACAGTGGTGCCTCGCAAGACAAAAATAATTCGTTCCGCGAGTCTTTTCGTCTTGCGATGTTTTTCGTCTTGCGAAGCACGGTCCGTCGCAACTGCGCCTCTTCAAGCGGCTTTAAGAAAAAAGCGCAAGACATTTTCGTCTTGCGAAGCAAGCCCATAGGGAAATTCGTCTAGTGAAGCAACGCAAAACCGAAAAACCCTTTCGTCTAGCGAGTTTTTCGTCTTGCGAGGCATTCATCTTGCGGGGCACCACTGTACTGTATTTCCACCATCTCCTTGTGGTATGAAATCATATAATGATTAAATTCACTTTTCACAACACATTAAGCCAAGAGAATGATGTGTAAAAGTAGCTGATGTAGTTCTATTTCTAAATCTAGGCAGGTATGTGAGCATACCTGCAGTATCAGTGCAGTACCTATATTCCAGTGCAGTACCTACATTCAAGACAACCTAGGAACTCCATTGAACTCATAACTAAAAGGTTGGGACAAACATTTAAATAAATAGAAAATAAAAAAACTATTTCCTTCCCCATGACCCACAACAATCTCTTAAACATTCTTGGTAAGTAATTCTGCTACTATAGAACTCTTTCTTACTTGAGGGCCTGAGTAGCTTCAATAAAGATTTGTTTGATCTCATCTGAATTGGCTTTTAAGGGGTACATTTAAGCTAACAGTGGGGAGAAAGGGATACTTAATTATTTTGGTGGGGCTATCAGTTCTACCACTGTGTTATATTTTTAAGGCAATAATCTACTAAAGCTGCCACAGGTGGGGAAATAGCCAGGGAGCCTGTGAAGTTCTATCTATCACAGCAGACAGACAGCTCTAAAGAAGACTCTTAAGAAGTCAGGTTACTTGGATTTTGTTAAAATATTATGATCCACCTGAGGATTTGGGACAGTGTGGGATAAAAATCCAAAATTTAACTTCCAGAATAAAATAAAAGCATCCAAAATAAAAAGTGAAATCCTAGCCCCCTGGCCAGGAACAGTGGGATTGGAGCAGATTAGGAAATTGGGCACTGCATCTGAAGCTCTGTCCACTTGTGGTGGCCAGAGCAGAAGACAGTGTTTTTTTTATTTTGCTGCACCAACTCCAAGGTGGCGCAGCTGAGGGATCCATACCAGGTCCCTTGAAGAGGAACTGAGTTGCTTAGGATCCAATGGATCCCGGGCACGGGGTGTCCTGCCCCCAGGCACCCTGTTTTAGGCCCTGTACCAGCAACTGATGGTTGCATTCCATCTGCTATGGTTTCTGCAGCTGTTACTATATCCCAGCCTGTTCTAGCAGCAACTATCAGGGGGTTAGGATTAGTGATGTGGATTTTCTGGGCAAATTTGCATCAGAAAAGTTTTGGATACCCTACAGAGTGATCTAATTTGGCAAGTTTATTTTACCTGTATTTGGCAAACCAAGGTATAAAAGTGAGCCGTGTTAATTTTTTGTCTCAGTTCACCACAAGTATTTGACCCCAAATACTGGAGGTATAAAATTGAAGCACACCTAATGTGATTTAAATGTTATTTTATGTAGATTTTTAATGGGAATACTGTAAAAGTAAAAGTGAAGACCACTGCTTGTACTTCATTCATGTAGTTTAAATTTCAAGGACGGAAAAACCAAAGACACTGACAAGCTGTTAATACACTAATATATTTTGTGATCCAAAAAAGCTGACTCACATACTTGTTAGGATAATCAATTGAAAAACATTAATTACAACTTTGAAACCATCAAACCTCCCTAATATTATATTTGTAGTTATCATCCATTAATTGCTACTAATAAACCTATGAAATAAAATAAAAAAATCTGCAGGGGAAAATTCTGTGGGAGAAAATTTTATGGCCCGCATCACTGGTTAGGATTGCTATTTAAAACATTTTACCTGCCTAATAAAACTATTGAAAATAGTTTTGGGGATTTTAAATTATTAAGCTAGAAAGCAGAATACATATAGGAAGCTTCCCCACTTTATAATGAATTGTAGGTACAAAGTTGTATTGGCTGATAAAGAGACAAGGTCATTATAAAGGCCAATCATTATCTTAAAATACTTTCTATGCAATGCATTTGGAAGCAAGGCTGCCCTCATCTGCAAAATCCCCTTCCTCCAAAAATATACTGGAGCCAATTAAATCATCTCTTCCAATAAAATATTTTATTTGAACTAGGCCTGAGTGGTAGGAATTAAGCTGATATATAGATGAAGTTTTAATATTAAGTTGTCAATTTTATTTTATCTGATTGGCTTTGCCATAAGATTTTAACATACTGTTATCTGCCCTAATTTTCTGGAATGAGGTTTATTACAAATCTAAAACAAGAACAAGAATAACGAGTTCAGTGGGTAGCCTTTGGTGAGTCACTCTTTCTAAAGAATCTGCTCTTATCTACAAGACTGAAACAGAAGTGATATACCTGCCAAAACAGAGCTTGGAAAAACTCATTCTAAATACCAACACTGCCAAAACTCTCCTAAATATAATACCCATAATTATTTTCCTTCTTTAAGGGTGAAAGTTAAAATTCTTACAATTACTACAAGCTACAATAGCTATAGGGACACGGGTGGCGCTGTGGGTTAAACCACAGAGCCTAGGGCTTGCTGTCAGAAGGTTGGTGGTTCAAATCCCTGCGACGGGGTGAGCTCCCATTGCTCGGTCCCTACTCCTGCCAACCTAGCAGTTCGAAAACACATCAAAGTGCAAGTAGATAAATAGGTACCACTCCGGCGGGAAGGTAAACGGCGTTTCCGTGCGCTGCTCTGGTTCGCCAGAAGCAGCTTAGTCATGCTGCCACATGACACGGAAACTGTCTGTGGACAAACACTGGCTCCCTTGGCCTATAGAGCGAGATGAGCACCGCAACCCCAGAGTCGTCCATGACTGGACTGATATTTTATTTCTATCTTATGAATCAGTGCTGGGGAATCTGTGGGTCTGGGATTTCATTTGGAATTTCAATTCTCATGCAGAGCAGAGCAGAAGCTGCTTAAATGATAGCAACTGAATAGTTTAGCACCTAGATAATATAAAACAAGAAAGCCTAACCCTTTGGCTCTCCAGATTCTGCTGGATAGCCTGCATGGCCACTGGTCAGGGATAATGTGAGTTGGAAGACCAGCAACATCTGAAGAATTACAGGTTAGCGACTCTTAATCTAAAATACTAACCCCTTCATCAAGCAGCCAGTGTAAAGAGGCTGGCAGCTGCATTTAAAGTTGAGCTGAGTCAGACCAAAAAAACCCCACAAAACCCTGGTACTAGATATATTAATATTCTATAATGAATGAGATTTCAACAATGCCATTACATTTTTCTCCGCAACTGAAGCTATAAATTTTGTAAGACACAATTGGATTCTGGCTTGTACTCACTAGCTATAGTTTAAACAAAACACAGTTCACTTAGCTTAAATGTCACAGGCAACTGTGGTTAGTTTAAAAGCAGAAGTAAAAGCTTTTGATATCTTCCTTTGGTGCATGATGGAAAAGAAGTAAGAAAGGGGGACAGGAGTGTGGGAGCCTGTGCCTTGGGAAGGTTCATACAGTAGTACCTCGGGTTAAGTACTTAATTCGTTCCGGAGGTCCGTACTTAACCTGAAACTGTTCTTAACCTGAAGCACCACTTTAGCTAATGGGGCCTCCTGCTGCCATTGCGCCGCCGGAACACGATTTCTGTTCTCATCCTGAAGCAAAGTTCTTAACCTGAAGCACTATTTCTGAGTTAACGGAGTCTGTAACCTGAAGTGTATGTAACCCGAGGTACCACTGTAGTTAGAAACTTGTTTCTATGGTTAGAAACTTGTTTCTTGTTATTGCTGAACAGATTCATTAAGTGAACTTGATTATATTGCCACTTCGTACAATTTCTCTACAAAACTTTGTACATGTATCTCCACACAGAAAACATGGAAAGTTCAACTGAGGCTGATATTTATATGCTCCTACTTTTAAAGGCGCACATAAATCTTATATGCTCATCTTATAAAACTGCTCCTGATCCAACAATTCCAAAGTAGCTTTTCAGCTGAGCTTCATGAAAATACATATTGTAAAGGGGTGGGGGTAGGTTGTACTGTGACTAGCATTCTGTAATATTATCTTTGTCATTTAAATGTGTTCTGCTTCTTTCAGCTACATAAAGCAACCCCTTTAGGCTTTTGGTAGAACAGTCTATTTTTAAAAGCACATAAAGCTGGTTATCACAACAAAATTAACACAACTAAAATAGGCTTAGCTCCATACATCAAGACTCCAGTATTAGAAGTGTTGAATTCCATTTTATACAACTATCAAGCAAAAGCAAGAATATATAAATCAACAGAACTGAAAATATTCTAGAAAACTAAGAGAATTTTTTTAAAAGGAACTGTAATGTGATATTGTCACAAGGAAAGCTTCGTATTACAATAAAATATTATGTTCTCCAATGTTACCCTTTAGTAGAGGAAACATACTCTATCACCTGAGGAAAGACATATTCCCTCCCTTGCTAATTAAACAAAGTGCTGATTTTGTTTAAATTTATGTAATATAACTCCCAGTGGTCAATGTGTAGGACATGATCCAGGTACAAATCTCTGCACATCTTCGGTCATTGTCTTTTAGTGTCACTGTCCCACTTGTAAAATGAAAATACAAGACATACGTTGCATAAAAGAAGAACATAATCACTTATAATATAGGAAGTTGTTTAAAAATACGAACAAATTTACATCCATGGGCTGCAGAAATTAAGGGGCTCATACTCCAGTCCCATGCACCCAACAGAACTATGGGTCACTTCCCAGCTCCCACTAACAACATCATAGCAGAGAGAAGTCCAGCCTAGGTGCAATCACAAGCCAAAGAATGATCAGCTGCAGGGAACTTGTTTCCCCACTTCCTACCAGAAAGGACACTCTGTCCAACTGTCAGTTTTGCTTAGGAAGCATATTCTGGGCCCATTCTTCAGTCAGGGCTGCTGGTATATTTGTACAGTATCTCTGTGTGGTGTGTGTGTGTGTTGTACTGTATAATTACACTATTGTAAGTCACATTGAGAATCATTTAACTGAAAGGCAAGGTAAAATTTTCAAAATAAATAGATATTTGTGGTTCAGATTAACAACATATACAGCTCATTGTGGCATTCAGTACTGTGTTTTATTTTATTTTGGAGATGTAACTTGTGGTAAGTGCTTGTCTAGCCAATCATTTCTAATAAGTGATGGCAATGGTTTCCCTCTTAGGCTTAACTCACACTAGCGGTGATCCTGCAAATTTAGGAGATAAGTTACAGCTCAGTTTTTCTTACAGGATGTCACAGTCTCAGTTCCTGGTGTCTCGAGGGTCAAGTGATATGAACAACCTCTGCCTGGGATCCTTGACGGTCACAAGCAGTGAGAACAAACAATCCTGGGATAGGTGGGCAAACAACCTGACCTTCTATAAGCAAGCTTTCTATATCCCAAACATAATGAGGGAGAAGGTGGAGATGCCATTCACAAGAAAAAAAAGGAGCGAGAATCTATGACAAACATAAGTTGCTCCCCTGTGTTACAGAGAAACCTCAATTGCTATGGAGGTGTTTGCTGGGGGAAGTAATGCATTTAACCAGCAACATAAAATTGTAAAGCAAATGTTAGGATCTCAGAAACAGAGTTACATCTGTATTACTTGCAACCAAAGGGTTATGGTGCTGTTCTTATTTCTTTAAACACACATGCATACATAAAAATTCTGAAAACACCAGCTGAACATGCCCAGTGCTTCTGCGAGAACCCAGATACGATATAACAGAAATGTGATCCTTTTGTTCCTATATGCACAAGGGTGGTTAGAAGGCTGACCATGGTATACCAGTGGACCACTTTCACAGAATGCTGGCTGGTTGCAGGTTTGCTGGGGATCTTGCAAACCATGCTAGAGAAGGAAGTCTTGATCTGATTTACGGGACTGTTAAAAGATCAAGTACAGTATATACTCTTGCTTTGCTAATCTAAAATAATAATAATAATAATAATAATAATAATAATAATAATGTTGGTGAAGCACAGAGGTCCTAGCATTCTTTAAAAAAAAGAAAGAAAAAAGAAAAAAACTGTAGACCAATCAAGATTGAAATCAGTCTATATTCACTGTAACTTGGGGAGCCTTTGTTTAAATGTTATTTGCTAGCACAGTCTTTCTCCCACAATTTACAAAATCCTGTTCTTTGTTTTTCTTTGAACAGTATATATGTATCACACCCCTTAAAAAACTAGAAAGGGGAGAACAGGTTTTCCCCCTACACCAATACTCTCTATTACTTTTGAGACTTGTAGCACAACAGAGTGTGTGAAGTTGGTGTCATTGGTCACAATATATTATGTACAATCATAAAACCCCTCCGTCACAAAAACAATTATTTAACACCTAGCAGCTCTTAATATTACTGTGGCATTCCTAACAACTTTTATGTCTGCCTTTTTTAAATTCTTGCTGCCCTTTGTGTCTCAGTATCTCTTGCATCTGTAGTACCCAGACACAATAGTTGAGGAACATACTTATATATATATATAGGTTAGTAGGTCACAGTACCTTAAAAGTCTGGTAAAATTCAGGGTTGGGATATCAATTGATCATCATCTGCCTGGGCTGTGGAAGTTTCCTCTTTCTTATATTTGATTAAATCTGCAATGAAACACATGGTAACAATCACTATTACAGTAATAAGATTTTGCCATCTTATCTTGCAAAAGCGAAAAACATTTAATTGAAATTACCCTGATCATTCTCTTCTATGCAGGCCACTTAATACTACTATTAATATTGTCTCAAGCTTATTTGAATAGAATTGCTTGAAGCTAAACTCTCATTACTGTAGTTTCTGCATTTGAATAATAGAATGAAGTCTTAAATGCAAATGGTTTAGATTTAAAGAATTTTTTGTAAGAACTAAACTAAGAAAATATAAGGTAAAGCTAACAGACAAAGGGGAAAGCTCTCTTAGTCCTGAGATTACAAGAAAAGAAAAATCATGCCCAGATTGCTACAAACTTCAGCTGCTATCCAAAGCTCAATTGCTTGGGAATCAATCCCACTGAACTCAATAGGACTTACTTCTGAGTAGACCTGGTTAGGATTGCCCTAACCTAATTCTTTTTCTTTGTGGAGAACTTTACTGCAGATGTATGTATGAAAGCATACTTTCTAGGAATGCTGTAATTTATGCTGACAGAATGTCAGCAAACTCCCAGAAGTAAATATAAACAATACTGAAATCTTTAATTCATAGGCACAACATTTGACTGTCAACTGCTGACTTTCAGTATCTTTAATGCAACTATCTAAATGTCCTCTTAATGAACAACCTGTAGAACCAACTCTTTCGCAATAAAGTATGTTCAAAGCATTCGCACTAGTGTTTGACTTCTCTATTTGATGTTTCTTTCTCTGCGTAATTACAGCACACAAGACATTCAAAGTTCTTATTTCTGCCCCAACAGTCAATCACAGGCTATTGTCAATAGCAGATTCAACCTCATCTGCAGTAATTTTCCTTTTAACTTCCGGATAATCTTCAAAAGTAGACAGAATTGTTAATGAGATAATAAGATGTATTCACACAAAGTAATTCTGCTTTTTATGTAACTCAGGTAGCTGTTTTTATTTAAACACCGAAGCGGCAAAAATGTGTATGCTGATGTTGTAACGTTCTCTCACTAAAATACTTCCATCATTTACTCATTTTCAAATAAGTGAAGGCTTAGATAAATTGTATTAATATACAGTGAGGATATATTATATGTAAAGATCTCTCTTCATATTATCCCCAACTTTGTATGCAAAGAAAGAAGTATAAAAGTTTGAATTGTTATGATACATTTTCTGTTAATCTTTATTTCCTTCTGGTCAAAAATTATTATAATTAATAATTTTGAAAGATTTCACAGAAAAGATGGGTAAGTCAGTCAGTAAGAACACATTCTAATGCTTTCCCCATAAAATGCCCAAGATTATTTACAAACTACTGACAAAAACATAAATTAACCAAAATGTAAAACACATTATTCTGCATCTGAGGGAAGGAGCACATGGATATTAAAAAATGCCAAAGCTATTGTTAAACCTCCATGTGCCAGAAAGCTCATTTTTCAACAGTTATGGCTACCATAAACAGGATGTTCAAATGAGTTCCCTAATGTTTCACTACTGTAAATGACTGCAAGTTTATCTGTACAGTTTTAATTTACTATCCAAAAACAGAAAAGGAAAATCTGACTAATAATTTATGTGCCACACTACTAACCTTAAAGAGGAGATTTGTTCATTTACAGGTACAACGCACATCGCTATTCTCAATGTAAACAAAAGACAGCGGCATGCACCCCAGGCTAAGGATGTCAGCATTTTTCAAACACCTTTCTGACTGTTCCATTTTATGGTGATGCAATCTGACCTACATTTTCAGTGGCCAAAGAGAGACGGAGATACAAAGGGAGGTGGAGATGGCAAGCTGAAGGGGGGGGGTAGCGAGTGAGAGATTGAGATTCTTTACCCACCAATCCACTAACTGGGGTTTTAATTGGCAGTACAAAGGGTCTAAAAAAGCAGCTGCAGAGATAAAAACTATTTCAAGGGTAACTATACTGTGCTTAGAATACAAAAACTAAAGGAGGTAGGAAGCAGAGAGTAAGCATTGGATTTTTGATCAAGTGACAAAATTTAGCATCCTCATTAAGCAGAGTGGAATGCTATCCTAGAAGGAATGCTGAAATATAGATGGCAAAGACATGCAGCGTTACAGTATTTTCAACCAGAGCACTCATCAGAAGTGATATCCAGCCTATTTTGAAACATACTAGCATTAATAAATTATTATTATTATTATTATTATTATTATTATTATTTATTTAATTTATATACCGCCCTATACCCAGAGGTCTCAGGGTGGTTAACAGAATAAAATCAAAATATAAAACCACAAAATACATAATCAAAATAAAAACAATAACTCCTCCCTCAAACCCCACATTTTAAAAGGGCATAGGATGTAAATCAAATCAACCAAAGGCCTGGTTAAAAAGGAATGTTTTTGCCTAACGCGTAAAGGTGTATAATGAAGGCGCCGGGTGAACTTCCCTGGGGAGAGCATTCCAGAGACAGGGAGCCACCCTCCGGACCTCTCAAGGAGGAGGCACACAAAGAAGGGCCTCAGAAGATGATCTCAGGGTCCAGGTAGGTTCCTATGGAAAGGTTCATATGGTCCTGAGCCATTTAAGACTTTATAGGTCAAAACCAGCACTTTGAACTGGGCCTGGAAACTAATTGGTAGCCAGTGCAGCCAGACCAGGATTGGTGTAATATGCTCAAACCATGTTGTTCTGGTGAGCAACCCGGCTGCAGAATTCTGTACCAGCTGAAGTTTCCAAACCGTCTTCAGAGGCAGCCCTGCATATAACACATTGCAGTAATCTAACCTTGAAGTTACTAGAGCACAGGCAACAGTAGATAAGCTATTCCTGTCCAGATAGGGGTGTAGCTGGGTCATCAGCTGAAGCTGATGGAAGGCACTGTGGGCCACTGGGGCCACCTGAGCCTTGAACGACAACAGAGGATCCAGGAGTATCCCCCAGGCTACAAACCTGCTCCTACAGAGGAAGTCTAACCCCATCAAGAGCAGGCGATCTCCCACCCATCGGGTCTAGGGAACCACCCACTAACAGTGCCTCAGTCTTATCTGGATTGAGCTTCTGTTTCTTGGCTCTCATCCAGTCCATTACTGAGGCAAGACACTGGTCCAGCACTTCCACTGCCTCACCTATAGATGTAAAGGAGAAACAGAGCTGAGTGTCATCAGCATACTGCTAACAACGTATTCCAAACCTCCAGGAAACCCCACCCAGTGGTTTCATGTAGATGTTAAACAATGTAGGGGATAGGACTGAGCCCTGCGAAACCCCACACTGAAAGTTCCATGGAGCTGAAAAGCATTCCCCAAGCAACACCCTCTGGCAACAACCATCCAAGTAGGACTGGAGCCCCTGCAAAGAGGTGACACCGATCCCTAGTTCGGACAGTTGCTCCAGAAAGATGCCATGGTCGATGGTATCGAAAGCTAAATAGTATAATTACATTAGTAATACCATAACCTTCAACATTCTTCATGAAAATAGGGACGTTCTATTGCTTTTCATGCAGAATGGAGACCTCTTAGTTGCATGAAAACATTGTTTTATGTGTACATGGACACATACACCCCTACATAAAGCCTTAATAATGATGTTCCATTGTCGTCCAGGAATTGCTTCAATAGAACTGAAGAAGTATATTTCAGCTATTTATTATATGCTAGGCCTTCAACTGCACCAGCTGTAACAAAACATGTCTCTCCCATATTGGTTCCTACACTCACAACAGGCACTGCAACCTTCCAACAGTTTGACTTTACCCCCAAAGGCACACTCCTCCATTGTCTCCCATGCCAGCAACAGCATCACAAACAGAGTTCTGCAAACAAACTTTGAACATAACAGTAGTACAACTGAGCTTGTGGGAGAGGAAATAAAAGCAAACTACTTCAAAATATTTTTTGCAGTTGTGATATGCAAACCACTCATTCTGTAGTAGCCAGGAAATAATTTCATTTGCCTGGATAGAAGCAGTTCCTTCTGCACACGGGAGTACCACTACTTTCACATGGCAAACAGGCAATGGTTATTTAATTACTTAAGAGTGAAGCTCCACATACACAAAGTGATTTCTACGACATATTTCTATTGTTGGCAAAAGCTTTCTCAACCAACACACAACAAAACGGAACCCTGCTGCGGAGGGTAGGCAGGGCAGCAAGGAGTGAGAAAAAGGCTTCTCCTCTCCTCCCACATTGCTTTGGTTTCTGGGGAGAAAAGAAGAAAGCCTTCTCCTGTACTCTGTACCATAGCTGCCTGCTGAAGGAGAAATTTGAACTACAGTAATAGTGCATGCAACAGAACTATGTGTACTTCAAGTTTGATTTTTTAAAAAAATAAATAAAAAATAAAAATTTATGCCAAGTTCAAACTGAATTGTTCACTGTATAAAATGACAAAATATCAAAACATATCTGCCTCATGTATTTGCTTATATGCAATAATTTACCTGTCTTCTCCTATTCACTGAGTGGGGCAGAGAGGTAAGCATAATTGCAAAGCACTCTGCACAACAGAAATGCAAAAACTATCTGCAGTATTTCCACACCAGTTTCAACTAATATTTATTTTTCATTTAAAATATTTATATACTATTCTTCAGCAAAGTTTCCAGGACTGTTTACAGAAATGTTGGTGGCAGGTGAACTCCCTAGGGAAGGAATTCCCTAGGCAGGCCTACACATTAGCAAGGCTCTCTACGTGGTTGCCATTCACCTTATAAATACAATTGCAGCATTTGCCATAAGCTTCCTTCTTCTTGCCTCCTCCTCTATTATATGAGATGACTCATAACACTGTAGTTCAGAGACTGAGCTGTAATAAATTAAGAAGTCCCCAATTCGAATCTCAACTTATCCATGAACTGTCCACACTATTATCTTGGCCTGCCATGCACAATATGGGGATAACAGTACTGGTTTGATTTGCAGGAATTACAAAAATAAAATTTAAAAAAATGTGAAGGACTATGAACAAGCCAATATCGGCACTAGGTATCCTTGAGCAGCTACTGCAACCCCATCAGGGCTCACTCAACATTAGCTGATGTTTTGACAGTTAACTTTATTGTGTACTATTATATTCTAATAGATAACTGAATATTACTTTATTTGATATTATTTATTCCATTTTAAAGTTATGTTTTATTATGACTCCTGTATCGGATCAGATTATTATAAGGTGTGTGTTCTTTGTTGTGTATTTTGTTGCTGTAAACCGCCTTGTGCATAGTAATATAGAAAGGAGGTATACAAATTAAAAGTGAAATGAAATGACATGAAACATATTGCTTACAAGCTTGTTTCTTGAAACACATTTATTCCCATATACATTTCGTTCTTTTAATTGCATGGCAGGTAAACCTTTGAGTTTCTTAAAAACCAGACAACCTTGCAAGTGGCTTCAATTTTAGAGGGCAACGAAAAACTATATGAGGACGTGATATTTACAGATTAGGTATGAGAAACGGAATTGCTTAGTATCAACTTCTACGAATCTTTTTTGAGGAGGGCAGATTAACTGTCCTCCACTACTCTTGCTCACCCCACCATAGCAACAGGTAAAAAAATTGCCTCTACCATTTACCTGCCATATTGGATGTACGTGTAATATAGCATTTTATATAATACAACAAACATAAAGAATGTTGATTTCCCTGTAAACTTTTGATTCTGTGACATTAGGAATCCTTCAAAAGAAAGAGAAACTGAAAGAGTCCGTATTTTCAAGACACTGCATGATTTCATAAACAAAGGAGTTATTTGAATATCCTTCCTCTTTCAAACAATGATTAACTTTGGTAGTTTCCCTTCCCAGACTTTTAAACTGAAACTCTGACAATCCTTACAAAACATTATAAACTTGCTGAAAAGGTCACTTCACCTATCTATATATGTCAGCATTTTAAAAATAGCCTTTGATTAATATTATAATGAAATACTGAAATATTGTTTTGAGTACAAACGTAAAAGGAATTTGCCCTGTAAACGCCATTGAAAGTCTATACAGCTGAGATATACACACTCCTGCTAACATCACTGATGATGCTGGATGAGGAAGAGGGAGGGACATTAATTACAGAGGAAGACAAAACACTTGTAAAGCATGAGGGAAAACTGAGTAAGAAAACTTGAATGTGTTGCCTTCAAATTAAATGGGTGGGGAAAATAAAGGGGAAATCTGTTATTTTTTTCACTATGAAAACCTAACCGAAAAGTTTCTAGTCATTGGAATATGTACTAGCCAAAATAAATATCAAACAGAAGTCTCACTTATCGACAACAGAATCCTATACATTTCTACTCAGAAGTAAGCTGAACCACATTCAACAGGACTTACAAGTAAGCGTGCATGGGGGATTGCAGCCTGATTTCCGTGATAAATCTGAATTTTCTGATATTTATAAGTACGCATGAAATAATGACTCTAATGGCACTTCCTTGATATAGTTACTCTGAAATCAAGACAGCAACTTCTTTGTAAACCTCTTGGCCTAAGCTGCCTCACAAGGTTGCTGTGGGCTTTAAATGAGAAGGTAGAGAACCATCACCACCTTGGAGAAAAAGGTGGGATATCATCCAATAAAAATATATATGGTGTTAAAAGAATCTTATTACCTGAATACTGTTCTATGGTTAAAAAAATGACTTTGTGTCATGTACTTTTGGTTATGGGTGGTGGGTAGCAGGAACGGAAATATATTTCATGAAGCCATTCAGCCATCTTTAGGGCTGAACCTAAAATAAGATCTCCTGTAACACAGGGGACAACTAACAGCAATCCTCCGGATGATCTCAGTGGTCTTTCAGGTATCCTGGACCCAAGTGGTCTTTAAAGTATCCAAGACCCAAGTTGTTCAGGGAACTGTATGTCAACACAAGAACTCTGAACCAGGCCTGAAAACATATTAGCAACCATTGCAGATGTTTCAACAGAGGTGTGACATCCTGTCAAATCATCTGTTCGCATCAGCAGTATAACATCTGCTTTCTGCATCAGCTGGAGCTTCAAGGACAACCCTACAAAGAGCACATTGCAGTAATCCAGTCCTGAGGTTACCAATGTATGGACTGCAGTGGCCAAGTTATGCTGCTCCAGATATGGCCAAAGCTGGCAAACCAGAGTAAGCTAGTAAAAAGGCACTCCTCGTCATAGAGGTCACTGGGCCTCTAGTGACAAACATATATATCCAAGAATACCCCCCCCAAGCTGTGTACCTGCTCCTCTAAAGGAAGTGCAACAACCGCCTGAACAGGCAACTGGCCAGTCTTCCAAAGAGGGGAACCACCTATCAACAGAAACGCCACCTTCCCAGGATTGAAATTTAGTTTACTGGCCCTCATCCAGTCCACCACCGCATGAAGACACTTGTACAGAGCTTGCACAGCCTCTCCTTATTCGGATGTCATGGAGAAGCTGAGCTTATGTTTAGTCTATCCATAAAGAAAGACAATGATTAAACTGAATATTCCTCTTATCTAGAAGAGTGAAACTTTCCTCACGAGAGTGTAATATGATGAGACACTAAACAAACGTGTGTCATTCTAGGACAGTCAGTTCCTCAGGATGAGACCCAAACCTAATTTCTGAAACACACTTGACAGTGGCGATATTGCAGCATGACACACCTTGTTATGCTCTAAGAGAACAATAAAGGAGCGCTTCATAAATAGCACTAAAATAATTACAGGGTTTACCTTATTTTTTATTTTTTTAAAAAAATGTTAAAGCAGGGACAGAAGATCCTAATTGCTGCAGGTACAATTCATGAAGGATTGCCGCTGTGTGAGAGCTCCTCTGATTTCACAAGGCTTCCATGAAGAAACTGAGAATGTACAACTGTAATTCTCACCACGGCAACAATTGAAACTAAAATTCTCATTGTTACAGCCTATTAATTTAAGTAAACTTTTAGCTCTTGTGGTTGGGGACCAAAATGAGACCACAATATTTATGTGAAACATTTCTTAGGCATCATATGACCAAAGCAGAGGCTCCTGCAACCTCTCAGCATGTACTCTAGGCTAACCTGCCAGTGAAGAACCTAGTTATCAAACTAAAAAGACAGAAAGAGACACTATGTGGTAGAGCAGCTATCCTTTGAACTTTCTTCCTCTGCAGTCAGCTGACAGTTGTCTCAAGATCAACCATCCAGTATTGTGACTAAGATCCCATGTATAATCAACCCTCCTTTCCCTGCAAGGTAAATATTTGGGTCCCACTTAATGGCAACAGACAAGGGAGGGAGAAGCAGAATCAGTTGACCATACTTAATGGAGGCCTGATAGGGGACTACAGATAAAAAGAGGAAACTTGCCAAGCAAAACACATCATTTTCAAAATAATTATCAGAGGTTGAACACAGGCAGTGGCAAATTCCATTTCAAGTAAAGGTTGCCCCTGAGACATAAAGCAGTTAGGGGAAAGCCTAGCAGCATGATGAAGCTTCTCCTACCAGCTACTGCAATTCAATATGTCCATCTTCAGGATGAGGATATCTGTGTTCTTCCTGTCTAACTTACAAATGAGCGTTCTGAAAAGCATGAATAGTTGCTCAGGAAGAACAACATTTACAAGTTAACAAAGCAATCTGAAGCATGTCTGCTCAGAAACACCTATGAGTTCAAGGGGTTTTATTCTCAGGTTAAGTATATATAGAAGTGCAGCTTACTACCAAGGAATCTTTAAACAGAAAAATTACAGGGACAGATGACAGACTGAATATTTCTATGTAGGGTTTTCTATTAGGATACAACATTCTAGCTGAGGTTATCATTTTGCTTTTGCTTAGTTATTTCCCTTCTACATCTATTATTTCAATCTCTGCTTCTCCAGTTACAAGGATATCAGGGAACAAGGCTGGGGAAGACCTCCATCTATGACTCTGGGGAGTCAGTACTAGCTTGAGTGTGTTGTACGGGTACATGAATCAATGGTGTGACTCAGATTAATGCAACTTCATTATGTACACAGGAGGCTAAACTTCCAAAGTGAGAACTAGAACTTAAGCCTGCTCAGAAGTCACACACAAAGATTGGGAAGGCCTACCACAACTAATATGTTGGGAATAATGTAGTTACTATGCACTGAAATATGTGATGTTCTTACATCTCATATTCCTGGAACTAAAAACGGTTTCCATGGTTTAAACTGGGGTGATCCCTGGCTCAAAATGAACACTTTATAACAACCTGACTATCATTAGCAGTTCACCTCTAATTACCTCATTTGAGGTGATATGATCGTGTCCTATCAGAGAGAGGGTCTTTTAGGCAGTGACATCTCACTGCTGGAATTCTGCCCCCTTATTTACTCTCTTGGCATCAAATCAGATTTATATTAGATGACAAGTAAAAACTTTTGGCTGATGATGTTTCCCCAGGCTTTTAAGGGTTTTGAGATTGGTTTTGGCGCCTGCTCAGTATTTGCCACTGTTAACAATGTTTTAATGATACTATTCTTATTTGCTATTATATTATTCTATTTTGTTGGGATTTCAAAGGCAGTTATTACAAAAAGCAGTGGGTGGGTGGGTGTTATAAATAAAAATCAACCAACTCATATTGTAATGGGGACATATTAAAAGAATGATTACAGAACTGAAATCCAAAATACATACATGTATGTGGTTAGGCAGGCAAGAAAAATAAGTATCAGTGTTAATCATTTGTTAATCACTTACAAGGAAGAAGGATAAATGTTTGTGGACTTTCCCAGCTTAAAGACTGTTCATTACTTGCCACAGGCAACTAGCGATTTACATCAAGCATTGGCAGGTAATACACCAGAAATATGATTACTCACTTAGGGGCTGTCCCCTTCTCCAAATGTGGCCCCATTTATACTGCATCTCTGTGATTAACACTGGCTAAGAATGGCACTGAAAGTAGGCAGAATTCATAGTTAAGACTAAGGAACTCCTTGATTGCTTTGCAATTATATCTCCCCCTCTACATTTGTATTTTTCCTGCAATCATTTACGCACAATATGCATTTCTTTTAGTGCTTCTGTTAGGGCTTCCCACTTTTTTCTGGGCTGCTGCAGAAAAACAAAACAAAATTCAAAAGCATGGAAATGCACCTCACCTGTGGAATTTTTTGCCTATTATACAACAACACTGTCATGGGTAGAGCGGAAGGCTGACAATCTAAGCCAGTACCATCCTGAATCACATAATGCTCAACCTGTCTAATTCAAACATAGAAAGAACTAGAGGCAGTATCTGCTATCCAAAATATATTAAGTAGCCCACATCATGCCGATACTGCACTACACAATTGGAGTGTTCAAGGTACACCACACCAGAGGTGTCTATAAGGGCAAAGAATGAGCTTAATAAAACCAATGCAGCTCACTTAAGCAAATCAGTTGTTCCACATCGTCACAGGAAGAAGAAAATATTCAGTGTTACCAGCTAAGAGTCAATACAATCCTTAAGTCTCTTGCAACAAAAAACAACACAGATATACTCTTCCGGAAATTGTTACAATCAGGATGGCTAGGCTTCCAGGAAAGATAAGGTTGCATTTTGCCCTGCTCCCAGTTTGTAGTCAAAATGAAATGGCAATTCCTGTATCAAGCAGGAGTTGAACAAGATAACCTATAAGGTCCCCTCCAACCCTATGATTCTAATCTGTATTAGCAAGCATAAATATTGAATCAGATGGTGTTTGATAAGAAGTAAATGTGTAGATGGTGACTTTGGGTCTTAACCCTGAAAGTTTAATGCACAGCAGCCCTAACTGAAGTAAACAGGACTCTCTGAAGTAAATTACCGGTACTTAAGGGTCTCTGCAGTAATCAATAGGAATATTGCCACTTCAGACTGGATTTCAGTGCTGACTCACAAAATATGCATTGTTTAGAATAGATACACCAAAGCAACGTGTTTGTAATATAATCTATCCTTCCAAGTTTTCATATTGTCACCTCTCAAAAGGATAGCATATACGAAACTACAGATGATTTTGGGGGGTTAGGATGCAATTTCCCTCTGAACAATTTGCTAAAAGCTGAAACCCTAAAATATAACCCCAACACTACTGAGCTCTCTTTGTCCTAATGAGATCTGCAAATTAAGAAGCAGTTTTACATTTGCAGCTTAGAACATACTTGTGATGGCTAGTAAAATTTCAGTGAGCACAAGGGCATATAAGATTGACCAAACCACTGGACTAATCTTGTAAAACATTTCCTGTTTCTACCAGAGGTTATCTTCAAGTTCAAAATGAATCCCTAAGCCAGTTCACATTCAAAGCAGGACAAATTAGAAACTATTGCACCTTCATGTTCTTCAGAACATTGTAAATCATTTATTGATACTGTCAAAATAAAATAAAGGCCCTGCAAAGGAAAACAAATATTCTGACTATGTGAGAAATGGATTAATGCATTTTACAATGTAAGGAAGAAACTGAGAAATAGAATTACTGAAAAAGAAGATGAAACATGCTGGCCAGACATTAAAACATTTGAGACATGTTTTGCCTGAAAAAATAAATAGATCCCATATGGTACAGCTCATGATCTCTGCAATATCAAAGCCTGTGGTTCTATGGGCCTACAGCTTTCACTAACATCACTGCAGTTTTCAGGGTCTGTCCTCCTACAGACTACAGCACCCTACAGTGCTTCTGTAGCTTCACTACTCCTTTAATTTCTTTTTTCTTTCCATACATTACCATAACTCACTCTCTCTCCCCCACATTCTCACCTCTAAACCACAGCAGGAGCTTTGACTGGGTCCAGAGGCAGTTGCTCTGATGAACAGGGAGACCAATAAGAACACAACTAAAACAAAATATACCTCTGCTTCTTTTCCTTACACCTCTCAGCATGAACACCATTCCTCATTCCACTGTCAGCAGCTGATACTTAAATTGTCGGGAAACAGTAAGTGAAGTCCTAAAGACCGATATAAATATGAAAGCAGCTATGCTTACACTAAGTCACTCTTCTTCCAAATTCACACGAGAATTTACTGATACAGTTCCTGATGTGGATTAGGCGCTAACCATGTGTAATCAGATAGCCAAAACTGAACATCTGACATTCAAGGTTCTGTGTCTGACAGTTCGTGTTTAGTATTAGCCCAAAATCTGAATACAAAAAAGTGAATTTCGGAATCCAGACATACTTTAGACTGCTTTCAGCTTAAGAACACAACCAATGCAAAAGGACTGTATTCAATGGAGTGAGTTAAAGATATCCTGCCACTGAGCTATCTTGTCAGTTTGACATGCTCCGACTTCCCTCAGGACAACAAACAAGAGGAAGAATAATTTTGTGGTCAAATACTCTCCTACTGTTTGAATTTACCAATAGTATGGCACTGTTGTTCCTCAGTTGTTATAGAGTGGTAATAGGAGCTTGGCCAAGCATTATGATCCATCAACGTGTACCATGACGGCAACAGAATCAAATGTAGCAAACATGCACAAAGGAAGTAGAAAAGAAAAACTGCAATAGTGATGTATCAAACAACAATGCCAAAAGCTAAGACTAACATGTGCAAACACAAAATCTACTGTATGGCTTCACAAATGGATCAGGGCAAGAGATATTCTCATCAAAGGAGCTTAGAATGACATAATTATCACTGTTGGAAGAATGTCAAAGAGAGCAGAAACAACTACTTTAGTACTGTAATAGTGAAAATCATAGACATGGATGCTTTAGCTGAGATTCCTGCATTGTAGGGGGTTGGACTAATTGACCCTTGGAGTCCCTTCCAACTCTACAACTTTATGACTACATCAAAATCAATGACAAAAAGAATTTAAGTGGAGCTTGTGATGGCAATTTCAGATAAAGCAATGGGAAATAAATGGTTTCCCCAAAATATTTGCAGATCTAAGAAGCATGAAATCAAGAAAGTCAACCGTGCTAACAAAGGCCACAATAACAATGCAAAACATTTCAGAAGCAATAATAAGCAAAACAGATGCCACAACAATTATGAGCTAGAAAGGAAAATGCCATAAACACCAGCAAAAGGAGTAATGAGTATGGACGGGCTTCTTGTATGGTAATGAGATAAATGGCAAGGATGACCAAAAAGGCAAAAGACAAAAGGAATGGTGGCAACATCAAGCACTCTTAACGTATGTACCACTCTGGTAGTGGTGGTTCTCCAATAGCGTAAAGAGAAATAGAAGAGTTGTCAAACCTGACCTAGAGAAAACACGGAAACAAAGCGATACGGGAGATGTGAAAGAAACAAGGGAAGCAACTGCAATGATGGTGCCACAAGGAAAGTTGAATTGGCACAGACAAACTGATGAAGCGATTAGTGGGGAGGCAAGAGAAGCTGTGGTAACAGCGGCAAAGAAGATGGCGGTACTATGGGAAAACCCAATGGAACGGTATCACCAACGGAGATATGGCAGCAATTCTTATATAGCAGTATCAGCGGCGGACTATAAAACCAGCATGGCAATAATGGGGTCGCGGAGGATGCTAGAGAAGAGGAGACAGTAAGCAAGGGGGGTGGCAATGAGATTGTCCAAAGAAGCCGCCACACCACGGCGCAACAGTGCAGGGCATTGTGGCGGAAATGACAGCATGACACCTGTCCTGGCGGTGGCGGCAGCACGGTGGCAACCACGGAGGCCGGATCTCGTGAGGCTGTGGAAGGAAAAAGTGGGGCAGCGGGTGTCATGAAGGAGACACAGGTGACGACGGCCCCAGGTCTTTGGCGGTTCTGAGGGTGCTGTGCCCATAGCGCCGGCCCGGCCGGTTGTCGTGGCAGCACTGGGGTGGCTGCGCAAAGGTCACCAAAGGTTAGGTGGCTGCTGGCCAACACCAGGCCACGACCCTGCGCAGCGTGGCTGAGGGGTGGAGCCCCATCCCCTCGCCCACCCCCCACCCCACCCCACCCCACCGCCTGCCTCGCCCTCACCTGGCGGGGAAGCAGCCCTGCTGAGGGGCTGCTGGAGGCCGGGGCCCGCGGGGCGGGGGCTCCTGCGCCGCCGCCGCTGCCGCCCGCGCTCGGCTGCCCGCCCGTGCCAGGCCTGCTCGCTCGCTCGCCCCGTCCTGGCCGGCCGGCCGGCCCAGCCACCGACCACCCCGCCCGCCCGCTGCCCCGAAAGCTCTCCCGCCTCGCTGCTCCTCAGGCCCCGGCCGCCCCCGCCAGCGACGACGACGACGACGACGACGCCACCTCCTCCCACTCCATGGCCGCCGCTTACCCGGCTGCCGTCGCTGCTGCTGCTGCTGCTGCTGCCGCCGCCGCCGCTGCATTGTGGGAAGCGGCCGCCTGAGCCGGACCCACCTCGCTCGCTCGCTCGCTCGCTCGCCGCCGCCGCCGCCGCCTGCATCAGCCGCCCGCCGCCATGGGCGCCGTCACCGATGGTAAGAGGCTGGATGGCTGGCCGAGCGACCCCGCGGCGTTGGCCCGGCACCGGGGGCGGCCTCTTCGCGGTCCTCTCCCCCGCGGCGCTGCCGCCTCGGACGGGCCCTGTCGCCACCGCCGCCGCACTCGCTTTCCCCAGGCCTTCGCAACCCGGCTTCCCTCAGCCGCCGCCGCCGCTCCTCCCTGCCCGCCCAAGAAGCCCGATCTCGCCCACCAGCCTCGTTTTCTGCTCCTGAGCAAGGGGCCTCGCGAAGCCTTTATTTCACGTGCGCGGGATCCTCCCCTTCCCCCAAATAATAATAATAATAATAATAATAATAATAATAATAATAATATAATGCCGGTTCCTCTCACTCTCCCCCCTGATCACATTTTAAATCCCCATCTGCCCCCGCCTCAGCCTCTTCTCCCTCAACCCAACCCAGCCTTCCCTCTTGAAGATGCATGGAGCTGGTGGGCGAGTTTGCCTACAACTGAGCACATGGCGACCGTCAGGTGCTGCCAATCCAAGATAAATTTTGGGAGACCCGATGGGCGGCTGCTCTTGCGCGGGGAAGACTTGCATCTTTCAACACTGCATCTTGCCATTATGCCCCCACCCCCAGGGCGGGAAGCCCTTGGTGAGAGAGGGGCACAGAGTGGGAAAGGGGTGAGGGCGCAGAGGGAGAATATGGGGGAAGATGCTTAACTGTGTGTATTGTTGTGTTTTAGGATCTAGAGATCTCGCCTTCTGAGAAATTAGGAACTGGAATTTTTTGCGTAGGTCTGTGTGGATTGCGTCCTCACATGGCAAATGCTAAAAACGTGTGTGTATGGCTCAAGGGGCACGCTGTGAGCCGCAGATAATGACGCTTTTCTGTAACAGGGCCTCTTGCCCCACATCTTGTGTTTGCGTCCCATGGCAGTGATTTAAAAGAATGGTTAGTTCTGAGAGATGGTGCATTGTGTCCCCACCCCCAGCTCAGTTCCAGGTTTTGTATGAATGTATGTATGTTTGTTTTTGTAACATAGCCTTCTTCCTCTTTTATAGCCTCCCCCTTTGATGTATTTTTCACAACAAAGTCAGTAATGATAAGCTCACGACCTGACGCTGTGGCCATTTAGCTATCCTCATTATATACAGCGTACCTCCTGTTGTTCACACACTCTCTGGCTTCAGAACTTATTTCTGTGGTGATATAAACCTTTCTTGACCATTTCCCCTCTTAATTCCGCCTTCATAAGTTTGTTTATACCTGTAATGATGATAAAAGTTTTCTTTGCATTAGAAAAAAACCCCTATTAATTTATAATATACTGCCACATTTGTGTGAATCTCAGGCTATAATCCTGTACCCACTTACATGGGAATAGGCCCCATTCAAATCACTAGGTCTTATTTCTGAGTTCACATGTGTAGGATTGTGTTGAAATACCTCATCTGTGTTGCTTGAAATCCATCCATGAATTGTCTCTCAGGACTAAACACTGTATGAAATCTACTACTGTATGAAATCAACTACTAATTAAATAGTCGAGTGTAATCCTATGGGATGGCACTTCGGATAACAAAATATACTTACAGACCCCCTCACCCTAATACATACTTTCACTAAGTAAACCCACTGGAACCAGAATTTACTTTTAAGTAAACAGTTTTAGGATTTGGGCAGTTGCCTTATCAAATGGCTGCTTTCTGTGACAATAACCAACATATCATTGTTGCTCATTTTAAATTATTGCTTCTGCCTTAGATGAAGTTATTCGCAAACGACTATTGATTGACGGAGATGGTGCTGGCGACGACAGACGAATTAATTTGTTGGTGAAGAGTTTCATCAAGTGGTGCAACTCCGGATCTCATGAAGAAGGGTATTTCTGTCTTACCTATAAAATAGAAAGTGGGAGTAGGTCATCAAACACCAGTTCTGCATAAATAAAAGCTTTTAGTTTTAATATCATGTGGGAATTGTGTCCAGTGGCAGATGTTAGTAACAACATTATATAGTCGTACCTTGGATCCCAAACATTTTGGCTCCCAAATGCCGCAAACTCGGAAGTGAGTGTTACAGTTTGCGAACGTTCGTTGGAACCCGAACGTCCGATGTGGCTTCCGCAGCTTCCAATTGGCTGCAGGAGCTTCCTGAAGCCAATCAGAAGCTGCACCTTGGTTTCCAAACGTTTTGGAAGTCGAATGGACTTCCAGAACGGATTCCGTTTGACTTCCAAGGTACGACTGCATCCAAATTTCAGAGTTTAAATATTTGTTTTCCCAAAAGGCACTTTCAAACAGTCTAAATACTATAGTGAAGTGTAAACAATTAAAATCTAGCTATGATACATCAGTTCTTTAATTACTTGTCAATTTCAAGTATATTCTGTTGAACACCCACTCTAATAGTGGGAATGTTTTTGGCAGCTGGGTTTTATAGCAGCTGGTGATCAGTATTAAATGGGCGAAATCGTTTGCCCTGGGAAGGTGTATTGATCAACTGACCTTAAACAAAACACTGAGAGTCTTCAAACACAATCCTTTTAGTAAAGTAAATGCATAGCTGTGTTGTGTGCAGTCCAGATGACTTCCTTCAGAGCTGTGCTTTTGCTGCAGGCCTACCACATTCCTCACATTAGGCTTGCTTGATTTTATTATTATTTAGGAAAATGCAATTCTGCCTCCAGATAATGGAGTTGCCATGCGGAATGTTGGCTGTTGTGAGTGTTGCAGGCACCTTGAGTACTGAATGTAACATCAATGCTACAATGTAATACAAATGTTGATTGTACAATATTGTCATTGGGTGACACTTGGGAGATTAAAACTTTTTCTTTCTTAACGCTTTGAGGAGCAGCCTACAGCAAGATCTGCCAGGATGAGCGGGTTAGGATCCAGCGGATCTCTAGCTGAGCTGCGACATTTCTTGCACGGTCAGGCTATGCCCTCTTAACTCCCTCATCCAGGCTAAATTAAGCTGGCAAAAGGGTAGTGTACCTACAAGGCTTGTTTTTCCTTTGCCAGGCTCAAACCAGCTCAGCCAGCAGGAGGCCTGCTGCTGAAAGGAGTTTGGTATAACTTTATATCAGCTTAATTTGCACCAATTTGCTTCATGCCAGTTTCTTGTGTATAGGATTGCTCCCTTAAAGTGTTTCCCTGTTACACAGGAACACTCACTTAGCTTTGTTTTTTGTGTTTGTTTTTTGTAAAGGCAAACAGCATCAAGGATACACACTCATGCTCCTTTAAAGCAAGCCTTTGTGTTCTTTTTATCCCGTTTATACAGCTCTTGAAGGCTGTATGTTCTTTCTGTTTCGCACTGGAGTTCATCTCTTCTTTCAAGAAAAAGTGAATGACAGGATAACTTTTCCCAGTGCCACTATCTGTGCCATCCATTCCATGTGGGTTGGATGTGGCATTATTGCTTTCAAACAGGAACTTCCAAGGCTATCACTCAGTTGATAAAATGTGATGGGGCAGGCAGGCAACACTGGTCTGAAACAAGCTTTGCTTGAAATGGAATGGTTTTATCAGAAAAAGTATTTCTAAACTGGACTATAGCAATTTTTCCAAAGTGCAACGAAGTACCAGACTTTTGTGGGAAAAGGATGTGTGGAAGGATATTCTGATTCTGGATTGATCTCCCCTTAGAGGTGTGATGGTCTCCCATGTTGTTGGGTTACAGATGCCAAGGGGAAACATTTCTCTTTGTCAAGGCCTTCATGCTTTGATAAATAAGAGGTGTCCGCTGCATCAGCAATGTGTGCATTCTGTTTTAATTTGTTTGTTGCCTTTTTTAGTGTATATATGTTTTTTGTTTAGTTGAATTTTGTTCATATGTTTGGTGTGCAGTGCCCTGGACTCTTTCTGGTGAATTGTGATCCATACATAAGTAATAGATATAGTACAAAGGGCAAAGGACACGATAGTATGTAAAATTAATTTTAGTCATTATTATTTATCATTGATGAATGCTTCCACAAGCCCAAGGATTCTGGATCAGGAAGTTGTATTCACACTTCTAGAAGTACAAGCGGTGCAAATCCATTTAGAATTAGAAGTATAAACATCTTAGGTCTGTCAAGTGATGTAGTGAGCTTTTTGTTGCTGATTTCTCATCCAGATTTTAATCACTTGCACTATTCAATTTAAATACATTTGCATTTCACACAGTGCTCAAGGACTGCTATCATCTTTTTGTTAGCTCTACTTATTTCCCTTAAGATTGAGATTCTAGGAGCATTTAAACCTCAGACTATTTACTGTGGCTCCATTTATGTCTGAAGTAAACAGTTTAAGGTATACAGTTTGATTACCGTAAAAATCAGCTTTCCTTGCTATTTTGAAGCTGATACTAGCAGCAATTAGGGAACTTAGTTAGAAATGTGGATTCCCCCCTCCCCCCCCATAACAGACTGATGTTGGGGGTGCTGCTTCACATTGTTTAAAGTAATACATTTATAGCACCTGCTCTGGGCTTTTCAATAACTAAGGCCTCAACCTTAACCGTACATACTCTGAAGTACATCCTGTAGAATTCAATGGGGCTTACTAGCAGGTAAGTGGGGTTAAGTTTGTCTCCTCAGCCTCATCCCACCCTTTTAGAACAGAACCAATGGCTGCATCTTACCTTTGTGTAAACTTTAGTCTAAAGGATTACACAGAAGAATACTGTGCAATGCCTGTTTTACCCTTATTAATAGCCAACACAATGATTTAGGCAGCTGCTTTACGTCTTCTTGGCATCCCCCTCCTCCTGATTATTCTACATTGCTCAGATGTTGGTTAAAGGAAGCCTACCTCCTCCTTTTGTATGCATTCCCTCCTTGCAACTAATTGATATCAGTTAACCTGTGCATTTACAGAATGACAATTTGATAGCTGTAATAATAGACACATATTAGGAGTGTAAGGGATCAGCTTTACAACAAATGTTCTTTTTATATATAGTGACTCTATTATGGTGATTATAAATGCCAGAAAAACACCACTAAGAGCAGGTAGCTTTGAAAGTAGCTGTGGGAGCCCTTAAATACACACAAAAAAAATAATTTGTATTGATTTGCATCAGGCTTCAATTCAGCATTGAGCTCCCGAGAATCATTGTATGTCCATGAGATATTAAATTATTGAATTCATAATACCTTTTCAGCTACACCCAGTACCAACGCATGCTGAGCACTCTGTCACAGTGTGAATTTTCAATGGGAAAAACCTTGCTTGTATATGATATGAACCTCAGAGAAATGGAGAACTACGAAAAAATCTACAAAGATATAGGTAAATACTGGATTTCCGACTGAATATTGTCGTCATACAATAAACAATGGTGATATAATTGTTTTATATAATATAATTACGCAAAAAGCAATCCATTTTTGCCACACTGCAGTTCTTTCCATTTTATAAATTGAAACCTGAAGCTGCCAGCTCAAGTCGAGATAAGGCAGAGGTATGGTTAGCAGGTGGTTCATCTACTCAGATGGGTGGTATTCTCCCTGTTCTGAAGAGGGTTGCACTCCTGTGGGATTGGGGGGTAAACCTGTGACCCTCCAGATGTTGTTTGACTTAAACTCTCATTATCCTTGACCACTGGTTGTGCTGGCTGGAGCAGTTCTTGTCAGTTGACATTTGGAGAGCTACAAGTTCCCCAATGGTACTCTGAATGCTCAGGTACATAGTCTGGAGGGCTTCTTGATTCCTCCTTGCCATTGGAGACTAGGGTGAATAAAAACTTTTTTTAAAAAAAATATTTTGTTGCATATGCATGTTAGCCCACCTTTGTATTTAAGCACAGGCCTGATAGCATAGAGGATATGCAAACAGGTGAGTGAGCGCGCTGGTGGAGGAGGGATGGAGTTCCCATCCAGCATAGAAAAGCCATCCCTCCTCTGCCAGTCCCTAGGAAGCCAGTGATTTCTGTGAGCTTATTCACAAGGCTGTCTTAGCCCTGCAGATAATCACTAAGCAGGGTCAATGTGTCCTACCAGACGTAGTGCTGAAGGAGGCTTGCTTTGTAAATGAAAAATCAGTTTGATAATTTCTTAAATGTGAATATTTACCCTTTTCCTGTCAAACACGGACCTGATAAAAATAGCATATCAGTCACTGTGAGTTCATTTTTGTTTGCTTCTTTTTTGTGAGGCTGGGCCGAGGCAAACTGAAGCACTTTTCAGTAAACATGGACAGGATTGAACTGTTAACCTCACAAACTGTCATGGGAGTCAGTCATAAGAAAGTCCCTATAGGGGAGTACTTTTTAAAGACATTCCCTCTATAGGTAAAACAGGGGAGTACGGAAAAAAGAAATGCAATGTGACAAATAGATGCAAGGGCTGGTTGTAAAGCATACAACTTAGCATGATTTAGTGGTCAGATTTGCACACTTGTTTAGAAGAAGTACCAATAGGAAGCTTGAATTAAACCATTGATTTAAATCAGTCCAGCCTGCTGAAAACTCATGTTGTCTCTATAGCCATTTAGCAGCTTAGGCTGCTGCACCTGATATGATCCTACCTTGATGGGAATAACCTGGCTTCCATTATCCCTGCCTTGGTAACCTCCCATTTGGACTACTGCAAGGTGTTGCATGTGGGACTGCCACTGAAGACTGTCTTGAAACCTCTGTAAACTCCAAAATTACCGTATTTTTCGCACCATAGGACGCACCGGCCCATAGGACGCACCTAGTTTTTTGGGGGGGAAATAAAGGAAAAAAAATTTTATTTCCCCCCCAGGTGCGCTGTGCTAAGCCCGAAGCTTGGGGCGTGCAGAGCTCAGCGCGCCCCAAGCTTCTGGGTGCCGGCAAGCAGTCCGCTAGCCTTGGGAGAGCCCCGCGGCTCTCCCAGGGCTAGCGGAGCGCTGCGCTAATCCCGAAGCTTGGGGCGTGCAGAGCTCAGCACGCCCCAAGCTTCTGGGTGCCGGCAAGGTCTCCTCTAGCCGTGGGAGAGCCGCGGGACTTCGCGCGGCTCTCCCATGGCTAGCGGAGCACAGCACGAAAACCCAAGCTTGGGGCGTGCAGAGCGCAGCGCGCCCCAAGCTTCTGGGTGCCGGCAAGGTCTCCGCTAGCCGTGGGAGAGCCGCGGGACTTCGCGCGGCTCTCCCAAGGCTAGCGGAGCGCTGCGCTAATCCTGAAGCTTGGGTAGTGCAGAGCTCAGCAAGCCCCACACCTCAGGGTGCCGGCAATCAGTACGCTAGCCGTGGGAGCGACCCGCGGCCTCCCAGGGCTAGTGGAGCGCTGCGCTAATCCCGACGCTTGGGGCGTGTGGAGCTCAGCGCGCCCCAAGCTTCTGGGTGCCGGCAAGCAGTCCGCTAGCCTTGGGAGAGCCCCGCGGCTCTCCCAGGCCTAGCGGAGCGCTGCGCTAATCCTGAAGCTTGGGGCGTGCAGAGCTCAGCGCACCCCAAGCTTCTGGGTGCCGGCAAGGTCTCCGCTAGCCGTGGGAGAGCCGCGGGACTTCGCGCGGCTCTCCCAGGGCTAGCGGAGCGCTGCGCTAATCCCGAAGCTTGGGGCGTGCAGAGCTCAGCGCGCCCCAAGCTTCTGGGTGCCGGTAAGCAGTCCGCTAGCCTTGGGAGAGCCCCGCGGCTCTCCCAGGGCTAGCGGAGCGCTGCGCTAATCCCGAAGCTTGGGGCGTGCAGAGCTCAGCGCGCCCCAAGCTTCTGGGTGCCGGCAAGGTCTCCGCTAGCCGTGGGAGAGCTGGGTCTCCCATGGCTAGCGGATAGCTTCCTGAAGCCTGGAGAGCGAGAGGGGTCGGTGCGCACCGACCCCCCTCTCTCTCCAGGCTTCAGCGAAAGCCTGCATTCACTCCATAGGACGCACACACATTTCCCCTTCATTTTTGGAGGGGAAAAAGTGCGTCCTATGGAGCGAAAAATACGGTAGTAACTGGGACTGGGAAATACGACCGTATCAGACCACTGCTTTGCCAGCTTCCATTTCTGAGCTCCCAGTCCATTTCAGAGCCCAAGGCGGAGTGCTGGTTTTGACCTTTTAAGACCTTCATGGCTTAGGACTAGGGTACCTGAAGAATCCCATCTCTCCACATGTGCCTTACCAAACTTAAAAACTTCTGAAGCTTTCGCAAGGAGCACCTGCTGGGGGAGATACTGGAGGTTATTGGCCTTTTCATTGGTGGCATCCTGGCTATGAAATGCCCCCCTCCATGGGCAGCTGCTTTGATGTCAAACGCTTCTTTGTTTTCCATGGCCTTTCAATCTACAGTGGTACCTCGGGTTACAGATGCTTCAGGTTACAGACGCTTCAGGTTACAGACTCCACTAACCCAGAAATAGTACCTCGGGTTAAGAACTTTGCTTCAGGATGAGAACAGAAATCACGCGGCAGCAGCAGGAGGCCCCATTAGCTAAAGTGGTGCTTCAGGTTAAGAACAGTTTCAGGTTAAGAACGGACCTCCGGAACGAATTAAGTACTTAACCCGAGGTACCACTGTATTCCATTTCCGATTATGATTATTCTGGCACTGCTACATGGTGCTGCTTTTGTACGTTTTGCTATTCATTTGTTTTATTTACAAATCTCTTACCTCCTCGTAAGTTTCCCTGAGAACGTGGCTATAGAGTGTCATAGAAATATTTTAAATAAAATGGATAATAATCCTAGCTCCACATCAAAAAAAATTGGCCAGTAAACAGATCAGATTTCATGGAGCGTACTAGAAATGGATCTTTTATTTGTCTGGTATATCTACAGAAATATTTATTTCAGAAGATCTGCATTCTGAGCACTCTGACAGTAATTACAGTATTAGAATACACAATGTATTGTGATTTATGGACCTATTCACAATGACTAGAGATGAAACCTGAAAGCCAGATGTTTTATGTAATGTTGCCACTTAACAGTACAAATTTTCAAATTTTAATAAATAGGCGTTGTGACATTTATAGAGTTGTGTCAAATTGTTTTTTTATTTTATTCTTCTGGAAGAAAATAACATAGCTGCTGCACATGAGAAAATTGCAGAGTGCAAAAAGCAGATTCTTCAGGCAAAAAGAATACGAAAAAATCGCCAAGGTAACTATTTATTTTGCAGTTAGTAATTGCTAGTTTTATATGAAGGGGCATGTAACATTAGTGATTTGATGCATATGACAAGCCTTCTCTAACTTGCCATGATTATTTTCACTTGTTATGAAAGATCTCGTTTAGAAATAAATATTGCCTATGCTGTCAGTCACTCCTTAGACTTGAACTTAAAGCATAAAGTGCCTGCCCTTTTGCTGCATTTCCTTGTGACATGAGTGGAAATAATGTCTTACTCGAAGTGTGGTTTCCCACAAATCATGATCGCAATCCATGTTTCAATCCTGTGTTTGTCATTCTGGTTTGCTGGAAATCTGTACTAATAGATGGGTTAAAACATGTCTCCCCTATGTGAGAGAGGGTGGTGTGGATCCCGTGATTGTAAGCTAGAGGAATGGGTGAAAGGAGTAGAGACATCATACCCATCCCTCTGGTGAATGAGTGTTATGAACTAGAAAGATTTCTTTTCAGAAGGGAGACTGATAAAGAAGTGGGCAAGCCAGTATCACATCTGAAGGCAGCCCTGTTCAGGGACGTTTTCAATGTCTGACAGGTTATTATTTTTTTCTATTTTGCTGGAAGCCGCCCAGAGTGGCTGGGGAAACCCAGCCAGATGGACATGGTCTAAACAATAAAATTATCATCATCATCATCATCATCACATGGGCAAACACTGAGATGTTTGGTACCGAGTTAAGGTTGAGGCTGTGCATATGCCAAGCAACAGAGCATTCATTCACCTGTCATCCCAGTTATATTGTTTTAATTATATTTCTTATACTTTTAATTGTTTCTAGTCTGAAAGTTTGAGAATGGGCCAAGTTATAAACAAAAATATAAAAATTAGTGAAATTACACTCTTACTTTGTGAAACTGGAATAAAGTCAGATATGATGCTTATAATCTTTTATTCTTTCAGAATATGATGCTTTGGCTAAAGTAATACAGCATCATCCAGATAGGCATGAAACACTCAAGTAAGTATGGGTCTAACACCTGAAATGAAACTGTGATAATAATTTATCAGAGCATCTGAGAGCTAGCAGTCACTGTAATTAAAATAATATGGTGGTATTATCTGAAAGTGCACCACAGAAACTCGCACAAAATGTTCACCTGTACAGAATATGCCTAGATTTAGTAAGTAATTCTAATTACAGTCACTGTGATCATGCAGAGTGGCATAGTCCAGTTAACGTTGCATTTGGGTGTTCATTCAAGGCAGCAGAATTAGACTGTGCTTTTTCTGTAAAGGTGATGCTTCTGGGATTCCTCCATCCCTTTTGGACATCTTCCCTGGCACAATTCTGTGTGCTGGTTTGAATCATTCTAAGTGACTTGGAATCTAGGTAGCTTCTCCCACACAAATGTGCCCTTGTAGCATTTCTAGGCTGCCAACACCACAGGCAGAGATGGAGCTGATGCTAGGAGATAGGTCCATCTCAGTTGTGGTACCCTTCAGAATGTGGTTCCCAAAGTCGTGCCTGGTGAGGGTTTGCTTTCTTCTCAGTGTCTTTTTACTTCCCGGGCGTCTTAAAAATGACTCCTCTATCTTGCATCGTTTTGCACTGTTTTAAGTGCACGTGCTTTCGTATACTTGTTACTATTTGTGTAAGCTGCTCTGGGAACCACTGGGTAGTTGGAAGAGCATAATATAAATGATTAAAAACTTCAGGTTGAAAGTTGAGTTATAAATGGAATTATTAATAAATAGTGCAAAACAAAGATAAGGTGTCTTCAATGGCAGTATGCTAAATCTCTTTTCAGGCAGTTAGAAGCTCTGGGAAAAGAACTTCAGCATCTCTCTCGTATCAAAGAAAATGTAGAAGACAAAGTAAGTTTTGCTGATTTTTTCTTCTTCTTTTACAATGAAATACTGCTTGGGTAATTCCGTACTGACCGGTGTAACATTTATAAGCTTTTTTAAACAAAATATTTTGTGTTTTCGCTAATATTTTAGCCCTGCCCACCTGTCAAATTTGGCCTGCAAGGCAGATCCTGATAAGAATCTGACCTTTGGGGCCAAAAAGTTTCCCTATGCCTGTTCTAGATAAGCCAGCCTATTCAGCCTAGCTAGGGGGAGCCAATCAGGACTGGTCTACCTCCTCCATGGATGTGAAGGGAAGCTGGTAGAAGCTTTTACATGCTTCAAGAAATAGAGGGGGGGGCCTAGTAGAGAAATACAAATTCTGTACTTTTCTAAACCATAACATAGGCTACAAGAAATGTTGCATTTAAAATACATTGCAGGTAATATCATACTTTTTTCATGCTAAGAACCTTGAGGAAGAAAATAATGTTAAAACATAGATTTTCATTTGCCGTGGAGGGGGGAAGTATGTGTTTATGTGGGGGAGGGGAGGGGGGAAGTATGTGTTTATGTGACAACACTCAGCAAGTGTTGTTGTCCTAATTTCATTGGATTTTGTTCCTAACATAAAATTTCCTGTCAATGTACCAAACAAGCAAGCAAAAACTATCAGTACAATAAAGGGTCATTAACCTATTGTCTATTTTCTTGGAAAGGTCTTTAACTGAACTTTAGAGGGGGGGGGATAGAGTAAATCTGAGTCATAGGGCATGCCATGCTTCTGGTTGCTTTACTCATGTGTAAAATGCCATTTTGAACATTCAACTTTGGCAAATTATCTTTGAAATTATATAGAACATGTTAACTATATGAAAATTGGGTCTGTAGGTTGACATTTTTGTGGCTTCACCCACATGTTTACTTAGATGATGATTCATTGATGCAGAACAGAGAGAATCCAAAAGAAATATTTCATATGCTTCAGATTTTGTTTTTGTTTTCTTTTAGCTGGAGTTGAGACGAAAGCAGTTCCATGTACTTCTGAGCACCATCCATGAACTTCAGCAAACACTGGAAAGTAAGTTAGTTTAGTATATAAAGGCATGACTTACTTTCCTTAGTGCGTGGGTTCAAGTTTATTTGTTGCTCCTTCCCTCATACACTCAGCTTGCCAAATTCCTGTCCTTCCCTAAATTTCATCATAAGCTTCAATATGTCCACTTACCTTTTCAGATTCAACTCAGTAGCATTCAAAATAATAGGGCATGACTTCTATGTTCATTTTAAAGTGAATGTTTTTAAACAACAAGCACAATATTTATTTCAGATGATGAGAAGCTTTCAGAAGCAGAAGATGCCTCAGATACACCAATGGTATCTGCAGATAAACAATAGGCAGACCCTGGATATAGCTCCAAAGCCTGGAAGCCAATGGATACTTTTTTTTTCTTTTGGTCTCCTGAGAAACTAGATTGTATTTCCATTGGAATGCATTTGACTTAATGTTTGAAATGTCTTTTTAATACAATAAATAGTTGATATTACATACTTAGTCTTAGATTCACATTGCTTTTGTATTATGGAATTAAAATACTACTTTAGTCTTTGAGCTCTTTTCTGTCTTTTTCTTATTCAGTTTTTAAAAATCTCCATATTAATGTTAACACATCAGTACAGCTATTTACAAACAACAAAAAGAAGAGGAAGCAAAATGCAAAAAATATAATACAGGAGCATGACCTTATAGTGGTCACTTATTTGATGTCACCTTAGCTCGCATTGCTATAAATTTAGATATAACGTAGAAAAAAATGATATAAGGTTGAACAGTATTGCGATATTTCCAAAAACCCGTGAACAGGAATAATATCTCTATAACGTCATTTTGAGAGTTACATTTCAAGTAATAGGTCAGGTTTTTTGAGGAACAGTATATCCCATATTATTTTAATCCATTCTGCAATGTTAGGTGATTGTATTTGATTTCCAGTGTTGAGTAATGTATGTTCTAGTCACCACAAAAGCCAACAGGTCACACTTCAAGCATAACTCGTAAATATATCTTGCATGTGTTGCCGTTTGAGGTGTTAGCAATAAACAAAGGAACACTCTTGCCTTCTGAGCTCAGGTTACTGAAGCTATAAAATAGAGAACCTTTGGACCACAACAGCGAGGCCAAGAGCCTTGTTGTCTGGGCAGCCCAGGACCTCCATACACTCTGCCCAGGCTTGCACCCCAGGGAGGTCACTTCAGTTTGACTTTCCCCCCAGAGGCGCACTCCATTGGCTCTTGAGAAATATGGAGGCCAACAAAAGGAAGAAATAGCAAAAACATGAATTGCTGCTGGCTTTGACAGTAGCATCAAATCTTAATCTACTTTGACCTTTCTGAGATGGTTAATCAGCTGTTAGAAGCGTCCCGGCAAATGGTTCACTTTAAACTTGAGTAATATTTTCAAAAGAAAGAAAAAGAAGGATATTAGCAACAGCATTTACACGGAAAGCACGTGTTTTTCCGTTTATGCTTCTTTGTGGTTCTTAAGGAAACCCTTTGGAACTGCTTAGAGGACTGCAGTATCCTGTCTCCCAAAGACTCGCACTGCTGCAGCTCTGCACTTCTCAGAGCCAATAGCTGGATGGATTTTTCACTGATGTTATCCAAGAGATTATCCACCTGTTGAGAAACGTGGATGAAAAATGGTGAAGTATAGCAAGATAAAACAAATTTGTTTGAACTGAAAGAAAGATGAAGGGTTTCAGTCACTTGTAAAGATAGAAAATATTGACTATCCTACACAATGTTATCAGCAATACAAAATTTGCCCATAGAACTGCAATGCGAGCAACACAACAGGCTGTGAACTTAATGTACATGCATTTTCCTGCATGTGCAGTGTCAGGACTGGTCGTTCTCCTCTTCAGATCACCACACAAACACTTCTCATTCTTTTATAACTTTTTATTGCGTATTAACAAACAATATTATAAACGGTTCTTTTCTTTAACTATTACTCCTCAGAGTCACTTATTTCAGATACTTTCTGAGTTCTGCTTCTCCGTGACCAGCAACTCTCAAAATGGCGAACACGCCATTCCTTTCGCTTTCCCACTTTTTTCTGACCTCCTTGCTAGAGCTGCCTTGTATCTCCCCTCCTCCTAATCTGAGCTATAACTTAACCCTTGCCTTTCCTGTGAACATCCGGTCCCTCCCTGTTGTTCCTGTTGCTCTCTGCTATTAGCTTCACTGCTCTCTTCACCCCCTTGGGGAAAACTTTCTCCCTCTGGAAAACTGGAAACTTCTAACTCTATTTCCTGACATGCAGTAGATAGACAGAAGTACATCCCTCCATCAGGTCAGGAGCTTCAACCTGAGAAAAGAGCTGAGCGCTGAACTCTTCTAAAATAAGAATTTCTCACATGGGGAGTCCAAAGAAGAAAAGTCACAATAAGAGAGACTCATAAGCCCCATAATCTGGAGCAAACTTGACTGGTTCCAGGTTGAATCGACAGTGAAGTTTGGTCAACAATTCTTAAGCGCAGCTCATGAGCACTTTAAAATGAGTTGGGCTCACTTTCAATTAATGAGCGGTACGCAAACCCACTGAAAGAAATGGGTTTGCTCTAGTGTGACTAATATAGTATATCATTCATGCTGTTCATAGTTTGCTGGTAGGGAGAAGGAAGAATTGGGAGTCGGAAAGATAAAGGTCTATGGTGGAATTTAGATACATAAAAAACACTCTGAAAATGCTTTTTTTGACGTTTTGAAAAATATATTGAATTTGCCATAGCTCACCATCACCATCTAATGTCACATTTGTATAATTCACTTTACAACACACTTACAAACATTTTATTTGCAGCTGTATAGCCAAGTCCTATGTTGCACCGTATAATTAAACAATGCTTTGATTCAAGATACCTGCATTTGAAGCTTCCCTAGTGTTATGTCTGAATGGTACCATACTGGTGGCATACTTTTCTTCTTCTTTTTGAACACTGAGAAATTTTTCTTTTTTGCCAAATAGGAAACCTGTTTTTTGGGGGGGTGGGAAACAAAACATTCAGACAAGAACATAATTCTGTGATCCACATGAATAGGTGCTTTCCATTCTCTTCCATGAGAAAGGAACATGCCATACCTATGTAGACAATTTGTATTGTGAACACGGAAGATTTCCAGCCTCATAATAAATGGGGAAAGTTCATACAGGGAACTCCCAAGTCTGTTTGTCTCTATCTTAAATTTGCACCCCTTGTTTCCACCACATGGTGCCCAAGTTGGCTAATACTAGTACAGTATCATAAAATGCAATGAAACAAAAAAATTAAAATGCAGATAAAAATAAAAACAGTTAAAATTAATTTAACACATTTATGCATTGGCTTATAGGCTACAGGCTGTCAAAAATGTATCTTGATATGTTCAATAAGTAGGGTGGAAATAGCTATATATGTGCAGTGCAATCCCATTTAAAACATTGTGGATGACTTCTCACCGTGAAAGCTCCTCTACCCTTATAGTGCATTCCTATAAGACAGGCATAGGCACTGGTGCTGTTAGCTAGGGATGATGGGAGTTGCAGTCCCAAAACATCTGAAGGGCCACGTTTGCCTATGCCTGCTATAAGGTATATGTCTATAAGAGCTATTACACTTGTTAGCTTAAAAAAAATGGAAACAACATTTTTAAACAATGGAAGTTAAGCAACATAAGTTCCCTGGGCCCTCTGTTTGGTTGCTGTTAGCAAGGGAGTACTGGAGAATATATACCATTCTTCTGATCTAGCAAGGCAATTTTGTGTTGAATTTTCAGGGTATGCTGCACACAAGCTTCCCAAACCAAGATGAATCTAGGTTATTTTCACTTATTCTTTTTCTTTTTTTTTAAGATTCATCAGGCACACTTGTCTTTTGCCACATTTATGAACAAATAAAAGAGGAACAAACTTAATTTCGGGTCTGACCAGCAGAGGGCTTCATCAACCAAACAAAATTTGAATCCGACAAGAAGTCCTGTAGTTTCCCCCCCTGAAGAAACCAGCTGCTCAAAATTGGGAAACAGCGCTGAAAAAAAGAGAATTCCTCCTTTGGCAGGATGTTGTCTTTGAATTGGGTTTTAGAAACTGAAAGCCTGTTTCCCCGCAAGCTTGCTCTATAATCTAGCCTGCCTAGTTTATTAACCTTTTCTCTCACAGGTCAAGTAGTTATATTATGGGCTGCATCCTAATCCACAAGACATCTGCATTATATTAACCTTTATGCTTCTGCATTTAACAAAACAGTTGCACAACGCAGATAAGATCAAGCACTCTAGAAGCAAGAAGTGTGCAACCAGTGATCACCCTTCAGTCTGATTATAGTGAGTTTTTTCCAATGTATCCTTTAATTTTGCAATATCCTTTTTTTTTTAATGGAGTGATCAGGGCTGTACATAGGTGATCAAAGGAGCTGTAGGTGTGGATGCTAGCACAGAAAATTCATTTCGAAAGGGGAGAAAGAAAGAGCCATTGCGAAGGGACAGCTAAATAGCTCAGAAAAATATTGTTATTGTTATTATTAAAATTTGTATACCACCCTTCATCTGCAGATTTCAGGATGGTTCACAATATAAATACAGTGGTACCTCGCAAGACGAATGCCTCGCAAGACGAAAAACTCGCAAGACGAAAGAGTTTTTTGTTTTTTGAGTTGCTTCGCAAGACGAATTTCCCTATGGGCTTGCTTCACAAGACGAAAACGTCTTGCAAGTTTGTTTCCTTTTTCTTAAAACCGTTAATACCCGTTAAAACCGTGCTTCGCAAGACAAAAAAATCGCAAGACGAAAAAACTCGCAGAACGAATTTATTTCGTCTTGCGAGGCACCACTGTAGCTACTTTTATACATGTTATGTTTGAATTTATTCACGAGTGCCCCATTTCAGCAGCTTACTTGACAGAGCTCCCTCTCCTCTCCAGTTGTGCAAGTACTTAAACTGAGTGACTTAAAAACTTTGTGGAAATGTACATAAACGCCATATTTTAAAGTGAGCATTTTCTTTCCAAATATGCGCACTGAGTTGGCATGTGTATACGTGCATAAAGTGAATAACATAGAAGCTCTAGGGTCTCAGCTGATACATAGGTAAAACACCCGGCTCGCTCTATAAAGAAACAAGCTGGTTGCCATTTAATAAATGCAACAAATTCAGTCTAATTTCCAGCATTCATCCATTACCTTTCGGATCCCAGGTGGCAGAGACACCACTGAGATGCGGCGCATCATCCGTCTTGCTTGCACAACCGTGTTTTTCCCGTGCATGCTTTGTGCATGTTCTTCCACAATGTTTACATCCAGCTGAATTGATGCTTCAGAGAGGAAGGAAGAGGAAAGAAAGGATATAGTCAAGCCGAAATGGCAGCAGTTTCATTACCGATAAAAAATCAAATCTGTTCATTCTAGATTAGGTAACCTGGAATTAATATGACTGTTCCTTGGGCCAGGAGCAGATCACAAAAGACCTTTATGCAGATGCAGTACATAAATACACATTGCCTTTCCCCCTTCCCCATGCACTAAAGGTAAAGATTAAGGGACCCCTGACCATTAGGTCCAGTTGTGGCCGACTCTGGGGTTGCGGTGCTCATCTTGCTTTATTGGCTGAGGGAGCCAGCGTACAGCTGGTCATGTGGCCAGCATGACTAAGCTGCTTCTGGCGAACCAGAGCAGCGCACAGAAACGCCGTTTACCTTCCCGCCGGAGCGGTACCTATTTATCTACTTGCACTTTGATGTGCTTTCGAACTGCTAGGTTGGCAGGAGCTGGGACCGAGCAACGGGAGCTCACCCCGTCGCGGGGATTCGAACCGCCAACCTTCTGATCAGCAAGTCCTAGACTCTGTGGTTTAACCCACAGTGCCACCCGCGTCCTTTCCCCATGCACTACATTATACTTAAAGGTAAAATGATCCTCTGTCAATTGACAGTCCAGTCCATTCCAGTCATGAACGGCTGGGGTTGTGATGCTCATCTCACTTTACAGGCCATGGATTTTACGTGTTCTGCTCAGGCCACAATTTAGGGACTACATTATGTATTTTAGTAGGCACCCTTGAAGCATGAACATGCTATGTGTGCCCAGTTTGCCTTAATTTAAATTTTGCGCACAAAGTGGTCATTGGCAAAGCAAGTTAAGTTACCGTTCCGTAAAAGCTTCTTCCTTTTCAGTGCTGGAAATACTTTGGGAGAAGGTAAGGCCTGAATAGCCCTTGGAAAGGCATGATACTTAGGGGGAACAGAAGTTGTCTTAGACACTACTTTTGGAGAGCCATCTTCACCATGGAGCTTGGCCTTCTTCCTTGCCCTTTGATAGAAAGGGAATAACTTCCTCATTGTTGCCCTAAACTGTTTCATAAGGCTCTTTTTCTTGCCCACGTGGAATTCAAGAGTTTCAGAGTTGTCAGACTGCTGTCCTTGAGGCATCCGCCTATCCTCCTCTCTCACCAAATGAATAGGCATGACTCTTTGCCATCTGAAAATAAATAAAGATAATGGATAATTACTGACTCTCCTGGTGAGTAAGCCACCCACGGTCCTGGTTTATGCAGATGGTTCACTGTATTGTTGCAGACATACTGAAACAAAATTTTGCAATGACACGTGAGGCTGCATTTCTGAAATTCAACATAGGGCTTTTAGGATTTCGTACCATTCCAATTTTTGTTTATAAAAGAGCACCTTTTTATCAAAGCAAAAAGAAAAGTACAGTCATACCTCGTGTTGCGTTTGTTTCAGGTTGAGCGTTTTCAGGTTGCGTCCCACGGTGACCCAGAAGTACCGGAAAGGGTTACTTCCGGGTTTTGCCGCTCGCGCATGCGCAGATGCTCAAAATGAACAAATCCCATTTGCAAGGGATCAGAGGTACCACTGTACAAACTTCAACCTTAACTTTTGTAAATGAATTCCCAGTGCATGATGGGTTAGTAATAAGGTTAGTGATCGAGCTGAATGGTCTTGGATGCCTTCCAACTGAGTGGTTCTATGGTTGTAAGGTTGGAATCTAGACATTAGAAGGACTGCTAAAGTGGTTCAACATGCTGGACAGGCCTGGTTTGGCCAAGTACTGGTGATTTGTTGCTGTAGGACCAAATGGTTGGAGACCTCCTAGGAGAAGAAAGAGCCTTGTCAGGGTGGGGGTCACCTTCCCCCTCCATCCTCCCAGCTGTGGATTGTACTAATTATGTGTATGCAGTCAAGCTAAGAGAAGGACAGAGGGCTGAGTTGTCATCTGTAAGAATATTATGGTGCTGCTGGCATTTCCCTGAGAAATCTGATGGGAGCTTTGGGACCTCTGCAGGAGTTCAGCTGTATCTTCTTCTTCTGTGCTCAACTTCCAAAGCCCGCAGCTGGGAAATAACTTTCTTAGGACCAACCCAAAAGCCGCCCCTCAAAAAGGAAGAACTTGAAAACTTGACATGTTTTGATGACCCTATGGTTGCTCCTAATTACTTAATTTTGGAGATTTTTCTTCTTCTTATGGCTCAACATGAGTAACTTTGCTTCTCTCTCTCTCCCTGTGTGTGTGTATGCAAATAAAGCACATATCACAAAATGCCAGCAAGCCTCCAGAGACCTCTTTTCAAGAAAACAATTCAACAGGCATTTGTAGAACCTAGCTCTATGCTGTCCCTCTGGAATTCTCGCTAGGCAGAGAACTGGGGCATGTGCAGCTATAGATCTGCCTTCCCCAACTGAATGCCCTCCAGATGCTTTGGACTACAACTCCCATCAGCCCCAGCCAGCATAACTGCACAATACCAAAGCTAATAGGAGCACAACATTATGGGAGTTGTAGTCCAAAATGTCTACAGGTTGGGGCAGGCTGCTATAGACATCTCTCTGTGCATGTCCAAGGTGGCTTATATCAATTTTAAAGCATTCACCGAAAATACAAAAATTAGTACCACCATAAAAGAGTTAAAAACAGAGATCGGAGCAGCAGGCACAACCCTAAAAGGCAGAGGATCAACCTGTTAAAACGACTCAAGCCACTAGACTAGATATCTCCTGGAACAAGAATACTGTATTCATTCATTTCACTTCATATATTTATATAGTGCTTAATACTAAGACAGTCCCAGACCAAATCCCATGTATGCATTCTGTACAACGAACAACGTCACTGAGAAACAACAATGCAAACCAAACAATTGAGGGTTCACACACGCCATAAACATCCCACCCCAAAGAATCCTAGGAACTCTAGTTTGCTAAGGGTGTTGGGAATTGTAGCTCTGTGAGAGCAACAGTTCCCAGATTTTGGGGAGAGGGAATGTGCTCTAAATGCGCTTTGCACGTATGGTGTGTATGCAGCCAAATTCCCCCAAAACAAAAAGCATAGCTGTGCCTTTTGAAAATATCTTCTGAGTCAGGGAGCCCTTGACCAGACATGTGACCGAAGTTCCTGGGGAATTTCCACAACTTGTTTAAGGTGCAAGTGAAGAATTAGTGTGGCTCACCTATTGGTCTCTTTCCCTTTCACTTGGATGGCTTTTCCCTGAGCTTCAGGCATCTTTTCACTAGGAGGTCTTCGCATGCAGCTCCGAAGAGGACCAGGAAAACACCTTGGGTTGTGGCGCATAGCTCTTTCCTTCCCAGGCTGAGTAGATTCCTAATATGGGAGCTTTATGTGCATTCAGGTCTCGGCGCTTCCTTGAAACACCTTCCCTTGCCTTGTAAAGATTCGGGCAGGTTGTGTCACAAAACGGCTCTACTTATTGAGAATCACATGGCCTCACAACAAATTTGTCAAAGCCCTGGGAAATTCCACAATACACAGCTCCTCATGGCGTGGTAAATTCCTCCTCAGAGACGTGACACATTTTGGGACTTAGCACAAGAGGACGGAGTGAAGTCTATTTCATCCTCACTGACAAGGGTACGGATTCTCCTCAAAGGCTGCCATCTTCCACCTCGCAATTCCTGGGTTTTCAAGATGCCCCTTTGTTTTGATGGCCGTGAGACAGGAGTTGCAAATGTGATTCACTCCAGAAGTTGCGGACTACAACTCCTATCAGTCCTAGCAAGCATGGTCCATAGGGATGAAGGGAGCTGTAGTCCACAACACAGGAATCTAGGAAACTGTGGGATAGCTCAGTTGGTAGAGCAAGAGACTCTCAATCTCAGGGCTGTGGGTTCAAGCCCCATGTTGGGCAAAAAGAGTTTATTGCATTGCAGAGGTTTGGACTAGATGTGTTTGTGGGAGGGGGGTTATTTGTTTGTTATGTATTTTGAGTTCTCTTTTTGTATCTTTATGTTGTAAACCACCCTGTGATCTTCGGATGAAGAGTGTAATAATAATAATAATAATAGATTCAGGTAGGTAGCTGTGTTGGTCTGACGCAGTAGAAATACACACACACACACACACACACACACACACACCGGTATATGAATTGTCCAGTAGCACATTAGAGACCAGCTAAGTTTGTTCTTGGTATGAGCTTTCGTGTGCATGTACACTTCTTCAGATACACTGAAACAGAAGTCACCAGACCCTTATATATAGTGAGAGGGTGGGGAGGGGTATTACTCAGAAGGGTGGTAGGAATGGGTGGTTGGCTGATAGGTGTGGTAAGCCTGTTGATGACTGTTAACGACTGCAATTGGTCTTACAGGAAAAAGCAAGGGATGAGATGGCCAAAAATAGCTTTATCATGTATAGTGAGATAAGAATCCAATGTCTCTATTCAGACCAGGTCTCTCTGTGGTTTTAAGTTTGGTAATAAGTTGTAATTCAGCAGCTTCTCTTTCCAGTCTATTTCTGAAAGTCTTTTGTAATATGACAGCTACTTTGAGATCTTGTATAGAATGTCCTGGGATATAATAATAATAATAATAATAATAATAATAATAATAATTAATTCCTGTCTTAAGATGCCATTTAGGAATTATTGCCACCTTTCACTCACCCTTTTCCTTGTACCTAAAATACTGCTGGCTACAGAATGAGGATTTTCCTGTGGTAGGGAAGAGATATGTTCAACAGTAGCTGCAGCCTTCAGCTTCCAATGAAAATATAACCTTTCTGAAGCAAGGAACCTTGGGTGGCATTCACTGCTTTCTGTGTGCACACAGGAAGTCGGTTTCAGTGAATGAATCCAAGTCTGGCCAAGAGGACTTGGAGATGGATTTTACCTGAATGCAAGTGAAGACACCTGTCAGTCACCCCCCCCCGGATATTCCATTCCCTTTTCCACTGCATTTTCAACACCCCCCCCCCGTCTCCCAGTCAATTAGCATTCCATAGCATGGCTACTGAGCAATCTCAATCTTCATTGGTCTGTTTTTGGGGTTCTCCCCTTAGCTTTCCTCCCCACGAAGGTCCCCCCCCCCCATTTCTCTTAATGCTGGAGTTTCCCCAAAACAGCTAGTCCCTCCCTCTTGCATGTGGATAGTGCCATTCTGGCTATATAAAGCTTTGGCACTCAAACTTGAACATTGGAAATGGAGGCTGTAGCTATAGGGTTGGTAGCTGAGGTGGGTTTTTTTGCCCCAGGTGAACCCTCCAGAGGGGCGCCATTGAGGCTCCCAGCCTGTGTGCGTATGTATGTGAATGCGTGTGGAGGGAGTGCCAAACTGGGTCTTGGACCCGCATGAAATAAAGCGTAGTTTCGCCTCTGTGAGGGAATGATTTGTGATCCCAAACGGTCAAATGTTTGGTGAACTAGTGAGAAAGGTCCTATCTCCACTATAGTCACATGGCTTTTAATACCACATGAACTGGCAGTTTTTCTACCAAAGCCTGAGTTTTGCTGAAAATTGTGAGTAAATGTGGTGTGTGTGTGGCCCGTCTCTTTACGGGACAAGCCTGGTCTGTAATGGAAACTTCTTTCCCCTCCCTGGGTGTGGTTCATTCCCCAGCTGAGTGGGAACAAGTTGGAATTTTAGTCTTTCCTGTGCAGCTAGTATGCCGAGTTGTCCATCTGTTGTTTACCAATGAATACATCTACAGAGGTACCTCAGGTTAAGTACTTAATTCGTTCTGGAGGTCCATTCTTAACCTGAAACTGTTCTTAACCTGAAGCACCACTTTAGCTAATGGGGCCTCTTGCTGCCGCCGCGCCACTGGAGCACGATTTCTGTTCTCCTCCTGAAGCAAAGTTCTTAACCCAAGGTACTATTTCTGGGTTAGCGGAGTCTGTAATCTGAAGCATATGTAACCTGAAGCGAATGTAACCTGAAGCATCTGTAACCCGAGGTACCACTGTACTGAGGTCAGCCTGACTCCTGTTGCTTCCTGGTACAGTGGTACCTTGGGTTACAGAAGCTTCAGGTTACAGACTCCCCTAACCCAGAAATAGTACCTCAGGTTAAGAATATCATCATCATCATAATTTATTTGGCTAGGTTTCCCCAGCCACTCTGGGTGGCTTCCAACAAAGTACAGTGGTACCTTGGGTTAAGTACTTAAGTCATTCCGGAGGTCCGTTCTTAACCTGAAACTGTTCTTCAGCTGAAGCACCACTTTAGCTAATGGGGCCTCCCACTGCTGCCGCGCCGCCAGAGCACGATTTCTGTTCTCATCCTGAAGTAAAGTTCTTAACCCGAGGCACTATTTCTGGGTTGGCGGAGTCTGTAACCTGAAGCGTATGTAACCTGAAGCATATGTAACCCGAGGTACCACTGTATTAAAATGCTTTAAAATATTAAAATATTAATACTTTAAAATATTAAAAGAACTTTTCTTCAGGATGAGAACAGAAATCATGTGGTGGCTGCACAGTGGCAGCAGGAGGCTCCATTAGCTAAAGTGGTGCCTCAGGTTATGAACAGTTTCAGGTTAAGAACGGACCTCCAGAACGAATTAAGTTCCTAACCCGAGGTACCACTGTATTAGGGCAGACAGGTTGCAAGACTTCTTCACACAGTGAGCACCCTTCCTACACCCAAGGGATACCATCACAGCTCCCTTTACAGGACTAAAATCCCCAGGGTTCCCTGGGCAGAGGAAATGGCTGCCTTACCTGTTTATGTGTGGATTATGCCCAAAGTCAACTGTAGTTCAGCAGAAGGTGTGAAGTAGCGCTTTTTGAACAGCAGAGGACAGCAGAGGATCACATTGACCTCTTGCGATACCTTGTTTTCTGATGAAATTTGCCTGTATTTTCTTAGCGGCTCTGAATTGGCAAAAGGGTATATTGCGCATGTTTGTTATGGTCTTTTCCATTTCATATATTCAGAAGTTTAAAATGTATGTCCAGAGTTGCATAATATGTTGGTCCTTTACAGTGCTTTGATACCTTTCCCAGAGGATCTTGAAAACACACACCTGGAGCATATCTTTTCCGGGAATGTCAAAATACATGCCATTTCATGTTGTGGAATTTCTTCCACTCTTAGAATCTGCATCGCAAGAGGTTGGACCTCAGGGTGCCTTCCAACCCTTCATTTTTATGATTCTGTGATTCCTTATGTCTGGGTGCTGGTGGCAGGTGGGAATTACATAAGAACTGTAACTTACTTGAGGAACATAATAAGCCAAGGTAGACCATTGGTCCATCTAGCTTTCTGTCTTCTCTGACTGGCAGAAGTCCTTTACCTCACCTGCTTTCTAATCCTAAAAGATGCTAGAGCCCAGGCCTGCACGGAGTCTCTGTCGCATGTCCTTCAATGAACCCCTGCTCTTTGATTCTAAGTATGTGGGTGTTGTATATCTGCATACTTGGGGCTGCTCACTTTGCTCAGAGAAAAACGCCTGAAATTTTTGTCAAATGAATTCTGAGCAATTTTGCTTTTTTTTTCCAGAAGTGGCTTTTATGATAGAATACCTGCAACTAGCAAAATTGACTGGAAAAATTAGAGGAGTGTCAAACCAGAAGGTATATATGGAATGGAAAATATTTAACAAATGCTTAAAAATGTACTGTACGAACAATAAGATACTTTCAGAAATAGAGTGATACTGGTAACCAAGAATTACATAAAATATAATTGTGGACTATATATCTATATACAAAACAAAATAATGTGAATCTGTGCAAGGAATACAGATAAGTAGTATAATGAGAATTATTGGAAGTTATATATTTTAATCATCATGTAAGTGTAATATATTGTATTTGTTGTTGTTTGTTTCTTTATCTTTTCTTATTTCATTGTTTCTATTCATTTGTATCGTTTTCTGTTTTATATGTTATGTAATTCATGTATGTTTGTCTATGTGAAAATTAATAAAGATTTTCTTTAAAAATCCCCCAAAACCAGAAGTGGCTTTTACGCAGACCCCCTCATGTGTCCCGTTTTTTTCAGGACATCGCAAATTGGGAGAAGCCACCTGGGCTTCCATTGTTGTTGTTGTTTAGTCGTTTAGTCGTGTCCGACTTTTCGTGACCCCCTGGACCAGAGCATGCCAGGCACTCCTGTCTTCCACTGCCTCCCGCAGTTTGGTCAGAATCATGTTGGTAGCTTCGAGAACACTGTCCAACCATCTCGTCCTCTGTCGTCCCCTTCTCCTTGTGCCCTCCATCTTTCCCAACATCAGGGTCTTTTCCAGAGAGTCTTCTCTTCTCATGAGGTGGCCAAAGTATTGGAGCCTCAGCTTCACGATCTGTCCTTCCAGTGAGCACTCAGGGCTGATTTCCTTCAGAATGGAGAAGTTTGATCTTCTTGCAGTCCATGGGACTCTCAAGAGTCTCCTCCAGCACCATGCGGAGGAGCTTCCATTCCCAATCCCAAATGTCCTGATTTCGCTCTCCCTCTATCATTGTGCCAGAGCAAGGGAGGAAAGATGGATGTTTTGGGGTTCTGCTGTAGCACAAGTCCACAAACAGAACCAAAAAATGGAAGAAAAACTTGACCCCCTTCCGGAACCTTGTCTGTGATGCCGGAGGAGGAGGAGGAGATATGTCCAGTCTGCGTTGCGTCAGGAGATGTCACACTGGCAGGTCACACCCAGATGCCCGCTTTTCTGGAGGTGGTGGAGGCCGGCTGACCGACCTGCCTTTGGAAGGCTGCACCAGGCTTCCTGCTTCTCTGGGGGGCAGTGGCTTGGTGTGGCCTGCTGGAAGGCCATGCTGGCTTCTCTTGAGTCCAGAGAAGTGATGCTAGAAGGCTTCACCGGCATCTGCCGCGTCTCCCGATGTTCCCCAGATGCTGTGGAGGAGAAGGAGGAAGATTGCAAATGTAGGGAGGGGGAGGGGCGAGCGGGTGGGCGAGGAAGGAATCGGCAGCAGAGAGGGGGCAAGGGATGGGCTGGGGTGTCCCGAACTGCCTTTTCAAAATGTTGGACGGTATGTTTTATGTCATGCGACAGATCATATAAAATGTGGAAATCATGAGGTAAGGAAATGCTGTGAAAACAGAATGAAGTGCCACTGTTATTTCCTCCCAGAAGGAGAGTGCCTCTCACACGGGGGGGACAACTTTAATAAAATACAGCGGTACCTCAGTTTTCAAACGTAATCCGTTCCGGAAGACCGTTTGACTTCTGAAGCGTTCGAAAACTGAAGCGCTTACTTCTGGAAGCATTTACTTAAGGAAAACTCAATACAGAAGCCATGTGGCACGTTTGACTTCTGAAAAGCATCCGAAAACCGAAGCAGTTACTTCCGGGTTTCGGCATTCAAAAACCGAAATGTCCGACTTCCAAGATGTTCAAAAACCAAGATCTCACTGTATATGCACAATCAATTACATGATGTGGTGCACACACATCATTTGAATGGTGATGGCCACCAACTGTGGGGGGTCCCACCCCCCTCAGATATTTTATGGGGTGGCTCAAAGACCCTTTGGCCCCTAGTCATTGACTCCTATGCTCTCACACCCCCGTAGTGCCTCTCCCAGGGCTTCACCCAAAACATTTCTCCACTGTAGGAGAAACACAAGGTGGCTGGCAACTCCCAGGAGAAAGAAAAGGCAAATCTCTAAAGGCCTTTTGTTTCGGAGACATTTCTGTGGCTCTTGCTTGCATAAGACACCATCTAAGATTTCCAAATCTCCAACCGTGCCTGAATTGAAGCAAAAGGAAGCTGTTCGCTTTCTGGCCCACCTGGGTCCAGGTTTGTGCCAAGACCTGTCATTCACCAGGCCTCCTTGAAAATGCCGCTGTTACGTTGGCAGCGAAAAAGGCAGCTCCCCGTTTTAAGTGGTTACCAGACTCTGCCGTTGGCTTAGAGAAAGAAAAACCAACAAGTTCGTACGGAAACTTGGAAACAAACCCTGTCACTCAGAACACTTCATGTTAATGCTGTGGAAGAGCTTGGGTTGCCCTTACACTACAGGGTGTGCATCAAAGCAGAAGGTATTGCTGTATGCGCATACAAATTAGTCAGTAGGCGACTCTAGAAGAAGAAGGAAAAGAGGGGGAGAGAAAATGTTTAACATTTTTATTATTTTTCTTTGGCTGGAAACCACACAGGGTGAGTGCCTCGATCATCTACTTCCAATGATACAAACCTGACTACATGGTCATAGTTATTTATTTCACTATATGAGATGACCAGTGCTTGTGTGTGTGTGTGTGTGTGTGTGTGTGAGAGAGAGAGAGAGAGAGAGAACGAGAGAACTCACCAGTATGGAGTACCACAATGTCCTTTTTTTGCTGCCTCCGGCAGCCATTTTGTGCTGATAATCACAGCATTTATACCAAATAGAAGTACCAGCCCCTCATTTGTTATCCCCTCTTCCCCCAAAAGCACTGGAGATGGCTCCTCTTTACGGGGCAGAACCCCCCATGAGCTAACTGACAGGTCCCTCTTGAGCTAACTCATTTTTCTAATCAACTGGCTTTTCTTTTGCTGCCAGACCAACCACTCATACTCCCAAGAGGGACAGCTATTCAGGTTGCTAAAAATGGATGAGTGCTTTGGGGTTTGCAGAGCTAGTAGGAAGAGCCATCCTGGAGCCTTAGCTAGTGAGGAGCTAATTGCCAAAAATGGAATGAAATGTGATAATAAAAGGAGTAAGGCTCAAATGGCATGTTGTTATATTAACTGCATAGCTAGCATCTACACCTGGTTCCCCCCTCTCCCTTTTCTTACTGGGTGTGGAGGGGATTTTCACCAGGATTGGAGTGAATGGGCATTATTATTATTATCCCACCTTTCCTTCAAAGAGCTCAAGGTGCAGTACATCATCCTCTCTGCCTCCCCATCTTCTCCTCAGAACAACCTGAACCGTAGTGAGAATTGTACGATTGGAAGGGACCACAAGGGCCATCTAGTCCAACCCCCTGCAATGCAGGAATCTTTTTGTCCAATATGGGACCCCAACCCACAACCCTGAGATTAAGAGTCTCCTGCTCTACCAAACCCCCATCTCCAAGGTAACCAGACTACAATTACATTCATTTCTAGTTTGCCCATGAGGACACTTTGATTTGTTCTGAGTCCCAAACCTAGCTGAAATCTGGTTTTACTGGATCTGCCCAACGGCTGGTTATGAGCACAATTCCAACAGCATCAGCACAGGTGAAATCTCTCTCTGCAAAAGCACTGCACTGATACAGAGGGGGTGGAATATTAACATGGTCTGAGCTGCTATGGTAGTAGTAGTAGTGGTGGTGGTAGAGAAGTGGGCGGTGCTGTGGTCTAAACCACTGACCTCTTTGGTTTGCCGATCGGAAGGTCAGCAGTTCGAATCTCCGCAATGGGGTGAGCTCCCGTTGCTCTGTCCCAGCTCCTGACAACCTTAGCAGTTCAAAAGCACACCAATGCAAGGAGATAAATAGGTACCACTGCGATGGGAAGGTAAATGGCATTTCCGTGTGTTCTGGTTTCCATCACAGTGTTCCATTGCACCAGAAGCAGTTTAGTCATGCTGGCCACATGACCCATTTGTCTGTGGACAAACTCCGGCTCCCTCGGCCTGAAAGCGAGATGAGTGCCACAATCCCATAGTCACCTTTGACTGGACTTAACATTCCAGGGACCCTTTACCGGGTGTATAGTAGTAGTATAGGTAAAGGTAAAGGGACCCCTGACCATTAGGTCCAGTCGTGACTGACTCTGGGGTTGCAGCGCTCATCTCGCTTTACTGGCTGAGGGAGCCAGCGTACAGCTTCCGGGTCATGTGGCCAGCATGACTAAGCTGCTTCTGGCGAACCAGAGCAGCGCATGGAAATGCTGTTTACCTTCCGCCGGAGCGGTACCTATGTATCTACTTGCACTTTGACATGCTTTTGAACTGCTAGGTTGGCAGGAGCAGGGACCGAGGAACAGGAGTTCACCCATTTGCGGGGATTCGAACCGCCAACCTTCTGATCGGCAAGCCCTAGGCTCTGTGGTTTAACCCACAGCGCCACCCACGTCCCTATAGTAGTATAGCATGTCCCTATTTTCATGCAGAATGTTGGAGGGTATGTAATACAGTGCTTTCAATATTCAGCGAGTTCTTTACATACATTGTCCCTGCTCTCCTTTGAACAGCCTTGAAAGATAGGTCAGTATTATGATTAGAAACAGGCAACTCACAGTGGATCGATTGGCTGAGAAAACAAGCTGAAGTATTTTACACCGAAATAGCTCTGCTTATTTGCCAAAGCCAACCCAACTTTATGATGACGCACAGAACTGTGTCCTCTAACTTCCAGAGTAAAGGGGATGGCAAGCAAATACAGGGGCATTGCATGGGGCAGAAAGGGGGAGATTAGATCTCTCCCCCATGGTCAGACCACCATTCCCGAAGACCTCCGGGTATAGGGCAGTATATAAATTCAACTAATAATAATAATAATAATAATAATAAATAATTGCTACTGCTGCTGCTTCTGCTGTCCCAGCTAGTAAACTTTGTTTAATTCATCTTTTTATTGGATTTTAATGTAAACTGGAGAAGAATTCTGGAGCCTTGTAAATGCTCATAGGGCCCCTCCAGACTGGGTTGGGGTTTTTTTTGCTTTTTTCTGTGGGTGTACTCTTCAACATGCCATTGACACTGTCTGTAATAGTGCACTAATGGTGAATTTATACTGGACTATTTGCAAGGCATTTTGCTTTGTTAGTTGTTCTGCAATGCTACTGCATTATTGCCATCTAGAGGGGCACTCTTGCACTATAGCACATCAATAATGGGGCAAAAGCAGTGTTAGAATTCCTGCTCCGTGATTGCAGTCATGGGATTGTTGTCTATTACATGACGGTATATGTTTTGACTCCATAGATTGGGAAGTGACAGAGACAGGATGTTTGTGTTACTGTGTTCCGTGAAGTGGGACTATTGTCCTTTGTCCTTTTTCTCTTTGCTGTCTGATGCTAGAGAGAGATGGAGCCATGTTGCAGTGCTCCATGTGTGTTTATATGTAAATAAAGTAGATTAGCCAAAATGCTGAGTTGCTGAGTTCTGTTACGCATGGTGCGCAAACTCTGCGGATCCCTTTTTTTTTTTTTTTTAATGATATTTATTCCAAGTTTAGGATTACGAAAAAGAAAAGAAAAACCATACAAAATAGAATAAGCATATAACAAAAAACAAACAGTAAAAAAGACTTAACAAAAAATATAAAGATGCATTACATTAAAATAAAGCAAAAATTAAACCTACCTAACCTTTTTTCCCTTTACTTATTTCCATGACCTCCTCTCACCTCCCAGCTTTGTATTCTAGTTCAAATCGTATTTCCAGCAAATCCTTCTAACCTTCTTTTCATTTACTTATTTTAACATTCAATAGTGTACTTAATCCTCCTCTATTTCATCAATTTCCATACCTCATTTTTACTTAATCCATTATATCATATCTGCCAAAACGACCTAATATTCTTTTTCCAACCTCTTTCTAACATTCTTTTATATTGCAATATTTTTGAAGATATATTTTAAATTTTTTCCAGTCTTCTTCCATCGACCCTTCTCCCTGGTCTCGAATTCTGCCGGTCATCTCAGCCAATTCCATATAGTCCATTACTTTCATCTGCCATTCTTCTCGGGTAGGCAATTCTTGTGTCTTCCAGTACTTCCCAATGCGTATTCTTGCTGCTGCTGTCGCATACATGAAAAAAGTTCTATCTTCCCTTCGCACCAATTGGCCGACCATGCCCAGGAGGAAGGCCTCTGGTTTCTTCAAAAAAGTATATTTCAATACCTTTTTTAATTCATTATATATCATTTCCCAGCAGGCCTTGATCTTTGGGCACGTCCACCAAAGGTGAAAAAATGTACCTTCATTTTCTCTACATTTCCAACATTTATTATCTGGCAAATGATAGATTTTTGCTAGCTTGACTGGGGTTAAGTACCACCTGTAGATCATTTTCATTATATTTTCTCTTAAGGCATTACAAGCCGTAAATTTCATACCTGTGGTCCATAACCGTTCCCAGTCAGCAAACATAATATTATGTCCGAGATCTTGTGCCCATTTAATCATAACAGATTTAACCGTTTCATCCTGTGTATTCCATTTCAGCAACAAATTATACATTTTTGACAAATTCTTAGTTTTAGGATCTAACAATTCAGTTTCCAATTTGGATTTTTCCTCCTGGAAACCAATCTTTTTATCTGAATTAAAAGCCTCCCTTATTTGATAATAATGAAGCCAGTCTCGAACTTTGGTTTTTAGTTTGTCAAAACTCTGCAGCTTTAGTTTATCTCCAACTTGTTCTAAAATTTCACAGTATTTTGGCCAATTTGTCTCCATATTAGTTTTTTTCAACGCCTTAGCCTCCATTGGTGATAGCCACCTTGGTGTTTTACTTTCCAACAAATCCTTATATCTCACCCAAACATTAAACAGTGCTTTCCTGACAATATGGTTCTTGAAGGCCTTATGCGCTTTAACCTTGTCATACCATAAGTATGCATGCCATCCAACAAACTCTGCGGATCCCTAAGTGTGCCAGTGTCAGTTGGCATCCGTCGCTGTGATGTTCAGACTGTAGAAAGCTTTTGAAGCTCCTGAACAATCGACCAGGAGGGAGAGAACATGCCAGTTGGGCATGTGTTTCTACCAGGGTCCTACTCGAGTGTAGGCTGAGCTCCTGACAAGCAGAACATTCATGAAAAGTTGCAGGATTCCAGCAGTGAATTACAGGGCATGCAGTGATTGGAAACAAAACAGTATTGGAACTTCCACAGGCACAAATGGTATTGAAAGCTGGATACCGACCCTTACATCATCATGAGTACAAACCTTCATGAATGCACAATAAAATGGACATCTTGAACATTTCTTTGTTGTGAGCACAATACACCCCCTGGACCCAAGCCTGGATTTCTCAATAGCCTGAATTCTGATCCCCATGGGTTATAGATGGGGGATGAGACTGAGAGACAGGGGCTTGCCTAAGATCACCTAGTGAATTCATGGTGGAGATTATATCTGAACCAGACACTTGCTGGATCTCAACTCACACTGCAAATGTATCTGCATCTACTCAGAATTAAGTCCCATTGAAGACGTCCTTGCAAAAGGCAAGAGCCTGTTTTGCCCTCAAGCTCCCTATGGCCACTAGTGGAGAGGACCAGTTGATATACAGCTGCCTGCAGGATTGCGAACTGGGACTGACTGCAGGTTGGCTGCTTTAAAACGACTCGTGTACAAATGTATGCAGTTTTAATCAATTAAAAGATGGATTAATTGGTTAAAGCTCGCAGGATCAATCAAGACTTCTTTAACTGGCTGATACCCCTTTATCTATTTATGTGCTTTTTAAAAGGAACATCTGGTTCAAATGGCTAAGATGTGATGCAGGAAACCAGCTGCATACACACCAAGCATTTAAAGCACATTTAAAGCACATGACTTCTCCCAAAGAATCCATGAGGATAGCAGTTTGTTAAGGCTGCTGCAAATTGTAGCTCTGTGAGGGGCAAACTACAATTCCCAAGATTCGAAGAAGAAGAAGAAGAAGAAGAAGAAGGGGAGGAGGAGGAGGAGTTTGGATTTGATATCCCACTTTATCACTACCCTAAGGAGTCTCAAAGCAGCTAACATTCTCCTTTCCCTTCCTCCCCCACAACAAACACTCTGTGAGGTGAGTGAGGCTGAGAGACTTCAGAGAAGTGTGACTAGCCCAAGGTCACCCAGCAGCTGCATGTGGAGGAGCAGGGACGCAAACCCGGTTCACCAGATTACAAGTCCATCGCTCCTAACCACTACACCACACCAGCTTGAGAGAAGTTACATGCCCTAAACAGTTTTAAATGTATGGTGTGTACACTTTAATCATAAACCCTCTTACCTGAGAGTAAGACCCACTGTAAACAGGATTTACTTCTGAGTGGACATGGTTATGATTGTGCTGCAAGTGCCTTGTTTTGTTTGTTTCTAATAAAGTAATAAGTTTAATATTGGCAAACGGACTGCAATGCGTTGAAAAACTGAAATAGGTTAAATGATGAAAAGTGTCAACGTGGTATATAACTTCTCTTTCAGGTCTCACGTTACTCAGCGTAATGTCTGAAAGACCTCGGCCTTTGGCAGAAAACACACCTGAGCATACGGTAGTAACCAACATCACCGTGGTTGTTCCTGACCACAGTTCTTTAGTTGGGGGACCAGCCATAGTTAATGCTTACCCAATAGAGCACCCCTTTGTCATTACTCCAAAGGGCACAGATCAATGGCAGGTGGGTATTTGTACTAAATGGATATAGTTAATTACATCTGATCAAAACCCCACATTGCCCATTGGAAATACTGTATACTGTATACTCCTTTCATTTGTGGCAAGGGCCTGGAACTTCTTGGAAACTTCCATTCCCAGAGCTTATTTATTTACTTAAGATGTGAGGAGGAAGACGATGAAAGTGTAACAAGATCTGACAGAAGCCAAGGCTTACTGTTTGTCCATGTTATTTGTGATGCTCTATTATGTTTTAGAGGGGCAAATGGGGCTCATCAACCCAGGAAGGTAGCCGATCTAGGTGAAGGAAAAGTCTGAAGGAAAAGGGCCTTCGCGGTAGTGGCACCCACCCTGTGGAACGCCCTCCTATCAGATGCCAAGGAAATAAACAACTATCTGGCTTTTAGAAGACATCTGAAGGCAGCCATGTAAAGGGAAGTTTTTAATGTTTGATGTTTTATCGTGTTTTTAATATTCTGTTGGGAGTTGACCCAGAGTGGCTGGGAAACCCAGCCAGATGGGTGGGGGTATAAATAATAATAATAATAATAATCCCAAATCTCCACTGCCTTGCAACTATATTCATGGAAAGGCTTTGGGAGTAAACTCTGAGGAACAGTGCTTTCCCCCTGGGGGTACTCAAGGGTACACAGTACCAGCACCTTTGTTTTATAGAAGAAAAGCACTTTTGAGGAACAATCAATACCTGCTACCTTGTGGAGTATCTTTGGGAGAAGAAAGGGTTAAGGAGTAAACCCCACACAAATCTGGAGTCCCTAAGGCAACTGCCTAAGGATGGCACCTTGTATGCTTCCTTCCAGCAACTCCTGTAGCCAAGCTGGTGCTAAATGTATTGCTCTGCTTTCCTTTGGGACGAGAGGCCGAGAGGCCTTGTCATCTGGGCAACCCAGGACCTCCATACACACTGCCCAGGCTTGCGCCCCAGGGAGGTCACTTCGGTGATGCTAACACAGCAAAAACGGCATGGGAGGCAGTAGTTTTTATGTCTTATTATGATATTATTATTGGTTGTTTGTAAGCTGCTCTGAGATTCATTTGAACGAAAACAGTATAGAAATACAATAAATCAATTTATGGTCAAATCATCATTCAAAAGGAATGCTCAATGCAGGGCCGGCCCTACCATTGTTGTTGTTGTTTAGTCGTGTCCTCGTGTCCGACTCTTCATGACCCCATAGACCAGAGCATGCCAGGCACTCCTGTCTTCCACTGCCTCCCGCAGTTTGGTCAAACTCATGCTGGTAGCTTCGAGAACACTGTCCAACCATCTCATCCTCTGTCCTTACCATTAGATGGAGTGAATTGGCTGCCTCAGGTAGCAGATACTGAGGGGCAGGGAGTGGACAGAGCAATGTGTACCACATGGCCTGCCCTGCACCAGGGCCAACCCAAGTCATTTTCCTGCTTGAGGCAAAGGACAAGATGGCTCTGCCTTCCCCAATTCCAAATTTGGAAGCATACCAGACTGGCAGTCAAATACAACCTATAAGCCAGAAATGGAGAACATTTTCATCCCAAGGGCAACCTTCTAGAACCTCTCATGGGCAACTTTCCAGAGGATGCACATCAGTGGTGGGTGTGGATTAAAGTGATCATTGCTACTATGCGGTTTTCTTCATGAATTAACCCATTCATTTGAAAAAAAAATTGTGATTAGTGGTTTATTTGCTAACTGATTCTTCTTCAACTACTAATGTACGATGATCCATTTGTATTTTTCATTGATTTTTTTTTTCCCATTCAGAAACCGCAAGCTGATTCCTCTACATGTCTTGACGAGTTGACAAACTCGACAGGTGTTTATTTGCTAGTTCATTTTAAAAATGGACTTGTCGCTTAAGAATGAATTTGTAAAGTAACAGTGGAGGAAAACAGTTGCAGTTTACCCTTGCTGCGGCTGTTGCTTTGTGTTATATATTTATTTTTCCCTGACATCTTTTATCATGCATCACCGAGCAATTGTGCTTTCCTGTATTTTGCATTATCATATCATTACCCATTGTCGAGCTCCTCTCTCCTTGCTCGTTTGCTTGACAATTATTCCTTCCACCTAGGAGGGGGATCTGGGCAGTCAGTCAAATAAAACAACAGCCATTTCGCCAGGAAACAATAGTAAGGCAACAAAATGCACTGATTGCATAGGCACACCAGTGCGAAAAGAGGCACGGAACGCTCTGCTCTATAATCTGCCAATTGCTACCTGTCAGAGCACAATTAGCTACAGAAAATAAGCCGGGAATGTGGGGTGTTAAACTGAACTTGGGATGGTGTTTGCGTCTGTCTCTTATTAATTTTTATGACGGAAGTAGCACTGAGCTCAAATAGAAAAGAACCTTGATGTACCAGTATATGCTGCTATGGTGCCGCTCCTGACTGTGTATCATCCTTTCATTACCTGCGCAGTGTCTCCCTAGACCCCCGAAAGCTTTCATGTTGAAGCATGGGCTTGCTGACTTCAACGCTGCTTGACATTAGGTGGGCAATATCACCGTGGTTCTTTAGATGACTTCTAGGAACTTTTCTATTTCGGTAGTCCCATCCAGAAATGTGATTTGGTTATGCTTCTGTTCTTAAATCCATTTCAGATGTTTTGATGTTTTCAGCAAATTTTGTATTTATTTTATTTGGAATTGCATTTCTGATTACAGATGCGTTCGCCATCCTGGGCCCCTATGGAAGGAAAAGGGTGGGAGATAAATTTAATAGATACAGGAAGGAAGGAAGGAAGGAAGGAAGGAAGGAAGGAAGGAAGGAAATTCCTCCAGCAAGGGTCAGCTACTGCGCACTGGGTATAGGAATGCAAGAATGAAATAAAACCTAATTTGACTACATCTAGTTTGGAGTTTTCCCCGCGATGGAGTGAGCTTCCATTGCTCGGTCCCTGCTCCTGCCAACCTAGCAGTTTGAAAGCACGTCAAAGTGCAAGTAGATAAATAGGTACCGCTCCGGCAGGAAGGTAAACGGCGTTTCCGTGCGCTGCTCTGGTTCACCAGAAGTGGCTTAGTCATGCTGGCCACAAGACCCAGAAGCTGTCTGTGGACAAACACCGGCTCCTCGGCTTATAGAGTGAGATGAGCGCCGCAACCCCAGAGTCGTCTGCAACTGGACCTAACGGTCAGGGTTACCTTTACCTTTAGTTTGGAGTTTGCAGGTGTTTGTGGATGGTAATCATAGAAAAAAGTGCAAGAAGCCTCAAAGCTTATATGCATTGCCTACCACTTGACCTCTTTCCCCATCACCAGTGCTGGATTTACATATAAGCTAAACAAGCTATAGCTTAGGGCCCCACTCTCTTGGGGCCCCCCAAAAAAAATTAAAGGAAAAAAAACCTGGGTGGGGGGGCCACTAGGGGCGCATCGGAAGATGGCTGACAATAACATCTCTCCGACCCACAGGGGGTAATTAGGAGGCTGTGGTGGGAGTAAATAGCCTCCCCCCCCAGGATTGTGTGTGGGGGGGCTGCCCTTGCCTGCTGTGCCCTATACCACCCCCGAATTTGAGGGGATGGGGGCACTAGGCAGAATGCCCTCCTGTGGATTTTGGCGCTCCTGGACGCTGTCTCTGATCCATGCCGCTAGCTGCAAGAACTTCAAAAGGAACAATTAGGAAGAAGCGAATGCACATATTTCAAGGAAGGAGGGGGAGTAAAGACTGCTAACTGAAGAGTTCTCTGATAAACAAGACGAGTCGGAAGAACAAGAATCAATCATGAGAAGACAGCCACGACTCGGTATGGCAAAGGGACTGGATGGGGGAGGGGGGGAAAAGTTTTCTTTCTTTCATCTATGTGATTAAACAAGAACCCCCCCCCCCACAAGTCAGAAATGCCGCTTTAATGACTTAAGCTGTGGATTTACGACTGTGTGGAGATAAAGTTTCTAACCAAAGCATGTTTTAAGAAGAGCGTAGAAAGTTTAAGAGCTCTGGAATGACGCAGTTAAAAATACCGTCGCCATATTGGAAAGCTCTGTCGGAGGACTTGAGTCTGGGAGGAGGAAAGAGCTGTTTTTATACTGTGGGTGAGACTCCTCAGTGGGACTTAAGAACGACAGACCCTGAGATTAATGATGGAAAGAGCGATGTTATTTATGAAAGTGATGATATATGGAAACCATCACGATATGAGGATTGGCCGAATGGAAAAATCCACACAGGATATAATTGGTGTTTATCTGCTTAAGGAGATTATCAGAAGAGAGCATAAATGTACGAACAAGATGAGATGTAGAAACAGCAAGATAAGACTGGATAGAATTATGAACTTTATCTGGACTGATTTGGATATGAACGCAGTAGCAAGAAGATGATCGGAATCCCCCTTCGAAACTTGAAATATGGGTCTCCTCAACAAAAATTTAAAATTCGGCTTTGTAATTCGGAATTTATGTGATGTGATTTGATTTGATTGGTCGGTTAATAAAAATTATTTTTAAAAAAACAAACCTGGGTGTACATGTCCAAAATATAAGATAAAAAAACAAATAAATTAAAACCTACACACAGCAACAGTGTTTTGTAGGCTTCTATGATGTAAGTAATGGGCTCCGCCTGCTAGCCTACTCCCTAAAATATCACTGGTTTGCTCATTTCTATATATATATGATGCCTACATTCTGCAAGGACTGGTTGCAGGTCAACATGTGCAAATGGCTTGAGATACCTATTAGGTCCATAAATTACCATATAGCATATATTCAACACAAAACAATAGTGACAATTTGTTGTTGACAAAGGACAGCTGGACATATAAAGGGCCCCATTACTTTCAGTAGCTTAGGGCCTCATCAAACCTAAATCCAGCCCTGCCCACCAGGCATCAGAAGTGCAGCCTCTGTGTTGCTGAAGATGAAGGCACTGACAGACATATTACCTGATCATATAAGCACATTTAAAATAATGTAAAACATTTCTTGGGTTGCACCGGTTGTTGACGCTTCCAAAAAGGCAGTAAAGGCCCTGTTTGTGCATGCATGGATAGTGGTGGTATAGAGTAGACTAGACTTCCTCAACCTCGGCCCTCCAGATGTTTTGAGACTACAATTCCCATCATCCCTGACCACTGGTCCTGCTAGCTAGGGATTATGGGAGTTGTAGGCCCAAAAAATCTGGAGGGCCAAGGTTGAGGAAGCCTGGAGTAGACTGTACAATTGGTAGAGCAGAGAAGAAAGTCTAGGCTCCAGGTTTTAGGTCATACAGTGACAGGGAACCTATGGCCCTCCTGTTGTTGGATCCAGCATCCCACAGCCCTGACCACTGGCTATGCTATCTGCAGCTAAGAGTTGGCATCCCCCAAAAATATTGAGGGGTTCTCTATCCCTGATACAGTAGATCTCATTCCCAGGATCTCACCACACCGTTTTTTTTTAACAGAATATGCATCTCAGTGGTGCTTTCTTACATAGGCACTAATGGGCATAGCCCCCTTGGTCACAGTGGGCGAGTTCATATGAATGCCTCTCAACAGTCTACAAATTAGGGCTCAGTATGACTCAGCTCTTGAGGCAGAGAAGACATAAGTGACAGCTGCTGAACTGCTAGCTTCACATCCATCTCAGTTTTGCTGAACAGGGTAAAATAAGAAAAATGCTACAAGTTGGAAATAGTAGTCTGTGTATTATTATTTTTATACTCACACTTAGTTTTCTGAGTTTCTAACCTGTCCAGTTGATGACCACTGCATTACCCAAGTTGGATTTCGAAGCCACCAGTCTCTACACAATTCCCATCCTTGTGAGAGATGACAAGGGGAGTTCGGCTTCTCAGACCATCTTTGTCCAGATTGTCGATGTCAACGAACCACCTGTCTTCACTGGGCTTTTGACTCAGCCTAGCAGAGGTATGAAGCAACTACATTTTGATGGCATGATCAATGGCTGGTTTCAAAAGGTTCACACCATCTGACCTGTCTTTGACCCCCTTCTGCCAATATGATCTGGTCACATACAGATAAGACTACTGTAATGTTCTTTATATGGGGATGCCTTTAAAGACAGACTGCAAACTTCAGCAGGTTCAAATGCAGCTGGTGGAGTCCTGATGGGTGTAAAGTTTCTATAGCACCTATATTATACAAGCTACACTGGATTCCATTGCATTTCCAGAACCAATTCAAGCTACTAGTGTCACTCTTCAAAGCCCTAAACAGTTTGTGGCCAAACGGATGAACATCCTGCACCTAGACCATTTTGCCTGTGCATTAAGATCTCCACCAGAGATCCTTTTGGTGTGTCTGGGGCTTAAATCTGTAGGATGGGTAACACCAAGAAAGAAGGCCTTTTCTGTGGTGCCACCACACCTTTGAAATACCCTCCCAATGAAGCTATACCAGATAGGGTTGCCATATTCCCAAAAGTGAACAAAGTTTTTATTTTCTTCTTACTCAAAGTTGTTGAGCTTTTGGGGGGAATAATATTAACTCCCCTTACCATACATTTTGCCGAGTGGCCGAAAATCCACCTGGGTGTCATTTTCCAGACATATGGCACCCCTACGACCAGCAGGCTACATCTCAGGTTTTTCAGAAGGTCACAGGCCCATTTACTTTGATTGCCACTCCCTGTGTAATTTTTTGCCCCAGTCACTCAGTGGAAAGTTGGAATTTTTCATTTCATTTCACATTTAATTTGTAAAGCTGAAGAAACAAAGAATGTACAATCAAATCCAATACAACAATGTGATAATAAAACATAACTTTAAAATAAGCAACTAATATCAAATAAAGTAATATTCAACAATCCATTAGGATAGTATAGAATATTAAATATCAGCATATGATATTTAATGGACAGCTGGAAACCTCTCCCCTCACAGTTCTTCCTCTAAACACAGCTCCCTTATGAGGACTCCTAGGGCTGGAGGATGAGGCAAGTATCATGCTACTGGAGTTCTGAATTGGCTTTCTCTTCCTGAGCATAGCAGTAGAGGGGAGGTCCAAGTCATGGGGTTGCTACAGAGAAGCAATCATAGCTCCGCCTCGGGCAATAGTGTGTTTTGCATTGGCCCTGCCTTTCCTTTGTTCCAGGATGAACTCTCCCGGATCTTGGTCCCTTTTGCAAATCTGTCCATGGAAGACAGACTCTGGGTCCAACTTTTGCTCCTAGGATGACTTCTATCCATGCAGAATATCCCAAGAAGGGGTAGAAAACACTGTGTCCTCCAGATGTAACTGGACTCCAAATCCCATCAACCCTAGCTAGCATGGCCAATTCTGTTTTGATTGTTTCAAGATTTTAACATTGCCTAAGGGACGGTGTGAGGGGCAGAAATCGAAATAAATAAGCCCGTGGGTGGGAATTAAAGCTGCCAGATGATGAGATAATAATAACAAATGAATGATTCATCAACAATATTTATCTGCAGCTCCTGAAATTTATATCACAGAGGATACCCTGCAAAACACTGGAATTTTTAGAGTCACTGCCAGAGATCCTGAGGGAGCCCCTCTGAAGGTAATTCTCAATAACTCTTAGACTTCTATAGCTTAATCTACGGAAATAAGGTGGGGTCTCAAATTACTTTTCCCCACCCATGTTCTTTAAATTGAATACAGTGGTACCTCGGGTTAAGTACTTAATTCGTTCCGGAGGTCCGTTCTTAACCTGAAACTGTTCTTAACCTGAAGCACCACTTTAGCTAATGGGGCCTCCTGCTGCCGCCGCGCCGCTGGAGCACAATTTCTGTTCTCATCCTGAAGCAAAGTTCTTAACCTGAAGCACTATTTCTGGGTTAGCAGAGTCTGTAACCTGAAGCGTATGTAACCCGAGGTACCACTGTATAGGGGGAATGGACAAGGCTTCACCTCTGTTTGTCGTGTGTGACACAGAAACAGGCAATGTAGCACGGTGCTTAAGAATGTCAGTCTGGGACTGGGAAGACAACTCAACCATGGTCTTGGGCCAGTTGCTCTCCCTCTCTCCTTCTAACCTCCTTCACAGGATCGGTCGTATGCACTGACTTGAGCTTCTTTGAGGAAAGACGGGTTATACATGTCTTAAATAAATAAATCCCATGGGCGCGTCAAAATTGCTAACGTGAACAGCAGTGATGCATATGATGGGTTGGAGACCAGGCCCTCCTGACACGGGTGTCGCAGCTGCTTAGCTGGTTGGGATTGGGGCACTGTGGGGCGGGGTAGCAGCGGGGCACACAGGACGCTGTTGTGCTCAGGTCCTCCTCACAGGTGTCCAGGGCCATCTTTAGCATATGTGGCACCGGGGTGCAAAAAACTGCCCAGCGCCTCCATTTGTATGTTTCCGAGCACAATTCAAAGTGTTGGTGCTGACCTTTAAAGCCCTAAACGGCCTCGGCCCAGTAAACCTGAAGGAGCGTCTCCACCCCCATCGTTTAGCCCAGACACTGAGGTCCAGCTCCGAGGGCCTTCTGCCGGTTCCCTCACTGCGAGAAGCCAAGTTACAGGGAACCAGGCAGAGGGCCTTCTCAGTAGCGGCGCCCTCCCTGTGGAACGCCCTCCCACAAGATGTCAAAGAGAACAACAACTACCAGACTTTTAGAAGACATCTGAAGGCAGCCCTATTTAGGGAAGCTTTTAGTGTTTGATGTATTACAGTATTTTAATATTTTTTGGAAGCCACCCAGATGGGCGGGGTATAAATAATAAATTATTATTATTATTATTATTATTATTATTTGGGGGGACAGGCAAAACTTGCTGAGCTTTTTTTAGGGGGGGAAGCTCAGAGTTGTTGAGCTTTTTTGGTGGAGGCACACAACTCTCTCCCATGCCGCTGCAGGTTTAGGGAGGGAAGCTGTGCGCCTCGTGTGAGCAGCATGCGTGTGCTGGGCAGGCCTCTCAACAGCCCGCCAATCCCAGGCGCGCAGGAGGGCAGAGCCGGCCAGCTGCCTCAGCGTCTGCAGCAGAAAAGCCTGCGGCGCTCCAACGGGCTCTGCTCTGCTTGGCAGCGGCTGTCAGCTGCCCTGGCTCTTCAATCCCCGGACTCCAAATCTTGGCCCCAGACTCCAGGCCTGGCACCCCTGAGAGCCCAGCGCCCAGGTGCCCCACACCCCCGGTGCCTATGGGTAAGCCAGCCCTGCACGTGTCCCAACGGGCACCTGGTTGACAACCGCAATAACATTTGCACTGCATTGCAGGCCCACCAGGCATGAAGAAATGTAATTCCATTTTTTTAAAAAAAGTTGCTTGTGTTTCTTGCTGCTCCTTAGGCCAACGCTCCCACAGAGAGAGAGGGAGAGGGAGAGACAGGGCTGAGCAACATAACTGGGTGGTTTAAAGTGCAGAATGGAGCTGGCAGGCCGGGGAAAAGAGAAGACAGCCCCCTTGCATCTGGCTCCTGACCTGAGATTTCGCCCCTTCCGACACGTTCTCCAAAAGAATTTTAGGTTCTCCCTAAAATTTCGGGCCATATATTGTGCCTTGGCAGCCCCGCATTTTGGGGATACTTTATTAGGAGATTCATTTCAAAAATAAAATAAAATAATTAGTCATCTCCACGAGGAGTAATTACATAGCAAGGAACGATACTTTAGCAATACCTGTAATTAAGGAAGAGTTTGGATTTTAATTATAAACTGCCATCTTCCGTGGTTGATAATTCAGCTCTGAAACAAACTTTAAACACAAGCAAGGCATTTTTCAAGGTATGGAACAGGCCATCAGCTTTATTTATGATTATAGCTTGTTCCCTTGGTTGTTTTCTTTTTAAAAAACAAAAAACCTTTGGGGAAATTCATGCTAAGTTTTTCAAATGCTAGGCTAGAATATATATATTATTAAAGAATGTATGTAATGTATTTTTAAGAATACATTATTCAAAACTGTGGATGTTCCGCTAATGAGCATGACTCCCTCAGGTCTACTTTTGCTCTTGTTTTATGACATTATAGCACCAGTGGGAATTGTACGACTCCAGCCCAGATTGAATGTTGTTACCTTCTTCAATGCAAAAAATAAAAATAAAAATAAAGATATCCAGCCTCAGGTCATACACCCATTCCCTTTGAACAAGTGGATTCCGCATGATAGATCAGTCCTCGTGAAGTGGAATTTAGCACTGTCTTTGGGCAGCTGGGTTTTATTTCAGTGGTGTTGTTACTAGGAATGGGGAAGATCTGTCCGTTTTGTTTTCTCCCAGTTTCTCATTCTTCAGTTCTTCACGTTTCCACCTCAGTTTGAGAACTATTTCCAGAAACAGCAATTTATTTTAAAACAAACAAACAATTGTTGTTGTTGTTTAGTCGTGTCCGACTCTTCGTGACCCCATGGATCAGAGCACACCAGGCACTCCTGTCTTCCACTGCCTCCCCCAGTTTGGTCAAACTCATGCTGGTAGCTTCGAGAACACTATCCAACCATCTCATCCTCTGTCGTCCCCTTCTCCTTGTGCCCTCCATCTTTCCCAACTTCAGGGTCTTTTCCAGGGAGTCTTCTCTTCTCATGAGGTGGCCAAAGTATTGGAGTCTCAGCTTCACGATCTGTCCTTCCAGTGATCACTCAGGGCTGATTTCCTTAAGAATGGAGAGGTTTGATCTTCTTGCAGTCCATGGGACTCTCAAGAGTCTCCTCCAGCACCATAATTCAAAAGCATCAATTCTTCAGCGATCAGCCTTCTTTATGGTCCAGCTGTCACTTCCATACATCACTGCTGGGAAAACCATAGCTTTAACTATACGGACCTTTGTTGGCAAGGTGATGTCTCTGCTTTTTAAGATGCTGTCTAGGTTTGTCATTGCTTTTCTCCCAAGAAGCAGGTGTCTTTTAATTTCGTGGCTGCTGTCACCATCTGCAGTGATCATGGAGCCCAAGAAAGTAAAATCTCTCACCGCCTCCATTTCTTCCCCTTCTATTTGCCAGGAAGTGATGGGACCAGTGGCCATGATCTTTGTTTTTTTGATGTTGAGCTTCAGACCATATTTTGCACTTTCCTCTTTCACCCTCATTAAAAGGTTCTATAAACAAACAATTTTAACAAGTGGGACCGGCAGCAAAAGGTTGCAGAGAAGTGTTCCTGTTCAATGAGCCAGCCAACCAGCCGTGCCCTTTTAGAGGGTGCACCATTAGAGCGTTTCCCAATTCTGTTTTTCAGTTCTGGCTTCTGGCTTCTGGGTTTGTTTCATTTTGTTTGCTTGCCCCCCTCAAGAGTTGTTTGTATTTCTGCAGACACCCCCAAGCATGCTGATACCTCCTGCTCGTTTCTCAGTGGCTCCATATTGTGTTTGCTACTGGTGTAATTATCCAGTATAGCTAGTTGCATACTGTATATCAGAAGCACAGGCACCCTGTGGATTTGGGGGAGTTAAAATGTGTTGTTAAAGTGTGGATTTGTGGAGAAGGTGGCTTTTACGAAGGATGCTGAAGAACAGAGGGTGCAAGAGCACGTTTTCCAAATGTAGGACGGTGTCAGGCTTCGAGGACTCAGCTTCCTCCGCCCCTTTGGCCGTAGACAAGCAGGACAAAGCAAAAAGAGTCGCTTACCATTTAAAGAGTCTTTAATGATCACAGCAAAAGAACAAAGCAGCCATTCTCGGAATGACGGTGTTCCCAGTTAAGGTTTCCACCCACTTCCCCCCTAGTCACTTCCGCGCCTTGCAACCTGATCTTGCAACCACTTTGCTTTCTAGGCTGCCACCTTATCTGCTCGTCGTGACCTTGGACTGGGCAGATGTAGACTTTCAAGCAAGAAAGAGAGTCAGTTAACTCTCTCTCTCTCCCAGTTCTTCTTCTCCTAGCTGTTCGCCTCCCAGTTCTTCCCAACTTTTGTCTTCAGAACTATGCCCCTCTGCAAACCACTGTTCCAAATCTATACTGTCCCACTGTTCCTGGGCAGCTTCAGGATCCTGGTCAGGAGCAGGGGGAGGGGGAGGCTCCCACCATTCCTCATCAGAGCAGTACTCCTCAGCCTGTTTTCTAACAAATGGTGATAAACCACACACACTGGCTTTGCCCAGCTCGAATAACAGGCATGGAGACATAGAAAGAATATGAAAGTACGAGCCAGTGTTGTTTCCCGATCTTGCTGCAACCATTTCTCCTGTCAAAAAAGATAAGCCTCTCTTGAAATGGCACAGCAAGCTCTGTCAGTGCATACGATGCCTGAACATTCATACCCTCCTTAAGACTCGATCCCGGAAATTCGACAACTACTACAGCAGAACAAAGGTGGTGGTGGTGAGTTGCAAACCATATCCCTGGGTTTTAAAGGCAAATTGGCCACCAGGCGGCAGACTAGTTCACAACATTGCTGACCACAGCAGAAATGCCTTAGCTAATTTTTCTGTGGAGTTTCCATTTTCAGAGATGGAGCTGTGCGCCCTTAGTGCCTCAAATGTCAATGGCCTACTAATCCACTTTTAGAAGAATCTGCACATTATTATTTTTGTTAATGTCGCTGGGTGACCTTATCAAATCCCACAGCGCTGAGATAAAGCATTGGTCGTATTCAGCCAGCCCCACACACAGTAGACCCATTGAAACCAATGCATTTCAGTTAGTCATGTCCATTCACTTCAGTGGTTCTACTTTAGGGAAAAGACTTGTGTTGACATTTAAGCACTTTCTGCTCGGGCCCTGTTTCCAATGGCCAAATTCTGGTTATGTCCGGGAAATTCCAGACATATGGCAAAATTAGGTGGTAATACTGTATCTAAAACATAATCCAGATAAATTTAGGCACTTTTAAATCTCACAGATTTCAGTGAGAGGTAATTAACATGTTTGCTCTCTCATTGAAACCATTTTGGATTGAAATCACTTGGATTGAAAAATTGCTTTCAATCCTTAATGTGTCCTTAATGACTTAAAAAAATTTCCAGGGAGCATCAGCCTGTCCATCTGCTGATAATAAAGTCAAGCCAATTGCTCTAATACAGAGGCTATTTGTGTTCTCGCTTGCTGGCTGTGATGGTTCCAAAAACTCAAGCAGGAAACTTCCTTGTTCCTCCAGCTGACTTCCAGTCTTCCTGTTGCCTAGTAACCATGTGAGTCCTTTTGTAAACAGAAGTATATCAGACTGTAACAAGCCATCAGCCGCACTTTGTTTGTGAGGGCGGTGGGGTGGGGGAAAAGCTTTTGTGACATAACTCTTCTCTTTCACATTAAAAGAAAGCCAATCCGTATGAATTTGCACAATGGTCTTAGGGGACAGCAGTTGGTCTTTGGCGATGGCATTGAAATAGCAGGCACAGGAGTGACCCAAGCCATTTTGCTGCCTGAGGTGAAGGACAAGGCATTCCCCACTCCGTGCACAAAATCTGACTAGGCTGTTAACTGAACCATCTTTAAGCACTGGTGATGGAACAAAGCTCCACCTCCACACCCTAGGGAAGGAATGTAGACTGCATGGCCCACATTTCAAGCCACTTTCTGCTCCTCAGAATTTTCTGCCTGAGGTAGCTACCTCACTTTGCCTCATGGAAGGGCTGGCCCTGGGTGGAAACCTGGTGGAAAGGAGAGAACCTGTGGGACATGGTTATTATTATGTACTGAAGTTCTCACCCTGGGCCAGCAGGGGGATACTGTAGATAGTTTTCACTCAGGTCCACATATGCAAATAAGGGATTGAAAGTGACGTTCAGTGATTGGATAGTTACAGAAAGTTGCTGCTGTTGCGTTGTAGTGGAGCTCTATAGAAGCAGGCTGACTGAACCCTTCAGTTCAGTTCTGTGAATAAACAAGAGCTGTTTGAAGAATCGCTGTGTCATCTGATATGTTCACCCACAACTTAACAGTTATCTCCAGCTATAAACTCTATAAGGACAAGGAAGGATATACCGGAAGTACTCTGTGTGTCAAGAAGGAAGGCGTTAAGTCCAGCAAGCCAGAGACTCCTCTCAAGGGGCAGACTCCTCCACAGAATCATTGCGGGTGATGATGCTATTGTCCCCCTGATGTAAATCAGAACTGGATCTTTAGGGAGTTTACAGAAGGATTTCTTCTTCTCTCCCCAGCAAGTCCCCCTGTGCCACATCCCACAGGCCCCCTCCCGCCACTCTCCAGAGAGGCTTATGGGAGCAAGGGAATAGAGGGGATGAGGATTTCCTTCATTTGACTTACTATAGGATTTAAATCAAAATCAGAAAGTAATACAAAGAGCCGGTGACAACCAAAAGCAAATTCAGCCACCCTCCAGAAAAGCCAGTCAGAAAATAAATGTTGCTTTATGAGGGGAGAGGGGAATAACAGTTCAATAGATTTATATAGATTGTATAGAGATCTCTTCTACTATTGATACTGTCCTGTGGGTTCACTTGCATAGGGATGGACTGGGCATTCAAACACAGCAATACTTCTAATATATCAGATTATTCTTTGCTATCATTGTTTTCCAACCTCTGACATTTTGCATGAACCGTAACATTTTAAAAATTGATGCCACCCTTTCCTACTAGTTCTCTATCGAGATCTCACCGAACCTCACAGTATTCAAGATTGATGGTGCAGGGACAATTTCTACGACAGAGACCTTCAGATCTGCACACAGGGAAAAGAGGTAAGCAGATATCTATTTTGTGGTTTTATTTTGTTCAGAAGCGGAGAAAATCCCAACTGTTTTTCATTTAAAATTATTTCCCGCATGTGGTTGCTTGTGGGGGGAACAAACACTGCAAGAGCATTTGGAGGAAGGAAGAAGGAAGGAAGGAAGGAAGGAAGGAAGGAAGGAAGGAAGGAAGACAGCTTTTCCTGTGACATGAGGAAGGACAGTACAAGTTTTGATTTTTCTTTAGCAACATACTGTTCCATTTTATTATTTGTGCATTATGTGTATCATCTGACCCGTCTACTGCAATTATTAAGTTTGCAGAGGACACCACCATAATGGGGTTAATAACAGGTGGAGATGAATCAGCGTATAGAGGGGAGGTCCAAAAAATATCTACATGGTGCCTAGGGAACAACTTGCACCTTAATATCAGCAAGACAAAGGAGATGGTGTTGGACTTTCGGAGGAAGAGAGGAGAACTAGCCCCGTTGTACATCGGAGAGGGCTGTGTGGAGAGAGTCTCTTCCTTTAAATTCCTAGGAGTTTATCTCAGTGAAGACCTTACTTGGAAAATCAATACAACCCAGGTGGTTAAGAAAGCCCAACAGAGACTCCATCTCCTCAGAGTATTGCGAAAGAACGATGTCAATCAACATTTGATGATCTCCTTCTACCAGTCCACAATAGAAATTGTCCTTTCATACTGCATCACAGTGTGGTACGCTGGCTTGACATCAACTGATAGGAAGTGCCTACAGAGGGTGGTGAGTACAGCACAAGATATTATGGGCCGTCCCATGAATCCGCTGGATGAAATAGCGGAAGAACGTTGCCTCAGGAGATGAGGAAAATTCTAAGGGATGATTCACACCCTGACCGGCACTTTCTTGATCTCCTGCCCACGGGCAGAAGATATAGAAACATGATTAGTCGCACCAACGGGGTAAAAAACAGCTTCTATCCATGGGCTGTTAGGCTGCTGAATGAAAAGATAACAACAGGGCAACTGACTTTCGGGTTTGGTGTGGGAGGGTGTCAGTAAATGAAGGGAAATTAAGACTAAGAGAGCTGAGTGGGGGGTGCTCGTGTAATCTCCCTATATACAAGTTGTACAAGTGTCAATAAAGTATTTCAATTTTTCTGGACCACACGATGAATCACAGGGCAGTGCATAAAATATCATAAAAACAATAAAGTAACCCTGGCATCAATTAAAACAATTCAAAACATAAAACAATGCCAACTGGGCACAATAACTACACTTTGCTTCCACTGGTGGAGGCAGGTGTGCCCCTGAATACCAGTTGGTGGGAATTGGTGAGAGTGGTGAGAGTCCTGTTGAACTCAGGTCCTGTTTGTGGGCTTCCCTTGGTGGCATTTTCTGGTTGGCCACTGTGAGAACAAGATGCTAAACTAGATAGACCCATGGCCTGATCAAGAAGAGGATTTCCGGTGAGAAGAGGTGGTCAGTGGGTAGAGGTCTCTTTTTTAAAAAAATAAAAATTTAGCAATGACTTGGATGATGGACTCAAGGGCATCCTGATCAAATTTGCAGATGACACCAAACTGGGAGGGGTGGCTAACACCCCAGAGGACAGGATCACACTTCAAAACGACCTTGACAGATTAGAGAACTGGGCCAAAACAAACAAGATGAATTTTAACAGGGAGAAATGTAAAGTATTGCACTTGGGCAAAAAAAAGAGAGGCACAAATACAAGATGGGGGACACCTGGCTTGAGAGCAGTACATGTGAAAAGGATCTAGGAGTCTTGGTTGACCACAAACTTGACATGAGCCAACACTGTGACGCGGCAGCTAAAAAAGCCAATGCAATTCTGGGCTGCATCAATAGGAGTATAGCATCTAGATCAAGGGAAGTAATAGTGCCACTGTATTCTGCTCTGGTCAGACCTCACCTGGAGTACTGTGTCCAGTTCTGGGCACCACAGTTCAAGAAGGACACTGACAAACTGGAATGTGTCCAGAGGAGGGCAACCAAAATGGTCAAAGGCCTGGAAACGATGCCTTATGAGGAACGGCTAAGGGAGCTGGGCATGTTTAGCCTGGAGAAGAGGAGGTTAAGGGGTGATATGATAGCCATGTTCAAATATATAAAAGGATGTCACATAGAGGAGGGAGAAAGGTTGTTTTCTGCTGCTCCAGAGAAGCGGACACGGAGCAATGGATCCAAACGACAAGAAAGAAGATTCCACCTAAACATTAGGAAGAACTTCCTGACAGTAAGAGCTGTTTGACAGTGGAATTTGCTGCCAAGGAGTGTGGTGGAGTCTCCTTCTTTGGAGGTCTTTAAGCAGAGGCTTGACAACCATATGTCAGGAGTGCTCTGATGGTGTTTCCTGCTTGGCAGGGGGTTGGACTCAATGGCCCTTGTGGTCTCTTCCAACTCTATGATTCTATGATTCTATGATTCTAAGTGACTTTTTCCTCAAGTCACCACTGATCCTATCATTACAACCAACTCCCATAGCATTCATTTTTTAAAAAAAGCTTTTATTTATACTTTTCAAGTTTATACATTTCATTAGTTTTATAATCAATTTAACATTTCAAAGAATTGACTTCCCTCCCCCTCATTCTGTAGTTCCTTAAATTTATTTTTTTAACTCTTCTGCATATCCAAATTCATTTAATTTGCTCATTTAATTATCTACTTTAAATATATACTCTTATGAAACTGCAGGTTATTACAATAATCCTGCCAATGTTTTTATCTGTTTGTAAGTTATCTGTAAATATTTAATAAACCATTTCCATTCTTTTATATAAAAAAGTTTATCTTGATTTCTTATTCTTCCAGTAAGTTTCACCATTTCTGCATATTCCGTAAGTTTTTGTATCCGTTCTTCCTTTGCTGGGACTTCTGCTTCTTTTCACTTTTGGGCAAGTAGTATTCTTGCTGCTGTAGTAGCATACATAAATAAATTTCTATACAATTTAGGTAGTTCTGCCCCTATAATTTCCAAAAGAAAAGCTTCTGGTTGTTTTTTTTTTAAAAAAAAGTTATTTTGAACCTCCTTTTCAATTCATTGTATATCATAGCCTTCCTGTGACTCATAAGGAGTAACAAAACAACAGGTGTGTCAAATCATTACATCACCCGCTTCCTGACCCTTTCAGTGTGGAAGTTCCACATCATGTGGTCGTATCACGTGACATCGCCCCACAGTTTAGTCAAGGACGTAAATCAGGGTGAGTTGGGAAGCAAAACTAAGGGAACAAAAACATTTTGATTTTTGCCCAAAGCTTAGAAGAACAGTTGATTCATGTGTGTATGCAAAAATAAATTTAAATTAGGCATTTGAAAATGACAGGATGGAAAAAAACTAGTATTGCTATTAATAGATTTCTTGCTTATTGCAGGGTTTGTTTGTTTTCGTTCATAAACTTAAAAGACCTTCAGCTTTTAGCTCTGTATCTATCCTTCTGGTGGGATTCAGGATGTGCCTGAATTCAGAGGGGGGTGGAGGGAGCCTGGGATGTCTAATTAATTCTAACTACCTCAATGCTGACCTCACCAGCCCTTGCAGGATGCAACAGGGTTATAGCTGTATGTTAATAAGGCTGAACTACATTAATTAGTCATTTCCCTCTACCTGCATATTAATACCGCCTGGTGTTGTTTAAAAATAGAAGGTGTGTCTTTTTTAATCAGAGCATTTCTTACTTGGATGACTTGGAAATGCATGAACATGTCTAGGGAAAGTATGCATATATCCCCTCTTGCTCCCTCCTCTTTGTCAAGTGGAAGAGAGACTGTTACCCAAATGAGATCTGGAAAGCTCTTCATCATATTCCCAAAGAGACTGCAGAGCTTTCTGCTCATCCAGAAGAAACTTTCTGATCTAATTATTCACTTTCCAATTACAGGCACTCATTGTTTATCATTCTAGTTTTACTCCAGCAGGCTAAAGTAACAATTGAAGCCACCACTTGCTGTACCTTTCAAAGCTGAAACAAAATATTGTGAGAGACAAAGTTTCTACTCTAGAGAGTTTTTCAATTAGATGTGATTTAACTAGCTAAGACAGACAAAGAGAAGATAGAGAAATGGTACTATACAGAAGGAGCGGAAAGTTGCCCATGGACATATTCGGCTTTCTGTGTAGGTCATTTATTTAGAGGCTGTTTCTGCTGCATTTCTACAACACAATGCCCATGTTCAAACAGTCCTATCTTGGCTTATTTGGCTTATTATTAGTAAAGAGGATGAGATAATTTCATGGGACCTGATTCAACTATCTGGTCCTACTAGCAGAAGCCTGAGCGAGGACTTATGCTAGCGCAACTGGGCTCCTCCCAGATGCTTAGAAAGCTGATTTGAGTTTTAACTTGTTTTATTATTTTAGACTTTTGTATGTCTAAAATACACACATACAAAATGTGTATGTATTTTTGTGATTTTTTTCCTTTGTGATAATTTTATTGTTTAATCTCTTTCGTAAACTGTTTTGAGGTTTATTGTACAAACTGTTGGAGGAAAGCAAATACACTTCCTTCTCAAGATGATGATCTAGCCTCTCTGCTTATGCTTGTAGTCTAAATTAACTCCAACCCTAAAAGCTGAGCCATTTTGTCTACTGTTCTCTCCAGATAAGATGTCTTCTATTTCCTCTTTCCACTCATCCTGTAAATCGTCCCTGCATGAATAAAGCCTTTGAATTCCAATCTAATTCACCCCAACTGCAAAGTCTGTTGAAACAATCAAGTGGTGTATAAATTTTATGAGTATGAATATAACATATATAAAACCAAACCTCAGCAGATGAAATAGCGGCAGGGAAAACTAAGCGGTACCAGCCAACCACAGATGATAGAAGCAGTAATCAGTAACTGAAAACAACTATGCAAACCATCAAACAAAAGCTCTTGGATAAACCAGAAAGCCTTCCCTTGGCCCCTGAAGTATATTTAATTCAAGATAGTAGGTAGAGTCACAATCAGGACAACATTCCTAGGGTAGAGTTACTCAGAAAGCTCCTTTCCTAGTGGCCACTTGCACCACCTCTGAGTACAGGAACACAGAAAGTTGCCTTATACTGAGTCACACCATTGGTCCATCTCATTCAGTATTGTCTTCACTGACTGGCTACGGCTCTCCAGGTTTTCAGACAGGGACATTACCAGGCCTATCTGGAGATACTAGGGATTGAGCCTGGGACCTTCTGAATGCAACTCAGCTGTTTTGCCACTAAGTCATGGTCCTTTCCAAAGCAAAGGCAGGGACATAGAATGGTGGACCTTAAGCTGTTTGGCAGGTTTATATGGGAAGAAGCCTTCTGAGCACCTGGCACCAATTTTTATTATTTTTATTTCTTACGTGCCCTTCACCATAAAGTCCCAGGGTGAGTTACAACAATGCAACAAGCAATTATGAAAAGTGGTAAAACCTTTAAAATTATAACAGCCAACGAAACCTTACCACCCTGAATGGAACAGTATAAATTCATCAAAAGAGGTGGATTCCACAAAACCAAAGACCTTAAGAGTCTTCTGGCACCTTAAATCCCAACAAGCTTATTATGGCATGAACTTTCACGCAACACAGTCCATTTCATCAACTGCACGACTTACGATCCTAAATTGGCAAGACAGACACACGGAGGGGGGAGGGGAAGAGTAGAGAATGCAGAGAATTGAGGCCAGAGGAAATGAAATGTAAAAAGAGCAGAAAGTGACAGCTACCTGAAAGCAAAATAGTTACAGTAACCAATTAACAACGCAGCAGAGTGGCCAATTAACATGGTAGTGTTGGTACTAATGCAAACAGCCTGGCATTAGTAAACTAATTAGCACATGTAGTGTGATTAAAAAAAAACACAACAGCACAGCAGCAATCTTGATGTAACCCACAGGTGACATAATTGAATTGCTTGATAAAGGTCAGTTACAGAGTGTCCTGGAAGATTGATAGGTGTTCCTGTTACTTTCTGGATACCCCTGTTTCTGATGTCAGAGAATGGTGTTGGGGTTATTTGGGGTGGGGGGAGAGCAGGATATCACTGCGGTAGATAAATATATAATTTGTTTACAGCTATTCAGTGAAGGTGACTGTTGCTGATCCGGAAGGTCTCTCTGCGACTGGATATATCAAAGTGTTTCTTGTGGAAGTAAAGCACAGTGGGGACGTCTATCTTAATTGCACGTAAGCATCCAAAGTAGTGCTTGGTTCTATAGGGTGTGTATCTTGTGCTTGTATATAATTGATAGACTTTTTAAGAGACCCTTGATGGTGGAATAAAGTCTCTAGAGCTTCCTGTAGGAACATAGTAGGACTGCGGGGCTGGGCTTGGAATGTAGGAACAGCTATCCATTTTCTGCTGTCTCACCTGTGGAAACAGGTCTCATTTTCCCCACCCCATCCTAGTCCCAGTATGGCCTCTGCTAGTCCAAAAGGTTTTGCAGATTTCAGAGATGTTACTAAAACTACTATAGCTAGACTAGGGATAATAGTGGGGAAGATTTTATTATTATCATTACGGTTTCATTATGCTGCTTTCAAGATTATTTAAAAAGGAAAATGCACACAGGCACCCACAGCTATCTTCCCTTCACAGCCATGGAAATATAAGTTCCTTATTGCCATGTGTGGAAAACCATATCACCTTTCTGCTTGGGAGCACAGATTGTCTAAAAATCTGAAATAATAAGAATAATTTTATTTTTTTTGTACCACACCCATCTCTCTCTCTCTCTCTCTCTCTCTCTCTCTCTCTCTCTCTCTCTCACCCCACCCCCGAAATCCTTCAGTTATTGATCTGTCCCCACCTAAGAGCCAGTGTGGTGTAGTGGTTAAGAGCAGTAGACTCGTAATCTGGTGAACCGGGTTCGCTTCCCCACTCCTCCACATGCAACTGCTGGGTGACCTTGGGCTAGTCACACTTCTCTGAAGTCTCTCAGCCTCACTCACCTCACAGAGTGTTTGTTGTTGGGGAGGAAGGGAAAGGAGAATGTTAGCCGCTTTGAGACTCCTTAGGGTAGTGATAAAGCGGGATATCAAATCCAAACTCTTCTAAGCTCCTTAAATAAGCGTAGTGGTACCTGAGAGAAGGAACTATAGGCCTGAGAGTCCCCACTTCAAAACTTCCTCTGCCCAGTGCATAACTATTTTATCCTCATCTTCCCACTGTCAATATGGGAATTATAAAGCTGCCACATCTTGGATAATTACTGTCATATCCACACTTGCTAAAGTGAAGACTGAGACTGTGCTGGCTCAGTGAAAAAGATATGATCCACTGCTGAGCTGTACATTGTAACTACTGTTTATAAGCTGTGTTGCCTTTCTAGTTTTTTCAGTATTGGGAAAGGCAGATTGACTCCTAGGACAGAAGACTCGGTTTCAATGGCTCTGGTGGACATTACTTTGGATGAAGAAATTCCCATTGGGATGACAGTTGGCAAGTGCCATGCTGCGGGAGAAGATCCAATGGATCCTATCACCTTCGTTCTTGATCCAAGCAATCCTTACTTCATGATTGACAAAGGTAAGCCATGACGGATGTGAATCCTGGCAAAACCCCACCCCTACCCTAAATCCTTTGTTTTTTTCTTACAACCACAGGAGAAGAGGACAGCTCACTGTCAATCTACATAATTGTCCTGGAACAGATGTTTTGGACTACAATTCCCATCAGCCCAAGCCGACTGTGCTGGCTAAGACTGATGGGAACTGTAGTCCAAAATATCTGGAGGGCACGAGACTGGCAAAAGCTAGCTTATGTGAAAAACAAAGGTAGCCTAGGTGTGTGGTGCATAAGGGGGAGGGGGATACCATTATTTCAGTGGGTGATGGCTTTAAGAGGACCAACCAAAATGTTGCAAAATATGAAGTTTGTATCTTCTACAAGGGGCAGCATATCCCATGGAATATGCAAAGAGCCGCTTGGGATGTTACAGGGCAGGCACCAAGCATCAGCATCGTAGCTTAGGCAGCTGCTGATACCCCTGTTGGAGGCCCACTGCCTATCCCTGGAGTCTCCTAGTCCTGTTTCTGCTCTACTTCCTCTAATACCAGGTCAGACCATCATTCTACGGTAGCTAAATATTGTCAACACTGAACGGCAGCTGCATTACAGGGCTTCAGGTAGGACTTTTCCGAGCCTTAACCTGAGGCCTTTGGGATGCCAAGGATGTGTTGTACCATGGAGCTATGGTCTTTTACCATTGCTGGTGCCCATTTGCTTTCAGGCTTCTCTAGACATCTGGTTGGCCACGTTAAGAACAGGATGCTAGATTAGGTGGGCTTTGGGCTTGACACAGCAGGGCTCCCCTAGTGTGCTTATAAGTTAAAATAGGAGTTTCTGAAAACTTAATGAATTCCAGAATAGAATACGCCAAGGAAATGTTAACTGGAAGAGAATTCTGCAACTGTGGGGCCACCACCAAGAAGGCCCCGCTCACGTGTTCATTAACGTAACCAATTTCAGTAATGGGCACACAAGCAGAACATCAGGCGGAGGTCTTAGATTATGGGCAGGTTCATTGTTTAGTAAGAATTACTAAATGTTCCAGGCCAGGCCACAGATCATCATCATCATCATTATCCTAACAACTATTTTGCAGCTCGTGGTACTCTACTAATTGCATCTAGACTGGACATGGAAGAGGCTGGATTTATCAGTGCTCAGTCATTCACCGTTGTGGCTTGCAGCAGTACCTGGAGGTGTGCAGGCATTCCTGTGATAGTGAATGTACATGGAATCAATGACAATGTGCCATTCTGTCATCAGTATGTATACAGGTGAGCTAGTGAGTCAAGAAATGGCAGCAGATGGTTAGCTATGTTTTTCTCATAATATATTTTCCTTCACATAGATGTTCAAAAAATATAAAGAAGCTCATTGACAACAATCAAACAAATGGGCCAAAGAAATACCCCATGCCAATGGAGCAAATGGAGCCCTGCCCCACCATATTCAGTCTGCCCCCAGGCAGCCCCCACCTGCCTGCCTTCTTTCTGACAAGCAGTCCAGTTGGTGGCACTGCCTGTCAGGTTCCATTTCCTTAGTCTCAGGCTGCAAATGCACATTTTTCTTCTAGAACCAGTGGGGACTAAATTCTTGCTTTGTCCTACCTAGTTCACACACAGTCTAGACCAGGCATAGGCAAAATCTGGCCCTCCAGATGTTTGGGACCACAATTCCCATCATCCCTAGCTAACAGGACCAGTGGTCAGGGATGATGGGAATTGTAGTCCCAAACATCTGGAGGGCCGGAGTTTGCCTTTGCCTGGTCTAGACTGATTGCACCCCCCCCCCTCTGAAAAGCACTTGTCAAGCTAGTTCTGAAAATAAAAGCTCATTGCAGATTGATGCTGTATTACCCCACAGTGAGCCTATTTGAAAACAGATGCATGCTGTCTCAGCAATGGGTGTATGGGTGTGTGTCTATACCTGACCAATGACGACGTGGGTGGGCATATACCACGATAGCAAGGGCAAGGTTTTGAAATGCATAATCTAATCAAGGGGAGGGTTTGTGGTGGTGCTGTGGGTTAAACCACAGAGCCTAGGACTTGCTGATCAGAAGATTGGCGGTTCGAATCCCCACGACGGGGTGAGCTCCTGTCGCTCAGTCCCTGCTCCTGCCCACCTAGCAGTTCGAAAGCACGTCAAAGTGCAAGTAGATAAATAGGTACCGCTCCGGCGGGAAGGTAAACAGCATTTCTGTGCGCTGCTCTGGTTCACCAGAAGTGGCTTAGTCATACTGGCCACATGACCTGGAAGCTGTACACCGGCTCCCTCAGCCAATAAAGCGAGATGAGCGCCACAACCCCAGAGTCGGTCACGACTGGACCTAATGGTCAGGGGTCCCTTTACATTTACATCAAGTAACTGCACCCACCTGTCTCGACCGCAAGATCTGCAATCTTGTTGAGGATGTGTGTTGAGAGAAACTGATTTTTCGCTCTGCAAAATAGGAAGTGTGTAGGCAGCCTCAGTGTTGCCCTTGTAGAACTCAGCAGGCAGGAGGATAAGGGCAAAACTAGAATTACCGTACTCACCTCTTTCTGTCTCTGTCTTTGTCTCTGTCTCCACCTGCTGTTGGTCTTCTTACCCACCCTGCAAGTCCCAATGGGCACCAGCCACAACTGGCCAGCACATACAGTGGTACCTTGGGTTAAGAACTTAATTCGTTCCGGAGGTCCGTTCTTAACCTGAAACTTTTCTTAACCTGAGGTACCACTTTAGCTAACGGGGCCTCCCACTGCCGCCGCGCCGCCGCCACACGATTTCTGTTCTCATCCTGAAGCAAAGTTCTCAACCCGAGGTACTATTTCTGAGTTAGCGGAGTCTGTAACCTGAAGTGTCTGTAACCCGAGGTACCACTGTATTGTTTTAAGGAGACTTCAACCCACTTCCATTTATTCTGAAAATTTGTGAGTAGCACTGTAGTGCTTACGAGAGGGGGAAATCTTGTTGGAATCCCCCTAAAAATGTGAGGGAAAAGTAGTCAGGTTAAGTCTTTTCTTTCTGTTGAATTGACTCTTACAAATATGTTTAAAAGAAGCATTCATGACAGTGCAGTTATAGGACTATAAAATAGGGTTCCATTATACTCCTGCCATGGTTGCACTTGAACTACTGGGTATAAAAAATTTCAGACGGATTATAGTCAGTATAAATCGCAGTGTGCCTTGCGAAGTTACACATCCAGATTCTCCCAGTCTGAGCACCTTGTGGAACATTATCTTAAAATGATAGGCACTATCATTAACGGCTTCTGATTTGATGGACATTTAGAGAAGAAAACTGAGGTTGCTGGAACAAGCATGTCACATTTTGATGACTTCCTTTTAATCAGATATACCAGCAGAGAAGTTATTGCAATTAATACAGTGGTTGCTAATGTCAGATGTCACGATACGGACAATCCCCCCGATGAACTCCATTATGAACCCAACAGTGGCCCGGTTGGTGCTGGAAAGCTGTTTGAACAAGTTCCAGGTGCTAAAAATGCCATTCGGGTGAGTAAATGAAGATGTGGGAGAAGATAAGTCAGGGACACAGGAGCTGAACAAGGGAGGATCCATCATAGCTCAGTGGCAGATTACCTGCTTCGCATGCAGAACATCCCAGGTTAGATCCCTGGCGTGTCCAGGTGAAAGAAGCCCATGGCAGGTCTGAAACTCTAGTCAGCCAGTCAGAACAGAATAAACCATATTGGGCTAGAGGGACAATTAGATTGACCTGATCTAAGGGAGCTCATGGATGCTACTGGACCTCCCAGGATAGCTGGGGAAAAGATTCCTTTAGTAAAATGCACGAACTTTAGTCTGGCAATGGTGGGGTTCTTCCCACCCCCCTTTTGCAGCAGAATCAAGCCAATTTCTGGTCTTAGCTTACTATTTTTGAATATTTTGTTTTTAACAGTTTTTATTGATAATCTTATTCTTTTTGTAAACCAGTTTGAGGTTTTATTACAATTAAGCATTATATAAATGTAATATTATAATAATATAATATGTTATAATAATATAAGTATATTATATAAATATAATATAATGTAAGTATATTATATAAGCATTTTTTAAAGAAGACATCTGAAGGCAGACCAGTATTGGAAAGTTTTAAACATTTAATGTTTTATTATGTTTTTATATTCTGCTGGAAGCCACCCAGAGTGGGCAGGGTATAAATAATAAAATTATTATTATTTGTTATGCAGCAACAAGCCTGGGTTTGCCACTGAGTGGCAAGTGGGAGCTAACACCATTCCTGGCTGTCCATCACTGTCCGATAATATGCATAGTTTGAGCCACTCTGGCCTTCTTTTGGAGAAAGGGTGTTGTGTAAGAATAAGGTGATGATGAAGATGATGATATTTGCATTCACCCTTTTATTTTTTAGCAAACTGGCCTGTAATTACCATGATCCCCCACGTTCCCCACCACCACCACCACCACGCTTTTTAAATAGCATTTCATTGCCATTTTCTAGTTGTCAGGTATGGAAGCTGATCTTAGGGACAAATACATACTTTTGTTACTGGATCAGCAATTTCATATGAGTTCTCTGGGAACTCTCAGGTGGATGCCATCATGCCATCTGGACCTGGTGGTTTATACCCTGCGTTCCAATCAAATGATTCTCAAGGCAGTTTACAAGTAACAGCTTGTGATAATAACACAAACTCCGTTCCGCATTCAAGCTCCCAAGATTCATACACGCACGCACAGACAGCCCAGCAGTGTTTCATCCTCCAGGTGATGGGTAGGACCAGCACATACTTCCTTTCAGTTCTGCATTCCTACGGAAACTGGAGCCAAGTGTTCTTTCTAGCAGTCCTCCAAGTGTGAAATTGCCCCTGGTTGAGTCTTATCCATAGTTGCATCTGCATTTCTAACAGGGAAATTTGAGATACATTTAACTGTTAATTTGAAATATGCATGAGCTTCAATCTGCCTTTGATATTATGCTGCTTGGTTTAATTGTTCACTCTTGCTATGTTGGAAGGTAACACAATATTTGGACTATGAAGACCCACGGAATCTTGCAGTTGGCAGCACTCATGAAATGACTCTCTCTGTTTTTGATGATGCAATTCCGTCACACACAGGTGAGAATTTTAATAAGAATCCAAGTGTTTCTTAGCATGCCATGCCTTTTGCTCTTCTGACCATGTCCTCCTTTGAGATTCTAGTGTGGGGAATCCATCTTTTCTCTATGTCTTCTTAGGGTCCCCCCCCCAACTTGCCCCAACTTTAGGTTTGGAACCTTTGTTGTTGTTGTTGTTTAGTTGTTTAGTCATGTCCGACTCTTCGTGACCCCATGGATCAGAGCACACCAGGCACTCCTGTCTTCCACTGCCTCCCCCAGTTTGGTCAAACTCATGTTAGTAGCTTTGAGAACACTGTCCAACCATCTCGTCCTCTGTCATCCCCTTCTCCTTGTGCCCTCCATCTTTTCCAACATCAGGGTCTTTTCCAGGGAGTCTTCTCTTCTCATGAGGTGGCCAAAGTATTGGAGTCTCAGCTTCATGATCTGTCCTTCCAGTGAGCACTCAGGGCTGATTTCCTTCAGAATGGATAGGTTTGATCTTCTTGCAGTCCATGGGACTCTCAAGAGTCTCCTCCAGCACCATAATTCAAAAGCGTAAGTTCTTCGGCGATCAGCCTTCTTTATGGTCCAGCTCTCACTTCCATACATCACTACTGGGAAAACCATAGCTTTAACTATACAGACCTTTGTCAGCAAGGTGATGTCTCTGCTTTTTAAGATGCTGTCTAGGTTTGTCATTGCTTTTCTCCTAAGGAGCAGGCATCTATTAATTTCGTGACTGCTGTCACCATCTGCAGTGATCATGGAGCCCAAGAAAGTAAAATCTCTCACTAGGACCATGAAATAGTAAGTGGCACTTTTGAGGCCCACTCTGCCTTGATTCTGGGAATGAAATATTGGCCATAGCTTAGTATTTATTTATCATGACACCTGGATCCCATATATTGTCCAAGGAGCTCAAAGTGGTATATATGGTTCTCCCTTCTCCATGTTATTCTTGCAACAACCCTTTGCAGCACAGTAATTGGTTCATGGTCTCCCAGAGAGTCTCGTGCTCCAGTTTGGATTGAATTATGGCATCCCAAGTCCTAGTCCTAGTCCACTCTAACCAACACACTGGCTCCCTCTGATACAATGAAGATCTGGGCCTCTTGTTTCAATTTACTCTCCTGTTGGTTGTTTTCCTATTTGCTGTCAGCTGGGTGAATTCTCAGGTTAATAGTTGGAAAATGCTGGTCTGCTTGTTCTTTTATTAGTAACTGCTACGATAATTGTGGAAGTCTTACCTGTCAATGAATTTGGGCCGGCATTTAGTAAAGCAGATTATGCGTTTGTTGTTCCTGAAACAGCTGGAGGTACGTCACAATATTTGATTGTTCCTTTTTAAAATTAAGTAAAATATATTAACCGCTTTGCTTTATAAAAAAAGCTCAGAGAAGCATATGAATAAAGACACAACAAATAAAGCAAAACTTGAGCATAGCACGAGAGCTGCTGTACTAAACTTGAACCAGAAGCTCAAAATAAAGAGAAATTAAGTCATAACATGGCAATGATCATTATACTGTGATAATTGTAACACTGTAATTATAAAATTATAAAAATTGCAGTTCTCTGTGTTAGTGTGTATGGTTTATTTTATTATTTTCTATTTCTTAAAAATTATACTCTTATTGTTTCTTGCTTATTATTAGTCTCCTTTGGAACTTAAAATTACATTGAAGGCATGGAATAGAAATTGTGGGAAGGAAGGAAGGAAAGAAAGAAAGAAGGAAGGAAGGTTGTCACCTGCTCATAAGTATCCATAATTATTCACACTTTTACTGGCCTTGACTTGAAATTTGAACTGGATATCGTTGTCATTAGTCATATTTCTCCACCTAGGCCACCAATATTGTCATCTTTGACTGGAAGTAGCTCTCCAAGGTCTCAGGCAAAGGTCTTTTCTTTCACCAGCTACTAAATTGTTGCTAGCGGGAGATGTGGGGGATCAAATTTAGAGCCTTCTGTTTGCAGAGTGTGTGACCTGTGTACCACTGAGATATAGCAATGGGCATTGACTTGAATCAGTTGAGGGAGGGTGGAAATCAGGTAGGTGAAAATAAAAAAAATACAGGAACATCACGATGCTATAACTTCCTTTATAGCAGTGCCCATAAAAAGGCCAAAAGAATGAGCTGCATTTATTTATTTTTTTGCATTAGTACAAAATTGCCTTGTATGGGGTCTTGGTAACTATATAATTTGAACACAATATAGCAATCTGAAATATTTAAAGTAATTTTCTCTGATGAAGTTTGACACATACACGGATCCGCTGCTGACAGCAAAAGAAAAAGGCACACACACACACATGAAATTAGTTTCCTTTTAACCACCACCTCCCCATCTTGTTTAAAAAGATCCGAAACAGCTTCATGATAAACGGAAGAGCTCAATCACATTGTGCCGGAAGCCACGAGGGAAATGCAATTCGCTTACAGTAGTTTTTCAAGGAGAAAAGTTGGCAGCCTTTCAGGAGCCCTCATAATGGCTCTATTTTAAACTCGAGCTTGAGAAGTGCTCAGGTTAGCTTTTTATGCTTTATTGAAAGGTTAATTTCATGCCCACGTAAAAGTATTGGCTTTCTATTATGTTTAACAGAGTTACAATGTGGAAATGAGAGAAACTCTTAGTACAGTGGTACCTCGGGTTAAGAACTTAATTCGTTCTGGAGGTCCATTCTTAACCTGAAACTGTTCTTAACCTGAGGTACCACTTTAGCTAATGGGGCCTCCTGCTGCTGCCACGCCGCCGGAGCACAATTTCTGTTCTCATCCTGAAGCAAAGTTCTTAACCCGAGGTACTATTTCTGGGTTAGCGGAGTCTGTAACCTGAAGCATCTGTAACCCGAGGTACCACTGTATGTACTTGTGCAATATGAGCTGCATTTTAAACCCGCTGTTGTGTTTTTTTGAGGGGAAGGGCTCAGTGGGAGAGCACCTGCTTGGCATGTGGAAGAGTAATTCACCATCATCTCCAGGTAGAATGGGGAGAGGCCTCTGACTGAAGCCATGGACAGCTGCTGACAGTCAGTGTGTATACCGTACTCAATTAGGTGGACCCAGTGGCCTGATTTGGTATACAGTGGTACCTCGGGTTACATACGCTTCAGGTTACATACGCTTCAGGTTACAGACTCCGCTAACCCAGAAATAGTACCTCGGGTTAAGAACTTTGCTTCAGGATGAGAACAGAAATTGTGCTCCGGCTGCGCGGCAGCAGTAGGAGGTCCCATTAGCTTCAGGTTAAGAGCAGTTTCAGGTTAAGAACGGACCTCCAGAACGAATTAAGTACTTAACCCGAGATACAACTGTAAGGCATATTCCTACGCTACACGCTTTGTTAGCAGAACCAAGGCCCAGTAGTGGACACCTTTCGTCTGACTGCAAAGGTTTCAGCTCAGGCTTCGTAGACATAAAAGGTAGTGGAAACATTTCTTTTTTCCTCCTCTTCTCCTTTGCCCACCCGTCACCCTTAAGTCCTGGGTCATTTTACAATTAAAACACAATATTATAGGCAGCTTCAAACAACTTACTATTCTAGAAATTAGGTGGGTACTGAGGTGCACCTCTTTGACCTGGCTTTTGACGCTTGAGGTGTGTATTCAGCATTTGCCGAAAGCTATATAAATAATAATAATAATAATAATAATAATAATAATAATAATAATATATTTATACCCCACCCATCTGATTGGGCTTCCCCAGCCACTTTGGGTGGCTTCCAGTAAAATATTAAAATACAATAATTCACCACTTCCTGGTTCCCTGTAACTTCGCTTCTCGCAGTGAGGGAACTGCCAGAAGGCCCTCGGCAATGGCCGGTCTGAGCGATGGTATACTGGGCCGAGGCTGTTTAGGGCTTTAAAGGTCAGCACCAACACTTTGAATTGTGCCCGGAAACATACTGGGAATTGTGCCCTTCAAACGTATGTAATGAAGGTACCAGATGCATCTCTGTGGGGAATGAGTTCCACAATTTGGGGATTACCACAGAGAATACCCTCTACCTGAGCTTCTGAGGTTGGTGGAACAACCAAAATGGCCCCCTCTGCTGATCTTAACACCTTAGAGTGAAGGAGGTGATTTTTTAGGTTTTGGGGGCCTAAGACCTTTAGGGGTTGGAGCACTAATGTGAACACCTTGAATTGGGGCTGGAAATGAACTGGCAACTGGGGCAGTTGTTTTAAAACAGTTCACTAATAAACAGAACCACGTTAGCTAGTCACTACTTGGTGTCTGCTTGCTGCATTTACATGAACACTAGGCACGCTATTTCAGAAATCCCAAACGGTTTCAGGCTGGACTCATGTGGGTCTCGCCTATGGACCTCAGATTTTAATCGGTCAGCATCTCCTCCTGCCGTTGGTCTGGGCTCCTTTCAGTCTTATTATGTTCCATTGCTCTGAACATTTAAGAGGACACTGCGGGAAAAGGACAACGGTGGCAGCAACTTACTGAGATCTGATGCAGATGCTGCAAAGAGGCGGAGACCTATGTATGGGAGGTAGGATAGAAGCCAGGGGCCAGAGCGGAGCTGATACAAAACATTTTGCAGCTTGAAAGACAAGCTGGAATTCCTCCCCATTCCATGTACGAAAGCTGTTTTGGCTGACAACTGAATCGTACTTCAGCACTGCAGATGGGATAGCATCCTCCATGGCACCTGAGGAAGCAGAGCAGTTTAGGGAGGCCAGGACAGGCGACAAAGCATACGCAAATGTGTCCTCCAACAGAGGGTTTAGGAGGAAGAGCCAGACAGCTGCTGGTCTGATGGTATGGCCAGAGCCAAATGCAACAGCCAAGGGTGGGGGGGACAACTTAAGTCCATCTTTTACCCAAGCCATTGAATCTGAACCCACAGTTGCTTAATCCGACCTCAATTCCTGTTAGGGAATACAAATATTATCCTGGAAGTCCTTGTTTTGTGACATTTTAGGGCTATTTAGTAAGCAGTACACTATATGTGGCCTAGGACTCACGTACCTACAGGACCGCCTCTCCTGGTATGCCCCGCGGAGGACCTTAAGGTCCACAAATGACAACATTTTGGAGGTCCCAGGTCGCAAGGTCATTAGATTGGTCTCAACTAGGGCCAGGGCCTTTTCAGTACTGGCCCCGACTTGGTTGAACCCTCTGTCACAAGAGGCTAGGGCCCTGTGGGACTTGACATCTTTCCGCAGGGCCTTGACATCTTTCCGCCTGGCCTTTGGTTTGGACTCAGTCTGACCTTTATGTTTCCCTCCCCTTACGGTCTTGACTTATCGGCTACTTTAAAATGCTGCATTCTAAATTCCATTTTAACCTGTATTTTAAATTGTTTTTTCCCCCTCTCTCTTTCCATTATTATGTTTTTACTGTGATTTTATTGGTGTTTGCCGTCCTGAGCCCGGCTCTGGCCGTGGAGGGCGGGGTATAAATAAATTATTATTATTATTATTATTATTATTATTATTATTATATAAATTAACAGCACCGATCTCCATATTTAGCGACACGTGGATCCTTCCTCTTCGCCCACCATTCACCTTTGAGTTCTCTCCTTTGCCTGTAAACAAAATGCCACGCAGCTAGTTCGGGGGAAGATGCACCCCTAGAGTCTTTTGTAGAGAAAAGAAATCCAATTGGAGAAGAATTTAATGGTCAATTACGCCGCAGTCTCATCCCAACAGCGATAAATGCAGCTTATGCCTTGTACTCATTGTGAGGTAATTAAGGAGCTCCTGTTTGTGTCATTTTTGCCCTGTTATATGGCTAAATAAGAAGGGATTGCTAATAAGCCTTACAAAGGCAGCACAGTAATAGGCTCATTTTCTGAGCGCTCGGCTTTCACTGTTGAAAAAGGAGAGGGCTCCACTTAGTCACTACTACATTAATTCCAGGTAAATGAAATCGAGTCTGAAAATTAGCACTTGTAAAACACCACTGTCTTCTTACAGCTCACCATAAAGTTGGACAAGTAACCGCCACAGATGAAGACTACCCATCAGACTGTGTGACCTATAGAATAGGCCATGGAGGCATTTTTTACCCCGTTGAGATATTCTGGTTGGATCCAGTGTCTGGAGTGATAGAACTGATAACAGAACCAGACTATGAATCTGTCCAGCAGTACAGACTGATCATTGAAGCTGTTGACTGTGATCTGTTTCATCCCAGAACTGCTAGTACTGTAGTAAGTCTGAGTTAACAATTCTTCTTATGAACATTATCCAGCCAGTTCTTTTAACTTTCCTTTCTATAGTAGCTGAATTATTGGCAATCGGTCCACTAGAATGGGGAAATCAAAGGCAGGCGGGTGTCATGCAAACCGTTTTATTTCATAGGGTACCATTGCAAAGAAACTCTTGTGCCTTTGCCACACCATTTTAAGAACTCCAAAGGTAGGCCTCGCCTTTGTTTTCACTGCTTCTTCCAAGTCAAACCATCAACATGACCGAAGAGCAAAACTCTCATATCACATACCCCAAAGGAACTTATTTAATGGCTAGACATGTAGTGCTGAGCAGTAAAAGTAGCATTTCTTTTAGAAAAGAAGGAAAGGTAAATTAAACTCTGGAATTCTCTGCCACAAAATATGGTAATGGCCACCAATTTAGATATCTTTTCAAGGTGGATTGGATTGAGACAACAGTTTCAGGGCTCCCACAGGCATCTGGTAGGCCACTGTGAGAAAAGGATGCTGGACTTATGTTCTTATCACAAATTATGGGCTGTTGGAAAGAATTCAACACAAGGGGTGTTTTTTTACGTGGTAGCTCCATGCATCATATGAAGCTCTGTCTTGAAAAGGAGGCAAGGAAGTCATGGACGAAGAATGATAATGTCAAAAAATGGAAGGCCGTCTTAAAGGGTTGCAGAGGGTAGAGGCAGATGCAGGGGGGCAAGGGAACAGATGAAACAACTAAGAGTAGGGAAGGAAGGATTACCTAGTGAGTGATATGGAGACAATTACACAAAGATCACTAGATCTTACCACCAAAAAGCTCTTTGCAGTAGTCTGGTCTGGCATCCTGCGAAGCAGAAGTAACCAGAAAACAACTTTCAGAAGAGCTCTAGCCCCATCTTGCTGGTAAAGGTGTCTATCCCATGTGGATTAGTGGAGGACGAGAAGTTGCCACTTTTCTTTTTTAAAAAAATCATTTTTATTGCTTTTCCAATAAAAAACAATTAATATATCCAATCATAATACTCTAATTAAAATAAAAAACTAAAATAAAAAAGACCAAATTATAGTCCAAATTATAATTATTAATTTTTCGGAGCTCCCCACGGTCTGGATCTCTGAAGCATATCTCCACATCTCAGTTCTGCCTCTCCTTGCTGTTTCCATATTTTCCACATCTCGATTTTGACGCTTTATAATTCTCCGTCCCTGGGTCCACGATTCTCAATCATGTCAAACATCCGTCGAGTACAGCTTTATTAGTATATATTTTTCCAACTGTCTTTTTATCAGTGTAGTTTCCTCTGACTCCATTCCAATCTGGGATGTTGTCCAAGTCTGTTATCTAAAGTTTAATGGCACAGGAACTCCCAATCATTAATTGTCCAAACCTTCCTTTATAGCTTTATTGAATCAGTACCTTCCAAATTAAATTGTTAGGCAAAACTGTTTGCAATATTACAATGTAGATAAACTGTATTCCATAAATATCACTCATTTGGCGATCGATCAGCCTTTGGAGACCGCACTCTCCCCCCTCCGGGCCCTAGAGGGGGGGCTGCTAGACACCACTTAGCCGAGAAGGGGCCACCTTTCAAAAGCACCCTGTGGCTGTGTGCCAGGCATCATGTCAGACCAGGAAAGCTCTGAACTCTGGAAATACGAAAAGCTTCATTTTGGGCTAGGGTTCTCAGTGGGTCTTGAGGAAAGAGACATATTGGAATCGACACCCCAAATTACAGCATACTTTATATACTGGGTCATGAGGGGCTTCAGTATAAAAACACGAGTATATCAGAAATGAGCAAAGACCTCCCCTTCCTCATCTAGAGAGGAAGGTGTGGCTCTATATGCCAGTTCCCCTTTCTGTCATGCAAAGTCATGACGGTTAGCATTGGATGTCTTGGTCACACCTGGGGTCAGCTGGAGCTGCTGGCTGTTGCAACGGATGCACCGCAAGCAAATGGCTCATCTGTTGAGCATGTCTCTGTACGACTGTTCTGGCCCTAGCGGCTGGGAACATTTTAATTAACACCTACAAGCATAGGATTACTGTAACACAGAAAGCTCATTCATTGATTATAAATTACAAGCTTGCAGCGTTTTCTTCTGTAACACTAGGGTGTAATAATGGTAGGTACAACAGAATACATATTTTCAAGAGGGGGGGGCATGTGGAACACATAACAGCAGATCGTGCCTAAGCCAAAGAATCTGTTCTCATTGGTTTTCCATTTCTCCCTGTAATAATAATAATAATAAAATAATAATAATAATCCAGATGCACTGCTCCTGCGATCATCACAAAGTAGTTAGATTTGTTACTTAAATTTAATGACCTGATTTTGGTGATTTGGATTAATCCCACAGATGTCAAGGAAGCTAAAATCAGCATAGCGAAAGAGCAGAACAGGTTGCATAAATCCAAGAAAACAATTGCTTGCAGTGGGACACATTAAGCCAGCTACTAGTATAGTGGCCCAACAAAGCTCAAATGAATGATGTCGCAGACTGCCCAAAAGAGGTGTGTCAAGTACCTGGCAAGCCAGAATACATGGCTTGCTGGGCCTCTTTTGGCTTGGCAGGGTACAAAAACTAAAGAAGTATTTTACTGGGTGGGGAAAGAAAGTGTCTTAGAAGCTTTTACAGTGGTACCTCGGGTTACATACGCTTCAGGTTACAAACGCTTCAGGTTACAGACTCCACTAGCCCAGAAATAGTACCTCGGGTTAAGAACTTTGCTTCAGGATGAGAACAGAAATCGGGTTCCGGCGGTGCGGCGGCAGCAGGAGGCCCCATTAGCTAAAGTGGTGCTTCAGGTTAAGAACAGTTCCAGGTTAAGAACGGACCTCCAGAACGAATTAAGTACATAACCAGAGGTACCACTATACTCTCCTTACCTACACAAATGCATCTTTTTTTCTGGTGGAGAGGCAACAGTGATTAAAGTACACGGACTTAGGCTGCAATTAGTCTGCTCCAACAGGAGTTGAAGCTGTAACCTGTCGTGTAAAATGCCTCTTGCTGTTTCTCTGTCCTTCTTTGATCAGAGCAGCTTCTTCTCTGACTTCTGGAGAGCAGGTTTCTGCTTAAGCAATGCCCTGTTGCTTGTGGACTTTTGTTGCGGTGATTTAAAAAACGATTTGAAAAATTCAGCTGCACTGATTTTCTCAGCAGCAGTAGCACTTTGCTAACGCTCTCTGTCTCCTACATGCTGCTACAAAGCAGATAAGCTAATTACAGGTGTCATGGGCCCTGAGGGCAGATGGAGTTCAGTCAGCCAAGCAGAGACCTGGCCCTAGGGTGATCTAGAAGTGCAGAGGCGAAGCGACCAGAATAGGTGTCAAATACAGGTGCTCAGTTAACACCAAAACTTCACCTTGGGACAAATGTATACGTCTATGCTGCATTTTTTAAAATTAACATCCCCTCCCCAAGTGTAATGTATCAGAGGAATGCAGGAAGCTGATATATATCAGCTTGGACCTTTCATCCACATGGCACACCCTCCAACAGTTCTCTGATGAAAATAGGAATGTCCTATACAACAACAACAACTTTTATACTGGCCCATCTGACTGGGTTGCCCCAGCCACTCTGGGCAGCTTCCAACATATAGAAAAACATAATAAAACATTAAACATTTAAAAACTTCTCTATACTGGGCTGCCTTCAGATGGCTTGGGGGCTTGAATAACGCCATACCCTCCAACATTTCTCCGATTAAAATAGGGATGTCCTAAGGAGCAGGGGGACATTCTGGGGTCAAATCAGAAACTGGGATGGCTTCTGTCCATTGGGAAAATAGGGACACTTGGAGGGTCTGATATGGATCCCTGTACTGTCTACTCGGGCTGGCAGCAACTCTCTGGAAACTCAGGGTAAACTCTTTTCCATCACTTGGAGTGGGCAGGACTTCAGATACAGGACACCTTCAGGAGGACTGTTCTTTGTAAAACAGGACACCTGGCCAACCTATTTGGAAGAGCAGCTGCCCCACATTAACATGCCAGTGTGGTGTAGTGGTTAAGAGCGGTAGTCACGTAATCTGGGGAACCGGGTTCGCGTCTCCGCTCCTCCACATGCAGCTGCTGGGTGACCTTGGGCTAGTCACGCTTCTCTGAAGTCTCTCAGCCCCACTCACCTCACAGAGTGTTTGTTGTGGGGGAGGAAGGGAAAGGAGAATGTTAGCCGCTTTGAGACTCCTGAAGGGGAGTGAAAGGCGGGATATCAAATCCAAACTCTTCTTCTTCTTCTTCTTCGTCCCTGAAATACCTCTTTGGCTGTGTCTCCTTGTCCACAGTGGCTCTGGAATATTAAATGAATGCATCCAATCTGTGAGAGAAGCAGCATGCTCCTGTCCCCTGAATCTCCCACATTATGCATTGATAAGGACTGCTGTTTTCTGCACCTGTAGACTTGCTAGTGAGTGCCTATTAGGTGGTACAGAGAGCTTTCCTCATCCTTTAGCCCACAGGGGCTCATTATGCAGCCGGATCTCAGTTCTTCAGGGTTTCCAAGTCAGAAGATTCTGTTTCAGACTGGCTGGAGCTCCAGCATCTTTCATTTTAAGCCTGGAATAAATATAATTACTTAAAAAAAACTGCTAAGAGCCATGCCTTACTATTTCAAATGCTATTGTCTCCTTCTTGCACAAGTAGATCAAGGAAGAGTGCTGGTACTTTCGGTTTTCCTTTGCTTGCAAACAACTGGAAAATACCATTACTGCTGTTCAGTCCCCACACCTGTAGGGGAATAGCTTCCTGAAGCAATTCTCTTTGAGAATTATTAAAGCAGTTTTCCCGAGGTGGAGGCAAGCCAGTGACTATATTTCACCTGGCTGCTTAACAAAGGCATTATGCCTCTGAACCCCAGTTGATGGGGGCAAAAATGCAGCTGAGCTCATGTCCAGCTTTCAGGCTTCCTGGTGGCCACTGGGAGAACAGGATGCTGGACTAGATTGGTCCAGAAGACTCTTCTTGTGCATCTTAATTTTCTAGTGTGCTTCTGTGTGTTGCCCGGGGGCGGGGGGGCATTGTTACAGTGTTTCTCATCCAAATGCTGTTCTGAGACATGATCTTACTGAGATTACTCATGAATGTTTCAGGTGGGAAACCATTCATCATCTCCGAGGCAAGTAACCCTTAGGCTGAGTCTGGCATTTCCAGCTTGCTTGGTGTTTTGATCTTTTCTGTGTAAATGAACATTGCCGATTCCCCTGCCTCCCACCCTTTGGTTTATAATATGTGAGTAGAACCTGCAACAGAATGGAGGTGCAGAACACCAAACCTCACCACTGCCTCCCTCTCCCCATCCCCAGTAAACAGCAGCAGCATGGGTGATGGGAGATATTATTATTATTTCTATATATTTATTTAATTATTATTAATAATCTATAGGGACGTGGGTGGTGCTGTGGTCTAAACCACTGAGCCTAGGGCTTGCCGATCAGAAGGTCGGCGGTTCGAATCCCCGCGACGGGGTGAGCTCCCATTGTTTGGTCCTAGCTCCTGCCCACCTAGCAGTTCGAAAGCACGTCAAAGTGCAAGTAGATAAATAGGTACAGCTCCAGCAGGAAGGTAAACGGCTTTTCCATGCACTGCTCTGGTTCACTAGAAGCGGCTTAGTCATGCTGGCCACAAGACCCGGAAGCTGTCTGCGGACAAACACCAGCTCCCTTAGAGCGAGATGAGTGCGCAACCCCAGAGTCGTCCGTGACTGGACCTAATGGTCAGGGGCACCTTTACCTTTTTAAATATCTATACTGTCATTCATCCAAGGACCACAGTGTGGTTTACAATATAAAAAACACAAAAACACAAACCATACTCACAAACAAAAGCAATACCCCCTCAGTTTAAAAGGCCATAGATTGATTAATTAGCCAAAGGCCTGGGAGAAGAGGAATGTTTTTGCCTGGTACCAAGAGATACGTAATGAAGGCACCAGGCGAGCCTCCCTGGGGAGAGCATTCCACAAGTGGGGAGCCACCACAGAAAAGGCCCCGTCCTCATGTTGCCACCCTCTGGACCTCTCGTGGAGGGCCTCAGGCATTGATTGCAGGGTCTGGGTTGGTTCATATGGGGAGAGGCATTACAGTGAGCCCCACTCCTGCTACTGCCTTGACAGACTCATCCTCCCTGAATCATCTCATTCCTTTTTATCTCCTCTAAGCAAGTAGACACCGCTATGTCTTGTGACAGTCTTTCTTCCAGGGCGTTAGATCCTGTTAGCAACAGTAGATGAGCCATGCCCCTTCAGCACTCTTCTGCAGGCCCCTTTTGTCTATGATTCTCTTGATTTGCTGTTGTTTCTTTTAATAGGTGACAATAGATATCAGAGAAGAGAATGATGAAGCCCCCCTATGCACACCCCTTACCTATAGAGCAACAGTGCTTGACAGTACCTCCCCAGGAGCAAATATAAACAGCTTTCGGCTTACCTGCCACGATAGAGACTCTGCTGATACGTCAATGCGGTTTGAGATTGTTTCCGGTAAAAGTTCTGGCATCACGAAATGTCTCCTTACGGTTTTTGATGTGGAACAACACTTTCCAAACCTCGTTGGGCTTAGCTAGGGTTGCAGTCTCCACCCTAACCACCAAATGGAGAGGCTCTGTGCTTTGAAGAGCTGTGTGTGAGTCATGCAGGAATGCAATAAGTGAAACCTTTTCTGGCATGGATATGTGGTGGTGGGAGAAGAAACATCATTTGTTGATTTCTGGGTTATGGATGGTTAAGGGCATAGGTTCTCGGGCTTCATAAACTCATGGCTTTCCTCAAAGAATCCCGGAAACCGTAGTTCACCCTTCGCAGAGCTACAGCTCCCAGCACCATTTAAGAAACTACAGTTCCCAGGATTCTTGCTGGGTGGGGGAGTCATGCTTTAAATGTTTGGTGTGTACACAGGATTAGTTCCATGAAATTATAGTACACTGTAATGCCTCTCAGGCCATCGTAACCACTGACATTCTCAAGAGGGAAGAACAATTCCCTGCCCCTGCAAGCCTAGTTTGTACCTTTGTTTGACTTCTGCTTTTCAAATGTGCATCTTTTATGAATATTCATTTTAAAAGGAACCATTATTACCATCATTCTTAAAATCAATGCTTTCCTGAATTTTGCGTATTTTGAAAGAGGAAGCACATATATACAGACAAAAGAAGATAATTAAAAGGTACTATTATTGCCATTGGTGATACCACTAAAAGTGCATTCATTGTAAACCTTTTTGTATAAAAATACACCCGAGATAAGATAAAATTTAGAGGCATTTAGAGGCATTCTAATCTCTCTTTCTGTTCTTCACACAAAGGAAATGGTGGTAACCATTTTGGTTTTGACCCAATTCGAGGGTCCAGTTCACCGCAACTGATTGTGAAAAGCCCTTTTGACTTTGAAGATAGAATGGACATGCAGACCCAGTATCATCTTGTGGTTCACATTATAGATGACAACTTGTACAATAACTCTGTCTCCAAAGCTATGACAGGAACAGTCCTGATAGATGTTTCTGTGGTTAGAACCAGGACTCCTCCTCCAACAACGCCATATTTTGATGTAAGTAGTACTTTGTGTTTATCAAAGACCAATTGAAACAAATGGGTATCCAATGGGAAAAAATGCTACTCATTGGTGAGAAACCTATGGCTGTCTTGTCTTCTTTGGCAATCACTCATAGCCAAGTAAGATTGTCTTCCATAAACACGGTCTTAACAGTGAGTCCGTAAGTGACTGTGGAGGCCAGTTCTGGATCCACAAGTCCTTCCACAGTGGGGAGATAGGTTTCCGGGTGGGATGTTGACCACAGTGAGGGTTTGCCAAGTGTGCCTTCCTCTTAGCACATTTCTCCCTTGCGTCCTGAGTTCGAGTGTCTTCAAAGTTCATGACACCTTTGGCAAAGGCTGTTCTCCAAGTGGAGCACTTGCAGGCCAGTGTTTATACTACATTTAATTTTTTTTGTGCCTTGAAACAGTTTTTAAACCTCTTTTGTTGACCACCAGTATTATGCTTTTCATTTCTAAGTTCAGAATAGAGTAGTTTGCTTTGGAAGTTGATAATCAGGCATCTGAACAACGTGATCAGTCCAACAGAGTTGATGTTGAAGAATTGTTGCTTTGACACTGGTGATCTTTGCTTCTTCCAGTACACTGGCATTAGTTCGCCTGTCTTCCCAAGTGATACGTAATTTTTTTTCGGAGACACCTTTGATGGAATCTTTTGAGTAGTTGGAGATGGTGTTTATAAGTGGCCCATGTTTCACAAACATACAGTATCATCCAGCTCAATGGTGTAACGTTGGAAAGTGTCTATACTTTCACCTGGGCAGTTATCTTTCCTAGGGGCCAATATTGATGCCAAAATCCAGCATCGCCTGTGAGTGCAGCTTTCTCCCAATTGAAGTGCAGCTTGTTTGAGGACCGGGACATTTGCAAGGAAACCAAAATGCTTGTTTACAAAGCTATTGGACTACCAGCCTGTGGCTGTACAAATACTGTTAGACTACAAAATCCCATCATTCCTGACCACTGGCCCTGCTGGCTGCGGTTTATAGGAGCTGTAGTTCAACAACATCTATGGAGTCATAGGTTCCTCATCCTTATTTTAGAGTAAGGGTGAATTGCAAGTGGCCCCTGAACATTGCAACTCAACTAACTTACCCAGGACTCAGCTACACTCAGTCAGTTATATCGTTGTAACTCCATTGTAAAGATGTGGCACCAGATGGCGCTGTAGAGCACAAAATTTGTCTATGCGATTCCACATAGGGTTTTTTCTTTTGCTATAACAATCTAATTTAGGACTTAATTATAGCATTCCCACCCCCGTGTGTAGATCCAGCCCCAAAGTCAGTTTATTAAAATGAATGGCCATGACTAACTTAGGTCCATTAATTTCAATGAATCTACTCTGAGTAGAAACTACTCAAATCCAACCCCCTGCCTTCCCGTAGTGCTTTTCTTTGAATTACTGATATTCTAAGAAATCCAAAAAATAAAGGGCCTGGGTCTCATTGTTCAGAAGACTGAATTAGTTACAGAAGATGCAGTTAACAAACTTTCTTTCCTTGGGGTAGGGGGGTGCATGGGGGATATGTTTGTTTTAAAGATAACAAGTCAAACTCTTTCTGCTTTTGCAATCCCCGCCTGGCAAGTGCAGGTGTGGGGAACAACTCAAATTGACTCTTCCTTCTTATTAAAAGTCAGGAGGCTGTTCAGAGCCACTCAATATCCTGGCTGTCAGCCACACTTATGGCTTTGTTCAGCGAATGCAACAGAGAGCCCACAGCAAGATGACTATAGTGGAGATGGAGGGGGACACTTTTGCCACAGCGTCGGCCTCAGACAGGCTGCCAAATCTCGTGAAAGGACAGTCTTGAATACTTCTGTTTATTTGGTTGCTAACTTGAGCATAAAATTAAAAAGGAATGTATTCCTTAATTGGTTAAAAGCAGAATGTAGAAATCCCAGAGGGGGATTAGCTGTAGAATGGCCAAATTGGATGTAACCTCCTTGAGTTTTCAGCCCTTGAGGAGTTGTCAATTTTTAGCAGTGTTTGGCACAATGGCTTTGAACAAACTTTGTTAAAGGTCTTTATCAAACAACATTCAGGACTAGTGATGTTGGTACTATGCTTGAATTCCAAGAGGACTCCCCCAACCCACCCGCCCACCTGAAATCATTTAGCAGCTGCCCAGACTTTCAGTCTGGTCCCCTGACTCTACCTTTTCCCCAATATTCCTTTTTGTGGCCTTGCTGGCTATGCCACAATAGGAAGGCACAACTCTCATAGCTGCACATGTTAGGTACACCCCTCCGCCTATCTATAAAGGCTAGGGGTGGAGGAGAAAGCTCATCCAGTTTCTATGCAAACCTGGCTAATTCACATTTCCTGAACTGATACATGAACCAAAAGGCAGCTATCCTTCAGAATTTGTGCTTCTCCAAATATTGTAGCGCAGAAAATGCAAAGATAAATGCTTACATTTTGAAAAGCGCAGACAAAAAAATGTATATATAAGTCAAAATAACGCAAAAATATCATTGTACTAGGGGAAATCAGGCACAAAAATGTGTTTTCCTGTGAACTTAAAAATAATAATTTCGAAGTGATGAAGGAATGGGGCAAACTCAATTTAAGATTTGGGGGGGAAATGAGATATTTGAAGAAGCCAAAAATGACATATTCATCCATCCCTAGTGAAGGCTGCACTAGGCCAGTGGACTGGGGGAGTTTGCTCATGCAATCAGGAAGTGCTCTTAATTCTGTGTACCTTATCTGTAGGCTTGGGATGTGAGCTGGGGGAGTGAGGCAGAAAAAAATAAATCTGTACAGCATTATTATTATTATTATTATTATTATTATTATTATTATTAAGACCCTGCCCATCTGGCTGGGTTTCCCCAGCCACTCTGGGTGGCTAGCAACCAAATATTAAAAACACAATACAGCATTAAACATTAAAAACTTCCCTAAACAGGGCTGCTTTCAGATGCCTTTTAAAAGTAAGATACCGTATTTTTCGCCCCATAGGACGCACTTTTTCCCCTCCAAAAATGAAGGAGAAATGTGTGTGCATCCTATGGGGCGAATGCAGGCTTTCGCTGAAGCCTGGAGAGCGAGAGGCATTGGTGGGCACCGAGCCCTCTCGCTCTCCAGGCTTCAGGAAGCTATCCCCAAGCCTTGCAAGCCTGGTGGGAGTTCCCGCGGGCTCACAAGGCTTGCGGGCAGCAGCCTGCAGCCCCGGCGAGTGTCCACAAGCCTTGCGCGCCCGGCAGGAGGTCCCGCCGGGCGCGCGAGGCTTGGGGCGGCAGCCTGTCGCCCGAAGCACGGGGAGCCCTCTGGAGGGTTCCCCGTGCTTCGGGCAGGTGTGCGCAAGGCTTGGGGCGGCAGCTGCGGCGGGGGGGGATAAATTTTTTTTATGCATTTCCCCCCCCAAAAAACGAGGTGCGTCCTATGGGCCGGTGCGCCCTATAGGACGAAAAATATGGTAGTTGTTTATTTCCTTGGCATCTGATGGGAGGGCATTCCACAGGGTAGGCACCAGTACCGTGAAGGCCCTCAGTCTGGTTCCCTGTAACCTCACTTCTCGCAGGCTGAATGATGGTGGTGGAGATGCTCCTTCAGGTATACAGGACCAAGGCCTTTTAGGGCTTTAAAAGTCAGCACTAACACTTTGAATTGTGCATCAACAACAATGCCTTTGTTTCTGCAGTGTCTTTATATACACATTTTATTGCATGTTCCTCATGACTTGAAATCCCATTCTTGGGGTAGATTATCCTATTTAAACACTCCTGACATGTCATTTTTGTGTTCTGAATAGTTTCCCACCCCCAGGCACATTCTTTTAGTTAGTCTTAATCACACTTCCCCAGAGCCATCCTACAGTGTCTTGTGTTGTTGTTGAGATTTAGCTTGGATTTCCCATGCACTGCATCAAAACTAAAATGGTTTCAGAGATTCCTCTCTCTCTCTCTCTTTCTCTCTCTCTTTCTCTCTCTCTCTCTCTCCCTCTCTCCCTCTCTCCCTCTCCCTCCCTCCCCATACAGCCAAAGAAAGGTCTGACCATTGTATACACATCAGTCAACACATTCCGTTCTGATAATTGGTATGTTCCATTCATCTTCACACTGGCGGCAATTATGGCTGTTGGATTGCTTGCTTGGTGGTTTTTTCTGATATGGAGATATGGCGGGTGTAAGGAAGCATGTCTGAAACAACGGACCAAAACTCCCAGGGAAATAAAAAGGTATGTCTTTTGACATAATGGCCAGAATCCAAAGAATGAAAATCTGTGGAAACCTGTGAAGGACAGGAAGATTGTGCATACAATTAGAGTTGGGATCCTTTGTGGCAGTTCTGTTTTCTATGGAAAAACGGGGGGTGGGGGGGGGCAGAGGTCTTTAATACCAGTCTCGTAGCCTCCCTTGTTGTGCTACCATTTCCCACCTCAGACAGACTTCCATAAGCCAATCTGGTAAGTTGATTCAAGGACCTGAACTTTCAGCCGCCAGTGAAAATAAATGCTGGGTCACATTTTGATCCACCTGCTGCAAGCATCTGCGAGAATTGATGCCTTATGTTCTATATACATGGAAGTAAAAGTATTTGCAATATGTCTTACTCCTATTAAATGTCTTTATGTTACAGAATAAAGAAATATAGTTTAGGTAAGTCCTTCTGTGGAACTATAAATATTGTTGCTATAATATTTTTTTTGTTATATCCATATAATGGATAATATGTGTGTCTGTGTTCATTGATTTTATTCCCATAAGTAAAATGACTTTTATTGTTGATACAGGAAGCCAGAAAGAAAACATGGAAGTGATAACAGTGAGTAGTATTGTGACACTGGTTGAAAAATGACACAACCGGTAAAGAATTTTATTATGAAAGTTCACAATAATTAAATAAGTATACCCATTTTTGCTATGAGGTCAAAGTCCAGTCAAATTTGGCTATGGGGTGCAACACTCATCTCAGCTTTCAGGCCGAGTGAGCCGGCGTTTGTCTGCAGACAGCTTTTCTGGGTCATGTGGCCAGCACGACTAAGCCGCTTCTGGCGTACGAGACGCCATGATGAGTGCCGGAGCATACAGAAATGCCATTTACATTTCCGCCGCAGTGCTACCTATTTATATACTTGCACTGGTGTGCTTTCGAACTTCTAGGTTGGCAGGATCTGGGACAGAGCAACACGAGCTCACCCCATTGCACGGATTTGCACTGCTGACCTTAAGATCAGCAAGCCCAGAGGCTCAGTGGTTTAGATCACATCGCCACCCGTGTCCCAGTAAAGAAAATATATATATACAGTGGTACCTCGGGTTACATATGCTTCAGGTTACATACATCGGCTTCAGGTTACATATGCTTCAGGTTACATATTCCGCTAACCCAGAAATATTACTTCGGGTTAAGAAATTTGCTTCAGGATGAGAACAGAAATTGTGCTCCGGTGGTGTGGCGGTGGGGGGAGGCCCCATTAGCTAAAATGGTGCTTCAGGTTAAGATCAGTTTCAGGTTAAGAACGGACCTCTGGAACGAATTAAGTACTAAACCCGAGGTACCACTGTAGAGAGAGCCATCACTTCCATTAAAGCAAACGTGGAACGTCTGCATCAGCCCTAGGCAGCATGGCCGATGGTTGACTATTATGAGAGTAGTAGCAAAACAACATCTGAGGAGCTAAATAAGCAAATATTCCCCCTCCCTTTGACTTCCCCACCCAAAAGTCTGGTATCAGGCTGTTGCAAATCAGCGGTGGGTGTGTCCAGCATCTTCCTCTAGGGATGGTCCAGCATCTCTCCTCTTCCTTCAGTGGAAATCAGCATCAAGGCAAAGAAGGGTGCTGGTTCAAAACTTTTACCTGCTTTGCAGTTGGTCTGGCTGCTGCTTCTCTCCTGCTGCAGCTGCTGGTGAGGTACTGATGTTAATGGAAACCAAGTCATTTCTTAATTATGATGTTTATGAAACTTGACTGCTATTGTTTTCACTTCAGGAAACCTCCACTTATGAAACTGTGTTCAATGGAGAAGCCAAAGATCCAGGTAATATATCCTCCCTAGGAGGAATGTGGGGAGCGTTCACGCGACACACCGACACACAGTTTGGAAAGCTCTGATATAAGGAAACACACTAACACAGAGAGATCCAGCCTGTATAGCAAATCTGTTTCCTTTTCCGGAGCTCAACTGTACCAATCTGGTCAGTATTTGAGGAGTAAGATGATTTGCAGCAATCACTTACACATGCCTTCCATGGGTTGTATGGAAATACCTTTCACAAAATCCTTTCGCAGTAGATGGTGCCACCAGGCCTCCTGGACCTCACTTATTCGTTTCCTTCAGTACTTCGTATTCAACAGCTACTAACTATGATGACTGTGTTCTTTTTCCACTCTGAATACCAGTTACTGGGAATTACAAAGGAAGGACCCTGCTTGCGGGCTTCTCATAAATAGCTCAGACAGTAGAGCATGGGACTCTTAATCTGAGGGCCATGAGTTCGAGCCCCACGATGTTCAAAAGATTCCTACATTGCAAGGGGTTGGACTGGATAACCCTCATGGTCCCTTCCAACTCTAGGTTTCTATGATTTGGTTGGCCAATGTGAGAACTGGATGCTGGACTACATGGGATATAGGTTTCATAAAGCAAGGCACTTCTGATATTCTTCATCAATATGAAGCAAAATTTTCAGAAATGAAACTAACTTTGCATTCATTCTACTCACAGGTAATAATGCAACGTTGCACCATTTTTCTTTTCTTCCTTAGTCACAGGAAATCTCTATCAGTATAACAGCAAGTCAGGAGCAAGAAAGTGGAAGGTCCCTCAAGAACCCATCAGAAACAATCTGGATCTCACAAGCATATCTTCGGTGCCTCAGAGTCTCTCTCCTGAAAAGAACATGCCGATGAAATTCCCTAAAGATCCATAACGTCTTCAGCCTTTAAAGCCAATCATTTAATCACAACCGATCTATTTCTCCACTAGTCTTCAGCGGGAAGATGGATTTAGTATCAAGGAGTGGGGTTCAGATGGACTTTTGAATATGGATGAAAAGAAATGTTTTCAGAATGAAGCCATGTTTGTTTTTGAAGGCTGTTGAGACATGGGCTCTCTCCTTGGTATGACATGATACAATATTGTTGTATCACCCTGCATCCCTAAGCAGCTGCCGAAGGTAGAGCGAAGCCAGGGAAGCCCACAATACAAGGACACCATGTCATGAGTTTTGTATTATGAAATTATGGTAGGGAACATTTTTAAGCCTGAGGTCCACATTCACTCATGGGCAACTTTCCAGGGGGCAGATCCAGAGGCAAAAGTGGTCAGGGCAACATATTACACATCTGTCTCCTCTACCTAGGCAAACAAGAGGCATTATCAGAAGGACTCATTCTGGGCAGGCAAAAAACACTCAAACAGGACGTAGGGCTATGTAGGATCTGGTACCACCCCATTTCTAGTTCATTCATATAGTGCTAAACCCTGATTTAGTATTATGTGCTCATAGCCAACATGTAGATCTGGCATGAATTTGACTAAGGATGCACATAGTCCAATAGCTCTCCAATATCTTTGCTACCTGATATCCTTTTTCTGGGGATGTTAGAAGTTTATACAACTCCAACTTGTGATCTACCATTGAGCTAAAGCCATTTTCCAGCTGAAAGGCAATTTCTTGATTGTACTACTACTCCTGGTTTTTGTCTATCTAATTAGGATCCATGAAACTTTGAAAAGGGCCTACATTTTGCTATGATTTCCCTGAGCATCTGAGTGCTTTATAAATCAACAATGTCTAATCCAATAACTCTGATATGAAAATGGCATTTAATCATTTTTTAATTTTTAAAAAAGAAAATTTGATCAATTGCTTTCTTTGTATTGAGGTTTATTAAAAAGAGGAAAAAGAGGAATGGGGAAAACCAATTCCCTTAGAAGTTTAATTTACTTATTACCTATTGATCTGGAGGCCTCTATAGGTTGGATACTGGAGCTGTAAGCAAATGTTTTGACTACATCTCCATAGTGACAGCAGTGACAGCAATCAATTCTAGGTGGCCCTATCTTGGATCATCAATAATGTTGGTTTAAACCATTAACACTTTGCAAATTTTTTTTGTTTAAAATCTGGACACACTGAAAAGATTGTCAGGATGAAATATCGGGATGCTTGTTGCTGCTCTGAAATATCAACTATGTTTCCTTAGCTAGATAAATTTTTCACATTGGCTCAACCTTTTTCATGGGCTCTAAATTCATCTTGAAATTTGACTGAGGAAGCAATGCTGATCAAAACTAGAGCTGGTGGAAAAGAGTGATTTAACCAAAAAAAATATATCATGGAACTGAGTCATAGAATCATAGAATCATAGAGCTGGAAGAGACCACAAGGGCCATCGAGTCCAACCCCCTGCCAAGCAGGAAACACCATCAGAGCGCTCCTGACATATGGTTGTCAAGCCTCTGCTTAAAGACCTCCAAAGAAGGAGACTCCACCACACTCCTTGGCAGCAAATTCCACTGTCGAACAGCTCTTGCTGTTGCCATTACAGAAGGAATAGTTTCATTGAATCACCCACCCCCACCATTTTGTTTCACCAATTCATTCCACTGATTCGTCAGTATATTTTATGGGGAGCAACTGCCATTGAGCTCAATGGGGTGACATGCTGCTGCTGTTTTTTGTTTTTAAAAAGATGACTAATAGCAGTAGATGGCCCTGAATCCTATTTGGACCATGGTGAAATGAAGATTTTTAAAAACTTAGCTGGAAACCACACAAAGAGTTTTGATGCGTTTCTTAACGTTGCTACAATTCCTAGTCCATCACCTTCCCCTCTGATTATGTGCTTTTATTATGACACTTGGATCCCTGACAAAAGGAATGAAATTAAAAAGAAGAAATTGGATGCCAAAAATTGCAAGGGGGTATATTTCTCTTTTTATTTTCCAGCACAGATTGCTGATGATTTCTCTAGGTGGCTCCATTTAATTTGTTTATCTATATCACATTGTGCTGGTTAAATGAAAACTAAAACCTGTTTGGATCGAGCAGGGGAATCCTGATTGGTATCACATACCAAGGCTCTTTAAAATCTGGTTTCTATGCATATCTAGGAAGTTTGGAATTATTAAATTTGCACCTACTGCCTCTTCCCATCACTGAAAAAGACAATACGTGAAGAAGGTAGAGAAACAAGTAAGCAGAATGCATGTGCACTTTTTTGGAAATTTGCAGCAAATTCACAGGAGCCCATCAATACAACCCTCTGATTTACTGGGCTTCCTTGAAATGCAATTGTTTTTGGACAAGTGACTCTCAATGCAGCTCATTAGTTAAGGCTGCCCAATAAACGAGGCCTTAATATTCATGGAGTTTGTGACAGGCACTCATCATTGTCATCCTCGCGCCTGGGAAGCGATGGGCAGCCACACTGGGGAAATCTATATGCAGCTACAGAAAGAGACTAATTTCGCTTATTGATTGGTTATGCCAGGTGACTTGTTAGAGGTTAATTTGACAAAGGAAAATAATTTGCACAGCCCTCAACTTAGGCACATTTCTTTGTTTGCAAGAGATGAAACGATGAATTGCCAGCAAATGAACAGGATCCTTTTCCCTACTCCCACTGTCCTGGTGCTGGGAAGCCTCCACCATGGTGCTTAGTGGTCCAGGTTGAGGCCAGTTACAGTTGTTGTAGCACTTCCTTGCTTTCCCTCCATTGGAAGGAGCCCTTGGCCATACTCATAAGAAAGTACCATGAGGGCCAAGGCCATTTCTAAAAGGAGGCCCAAAGTCTCCCCTGCCCTAGTGGAAAATCTCATTTGGCAGTACTATATGTTGGGTTTGGGTAGTGACAAATTTGTCAGCGCTGCAATGGTCAAATGGAAGGCAGGGGTGCATCTGTAATATCCGGTCAGTGAAACCTTCCCATTTTGAACCCAAGAAGTTCCTGATCTTCAAGATTATGCCTATGCACCATAGATATTTGATCTCCAGTTGACACACAGGCATAGAGATCTGTATTTCCTTCTCTCCAGTGTAAACAACACGGGGTGTGTGGGGGTCTTCTCTTATGTCTCTTATGTTTGTGTTGGTGTGCATGAAAGCAAAGATGGGCAAGGAGGAACTGGGCAGGGAGGAATACATCTGAATATTCCCGATGCCTCACACATCTTGCCTAGATAGTGACAGCTACTTCTTTGATCTAAGGAATAACAAACAATGTGCCTGCTCCTTTCCCATGATAGGTATCTATCTTAGTCCCACCACAAATCACTGGGGTTTTTAAGTCTGGGGGTGGATCTACACACAGGAAAAAACACTATAAACAAGTCAGAAATTAAATCATTATAATAAGGTTTCCCGGGGACAGTCCCCAGATTTACAAATCAGTCCCCTGACAAAATCCTATCATTCCGACTCATTTCAATGAAGTGTTCCTGGATTCATTGAAAAAAAAATCTGGTAACCTTACATTATAACAAAAGGAAAAAAACACTATGGGAAATCGCTTAAAAAATTCTGTTGCTCTCTGGTGCCATCTGGTGTTGCATGTATATAACGCATTCAAAACACTGTTTCTTGACTAATGTAGCTGAATTCCAGGTGTTAGGGAGATACCAGGAATGGTAGGAGGCTATGCTTCTCAGTATCAAAATGCCCTGCCCTGACATGACTGGCTTTGCAACCAACTGTAATAAGCTTTGAATTTTCTGGATGTTTAGAGCTGGTTCGCAGGGGGTCGTAGGAATCAGTCCAAACTGGCATTTCAGCTTGGTGGTGGTCCCCCCCCCTTTAGATTGTTGCAGAACTACTTTATTCCATTTCTGTGCAATTTCCTTCCTTCCTTCTTTCTTTTTTTGACAGAACCCAGTAACATTAATTAAGCACAGAGTCTCCTGGATTCTGAACATGAATATACATGATTGTCTCTAACAGCTTTCCTAGTGCAATTGTTCAAATGATGAATGGAGCAGGTTGGAGAATAATTAGTGTTCTCATGAAAATGCTCTTTGATGCAGAGAGGCTTAAATAACCTTAAATTGCGGCTGCTAACCAGTTAGTGCCAGAAGAACATTAGAAGACCTCTCTGGATTAGACAAATGACCCACCTAGTACAACATTCCAAAGGCCATGAGTGCAATGGTGCTCTGCCACTCATTATCTCCCGTTATGAGAATTCAGAAGCAAACAACTTCTGGACCTTAGCAGCCATTATGACAAGAAGCCATCAATAGTCTGATCCTACAGGAATTTGTCTAAGCTCTTTTTAAAAGATGCCCATGTCGGTGGCCGTCATCGCATCTGGTAATGGCACTTCACGTTGTCAGAGTGTATGTAACCCGAGGTACACTGTATTGGAAGGGATAGAAATTGATTAGGGGGCAAAGAAAGTTCAGATACTGTAGTATAAAGGAAGCAACGCAACACAAAAGTTCGTTGAGATCCTTTCAGCACATCTCCAACTGCTCTATTATAGCAGCAATGGTGAAAGCTGTGTTTCTGTGTAGAGTAATGTCTGGTTTTCTGAAACTCTTTCAGCTGGTGAGGAAGTCAGTGAAATTCTCCTCCACCTCTGAATTATCTCCCATGGACCTTTATTCGGGAAGAACGTGAGCAAAATGATTGCAGTACAAGCACCTGAGACAGATTTGGGCATGGTTTCCAACAGACAGGTCAGAGTTCCTACCTGATTGGGTTTTCTCTTTCACTTCAGTGGAGAGAGCAAAAATATGCAAGCCCTGAGACACACAGAGCTCCATTGAAGTGACTGAGGAAGCCCTGGCAGCCAGGTGAGCTCAACAAATACATCACAGCTCCCATATCAGCAAAAGGGATTTATGGGATGGAGACATGAGGTGGAAATCTTGAACACAGCGATATGTACACTGAAGTTAATGGGATTTATGTGTGTATAAATATGG